TCCCAGTTACCATTAACAGGAAAAACACCAGATCCATTAACAGCACAACCGCGCAGAGAAAAACAAATATTCACCTCGGATTCTGCGGTGAACTTTACTTTTAAATGATACCAGCCAGTTTCAAAGAGCAGACCCGTAGTTCACGCGCAGCACGTCGCTGTGGAAGTCGACCGGAGAGAGAGGGGCCCTCTCTGCGTCCCCCGTGTACTCACACACATGCAGGAGGGGCCCCTCTACCACACAGACCGCGACCCCTGGGCCCCAACAAGCCCTCTTCTGTCTTTTACTAATTTCTGGCTCTTCCCCTTTACTGCTCCTCCTATTGTGTGTGTGTGTGTGTGTGTGTGTGTGTACGTCCATCCAGATGTGTGTGTGTGTGTGTGTGTACAGTAAAAGACAGCCAGAGCGAAGGAAGGGAAACAATATAGTAGGAGACCCAGAGACAGAGAGACAGATGGTTTAGAGGGGGAGTGGGAGGGGGAGGGCTTCTTAAAGAGACAGGACTCCCTTACCCCTTCACCTACATAGAGGCCTCCCTTCATCTCCGCTCTCCCTCACTTTCTCCTCGCTGAAGACTCTCGTCTTCCCCGTGGCTCCGGAATAAAGAGCCTTTGTTTTGACGTTATTCCATCAACTTTGTCTTATGATTATTAGGTTTGATCACCTGCTAAAAATGGAAACATGTCATTAGATTGTACTCATCGGGTTTGAAACTCTCACCAGAGACAGAACGTGAACACAGCAGTAAACATGACGTCCACCACTATCAGTGAGAGTCCAGAAAACTAGCGCCTACATTTCCCATAATGCCCCTTCTTCAACCAGCCCCCACGGTGTCGTCAGGAGATCAACTAAGGGAGGTATGTAAGAAATGGACGCACATCCTCAGTGTTAATACAATTTAAAGTTCAGAGGAATAAAAACTAGATGCTGAATGTACTCTGCACCCATTGTTATTATTATTACTACAGCATTAACAGTAGGTTATACGGTGTTCATTCTTTATAAAGCATTATTGTCAATGGAATATTGTGTTTTGCAGGGACTTTTCTATTGGTGAAATAACTACATCTGCAGCAACAACTTTCTAGAATTTCAAAAGAAGAATATGTCGCAAGCCATTTGAGGTCTCTGACAATATGTGGCAGCCATCACAAAGTCAGCCATCAGACGAACGTCAGAGGTGAAGTTTAGGAGCAGGTGGTAATGTTTCATCGGAGGGGTGCGGAGGTCAACGGGAACTCTCTGGATACTCTGAGCACGGACAGAGAGGTTGGAGCAGAGTGTGTGTGAGCGCAGCAGAGAGCGAGCGAGGGGAGGAGCCGTCGTTCTGCAGGCCGAGCGACCGCCTCGTTTATAAGCCCCTGCCGCCCAGCGATTGGTCGCACCCCCCTCGCTCCCTCCGCCCACCGTCTCTTCCTCCTCCTCCTCCTCCTCGATGGCCACGAGAGCGAAGACGAACCATAGCGTGCTGCTGCTTCCCCGTGTGTGTGAATGCGTGTGTAAGCTGCAGCTACTCGCACAGATACAGCTGGAGTGTGTTTGAAGTTGCAGCACACTTATATATACTGTGCACAAAGGGAAAGACGCTGCCAGAAAAATAAGAGGAAATATATATTTCTAACATCTGCACAGTAAAAGATGTGTGGATCCTTGAGAGTTAGAGGACAAAAACTGGAAAGGCAAATTCCGAAGGCCGTGAAAGATTCTTATAACACGACCTATGGAAAGAAAAAATGGACACAAAAGGCGCAGTTATTATTTGAACTGCTGACCTTTGTATTTCTATGAGACGGTACATTCCGGTGCACAGATGTTGCAGCGAGAGCAGAATCGCAGCAGCCCGTACAGTCAAAGTGTCTGCTTGGACCACCGTGACACCAATGAGACCCCGCGATGCCAACTCGCCCCCTCACCATGAAATGCATCCTGTATACTTTGCTAGGCAGATGTGCACTGACACCAGGCCTGTAGAGTCCATCACAATAAAGGAAACGGTTCAGTCGATTTGGAGGGAGGAGGATTCGACCACATTATGGCGTTGACCAAATTGAAACATCTCTAAAAGCTAAAATCTCAAGACTTATTCTTGTGGGATCAGAATGACTGGCTGTAAATGATGGTGTGGGAGGGGCTCGGCCACAGAGGGTGCAAAGGGGTCTGTACATTGGAAGGGTTTATAGCACTAAAATGAGCGTCAAAGGGCCGAGGTGAGGAAAAGAGTCCCACTCTACACACACTCAGTGAGCTGAGGTTCATCTTTGAGCAATAAAATAAAAAGCGTTTTGGTACAAGCCTGTGAGTACGTGGGTAATAGTTTTTGAAAGCTTAAAATGAGAAAATATTAAACGGGAAAGGTCATGAATGCGTGCCAGATAAGGAGTATATGAATATGTGAAAAAGTAAATGAAATGGGGAGACGCCAAACTTATCACGTCTCCTGTGCGTGATGTGCACATCCGAGTGTAACTGGAAAAATATTGATGGCTGGTATTGAAAATAAGAACTACCATGCAGTCAAAATCAAATCAAAACAAAACAAAATCAGATCTGACAAAATATGTAATTTAATGATATTTATTTGGATAATTTGAATACAAAAATAAATATTGTTGTTTGTAAATATTGGAATTTTTATCCCACTGTAGCCAACCCTTATATTTAAGTACATGGATCTCTGATGTGATTTTCTGCAGTGGGATTTTTATATATTTATCAAATAGCTTCAAATGGACCGCTGCTTTTTATCTGGATCCTTCAGGAGGTTCAGAGATTCAGTGAACGCCTTCCACAGCCTTACAATAGGTTACACACACACACACACACACACACACACACACACACACACACACACACACACACACACACAGATGACCTCAGCCTGACATAAATTTCAATCAACTTGGTGGAGAATATTACGACAGCCTAAAAAATAAAACCTCTCCGTATCCATCTTCTGGCAGTCACATTTGATTCAGGCAGACATGCAAGTATAGTGCTCTCTATGGCTGTGGAAGGGTGGGGGAGGCCATGGGCGTCTCCCCCTGCAGCCTATAGGAGTATAGTGGGGGAGGGGGGACTCAACACAAACACTTATAGAATGGAAAGAACGAATTGAACGCTGCAACTTCCCTTTCCAGGACCCCCCCCCCCCCCCCCAAAAAAATGAAGGGTTTCTTCCCTCTGAACACACACACACACACACACTCTACAGCGTTTCAGATGTCCGCAGATTTGGTTTCCACCGACTTTTGATGACGTAGGGCTGGTAGGTGAAATTTGGGAAAACGTTTGTATACAATATTGCGACACCAGTTAACTGTAATCTACACAGGAATTAATCCTTGTTACATTTTATACACAAACACACAGTAAAAAAAAACAAATAACCGCCTGTTTGCCCAAATGAGAATTCCCTGATTAATGTGTCTATTTACGGTTGTTCAACCAATTCGAAAACATTCACTCAACTCCTCGTTGACGCAATCACACAAAACTGTGGAACGAGGCTCCGCGTCGCCCACAGCTTCGCCATTTTGCCCTCGCTGCCCGACGTGGAGCGGCTCCTCTGCGTGGATGCACCACGTGGTGTGGAGGCCACGCGAGGCCCCCGGTCCACAAACCACCTCCAACGCCGCGGCTCCTCAGTACCACCGACACCGACAGAATGATTCACCCCCCGCCGCCATGTTGGTTTCCCAAACATGGAGAGCTGACTGTTGGACCTGAATCGACATGGACGACTCACGTCGTCGGTCCACGTCGTCGTCCCCGCGCGGGGTTCCGACCCACAAACAGGTCGCCACGAGTCTCGCTGACGCGTTTTCACGCGCCCCCCCCCAAAAAAAACCGCTCACAAATTCACCCAAATATCGCAAGATTATTGGGACGTTACACAAGGTGTTGCAAAGCGATTGTAATCAACGTTTACTAACCATGTATGTTGCCATGGCAAACACACAGGAGCGCGCGCGCTCACGTGAGGCCAAATGGCGGAACATGGCTCACTGAGCTCGTATCTGTGCCAAAGGTTACAGCCATGTTCGGTCTATAGGCGGGTTCCACAACCATGTCTCTTAGGGCAGCGGAGACACGGCGGGGTCCACGTTGTCCCCGGGACCGAGTCCAGTCCGAGCTACAGGTCCATTCAAACGCCGAGGGACTCAAGCGGCTTTCTAAGGACTGAAATCTGCACAACTGGCCCGTTTAACTCCACAGCTGGCAAAACATGCTCAGAAATAGTAATATTGTACAATATTAGTTATACATTAACCAAAAATACCGCTTTACGCATAATGTATATTAACACTATCAAAATATTTATATAACTCCGCTATATCACACAAAGCATGTATATTTTGGCTGGATATATTTGACCACCACCCTTACAAAACGGCATTATCACGTTGCGTTCACGTGAATCCGTCAAAATGAACTAGTCATTTAAATTATTCGACGATTTTGCACAAAGCTCCACACTAATTATATATATATATATATATATATATATATATATATATACATACACACACACACACACACACACACACACACATATATATATATATATAAATATAAAAACACACGCACACACCCCAAAATAATTTCCACTTTAAGTTCCAACCCAGAGTTTGAAAAGAAAAGCTGCTGGGCGAAATCTTTACGACACACATTTCCCAAATGTAAGCAAAATGTCATTTTTTTAAAACCATGTTTTTCCTGCCGAGGTCCTCCGCTGCTTCCACCATTACTCAACCAACACGAGCCTTTGAGTGAAGAGGACCCCCCAGTTACAGATGTCACCGTTCACTCGCAGAGTCGAGGCTCCCCAGTAACATCGCCGACACGAGGGGCTCAACCCCCCCAGCAAAGGGCCTTTTGTTCAGGCAGACATGCGTTCAAAGTAGCTGCCATGCGCTGTGCATTATGACTCAATTACAGGCGATGCAACACATAACAGTGGTCTTTCTTTGGGGGGGGGGGGCATGCTGAATGTTTACCTTTGCTTCTTGGGGACGGAGTGCTCGACCTCAATACGTTTGCCTTGAAGTTCCACTTTACCTGAAAAATAATAAAAACGGGGTTCAAAAAGCACACGGTGGCTACACAGGTCAACCACAACTTACTGGGGGAGGGGGGGCAACATAACTTCATTCAGACCTGCGGCTTCTCAGAGAGGACGGGGGGGGGGTCGCTAAAAACAGAAAGCTAATGGTGTCCGACGAGGAGCTACTGGGACCACTGGGAGAAACGTTACGACCCTCATACCAATTACACGAGTGACACGTTACGTATTTCTGTCTTTGTCTCGTTTAAAGTCGACGTGCCATCTCGGGGAGTTTGGTGTTTCGGGCGAAGGGAAAAAGTGTGTGTGTGTGGGGGGGGGCTGACATGGCAACATTGCCCCCCGTTACATGTCGTGTTAAATCCTGTGGTTTATTATTTGACAACAATAACCCCGGTCGCCCGTTCGTGGTGGTGTGAGTCCACGCGGGGGCAGATCCCGGTCCATCTTTGTCCCGGTGGGGGCTCAAAGGGGGAGGGGAGGCTTCCTACAATACCACAGAAGAAGCCGCACCAATGCTGCGCGAGCGATACGCTAAAACACCGCTAATTCACAGAAATGTCCTTATAATATAATAATAATAATGATACTACCATGAAGTGGTGCTCGGCGTTGGCCTTAGGCTCCCTCCCTCCCTCCCCCACTCCCACACCCAACTAAAGTTGAATGGCTCCCCTGTGCTTACGGCTCACCGGACGCCATTAAACCAGCGGCAATATGATCATTGTGTGCGTTTATTTTCAGGCGGACAGTCGGAGGTGTGAACGCGGCGGCGCGCCGCCGGTCACCGCTGCTTTTCCGAATGAATGGGATTTTTAAAAAAAGAGGTGGGGGGCGGTGAGCGGTCCACGTTTACTCACCGGAAAAGGTCTCGATGGCCTTCATGGCCCAGGAGTCGTCCGGACAATCCACAAACGCGTAGCCCGTCTTCATGAGGAACTGACCCGAGTACGGGATCTTGTGTTCGTCGAAGGTTTTGCCCAAGTCGTCAGCAGTCACGCTGTCGCTTAGATTCCCAATGTACAGCTTGTGCATGGTGGTGATTGTTTGTCCAAGTCCAACAAAAAACCCAAACAAAGCTCGTAAAAACTGATATCGAAGCCAGCTAAATAAAAGTTTCTCTCCTGAATTTGCCAAAAGCGCAACAAGAAATTATAACAACGGAGGGAAAATCCCACTGTGGGAAATAACGTCTAAAAAGTGATGATTCTCCGCAGCAAACTTTTTAAAAAAGGTGTAAAAACAGATGGTAACGTAGAAATTAGCCGTAAATCCAGTTGAATAAGTGGAGCAGGAGAAGACTTCCAGCCGGCCCCGGCAGACGAGTGAAGCAGCCTAGCGAGGTGGTTTACTGGTGATGGTCTACGGCGGGTACGCGAGGAACCAACTATGGCGGGATAAGGACTGAAATGTCTCTCTCTCTCTCTCTCTCTCTCCCCCCACCCTCTCTCCCTCTCTCTCTCTCTGACGCCGCCCCTCTGCAAACTGGATTTTTTTCCTTTTTTTGTTTGCATAGAGCAAACCACGTGGTCTGGTTGGAGTAGGTTAGGGAGAGGAGGGAGGGTACAGAACACACCCCCATCCTCATCCGAGGGGGGTTTCACCATTGACGCGCGTGCGCTCGAACGTGCAGCCACCGCGAGAACACACACACACACACACACACACACACACACACACACACACGCTTTAATTCTGCACTGTACTCATGCGCGCGATGAGGGCTTTAAATACAACGCCAAGTGGCCGCGTGCGCACGTATTGTGCCACACGGAGGGGCGGGGCATAGTGGTGACGCCACAAGCTGGTTACGGCGCCTTCACTCACTCCGACCCCTGACATCAGTGTGTGAGATCCGTCCACATTTAAATGATCAGCCGCCCCCCCACCTGGATATTAATTACGATGTTACATAAGTGACCAACCAAGGGGTCGCGAGGCTGGCGGCTTGTCGCCGCATCGCTGAAACCGCGCGGCCTCTCGTGCGTTAAAGACGCTTAAATGAAATGCTCGTGGACACATTTCCCGTCCTTGGAACCGCTGCTTCCAAAGAGCAGTAGTCCGTAAGACTCCCCCCCTCCCCCGTCCCCAAAACAGACGTTTTCTTCATATTTTTCCAGAAAGGGGCGCAGCTGAGATGGTGGCGTGGCGCAGTATCCCCACGCGCCCCTGTGCGTGGATGGATACCTTTGTTTCCAAAATGGAGGCAGTTGCGGATTCAGAGGCCTGCCTCCCACCGGCCCCTCTCCGCACGCGATGCCCGCTTTGCGCGTGCAGCCTGTGCCCATCCCGCGCACGTCGCCACACGGCTGGAGTTGGTTTCTTCCCCTGTGCGCGAGACTTCGTAGCCAAACTACACACGCCCGTGAAGGCAACGTGGCAAACTCCGCGGGTTCCTCTGCTTAGAAAATGGCTCCTGTGCACAAAATGGATCCAAACACCTCAAACTGCTTGTTCCGTACCTCCTGGCTCAACATAATCAAGATTAAATATGAGGTAATATTATGAGAAAACCATCAAACTCCTTGTATGTCTGACATCCTGGTTGTATATGCACACGAGATGTTAAAAAAACATCAAATTTAACTTTTGTTTCAACAAGTGACTCTGGGTTTATGTAGTTATGTTTTCCCTCATAATAATTGCATTATCAATGAATGGATTAAACATTGTACCATACAATTAATCATGAATGAATCTCATGTGTTAAAACCATACACATGTTAATCACAGCAGCATCTTCGTTAGAGCCAGTAGCCATTGTCATCATCACGTCGCCAGGATGATCTTCACCGCTTCTTCCTTGTGGTGAAGGATTGATACATTACTGTTATTACACTTTCAGTAACGCAAATAATTCAGTGCAGCCTTGTTTCAAAGCGGCTGCAGGTTCTGTTCCCTCCCTCGATTGTGAGTCAATTAAATGGTGTAAGTGTCATTGAACTGGGATTAAGATTGGGGTGTAAAACCAAGAACTGTAAGGACGTTGTTGTGGGCTAAATAGCACACACAGTGGGTAGACGGGCCTCCCCGAGTGCTCCTGGATTGAGACCAGTGACTGTTCTTTATCTGGCTCATCTTTGCACACGATGAACGACGGGAAGTTCGAAGCTGAAGTTCTGCACGTTGTACTGTGGCTTCATGGCAGAATTACAACCTCAAGTCAAGTTTACCTTTGTGGCCTCATTCTCGTCCGACGGGGCGATTGAGTCACCTGGTCCAAAGCGGACTCCTGATTCCCTTGAAACGGGAGAAACGGGTGTTGAAATAGGCGATGGACATTGTGAGTACGCCATGTTGTTGCACACGCCTTTTCATTTCCCCCCCCCCCCCCCTGGTGCGTAAGATTTGATAGTACAGAATTTTATTTTGTGAAAATTGAGGTAAAATTTCAGATATTGACAATGGAGAGGGGAGATTCAACGGATAACATTTATTTTCTTATCTAACCTGGTGAATGAAGGCTGTAATTTCAACCACACCTGATTTCAGAGGGTGTTTTGATGAGTCTTGTTCTGTTTCTGTCGAGTTAGAATTAAATAGGCTTTCATGACCTGCGATGAAAAAATGAATGTTGTCTTGACTGGAGCCCGCTGGCCTTGCGGGGAGCATTCCATCGACTAAACTCTGTCGACTAATCAGTCCAACTCAGCTACCTTAATGCTCAAAACAGTGCATCACATCTTTCTGCAAAGTTTCAGATATTAAAGGTTCTGGAGTGAAAATCCAATATTTCCCTCTAAAATGTAGTGGAGTGGAAGAAGAAGACATAGCGTGGAAGATCGTCGATGGCAGTATTTAGGACACTTACAAAAAGGTGTGTGGAGGAAGAATGTAAGACCCCGTCCCCGGTCTGTGTGTGTGTGTGTGTGTGTGTGTGTGTGTGTGTGTGTTGGGGGAGGGCTGCGTAGGTCGAAGGGCTGGGGGGAAAACGTGTGGCCAATCGGGACAGAAGGCAGTAGGAGAATAAACCTCCCGAATGGATGAAAATACATTTCTTCTTCTTTGTCTTCTTTTCGTCCCCCGTCCTCTATGCGTGGGATGTAGTACTATACATCAAAACACCCTGGAATTGTTAAAGATACCTTAACATTACTTTGTCGTCTCTTTGAAATGTATATAATGGAATATTGATTTCTCAGACTGTTCCTGAGAGATGTGATCACCTTACATGACAGTAAGGGTGTTAGAGGTCGCTATTGGCAACTATTTGAATTGTTTACAGTTCAATTATAACTGCATAGTATCTTAATCACTAAAAGGTTTGAAACAAATATAAGCTCTATTTTCATTTTAAGCCTAAATCTAAAATGTCTTCGCCTCTGTGGCGCTGGAAGCCCTCCGGACTGCCCCAAAAAGTAATAGTTTGCACTGTCACCCACGCGCTGGGAAGGTAAACGATAAGGTAACAGTGCAAACTACTGCCAGTTGAGCAACAATTTCAAATCACATGTTCATTGGAGGAAATATGTCTCCTCTTCCTCTGTGCCATAGAGATGCATTAAAAACACATCAGAGAGCCTCACATGCTGCACACGTTCCTTTATTACCGCAAACACACACTTTGACTCAATCACAAGGGGAAATGTAGTCATTGGAGCGCCAAAAACACATTCCTAACACAAATTATTTCATGAGATCCGTGAAGAAAAAAAAATTAAAATCCTGAGTGAACTGTATACTTTTAATTTGTAAGCCAGTCAGTTAGTGGAAAATCATCTCCAGCCAAAGGTGTATAAAGTTCTGTGATTTTCCCTCTGCAAGTAAACAATTTGCCTGCAAATTTGCTTTTTTTTTATATGACAAAAAAAGAACATGTACTTTGTAGTCCAAGGCCCACGGTTCCACATCATCTTGTTTCTCTCGTAAGCATTCCGAAAATAACACCCTGTGATATAAGACGTGTGTGTCAAACTCTATTTTCATGGACTACATTTCTTCAATTTTTAAGTATCCTAATATGATTCTGTCAATGATGTGTGACGTAAATCAAGCTCATCACAAGTCACAGTTTGATTCAAACCACCGGACTCGAGACCAGGCAGATACAGTATTTCTGGGACTAATTTGAAGGCTTTCTAGTCTTTTGCCGGCAGAAGAAGCAGAGAAACGAAGCAGCTGCTGGTCTTTAGTTCCTGTCCATACTATAAAAAGGAAATTACCTCAGTAACTGGAAATCAAGATCGGATACTTTCGAGAGCGGCGAATTGGATTTGAAAGTCCACCGTTTCTTTCCGTTTATTTGTTCAATCATGGGACCCTGAAGCAGGAAGTAGAGCCAGAGTATACAGACTTGTTTTGGTGAAAACGTCACTGTTTTCTTGCTCCACAGATGTCGTTGTCAAAGCAAGTTCCACTCCTGTGATGTTGTGTTGACCAGGACCTGCATGCGGGGAAAGTTTTATGAAAAGTGAACGACAAACAGGCTCAAACACAAAGTGTAACAACACCTGAAAACATCTGTTTGTGTTGTGAAGAGTAACTTTCCATTAGGCTTTTTCATAATGGGCCCGGCAGCCTCCTTTTGGATCGATCATAAACGGCTCATTTTATGTATTTAAAAAGGTGTCGTTTTTGTTTCCATGGCTACACACACTGGCGCCACTCGGAGCCGGGATTCATGGTCACAAACATTTTTTTTCGTTGCCTATTTTGAAATAAACAGTTTTGAAATCTCATCAGAAAGTACTTCCTGTTTCATTTCACTTGTAGTTGCTTTGCCAAACCCGGCCCGACTTCCTCACTGGGAGTAAAGAATGATTTATTCCTGTTTCACAGTATCTTTCCAACATTAATGCATGTGATTGGCTTTGGTTAAAGGGACTGTTTCGATGATGTAAGTCATGTAAAATCATGAAACTAGTCTGAAAATGTAACCCTAAAACACACCGTAAGTGATGCTGCGCTGCTAAAAGGCCCAGAACAAGCAAATCTGGCCTTGAAAATATGTTGAAAATGTTTATTCCTAAATGTGGAACGACTCTGGTTCGGTAGGAATTTTGAACTTCATTTTCCCTAAAAATGAGTTTGATCCACAACAACCGGAGAGTTGGAGGCATTAGAAGAACATCAGTCTGGAGATGAAATATACGTGTATGTATCTAGGAGTGCTTTTAATCAACTAGCTTCCTCTTTTCGTGCTGTTTTTTATCAAGGGGAGACATTTGGTTTTATCATGCAGATATTTGTAAATCCTGGATTTAAAGCCTAAATCGCGTGTTAAAAAAATAAATACAACAAATGTTTGGTTGAATTGACAGGGAAAACAATGTGCATAAAACCACCACAGAGGAGAGAATGTGTCAAAAGAGTATTCTGATCTATTAAATAAAAAAGATAATAGATGAAAATACAAATATAACAGACAGTGGTAAAATGAGAATAAACGTACTTCAGTGCAGCGAATTGGCCACATTACTCAATAAACTATTGTGTAAACAGTCATTTGTTGCATATGTGGTTCAAGTTGAGCCGAGTGTCAACATAATAAATCAAATATCTGTTCTTCATCTGGTTTATGTTTAAAAAAATCTATTACTTAGACACAAATAACTACAACATTCCTTTCTCAACTAGTTTAATAGAAGAAGGACTAATGGAAATATTAACCAAATATGGAGTAAATGTACTAGAACTTTCCACGCTGCCTGAACTATATCGGTCATTTTTGCAGCAATAATACATGAGAAATGTACTTGGGAGCACGGAAGTTTCTTTTGGATCAGTCACTGACTTTAGAACTCGGGTTTCTTATGTTGGTTTTACTGAAAGTCAAACACAAACTTTAGAGCTGACGATGCTCAGAAAAAGGCGCGTTTTTACAGCACAGGAGAAAAAGAAGTGGCTCCACATTCACTCAGGTTTACGTTCAGTCCCACTTCACCGCCCATGAGAACCGAATCCATTCATCAGTGAGTCTGAAGGAGACTTCGCGATCGATATGAAACCAAATATTTATCAAACAACAGCGACGTGATGACAACGGAGAACGTCTCAATGTGTCTCCTATAACGAGGAAGGAGACACCTCGTGTGTGTTTCTATTTATTAATGTTAGTCCCTCCCCTCACCCCCCCGTGCATGGACCGGATCCCAATCGCACCGTAGGTTTTCATTTCGGACACACACGCGCACACACACAAACACGGACACACACACACACGCGCGTAACCGTTTGCGGACTCACCGACCGGGAGCTGGAATCAAACAAATAGTCCCTCACGTGGCGGACGGAGAGGAGAATAGAGCTGCTCTTAGAGTAGACAAAATGGAGAGGGGAGGATGGGGGAGGATGGGGGAGATGTGGGGGGGGGGGGGGGGGGGGTCCTTCGCTGTGGACAAATAATGAAAGAACCCACGATGACGTACAAACACACCGACTGTCAATGTCCATGGTCATGTAGCGCTGACACGCACCGAGAATACTTCTTCTTCTTCTTCTTCTTCTTCTTCTTCTCAGTTTTAAAGTGTTACATTAAAAAAACATTAGCAGGAGAAACAAGTCCTCAAACCCTGGACCCTCAGAGACTCAATGACGTCACCTAGTAGGTGGTCCAGCGTGAGAGTCTGTGAGGGAACGGAATGGTGTAAATACGAATGGGACAACACTGCAACTGATCACGTTACCATGACAACGTAAGAATATGACGTGCAATTGTGGGTATTCATTTAATACTTTTTACTCCCTATTTTCCTCACAAGAAAATGTTAGATCATCTATTTTCTTGTTTCCATCGAAACGAATGAAATATCAAATGAATACATAAATAATGTGCTTGTATGTTCCATCTTTTATTCTTAATGCTTCTGTGTAAATGTAATAATCCAGAGTGCATTTACATGCCGCTTTCTTTGTTTACCTTTTTTTTAACGTCTCCATGCGTCCACTGCTTTACGTCCCATCGTGGACATCGTCTCCCTGCGCGCGCTTCTACCACCACCAGGCGGCCGGCTCGAGTCCCCGCAGCCCGGGCCTGCGGTCTACGTTAGGAGGGGAGGCCGTGGCCCTCAGCTGGGAGGAGGCCTGCTGAAGCAGTCATTATTAATTGTGATAAAAAAAAAGACTAAAACTAATTAAAAATGAAAGCTTTTGGTTTGAAACAAACACAGATTAAATAATTCTCAGACAAACGCATGGTATTATTTTTTTGTTAGTATTACATAACTTAAAATAAATGTATATAACGTATTCACCGTCTGCTTTAATTTCTCCCCTTTCAATTATCTGTATGTTAAAAAAATAATTTGTAAAATTTAATTTAGCCCCAAAAAATCTTCATTCTATAAACTTTCCCGGGTGGATTTGAGGAAAAGGCATTTTCCCGTTTTCAAACCCAAAGCAAACAAAAAAACGCTTCCGGTTGGTCGCCGGCTCACAGCCCCATTTGACATTATGAACGCGCGAGGGAGCCTTATCGATTATGATCGTTAATGAAACAAGCCGCCGGGTCCAGAGCACCGGGCCCCGATCCGAGGAGGCCCCGACACGAGCCCGGCTATCGAAAGGGACAATCATTTTAAAGCCATAACCGGCATGCAAGCAGGACAAACGGCGCGTGCGTCTGTTCACTTATTTTAATTCATCGCGATTGGCGGCCGAGTCTCACGCGGCGGGACACCGCGGAGCCTTAATGGACCCTGTGAAGGACGCGCGATTTCTGCACGTTAATTTCTTTAAGGGTTCAATTCTGATGCGCGTTCCCGCCGCGTGCATGCACGTTGGTGGGCTGCAGTGGAATCGTGGCACTAAATAAACACCTGTGGACCTGTGGAATGGCGACCCATGCAGGCTCAAGTCAATGGTCATTTAATGTAAATGTACACCAGTAATGGTAATACAAGCGCTCATTAGGTGTTTTATTCATATGTAGCCGAACATATTTCATATTAAAGTAAAAAAAAATAAAACGTAATGGCTCATGTAATTTATCAACTTCATGCAGGTTCCATTTTTGAAGTGAACTTAAAAAAAGAAAGCCGGGCCATTCCGATGTAGATCACAATCATATCAACCTAAAAATGATGTCGGTTCTGGTAGAACTTAACTAGTTTAATGGAAAAAGGTGGACGCGTTCGCGCACTGGATTATTCATCATTCCGCAATAATTTGTGAATGAGTAATGGCTCCTCCCACTGAGGGAGTATCGCTTTAAAGAGTCACGTGACAGACAGACCGTAGTTAACACAGCGGTCAGCTGATGCATCCAAAATAAAGCTGCTCAGCCACGTTTGAACCTCCGCCCATAGAGGAGCGTGGTATCATAAAACATGGCGGTTTGTATGGCGTCTCCTTATCAAAGGCAACATAAACATAAATCAGGGGAGATGGTTTTATTGAATTATAAGTACTCATTTTAGTGCTCATCATAAATAAGAACTGGTTCACAATTGGCTTATCCAGTTGAATAAAAGGTCCCATAAAACAACAGAATGACTGAAAATATAGAGAAAAAGCAGGGTGTCGCCCTCTGGTGGAGAAGGACACGGTGTCCCAGCTGCACGCGTCGTCTTCACTTGAAGGTCCACTTACTCCCTTTCTGGCTCCAGAGCCTCCCTCCTCCCCCCGATACGTCTCTGTGGCCCGCTGAAGTTTGCTAAGCTCAGGCTCCCAACTTCCCGATAAGCAGAGAACTTCCAGGAAATCAGCTTGAAATAGAATAGAACATTTTCCACATAAAAACAACAACTAAAAATTGACTTAAAAAGCAGACATCCCTTAAGAAAAGCAGCGCTGGTGGTGATAATAATAAAACATTTTATTTGTATAGCACTTTTCTAAATACTCAAAGACACTTTACAAGGAAAGAGAGAAAGCAACATTGGAAACATGTCATGAATAAAAATAGAAACGACTTTAAAAAGAGAAAATACAATGTCAGTAGAATTGTGGGTCTTTCGACAAACGCCGTGTTAGCGAGAGAAAAGTAACAGAACTACATATTGGAACCATGATTAAAAACTGTTATTCGTCAAAACTGACAGTTTACAAAAAGACAAAATCATAATTCACTTCCTTCTTCACTGACGGGGGGGGGGGGCTGACTGGCTGTTTAGTGAAACACCGCAGAGAGTTTTGGCGGTTATCTGAATCCATCCCGGGAGCACTGAGGGGATTTGGGGGGCTGCAGGTTTACTGCATTTTGGCCACTATAGCTTCCAGATGCAGGAGTGGTGTCCGGCTTAAGCTGGACCCACAGCTGCTGCAGTCATGTGAGTGGGAGGGGGCGGGGGCACAGGATGTAAGGCATGTTACATCTTCACGGGGGGGGGGGGGGGTGATAATTACACAGCACTTGTCTTAAAGTGCTTTAAAGTGAGAGGAACACACATGTGGACAGTCGCAGCGTAACAACAAAAAGGGGTGGAGACTCGTACTGCTGTCTTTCCTAAATTTGCCCCACCCGCCGCCAACAGGTGTGCAGGCTTAGAACAAAATTGAGTTGTGGGTTAAAGAGAAGGTAACCGAGCCCCCCCCCCCCGGTCGCTCGAGGTCCTCCACGCTGCCGGACCACTCGCTCCTCAGGACGTCGTTGCCGCGGTTACTGAGGAGAGAGGCGTGCTGGAAACGCACAATATACACAACCTTCGTCTGGAGCATGTTGAACATTTGGAAATAACACAACAAAGGGACCCCCCCCCCTCCAGCTTCCTTTCACTTAGGTCAGCTTTTATGTTTCAAGGAAACATATCTGACTGAAGGGAGAATTTCCATACAAAATAGCGTTTTGTTTTATTTAACACGTGGGGAGGGGCGGGCGCTCTAATCATAATGAGGGGGGGGTAGTAGATATTTTCATTACGAGAGGGGGATCAATTCTTAAGTGAGGAGACAGACATTTTAACTTATATCCAGTACATGGCATAGATCATACATGAGGGTCAAGGCAACACATTTTTTTTTCCATTTTTCTTTTTTAAACCTAACTACTCAGTTATTCAATCTCAACTAGTTCTCATGCCCCCCCCCAATCCCAAACACAACGTTCCAAAAGGAGGGGCACCGTGGTGAAGGGGCGTCCAAAGTCCTCCCTCTTTGATGCTGGGTCCGAAAAGGGTGTAGAAAGGATGGGGAAGGGTGCGTGGTGCTGGACGCAACGTGATGGGAAGGGGGGCAGCTGGTTCCTGGAGGGGTTGTGTGTGTGTGTGTGTGTGTGTGTGGGGGGGGTTCATTGATTGTAGAGGGAGCGCTGCTCCCAGGGCATGGCCTGGATGGTGCGTGGCACAGGGGAAGGCTTGAGCGTGGGCGCTCCGTTCGGATGGAGGGAGTGGCCGATGGGGTTGATGGTGAGGGGCCGCTGGGGGGCCAGAGAGAAAGTGTCCTGATGCTTCGGCTGCAGGGGGAGGTGGGGGGGGAACGGGTAGAGAGCCAGAAGGAGAGAACCGGTGTGAGACAGTCGAGAAAAAAAGGTGGAGTTGGTGGGAAGAGAAAGAAAGGGGGGTGGAGAACAAAGAGTAAAATATCAATGTCAGCAGAGCAAAGGGACTTTCCTCAGATTCATAACAACTATCAGTGCACGGGTGGAGTTGAGATGGACGAGGAAGAGGGGGACATGGAGTGCTACACTCAGACACATGGACACAGACGACATGGAGAAGGTGTAGCGTCAAGATGGAGGGCTGAGCTGCACATGTCTGAGCACCATCTCTTAAAAGGATTCACAGAATGTCTGCAGGTGTCATTCAAATGATTTCACTAACATATATAAATAAATATATACACATACATATTCAGTTCATTCTGTTTTTTTTAAGTGGGGATTAATGTTCCTTCATAAAGACCCAAGTCAACAGGAGGGGATTAGCATACATTGTCGCTGGTGCATTATATTCAAACCACAAAAGAACACTAAAGTCAGAAGTGGTTCTGAACCTGCAGAATGACGATTTAAGGAAGTCAACAGGTCCAGCAACCCTGATGCCTGTTGACCGTTGCGGTTTCAACACTGCCAGTGTGGTACAGTGACTCGTGCAGCCTCAGCTTCAACATCCCAGTGTGCGGCACACAGCTGATTGGACAGTTAGTGTCAGAAGGCGGGACCATGTTAGCAGCACAGCCCCAGGTTAGTAGCACCCTGCCGCCGCGTTGGGAGCGCGAGCTGAAGGAGGAGCTCATCGACGCTTTTTCCACCGTGGCGAGTGAAGCCACTGCTACTTACCCGATGACAAGAGGTGAATATACGGTTCATCGGAATTAACATTAACGTCCGCTCCAACCACATCTATGGCCCCATAAACAGGAAGTCAGTGGTGACGCAGTAAAGCCCGCCTCTGGCTCGATTCCATTGGCTGCCCCTTTAAATCGGGACCTGGACTACCAACGTGAAAAATTGGAAACGTCTGAACTTTTATCGGCGTGTGAAAACTGACGGATGCAGATCCACACGTTTGACGAGTCCCTGCTCCGTTTTTATGCACATATTGAAAATACTTTCAAGGACTTGAGAGACGAAGCACCCGGAGGTGCAAAGGCGCCGCCCACTCCTGGGCTTAAGGACTTGTTAAAGAACGCGTTGTGGCAAAATGGAGTCTAAAACATCACGGTGGAACTGTCTAGACTTACTTCTGACTCAGAGTGTGATGTTGTAAAATTAAAGAAAACATTTTTAAAAAGAGTAGGCGCAATGACCAAGAGGTCATCAATAAATGGTTATTGTCTCCTATCCACTGGTTGTAGTAGTTATACAGTACAACCCCATCCGATCTCTGTGGGGAAAACTCAGAGAGTGGGGGGGGTCATGGTGACGGGCGGATTGGATCGTCTCTACCCACCACCCCCACCATGGACGTCTCCTCCACAAACAGCTCCCCGTCCTGTCCCAGGAGGACGGAGGACGGGGAGCTGCAAGCAGAGGCTCCCGTTAGAAGTGTTAGTCCCCCTCTCCTGGTGTTAGTATCTGGGCGGGGAGGAGACAGCTAGGCAGCGGGCGGCGGGAGGGATTGTGGGGGTGAGGGTGGTGGGGCGGGGGAGAGGGAGTGGGGAGTTGCGGCGGCGGCAGCTCTCTCCTACCATGGGGTTGGCGCTCAGCCTAGTGTATCCCGAGCTCAGCTCCTTTACCTCAGGCACCAGGGGCTGGAGCAGGGAGTAGGAGGAGGACGGGGCGGCTCCGGAGGAGGAGATGTGTTTGTTGGAGGACGAGCTCCTCATGCTTTGCTGGCTGCTCTGGGACGACACAGAGCTGGGACGGCCCTGCTGGGGAGGAGGAGGGTGAGCAGGGGGGAGGAGGAGGAGACACAGAGAGCTCAACACATCGGCGCCAAAAGGCTCTTGGATTAGAGCAAGAAAAACGAAGCAGGGTTTTTATCTCCGCCCTACCTGGTGGGGGTCAGGCACAGACTGGCTGGACACGCCGCCCTGCCCTCCCTGGGACATGGGGGAGACGCAGTGGGGGGGCAGGGGTTCCTGCTGTCCGTGTCCTCCATGCGGCGGTTGCATCATGGAGTTGGCGCTGTTCTGCTGCTGCTGCTGCTGCTGCTGTTGCTGTTGTTGCTGCTGCTGCTGCTGCTGCTGCTGCCGGCGAGCGTTGGCGGCGTAGCTGGAACGACGACTGCCGGACTGGATGGGGAGGGAGGAAGAGACATTCTGTCAATCATTTGCGGCTGCGTGCTCGGAATGGGTGACGCATGCATGGCCAGCGGCGCACGGATACGATGAAGAGCGGAGGGGATGGACGGATGTGGTGAGCTCCTCTGCATCTCTGATTCGGCACCACGAGCAGCTCAAGAGCCGGACGTCTCAAGGACACGTCTCGCAGGCTCGTTAGCTCTCACTTCCTGTCTGTCAAACTGGTTAGATGAGGGATGGGGCGGGCCGGTTGTACGCACATGCAACACCTACACACAAACGCACACACGCACTCGCATAAACATCGATTCCACCCAGCCTGAACAACTCCAACATTAAGGAGGGACATTATTTTAAAGTGGGCGTGGAAGGGCGACTAAGACAGCTTCAGCCCGCCGGAGGCTAAACGTTATTAATATAGTGTTCTGCTGCACCGCGCCCGCCGGGACTCCTGGCGGTTTCTCCCAAATGGGGGCGTGGCTATCGCTACCTGATGCTGCTAATACAAATCAAAACAATTCCACTTGAAAGTATGAAGCCTCCCTTTAACCACAGAATCTGACTGCCCGCTCAACTTGTCCTCTACCGTCTACAGGGTCAATGCTGACGTCGGTGTTTTTGTTTTAGTCTCGTCTTGGTAGTTGGGACAGTCCTCTGGAGCCGGTACGTTTACACTTCACAGAGCAGATTTACACTCGCAAAACAAAAAAGGTTTTAAGCATCTTTAGCTGAAGTAGAAAGGATCACATTTAAAAGAGGTTATATTGTCCAAAAAAGGCTTAATATTGGCTCCAGCTGAACTATGAACTACGTCACTCACATCACAGGCCTCGACATTAACAGTTGCCCCTGGCAACTATTTTGAGAACTCTCTGCCTTCAGGCGCTTTGTTTTAAATTCTATGAGAGGACGGACCAGTAGTGGCAATCAGCACAAAGGACAACCCTTTTTAACTTAGTATGCGCCCTGTAAAACAATTAGGACCACCCGTTACCGCTCAGTATGGTCCAAGTCCTCAACACCGCCCGTCCTCTCCCGCGGTCTGTGCAGTTTGTTCAGTGTTCGTTACTAATCGGTTGCATTTGTCAAAAGCAGTTTTCACCTCAGCAGCACCGAGACAGACGAGTTGTTCTGATCAGCCTCAATCACCAGAACGTCCTCCTGCGCTTCAACTCTGCTGAACCAGTTGGCCCTTACTCACAGCTACAGTTGCATCCGCCTCACACACACACACACACACACACACGCTCTCACACACACACGCTCACACCAACCTGGTTTTTGGGCGCGGCGCTGCACCGGTGCTGAGCCAGGTCCAGCATGGTTCGGTAGCTCTTAAAGCAGGACGGGCAGTTGAAACGGTTCTTATTGACCAACCCACACACACACACACACACACACACACACACACACACACAAGTTTGGATTACTAGATTTGTTAGGAATTGTGTTGCTTCCCTGACCTGCGGAGAACTGACTCTTTCCCTGGTCTCAGCCTACATCCACACTACTACGTCTTCCTCCTACAACAAAAACATCTCCGTCCACACCTTTCAGATGATCTGCGTTCACACGGCAACCGTCGCAAACGTACATCTCATGACCATTAATGCTCACCGAGCATGTGTGCGACGATGTAAACAGGAAGTAGATGATAATACAGCGAGACACTATAAAAAAATTTTGTCGAAGAACAGCGAAGGCTAAAAGAGGGATGAGAGAGCTGGTCAGGCGTGTTGAATGAATCACGGGTATCTCCGCTGCTCGTCTTCCTCCTGGAAGTGGCAACGTGAGACAAATTGGGGAGGGACACCTCACGACTGCTAAGAACCAATTGAATTGTGAAGGCGGGTGAGGGTCATGGCTTCCTAACGTATCCCTTTCAGACAATCCACACATAGACACAACACACCTTTGGGTCTTGAGTAAGAATCATAAGACGACGGCCCTGCGCTGAGGCTAGCAGCCCTATTAGCACTCACCGATCACTCGGTGGGAATGAATTAGGGCTGTCAAAATTGGTCAAAAATGACATTTGAATATACGCTAAATGAAAAAAACAAAAAACACGGATATATGAATATCTGGTTGTGCATTAGACGTGTCAATAACAGGACAAATTAATACAACGAGACATAAATAAATTACCTATACAAGTAGTTAAGTTTAACCGTTCTACGGCCAAGACCGCAGCTCGCCCGATCAAATATGGCAGCCTTCATTCAGTGATTGAAAGTACCGGCATTGAGCGCTCTGAGCGAGCTGTGCTGTAAACATGGAACTTTTCCTTGGCATGAAACGGCAAATAATCAAGCCAGTGCATGAAGCTGTTGTAGCCGATCTAGTCTATTTTATTCATGCAGTATACAGTCAGTAGTCAGGCGCGCGCGCGCCCGCTAAGCAGACAGCGCCGCTGCTGTGTGTGTTTTTTTTTTACATTCGAATATTTTCATATTCGTATATAGAATATGTGTTGACAGCCCTAGAATGAATGTTTTTATGGTTGCTGTGACGGAAGTACATCCTGTACCTGCACTCACCCTCTCTGCACCGGGTTCTAGCAGCAGTCTCTTGAAGGCCCTGAAGCGTTCAAAAAGCTTTAATTGCTGCCTCTGTAGCGACCGTGTGCTTCTCCGCTACGTCAGATTACACCGCGGAACCTCTGCGATCTGATGGCCATTTTTCATTTTGCCCATTTCAAACTCTGAACTACTTAATAAAGAAGTTCAACAAAATGCAAATGAGAGTTTGATGAACCACATATCACATTTAGTATTGAAATTGTTTCAGAGTATAAGAGTTTTTGGTGATATTCTGTGATGGCACAGAGCGGATTGCATCACAGGAACATCAGGAGCATTGTTCTCCTGTTAGGTCTCCCAAAATGAACATAACATGGTAAATAATAATAAAAAGAGCAACAACAACGTGCTAAAATACTGGCCTGGGAACACGCCATCAAAACTATTCAACACATGCAAATAAAATGTTACTGAAAGGTTCCAATAGGCCGGATCCTTCTGTGGTGAAACCGCTGTACTAAACTCAAGCTCTTTTGTGGCGTTTCCGGCTGAAAATTGAGAGTAAACGTTTAGGCTTGTCGCACAATATAGGAGTATATAAGTGAGTGCGATAATCTTTGGTGGTGCGATATTCATCTTACATATAAATGAACATCACCAACATTTTAGTGGATCCCGCTGTCCTCTTGTCTGCTTTCATTGGCGAACGCGGAGGCGGGGCTTAGACACCGACGGGGGAAGGGAACCCGTGAACGCACGGTGTTATTGTTTTGTGACAGACAATTAGGGTAAACCAGTCCAAGTGGACTTGGTTCACCTCCAGTGTGGGAACATTTTGGCTTTAAGCTGAATGAGAGAACTACGTGAACGAGCCGGCAAGTCGACTTTCTTTCAACAGTGCAAAACGAAAACAGGGAACACAACTAAGCTAAAATTAACCTAAAACAACCACCATCCGCCCAGTCCTTCAACCTGAACTACGGTCTGTTCCTCCGGACTGCTGGTCCGCCTCTTTGGCCGTGAGGAACGCGGGGCGACGTCCCCGGACGCCGGACACATTTTGTCAAACCCGACCGCATCGCACTGAGCCCGATGCTTCGCTCGCTCCGTGTCCCTTATTATTTGTTTAGTTTTATTCACTTAGGATATATTTTTGTCACATTCCGATTCTAATGTCTCACTGTTGACGAATAAAACGTTCTTTGTTCTTTGAAAGAGCAATACTGCCTCGCATAAATAACACAAACACCTGTTTGCTCAATCTGCAGCGTAAAACAAACATAAATACAAATTAATACATTTTCAAAAAGAAAAGGGAAATATGTTCTGCAATTCATCCTCAAAACACAGCTGTTGCTTGTCAGATGCAATCAAATGGACGGTAATAAAATGCCGTGATGCCGTCACAATGCGTAATGACGCGTAATGGCTGATCAGACACAATCGGCCTGTTTAAGGGCGGATGGCGCTGCCTCGACTGCACTGGAGGGAGGTTGTTGTTTACTCCTGATAAGGTGTGCAAAATCCTGCTGGCGTGTGCTGTGCTACATGATGTGGCACAGCTTCCAAACACGCCTCGACCCCCCTGACGCCGATGTTGGCCCAGACCCTGATCCCCAATCATTGCCGCCTGTCTCCCATCAAGAGGGGACAGGTCCGGTGTCCCCTTTCCCACCCGGGGCAAACACACCTTGGCGATGGCGCTAAACGCTTTTTTGCATCCACTTTGATGTCAGACCATTTTTTCTTTATTTCGGCCACGGTCAGCGGTTGTGAGGCTGCAGCGTTAAAATTACCCGCTCAGGATTGTGGCACAAATATATACTGCATAATACTGTGCCCCCTAAAAAGCATTTTACTTCTCCTTTCCACCTCGCCAATGATCATTTCGACTTCACACTGAGTGAAGTTACGTTTCTTCGTTTTCCTTTCAGTGTTTGTCATGATTTTGCAATCGATGATAATTAATTTGTGGGCGTTCCACAGACTATATATGGGCAACTGTGGGCGTGACATGAAGCCGCAAAAGCTGCGCTGCATTTAGAAGTGATTGTGATTTATTAAGGGAAAACTGCGTAGGACGTGCGTGCGCACGGTTTTATAAGTCTGAATATTTCTGTGCGTACGCACGTCCTACGTTTCACCCGTACGCCACTTCTGGCGCAAATCCTACGCAAGGTTTTATAAATGAGGCCCCTGGATTTTGCTGGTTGCAATGGGCCCGTGTATCGTTGCTCTTTAATCTTCACAAGTAAAAAGACTCCACTCACAATCCTCGGCTACACTGCAGCACAGATATAAAACGTGTCTGTTATCAGAAGCTTAGAAATCTCCACCATGTTGGGGAGAAAAAAAAGTATTTTCGCCTAATAGTCACATCAATGTCCAAATTTGTTAAGATTGAGGCCATTTTTTGGGGCCCTGTTACGAGCAAAGGTATTTGCCGCTCCTCTGTCCATCCAACAACCTGAATGTGTCATGCCAGTATAAAACATGTACGCTCCGGACGCACAGCGTGCGTCATCAGTATCCCCCTCGCAGCGCCCAGAACCCACCTGGTTGGTGGCGGCGGCGGTGCAGCGGTGCTGGGCCAGCTCCAGCATGGTCCTGTAGCTCTTGCAGCACGAGGGACAGTCGAAGCGGTTGGGCCCGTCGTCGTGGATCCTCTGGTGGTTGCGGAGGTACCGGGCCAGGCGGAACGCCTTCCCGCACAGGTCGCACATGTAGCGCTTCTGCCCGTGGATTCGCATGTGGTTGCGCAGGGACATGTAGTTAGTGTAGGGTTTGCTGCAAAAGTCACACCTATGTTTTTTTGGGGGGAGGGAGGAGACAAAAAGGGGGGCGAGACCAGACAGTTAGAAGCTCTTATTCAACCCCATTTGGCCTCCTTTGGAAGAAACACAAGAGTCTGGGGTCCCCACCTGAAGTCCCCGATCTTGTGGGTGAGCTTGTGGTTGAGCAGGGAGCTGGCGTGCTTGTAGGCGCAGGTGCACAGGTCGCAGACGTACGGCCTCTCGTCCGAGTCCATGTCGTCCGGCGCCGTCACGGCCGGCGGCGGCGGCGGAGGCGCTCGGGACTCCAGGGAGAGGCTGGAGCTGGAGAGGGACGCCGAAGAGAGACTGGAGCTGGAGAGGGCCGCCGAGGACGTGGGAAGCTGGTCGCACCAGCTGATGGTCGAACTCGGCTATCGGAGAGGGAGGAACGCATTAAAAACTACTTTGGCATTTAATGCAAAGTAATGTGACATTCTATTTTGTAGCTAAACGCTTGAAACGCTGCAGCACAATGGCCATATTTTATCATCATAAAATATGGCTTCACACCAAACAGCCTCAGAACACATAAAAGGTGGAAGGCAGCTCAGCACCACGGACAGCAACACTGACTACATCACAGATCTGCACGGGACTGGAACCAAACACAAAACTGGTGCTGAATGGAAGCTCAGCGGCTGTGCTTTAGATGCACCTCATTCCATAGAGACCAGGAGCTGCTGCGAATGAAATACCATCTTTTTAGAGCTTCCACCTTTACAGAAACTCCAATGTGATCTGATACTGCAGCTCCTGCAGAACCACAGAGAAGTCTGGTTTTGTCCAAACTTTGGTGTACACGGGTGTTGTTTCGGACTTGATGAAACTGGGAGGTTTCGCCACTTCTGGTTCCGTCTCCAAAGCAATAGATTTTGGTTTGGATGCACGAGAGAAGCCCTGCAGTTAAAGTGTCACGGTTTACCACAAAAAGAAAAGTTGCCTGCCTTTAATTTAGCAGCGATGAACGTGAAGTCATGTGATCCTGCCATAACATTTACTTCCTCCGCCATCATGCGTTAAAAAATAAAATAAAATCTGCAAAAGCGCTGCTCTTTGGAGCAGATTATCTTGCGGGACAGAACATGTGTTTACCAGGGAGCTTATTTTTCTGCAATAATCCAAAACAGATAAATCCCATTGGCCTGTGGACGTGGGGAACCAGCGTGATGCTCACCTCCATCATCCCTGATTCCCTCTGAATCATCAGAAACACAACGCAGTCCAGTGAACGCAGCACACTACTCCCTCGTCTCCTTTTTGAAGATGCCGCCTTCAAATGCAGGTAGTTTGGGAGAAACCGGGGAGGAACATAGAAGGTGAGTGACACCTCGGAAGGTGCCGCTAATCCCCCCCGAATGGCCACGAGCGTTCAGCAGCACAACACGTCTTACATACACACTAAAGCGCGGGCGGCTGCGAACGCGGTGCTGATCGCTTTTTCGGCCGTGGCCTGCCATGAATGAACCGCACAGTCTGGCACCACAAAGGGCGCTTTCAAGGCGCCCAGCGGGGCGTCTTCCGCCCCCGTTTCCTGTGGGACAGCCCGGTCGTGTTTACTTTGCGGTGTGTGTGTGACAGTGTTGCGGGGCATTACGCACACACGCTGCTGCTCAAATGAAGCCTTCTGCCGTTCACAAATAGCAAGAGGAGACCTCGTCAAAACGCGGGGGTTATTCAAGGTGCTACCGGGGAAAAGGGGGAGACCCCGTCTGGCAGCGCGGACCCCGGGGGTAGCTAGCCGCGCTGTTTGGCTCGGTGGTGTCTGCTGTTAGCATTAGCTCGGTGATGCTCGGCTACAACAACATTCTTTATCCCTCCCCCAAACCTCCCGCCGCCCGCTCACAACACGGCGGCGGCACAGCGAGCAGCAACGCGTCCGATTCCACCCGACCGTTTACGGACGGTGTGAAATATGCAGTATGCAGGGGCTAATCACGACTAGCCACTTAGCAGCTAGGAGTCGAACTAGGCCGTGCGCCGCTCAGCATGACCACTGGTGTTAGCAAATAGCTAACGGAGCGGTTCTGTAACACAGCCAGCAGCTTCACAACACCCGAGTGTCGCCGAACCGGACTCCAGACTCTCGGTAAACAATCGCACGCGCCATAGAGACGATGCACGGGGCTTCGGTGGTCCCGTGCAGCTCCGTTCGCCGTTCGCGGAGGCTATTTGCCGGCCGAGGTCGCTAGCTAACGGTCGGTGGAAGCTGGCTTTCTTACTCCGGAGTCGTTGGGATCCTTTTTCCAGAACAATTGAGAGCAGTGGCCGAAAGACTCCGTCGATGTCACATAATTCACTCCGTTTCTGTCCTGAAAGTCTCCGTGTGTGCTGCCGGTATTAGTCCTGGCGTACATCGTCGGTTTTCGGATTATTCGACTTTTACTTGCTGAAAAGAAATAGGGCCGCTTTGTCGGGATCTCCTTCCGAAAAGAAAAATATTACTTCTGTGAAATGAGCGAATTGGCGGTGGACGTATGGAAGCACGCGCAGTATTACTGCCGCGCGCCGGACGGGAGTGGAACTGCACCATTTCACACATCTGCTTTACTACTAAGTACTAAAGACACAGTAGTAGTAAGTAGTAAGTGTGTATTTCCATACATTTAGTAAGACTGTTTTTCTTATCCATTTAAAGTAATTCGTTTATATTTATAGGCCCAATCGCTGTAGAGTGTAGCTCTGCTAACTTTTGGGAATTTTCCTTCCAGAAATGTATAAAGACAATTAAATCCTTTCATCTGGTCGTTTAATCCCTTAAACACACATCCTTTTCAACTCTGATTTTGTTTAGGCGTTCTATCATTTAATCACATTAATTGTGTCCCCGTTTATATTGTTTACAGTTAAAAACAAATGACTTGTTATTCTACTATAATGAGACAAAGCTGTAGAAGTATTTGTATTTATTTTGGATTGTTAATATTATAAAGCTCAGGCTTTGTAATTCTCTGGCTCATTTTATCAAAACTAAAAAATAATTTTTACACACCATCTCAGGGACAGTACTGTGAATCCAAACTATTGTGACTATTCTAAATACAAACATTTTAACATTAAAAAGATTTTGTACTGATTTTGTCTTTTTTGCTGTTATCTATAGAAGCCTCCCCTGTAAAAAGGTGTGATGAGCCAAGTAACATACATGCATTGATTGTTACATGTTTACACCTCCCCTGCACATGTATTCATCCCCATATACTTTATATATACGCACTCATATATACTCCCCATTCCTCTGATCTTTCCTTTCCTAACAATGTGGAGATAAAACTGACGGGTGTACCTACTAAAGTGGAGAAGACAGTAAGAGAACCACGGAGCTCCGAGGCAACAAACAACAAGGGCCGATGTGATCATGCCAAAGCCAATGGATTTTATTTACACATCTACTTTCTACAGCGTGGTTCCCCATAGTGCCATACACAAGTCAATGAGGTCAAAGTCAACACAAGTAAGATGTGACAAACTATTTATTTATTTCATCATGTCCGATGTTATTCCAGTTAAATACTTTGGCTGTGACACCCAAGTGTTCTATATCTAATTGACTTCATAATATAATCTACAACACTTGTGTCTCAATAAGCGAAATGACTTGCACGTAAATAGTACATTCTGTACAGCATTTACAATGTATGAAACACAAATACTGGGTCTTAAGTCAAAATGGCAATATACAAAAAGACAATCATAAAAGGTAAACAATGGACATAATAGTAGTTGGACCACTTAAATAACTATTTTCATACCTCGTATGGAAACGCACACAAACCTGTGAAAGGACAAGCAAACAAAGTACGACAAAAATACCTATTTTAACAATTTGTGCGATGGAGCAAAACTACATGAAGTGCTCAGTACACAGCTCCAGGTCACACTGTGCTGTACCACCAATGCGTGGAATGAGATTTAAGTTATACATTTAGGTGACATTATTAAGAGTGAGTCTAATTTACAGCATAGAACAAAGTGGTTTTACTAATTCCCACTGAAGGCAGAAGGAGATTCCCCTTTTAAATCAGTAGGTCGCCGATGCTTTTCTTTTCTCTGGAGAACACTGCAAAGTACACAGTATTAGTACAGTATTTCTATTACCGGTGTGAAATAACCCTAATGAATACAGCAGGGATTAAAGTGGTTGCAGTAGGCAGACAGTTTACGAAAGGTGGCCTGTGAGTTTATTTTTTTTTATAAACAAGTTCTGTTGATGCTAAATGGAGTCATATTTGCATATCATAATACTACTTGTTACGAATTAGCAAGAAGTCTTTTTTCTGCACGACACCAGTCAACCATTTCAGTCCATGAAAACTGGGAAATATTCAGATTGGTCTTCAGAAAGAGCACTGAACAGTCCCGCAAAAGGCTCAGCGAGTTACCGGTGAATCAATTTGATAAAGATTACAGCACCTCTAGAAGAAGCGTCCGTTCATGCATGTTGTGGTTACTGCCTTCACACAAATGCTTCTTCATTGTGACTAAATTTACACAGCTTTTATTTGATTTTTTTTTCAACATAAGCAAAACATAACTCCCTCTAAAAATACAACTTATTGTTTTACATTTATTTTTGTGTACAGACTAAACAAACAACACACAACCTGTTAATGACAGACTTGCAGGTGTATTTCAGAATCTTTAAGAAAGCAAATAGGCGCCAATTCCCTAAATGTTTACCAAGCGGTCAAAGTCTAATTAGCTCATTTCAAGTCTTCACCAGTTGATATTCACACCGCCTGAAATGATGGCTGAAATATGGTAAGAAACGCCTTCTGATTTCAAAACTTTACAGACTGCTTTGGCACACATGCAGAACCCCGGAATGCCCCTTTACATCCTCACTCCTTAAACCTGGCCCAGCCATAAACGTTCATACAGTCTCTGCAACAAACAAATTAAACACCAAAACAGGGGTTTGCGTGTTAATAAATATTTTAAAGTCTCCACATTGAAGTAGTTTCAAATATAGAACTATAAAACGTTGGCGGACAGACTTTGCACGGCACAGCAGTTCTACAGTGATCCAGCGACTGCATCATAAATAAGCGTTGGGTTCTAGAGGACATGAAGACCGCCTGCTGTTCCTGTGGTGGTGTGGAGATATATATAATGTGTGTGGTCAGTTATAAGCAGTGAGAACATTCAGAATCTGGGCTCTAGTTCAAAGTTATAATCCCTCAGACTTGTTTTTGATACTCTTCGTAGTTGATATTTCCCACCAATAGCCATTTCATTTATTTACATTCAGCATTTATCTCTCCATCGTCTGTCTTATTGTTGCCGTGCGCAATTCTCTCTCTAGATTCAAATTGTCCTCACGCGAGCGATAGATTGACGGGGAAATACACGGCGTGTAATACGGCGTTACTGCTAATCTGCAGGTACCACTGCTGCCTGATCGCTACCATTGTGCAGCGTGTACTCACAGGGCAGTCGCGCTGTATCGAATGGGCATGAGTGTCTTTGGCTAAAATCATAAAAGGATTATAACTTCGAAAGGTACAAGCTAATATATCAGAAACCCAAGCGAACGTGACTGTGTGTGTGTGGTGTTTAACTCTTGATCTCCAGGATGGAGGGGTTGTGGTCGAGGATGGCCAGTATTATTTTGTCCATGTACTGCCTTAAACGCAAGTTGATCTCCTCCTGCTCCTTCAGAGCGTCGACCAGCTGAGAGAGAGGGAGAGTCGCATCAGTGGAGCAACAGACACAAGCATCACAAGACGCCCGTCGGCACGGCGCACTGACCTCGTCCCGGGAGGCGTTGTCGATCTCCGCTGCCAGGCACTGGGCCTTGGTGTGACACGCAAACAGGTTCTTGGCCTCGTACAAGCTCAGACTGAGGATTTGAGCGTTCAGGTCGTCGTTCTGATCCCGCAGCTTGTGGTTCTCCTAAAGTGGGGGGCAGGAACCAAAAAGTTAAAAAACACCTGAAACACACCCTCAGTTTCTTACTGGGGTTTGGGGTTTTTCTCCTGTTGAAGCACTGGTCTCTTTAAGAACTCCTCCCCAAGAGAAGTAAAATAACCAGTATGCAATGTTCCCATCGCAAAGTACCCAGATTACTACGGACTTTCTGTGAGATATTTGTTATTAAATACCAAAATGAACTACAAGCGAAGAGAGATTTCCTCTGTGTGTGTGTGTGACCAGCTTTTCTACTTCCATGTCGATATATTTATCCGTCTAAAACAGGTTAAATCTCGTCAACCTGTTCCATGCTGGACGAGAACTCTTTGGGTTGTCGAGACCTAAAACACTTGGGAATGAAGGGATAAAGTGGAAAGTCCCATGAGGGGAGAAGAACAAGGTTGTGTGTGTGTGTAAACCTGTTTCAGTCTCTTGACTTCGTGTTCCATTTCAATCTCTCTGGTCCTGGCGTTCAAGTCAGCGAGCCCCTTGCCCTGTCCTGGATGCTCCATCTCCAGCTTAAACAGCTGCAGATACTCCAGCTCCCGCCGGAGATCCTCAATCAACTGCACGGAAAGAGAAAAAATAAAAACCACTGATGAAGGGCAGAGAACTCGATAGGACTTGGGGGGCAGGGAGCAGGACTCAGCCCCCATGTGACCTCGGCGGGATCTAGAGGGCCTCACCTCCTGCATGGCCTCTTTTTCCTTCTGAAACTCGTGGCGGTTTTGCCAGAGCTTGTCCATGATCTTCCGGTAGAGGTCCATCTCGTCTTTGAGCCTCAGACCGGTGTCCTCCAGCTTGTCCGTCATCCTCTGCTTCTCCTGCGGATAAAAGAAAAAAAAAGAATCAACTCTTTATTTTATGCAGTAATCAGAATGATGGACACAACAGACAAAAAACACAATACCTGAGTTGCAACAAAGTGAATTGAAGTCACTCAGTTGTAAATCACACTCACCTGGTCTAGTTTCTCCGTCTGCGACTTGAGTCTGCACACACTCAACTTCATTTCTCCATTCTCTTCTTCCAACAGCTGTACTCTGCGCGCACACAGACACACACAACACCAGTTAGCTTGCATTTCTCATCTAATCTAAATCTAAGCGCAAAATCTAAAAGTGCTAGTAAAGTAATAAGTGAGTAATGTCATAAACAAAAACAGATCCCGACACAGAAGTAAGATGAGCAGAATCTCTAAGGGCTCCAAACACCAGCGTGTGCGTCGTGGTGCATTGTGGGAGACTACCTGTTACAGAGCAGATCGATCTCCATGTTTCGCTCCCTGTCCATCTTGTTGAAAGCCTCCCGGTGCCTCTTGGTCTCCTCCTCCAGACTCTGGTCCGCCCTCGCCTCGGCGTCCTTCACCTGCTCCTCCAGCTCGTGCACCCTGGGGTGCAGAGGAAAGGGGGGCAATGACTTTACACACCGTTTAACATGGAAGAAAGCGATGGCTCATTTTGAAGGAACAAAACGATTTGTATATTCAGTGAAGAAAACATCCTCATTAATATTACATCACATATAATGATGCTGGTCCTCGATAAAGAAACGGGATGTTTTCCTACCTGTGCACAAGCTGAGTGTTCTCTTGTTTCAGTTTGGACTTCAGATCCCCGTTCGCCAGACTCTCGCTCTCCAGCTCCGTCACCTTCTTCTCCAGATAACTGACCTGAGGAGCATGACCACATTTTCAAGTAAATGGACTGTAATGGTTTAGCGCTTTTCTAGTCTTCCGACTACTCAAAGCGCTTTAACACTACATGACATCATTCACCCATTCACACACTGTGACACCTGCCCATCAGTAACTAACATCCACACACTGTAGTCGCAGCTACAGGAGCAATTTTGGGTTAAGTGTCTTGCCCAAGGACACATCAACAGGCCTGGGAGTGAACCGCCAACCCTCTGATTGGAGGGCGACTGTGCTCCCCACTCAGCCACAGTCGCCCTAGGAGTGTAGGGCGTATGGACCCGTTTACTTCATTCACAATGCCGACACGCAAATTCTAAGAGGACATTCCTTTGCTCACAGCTTTTCTCCAACTCATCGTGTCTACAGACAGTATTTCTCCAGTTTCAGATGAATATCATTAGTATCAGAAAGCTGAAAGGACTGGCTTAGGGCTGGCCCAGGTTAGCCCGGACCAGCCCTTAGTTAAGCTGCTATAGGCTTAGACTGCCGGGGGACTTCTTAGGACACACCGAGCTCCTCTCTCACGCTCTCGTTCTACCATAATTCAAGTTTTATTAATGCACATGACTAATTCAGCTTCTTTCCGGGAGTTTTTTTTTGTGTGTGCTTTCTCCCCTATCAGGTCCCCGTAGATCGTAGTTCCTTCTGGACCCTCGTCCTGACACCTGTCGTGGCCATGCTGACGCCTGCTGCTGCCATCATCATCATCATTATTATTATTTTAGATATTAATCATATTACTGTACTCGTAAACCAACATTACCCTCTCCTAAAATCTCTGTGCTCTCCCTCCCCACAAGCTTCTGTGGATGGTGGTTCTATCTGATGGTGATTGTCCCTGCAGTGGTCCTGCTGTGCGCCTGGCTTACTACTCACAATTACTTGAATCATTTCTGTCATAGGAATTGCATGTATTATACATTGTTCATTCTGTACACATGGCATCCATTGTAGTCTGTCCATCCCGGGAGTGGGATCCCTCCTCTGACGTTCTCCCTAAGGTTTCTTCCCTTTTATTCCCTCTTGGAAGGGTTTTTCCTGTGCCGTTGGTGGGTTTCGGGACAGAGGATGTCGTATGTGTACAGACTGTAAAGCCCTCTGAGGCAAATTTGTAATTTGCGATTTTGGGCTATACAAAATAAAACCAATTGAATTGAAAAAGGTTCACCTTTTCCCGTAATTTACAAATAATAGTTTTCTTTTTACTTTCTCTGTGATGTCGAGGTCGCACGAGTCGATGCTGTCGGTGTACAGATCCTCGGTGCTGCTGCCCTGGCTGGACCCGAACACGCTGTGGTTGGCCTGGAACAGCTGCCTGCAGCGAGAAGGGGAAACGATGGAAACCAACGGAGGACATTTCCACACATGTAGACGGTGACATCAGAGGGCTTTATTAGTCAACCTGCCAAATACTGAACCCTTCAGTGGACAGCAGTATGTTCATGTTAGAGGGAGGTCGGTCACTCACCGTCCAAATGCTGTGCTGGTGATCTTTCTGTTGGGGCTGAAACACAACACACAGACTCAGTCTCACACACACTCCTCGCTGCTACAACAGTTATTTGTCATTAGGGGTCGGATCAGTACGGAAAAGGGGAGGAGTCTAATACAACTTTCCTTTCCATTTATTAGTTAAACGTAGAAAAAGCTCTTACAGCAAAGAACTGTTGGCTATAGTTCTACATTAAACTTTTTACTAATTAACACATTAGAATACAAGTGCAACATGAGTTATGTTGACTTGATTCAGTCTTTCTTTACTCTACTGAATAATCAACTGATGAACATCTGTATGGTTCCCTTTTTTACCACCTGGTTCCTGTCGAGTTTTTGAACACTTAACAAAGGCATTAATATTAGTATTATCCTACAGCGAAATATTAATTCAACAACATGGGGCCATCACAGCATTGATTATACACACAATGTAAAGGAGCAAAAGTATTTCCACATTTCACTTCTGGCATATTTATTTCCAACAAGTCGTGAACGGACAAAGAGCTTTTTGCTCAGGAAGTGAAATGAGGTAGATGAAGTTGTGGTAGAGCTGATCGAATTCTCTAACACCAAGGAAAGGAGCTTTAATGCTTCCTTACTTAGCTCCTTTAGCATAGGAAGCACTGGGCCATCCTTTACGAAAGGACATAATTCCGTCCCACATTTCCTTGCGGCGGCAATATTTAAATAGTGACGTATCATTCGGCCGTTCACGAGAAACGATAACTCATTTATTTTGCAGCCTTGTTAATAAAGTAATACCGTACTTTCAACCTGTTTGTTTGAAGTCGCCTGCATGTCTCCGCACTGTAACAACACATGAAGGCATCGAAGATGCTTCTTTGTAGTCCATCTTTAGAGGAATTGTAGTTTGGTCGCCGCAGACCGCCGTCACTAACATGCGTCTCTCGTCCATCAGAACGACGTAGCTTAGTGACAGTGGGGTCAGATTCTCCTAACCATCTCTCCTAGTACCCACGGCCGTGCTGGGAAGCCCCGCCTCCTCGCAGTCAATGCGTGCAGGCAACATGACAGGGAGCGGCGGAGCGTTTTGACTGCTCGCTATTTTAAGGAATTATCGAGTCTCTTGTGTGTGTGTGTGTGTGTGTGTGTGTGTGTGTGTTGTGCGCTTTACCTGTTGGCCTTGAGGTTTCGAAGGCGAGCCTCCAGGTCGTTGAGCAGGTTCACCTTCTTGCAGCACTGGGAGCAGTAGATGTCCAGCAGATCGCTGTTGTACAGCTGCCGCATCTTCTGCGGCGTCTGTCCAGCGCTGCAAACACAACGAACACCGTATGTGTATGTGCGATACCCAGTTCATATGCTTCTAAAGGAAGAAATTATTGTTGTTTAGGATTGCTATAGTCAACATTAACATATTGAGCATAAACAGTCAACTTTAGAATTAGCTCATATACTGAAATATTGACTTAATCCTTAACATTTAAACTCAACATTAATTAGATATGAAAGGAATTTATGACTTCCTTAGACAAGCATCCAAAATACATTTAGATGACTAATGATAATAAAAATGTATTTGAATTGTGTGTCTTTGTAAATAACCACTATCAATGAGGTATGGAGGATATTTGGTGTAAAGGTTAGTTAGTTAAAAAGTTATTTTTTGGTCCCTGACGGTTGTGAAGAAAGATATTAAACCTCATTCTTTATGGTTTTCCACAGTTTACCCGTCTGGACTTTAACCAGAAAATTGAACACGTCAATAACAGAACTCATTTAAAAAAGGGACACTTCCTGTTACGTCCTGTGACTCCGGCCGTGTGCGTGGGACTGGACCACCGACCTGGAGGGCAGGGAGGACCCCAGGTCCGAGAAGCCGCTGGTTCGAGTGTCGTCTTCGGGGCAAGGACTGCTGGGAGTAAAGTCCACGTCCTCCCCCTCGCCGTAGTCCTCAAACTGCTCCTCCCCGGAGATGACGGACGCAGACGCCGAGCCAATCGGGCGGCTAGGGATGCGTGGATAAAAAATATATATATATAAAAACACAAACAATTAAGAACAATAAACCACCAGAAAACAAAACTAAGAACTAATTCTGATTCATCATATAGCTCGAGGCTGCAGGTTCCTTTCCTCCTTCGGGGGTCTCTGAAATATTCCCCCGCAGGGACGTACCCGTCTCGCCGGCGCGGACGCAAGGAGTCAGAGCTGTTGCCGTTTTCGGCGCTGCTGTCCATGTCGCACTCCCCGTCGGTGGCGCCCTCGCCGTACGCGCCGCACTCTGGGTAAGAGCGCGTGCACATGATGATGGGAGGGCCCAGCTTGGCCGCGCCGTTCTGCAGAAAACAAGTGACACACGGCCGGAGTCAACAGAGGGGCACATGTTGCGTTGGTGGAGAGAACGCAGAGTCACAGCACGTGGAGGAGACACCACACGCATCTAAAGATACTCACAGGGTACCGAGTCATTCAGTCACAGGACAACACACTTCATTTTTACCACTCACAGTGAAACCTAAGTAACCCGGAATTAGATATTGAACACATGTGTTTTATTCTCATTTTACAGTTCATCCAGCCGTGGTTTCTTTCTTCACCTCCCATCCTCGTGTCTTCGCCCCCCCGCCTGAGATACGAGTGGAGGAGGAGATATAAAAGCAAAGAGCATCTACGTCGTCTCAGCCGCCTGATATATATATATATATATATATATATATATGTCACTTTGGAAAAATGTGTTCTTTGTTATTGTCTTTGTGATGACTGATGACAGCGTAATGACTGCTGAAGACAGACTTCAGAGATAGACGTTTACTGTACGGAGCAAACCGATTCTTGAGTTTTGGCTTTAAGCTTAAAGCTTTAAGGCTCTGATCTCAGTGAGATCTGGCGACAGTTCAAACCAAATGTTCTCAAATCGGTCTCGGAACAAAAGACACTGAGAGACACTACAGCGCCAAGACCTGAAACAGAGGGAGGACGTCGCGTGCCTCCGATCTGTGGGTCATTCATTATGCAAGCGGCTGTCTGGCCTCACAGGGGCAGATACACACCCCGTCTGACTCTGACACACGCACGCACGCACGCACGCACATTTGTGTGCGTCCGTGCACGTACACAGGACTGCCGAGTAGATTTAACAAATCCATTATACAAAAAGGTTTGTGTGTGAGATGAAGAGCGTGTGGAGATTTGGATACAGAACAAAGCGTTATGTGCGCTGTAACGTTGACCTTCCAATGAGACGTGCACCTAACAAAGTGGAAAAAGTTTACAATTGTTGACACTTCCTCGGTGATAAATCCACAGTAATCAATAACGTGACTCCAACCAGCCTAACCAAGAACAACCGAGGTGGCAGATGTCCCGCCCCACACAGCTGCAACTGAACTGAGAGCAGATGCAGGAAGATGTCAATCAAGCACAGTCTGCACACACCTGCAAAGAGACCTAATCAGCCAAACAAAGGGAAAACCGCTGTGCGGGTCGACCTCCATCTAACAGGAACTTTAGTAGTATTAGATTATTCAAACACATTTAATCACTAACGTTTCACCTACACGACTAGAAAACACTCCCCTTCGCATGCATTCTGTTAAACTGGTTAAACAAACACACACCAGCAGCACGTGACATTAAGCATCACTAAATGCTCTCTTCATGCATAAAGTAAGGTGCAAGTTTGTGTGTGCGTTCCAATAAACATACGGTATCTGTCATCGTGGAGGTGGAACCAGAATCCACAGTATTCCAGAGGCTGGAAGGCTCTCTCTCTCTCTCACACACACACACACGTGTCCCACTGCAGCTCAATCCTGTTTGAAAAGGCACCGCTTCTTTAGCTGGGACAAAGCCACACCTCCATGGGTCTCTCGCCCGCCCTCCCTCTCTCTCACTCCCTCTTTTGTTGCTAAGCAACTGTTCAGTTTCTGATAATCTCTGGTGGCGAGGACAACACACATCAACTAGTGATGTACGGCATATTCATTGATATTAATTCAGATTTTAATCCAATATGTACTGTAAAAGGACAAATATCTTACTAAATAGATACAAATAATAAAATAAGTATCAGTATGAACACTGTTTGTTCCTGGAGCCGACATTAAATAAATATTTGAGTCCATTCGCAGAGTTTCTACTGAGTCTACTAAGGCCTTTAAACTGAGCCGCTTTACATTTCTCTTTGTTCCAACGTGTTTGATTGGTCCATTCCAACCTACATTCCAACCACGCCTGCATTTGTGGGTGTCAATGCTCAAAATGCCCCACGACGTGTTTAGTATTTATCCATTTTTAAGTTGTGCCCGAGGCTGGAAGCTCTGCTGTACCTGGTAAATGTATCCATTGTCAGTCACAGACTGGTTAGACTGGTTAGACTGGTTGCGAGGACCCACAGCCATCTTTAGGATCTCCTCACAACCTGCAAGGAGGAGAACAGGAAGGAGAGAAGAAAGAGAAAGGGAGGAAGGTCATTTTGGGGCGGGAACACTGGACATTGGACGGGAAGCTGGCCCCGCCCTCATGTGGAGCTGGCTCGGCATGGAGGCTGGAAACGGGCGGGAAACGCCACCTCCCGTCCGTTTCTCACCTTTGATGGCGAACACTCCGTGGCAAAAGTCCTTGAAGTTGATCTTCCCGTGAGCGTTAGGATCCAGGTACCTGGTCAACTTCTTCACCTGCAAAGACAGAGATCCGTCAGTGGAGCGCTGCAACTTCACCGCACATCAAATAGACGATCACTCTAAGCCGCGCTAGTGGATCTATCTCGCTTTCACTCATGTATTTTCTGCATTTAATACATTTTACATATAGTTTTGACTGGATATTTCATTAGGTGCCGCGGGAAATATCAGTTCCCTGGTCTCGATTCAGTGTTTTTCTCTTATTACGCTACAAATCAGTAAATACAGCGCTTTTTACATTACATTACGTCATTTAGCTGATGCTTTCATCCAAAGCGACTTACAATAAGTGCATTCGACCATAGAGATACAAACTCAGAAGAGCAAGAAACAAGAAAGTGCAATTTCATTAAATAAGCTGATTTACAACTTGCTGTAGATAAGTGGCGTTATAAGTACAACAACAAGTGCTACAATTTGTTAGTCTTTTAGTGGAGGTAGAGTCTGAAGAGGTGTGTCTTTAGTCAGAAGATGTGAAGGCTCTCTGCGGTCATCAGAGAGCTCGTTCCACCATTTAGGAGCAGGACAGCAAAGAGTTGTGATCTAGGGGACCATTAGTGCACCTTCAGTTTAGCAGAGGTGACGTCACGTGCGTAGTCATTCTACAGATCAACGTTGGCGTTTTTACTGCAATTGACGCGTTCTTGATTAAAAAATCCCCAGTGATGCAAAACCTATGAATATAATTAGCATTTAGTTTTGTTGTGTTTTTTCTGCAATAAACACACAATCCTTTTGTAAAAGATGCATCTAATTGTAATTCATGAGGAATCCAGTTTTTTTTGGAAGCAGAACACAAATCATCAGAGCCGAACCTGCAGCTCATTACAGAACTACGCAAAGAAAATAAAGCGTTCTGCACAAAAACATAAATCACAACACATAAAGCCATTGATTGCCATTGATTGGCATTGATTGGCTGATTGGCGTCTCCCTCCAGAGAAGAAAGCACACGCTCAGAGAGTCGACCTTCACCCCTCTGCGTGCATCTCTGTTGGCTGTGTCATAGAGTGCGATGCGTTTGCCCACATGTCCCCTGGCGCACTGAGCCCTGCTGACAGCGCCCCCCCCCCCTTCATACACAGCTCTCCATGAATCGACGTGGATTGCCGACAGTGTGACTGTAGATTACTGTTCAGTTGCGCTCGGAGCAGATGCAGCAAATCTGCCGCCGTCGGACACAGGCTTTGAAATGAGCTGTGGTGGGAAAGTGTTTCTGAGTGGGGATAAATAGATCAGTTATATACTGTCAATCAACCGGTGCTAAACAAGCAAGAATATTTTATCTCACACACACACGACCTGCAGCTCAGTGTCACACCGTCACACAGACTTTCAGACAGTCTTTCATCTCAGGCAAGCAGAAGCCAATGTCAACGAATTCCTCAAGATTATACATCTAAAACTTTGTTTTTGATGTGCCACTTTTCATTATCACTTAATAAACATTTGTATAAAATATATTATATGTGCTTTAACCACTATGACATTTGGAGGCTACTGTAATGGGTGCATGCACGCAGTATAGGAGCAGTGGGGGGTCAAGGTAAACACAGTAACAAGGTGGCATTTCAAATTGTGCGTAGCAATCAGACACTAATCCCAATGAGACGTATGCTGTTGCATGTGTCACTGCTTTCCAAAAGAAACCAATGTATATACAGGGCTGTCGCAGTGAGCGCAGTTTCATCACTTCTTAACCAACCAATCCGCTCATAAGACTCCTCGAGAAGCTCTCGTCGCCATGGCGACAAAGAACACAGGGATGAGAGGAGCAGCGGGAGGGGAGGGAGGAGGATGGAGCGGTCTCTACCTCGGAGTTATTTTTAGTAGAAGTGTGTTCGCGGTGCTCAGCTCAGCCGCCATGACAGTTTAAAGGAAAATGTACTCTGTTGGATATTCATGTTTATCTGTGATACTCCGCTTCCTTCTCCGATCACTCCGATTCCAGATTCATCACCGGGTTTCGTTTCTTTCTGTTCCAAGCTTGTGTTTTGCCCAGCAGTCTAAATAACTTAGTGGGACTCAGTACAGAGACCCCAACACAAGTATGACCCTGTTCTTACTGAGTTGTAGTGTCCTTCAAACAGCCATGAACTACATTACCGCTGCTCCGGCATATACTTTCCACTACTCTTTACCATTTCCCAAGGCCTGACCATTTGCCGTTCTCACATGCACTGGTTTGATGGTTTCTTTGGAAGGGTATGAAACTCTACTGGACGCCTGCTTGTGATAGATGTAGGTACATTCAGACGCTTTATTAAGCCATTGTGCGTTAATGCAGTCACACTTCTTTTAAAATATCCTCATTTTAAACACATCTCGGTAGGTTGAATTTTTATAGCATGCTGAAAAGCGTGTTGGCATACCGACACATTGAAACTATCTTTAGCCATCCGTCCAAACACACTGAAAAGCCACAACTTTCCAACTAATGATAATACATTTTATAACACATACACATTCAACATCAAGATGTTAGATTAGAAGCGGCAGAATCATGGAATAAGCTGTCGACTGCCCCCCTGCTAGCCTCAGGTTCAGCAGCACTGCAGTAGAGCTCTCCGTGGTACTGAACAATCAGACTGTCACTGCCTCCTGCCCCCCGCAGCCCCGCAAAGGCCACATCAGATCCACCTTTAGGTGTCTGGAGTTCTTGTGGCGCTGATATATGCAACGCAATATCATTTCATGTTTGGGTGAAAAATGCTTTCATTGTGTCATTTCCCCTCAATCTCCCTGACTGGACCTGCAATGAATGGAGGTGAAGTTTTATTAAACAGTATCTCAAAAATCGTTTTTTTAAGATCGACCATGTATGTAACGGATACGTAGTTAACAGTAATCATTCTCATCCTTTCTTATGTTTTGTTTTCAGAAAGATGAAGAAGGTTGGAGAACAATTATATTTTATTTGTTTCCATGGCAACTAGCATGTTTTTCCCAAATGACAGTCTAAGATGTTCTATTGTTAAATGTCCTAAAGAGAATAGAATAGAGAATACGTAGTTGCTGTGAAAGAAAAAATAAATTCTATTTGTGGAGGACGACCTTCCTCGGATTGGCCAGAGCCCCGAATGTTTATAACATCTGGCTCCGCCCATGAACCTTCCTGCACCTGCTCACAACCTAAACCATTGAACTTTATCAACTGTGTGTTTGACATGTCCTGCTTGGTTTATTACCATGACATTCGTAATGTTGATCCAAGTGAAGCGAAACAACATGGAAGTATACTGAGGTATACTAGTTTACTGTTTTGTTGAAAGTCAATCAATAAACTGATTTTGGTGGTGTAACCAGACGGTAATTATAATCTCCAATGTATTGAGGGTTAATCAAATAATACAGAGATCAAAATATTGCTGTTAAGCATGATTTAATTGATTTGCACCATTGCCCACAAAGGCCGAGGGTAGAAGTGATAAACAGCACCACATGAAACAGTATTATTAAGATTTTTGCACACAAATTGGTAGCACCACTCGATAGAATCTCATTATTGATTATGAAGCGTGAACTCCAATAATCAACTTACTGATCCTATTGGCTGCTGAGATGTGCTGGATCACAGTTTGATGTCACATGGTCATTAGTGAGACTATGCATCACCAACATATGCCGTAAAAAGACCAAAAGCATTTCTTCTGTTAGTGAAAAGTTATCATTGCAATACACACAACCGTTCTAACAGAAATAATTGTCCTCGGTCTTAAAAAAAAGTAGTCTATTAGTAATCTGTGAAACGCTGGTATTATTTTAAATAATCATTTTTATTTTATTACTAACGTTATATCCTATTATATAACCATAGCTGGACCCATTTAAATGCATACGACACGTGAGACGGGCAAACAGAAAGAAGCGGTAGCATGATGTTGTTTTTGTCATTTAGCAGATGTGCTAACTGCTAGCTGCTGTCGAGCAATGAGTCACTAAGAGCGAACACCTCGAACACACCTGTGACATTTCAACACAGGTGGCCTCACGCGGCCAGGGGCTCGCGCGCTACCGTAATTCGTCGCGTGATAATCATTCCCGTTATCAACACGTCGGTGGATGCCTGCAGTATCCCGGTCTCAGCCCCTCTCACCTCGTCTCCTTGGCCGAACTGAAGACCGAGGTCCATCAAGTGCTCCACCCGGATGAAGCCGTCAGCATCCTCGTCGCACACGTCGAAAACCTCCTTGAGCCTCCTCAGAAACTGCAGGAGTTGCTCCTGGTCGGGAACGTTGTGTCCTTCCATGGTCGGCAGAGGGTGGATGTTTTTGGTTTTGCCTGTTAAAGAATAGCTTTGGCGGTCGCCATCATCATTCGCGCCGTCTTCGATGCTGCTGCTGCTGCTGCTGTGACACGAGCAGCGTCGCTGATTCGATGTGCGCGAGAAGTGACGGAAAAGGACGATGATTTACGACTGAGGCACGAGGCGTTTCGTCACAAACCAGCTGCTGATTAATAATCCACATTGCGGGACGAGATTATTTTTATAGCGCACTTTAACAACATGGCGATTCAAAGTGCTTTACATAAAACCGTTAAAACATACGGCAAAATAAAAGGATTAAAAAAAAAGCATTAATTGGAACATTGAAACAAACAAGCCAACAATAGAATGTTGCAGTGCAGTTAAAATCATCCACTTCACCCATGAGGCTTGAATTAAAGGCAGCAGCAAACTGAAAAGTCTTCAGTCTTTATTTGAAGCTTCTGAGAGTCTCGGTAGACGTGCAGCTTTCTGGCAGTTGGTTCCGGATATGTGGAGCAGAAAAACGGAAGCTGCTTCTCCATGTTTGGTTCTGACTCTGGGAACAGAAAGAAGACCCAGATGACCTGAGGCGTCGGGATGGTTCACAGGTAGCAGCAGGACATGAATTCCCATTCAGTGCTTTATAAACCAACAGACATAAAGACCTCAGAACTGGAGTGATGTGACCCACTTGCTTGGTCTATTTAGATGTTGAACAAGAGAGGCCCTAGAGTGAAACCTTGAGGAACACCACAGGTGCAGGAGCGTTACCAAGTATTGAGCAGCTGCTTCCATCACTTTTGTCACAGCTGCACCAATGACAGTAGGGTGTGAAACTGTGGACATCCATCTCTTAAAATGAAAAAATTGACTAAATTTGTGTGCATCGATAAAAACACGATATAAAAATCTTGGTACTATTTGACTACTTTAAAATGATCCCTTGTGTGGGTTCCACAACTAAGTTACAATGGTGTGCTTTACAGTCCAAATTATTACATATGACTTAATTTTAATCAAGTTTTACTCAAAACAGTCAGTATGCATACTAAAGAAAAGCTTCATTTTTGTGCTGTTCTTGTACTCATCTCCCACAAAGCAAATGGAGATGAAGGTGCCACTTTAACAACAAATTTAGACAGACTACGTTGTTGAAAAATGGATAAAAAAAACAAAACTCACTCATAGAACTCATGTCCCCAAATCGCTGTTTGATTTAACGTCTGCCCATGTACCAATTTGGGACACAGCAAGCGGCATTGATATATTTTAAGTTAAAATTAAATATGATTTGATTTTACCCGTTGCATAATTTTGACTTTCTATCACTAGCAATCCTACCATTTCCCTTTAATGCAGAAATGGCCTTCCATACAAGACGTATTTAAATAATAAAATAGACATCCACCAATGTGTTTTATTAGAAAATATTTTTACAAGACGCATATCAAAGTCACATCACACTACAAAACATAAAACCATTATGTCCCGGTTCTGGAAGGGACCACACGGTCAACCTAAATATTTAAGCTAAAAAAGAAAAAAAAGAAAAAAAGAATTACATTTCCAAACCCAATTAAAATGCAACAATTATAACATTGGTCAATACATTCAGCCGTAGTAGCTCTTCTGTGTAAAGGGGTCATTTACTTTCATGTACAGGGAAGAAAGACAAACTTTAATCATACCCCTTTGCTTTCTCTTTGTCATATGTGATGTACAGAATTCAAACAGCATGTAGGACTCCCTAATTTAAACTCAGGCACTAGAGAACAAGTTCATGGTGGCTGTGTGCACAAAATCACTGTTTAGTTTGCTTTAAATGATCAGCCTTGGTTCCAGCAGAGAGTCCCAGCGTTCAGTCACCTGTGGGAGGAAGTGGAGACGTTATTCCAACAGTGATCACGCAACATAAGTTCATGTTTATCACTGTTTTATCTACCATTATATTGGGGGAGTGAAGGCAATGAAAGTCTTTTAGTAATTTAAGTAAGTATAATAATAATATAATAATAATAATAATAAGTAATTTAAGGTTACCTTTCCTATAGAACAGGTCTATACCTTCTTTTATTAAACAATTTGAATCGCCTCATATTGTTCTTGTAAAACATAACAATGCCTTAACATGCCCAGCACTAATATATATATATATATATCATATACAATATATGATATATAGAATTATAAATTACATCAATCCTCTGATCATCATTTTGGACTCACATGGACACTGAAACATCAAAAGCAATAGAGCATTTCCCATAAGGTCAAACTATTCCTTTAAGGGTCAGAGTTTAGGATTTACTGGCATCTCGTGGTTAAGATCCACACCAAGCTGAAACTCGTGTGACAACGGAGCAGGAAAGCTGAAAAAGCTCAGGAATGTTCCCAATTGAGTGAAATAACACGAAAGTGTTCAAATTCTCTAAATCAGTGATTCTCAACTGGTGGGACCCGTTTTTAATGGCTCGCAGGCCTTTGCCTGGGAAAATAAAAATTAGAATTTAAAAAAAAGTCCATGTTTTCAGCAGCGTGTGCCGGGTTCTGGCACGGCAGAATAGAAGAATGTAATGGAGAAAACAATCACGACGCATCTGAATAAACTTCTGGAGCGGTTTAATGACTACTTTGCAGAGAAACAGAGGGATGACGACTGGATACGTGACCCGTTTGGAATCGACATAGAAAGTGTCACATTGCCAAGCAACGGAGAGTCAGCTGATGGAGCCGTCATGGGACCGTACGCAGAGGTAAGCCTCTCCCAGTTCTGGTGCAGCTGTGTGATCAGCGAGTATCCTTCCCTCGCCACTCGAGCAGTAAAAGTCCTGCTACCCTTCAGCAATACCTGTCTCGGTGAGTGTGGCTTCTCTCTCTCTGGTTCAGCTGAAGACTAAACACAGTAATAGACCGCACATTGAGCATGACCTCAGACTGGCCTTGTCCACTATAACTCCAGACTTTGAGATTCTTGCTAAGAGCAAAAAACATCCCCAGTTCTCCCATTAGAAATTCCTCCAGACTCAAGTCTCAGTTTTCACCTCAGGTTGAAGTGAGTGCTGCTTCATTTTCTGTAAAGCACAATGTTTTTCAGGATTTACCTCCTGATGAGGTAACCACAAGAAACGGTCATTTTGTATATCTGAATCCTTTTGAATTGCACTTTTCATTTAATTTATTTTGAATTTGTGCAAAAGCTGCTCCTCAAGACATAGTGTTTGTCATAGCTCTGTTAAAGTTAGGTCATTTGAGTCTTTTTTGACTTTTTTGTTTGTGCATTAAAGCTGTTGTTTGTTTGAAATGGCTGAAGATTCTTAATTGTTATGTATGTTGTAATACCTCGTGCCCTTAAGATACACTTTGGGTTTTTTAGCTAATTTAGTGTAAAAGGGAAGAGTTCCCTCTCTAGCGTCGCTACCAGCTGGCTGTTTTGTTTTTTCATTAAACTTGTTTTTGTGTTGGCATACGTATTCTGTCTCCATACTATCTCAGGTTCAAACTGCACCATATTTTCATTAAATAAATTTGAGAAGTTGAGAATGTTCCTCGATTTGGGTTGTGGCTTGTCATTAAGGGGTGATGGTGGGTCCCGGAGCCAGACCAGTTGAGAACCACTGTTCTAAATGCTAAAGGAAAGGAGCTTCAGGTCCTATAACATAGCAGTGTTTCCGCTACCATTGAACAAGGGGGGCGCCCCGTAAACAGCTCATTCTATGCCATGAAAGCACCACGATTTCTATTGTCAGGTAATTATGCAACAATGAAAACATACTGAATATTATATTTTTATTCCTTAGATCCACCTAAAGCCCACACACTGTTCCTTTAAATATGCTAATGCTTACCCGAGAGCCTCTGACCACTGCGTACTCGACGCTCTCCGACCCATCCGGGTTCTGATAGACCAGGTCGAACTTTCCCGGTTCCACGGGAGCTGAGGGACAAGCGGCGCGTTACCAGTGATCCCAAATGTGTTGCATGAAATCTAAATGTTTAATTGCATGAACATTGTAGGTGTCAGCGGGGAAATGATTCCTACCTTGAAAGCCGTTGAGTAGTTGCAGCTCAATCTGTTTGGTGGTGAGGTCGAAGGTCACAATCCTCCCCTCCTAAACAATGCCGTGTCAGTGGTGTGGTGACTCCTCAGAATGAATGAACACCACATCACAGGTGGGGAATGATGTCACTCACCTTATATTGTGATACCTCTGGAGTGTAGTTCTCAGTTAGCTCCAGTAACTGCAAAAAAAAAACATTGAAAACACAAAGAAGGAAATTCCTTTTACTGATTGACTGCTTTTCTTTTAGTAGATGATAGATCATTAATATGGTTGTTTACTTGCAGTAAATACATTTAACATGAAAACACCTCATTAAATAGCAGGAGACCTACTGGTAATTCAGACAGTGGCAACAAGTCAAAATCATGCATGCATATTCACTACTGATCTTTGCAGGTTAGCTAGCAGACACGCTAGGTCCTAGCCAGTCAGCGCTTAGAGCTTTGCCCTATTTCTATTTCTTTGCGTTTTAGTGTAGTTTGTAGTTTGAGTATAGGCGTGCGGCGTCAAATAACTGAGTCTGACCAGTCTGGACTTACCTTGAAAGCAATTTTCTGCCCCACCTGTGGAGGCGCGGCTAGCAGCGGCATGCAGCTGTAGTCCTTTTTGGGGGCACGTTCTGCTCCGTTCTGCATAAAGAACCCTAAAGATTATTGCTGCCTTTTCACTTACTCTTGATATTATTATTACATTTCCATGAACACAACAGATGGGATTGAACTACCGATGAATTTATGACAATGTAACACAGTTCTCCGATCTAAATTAATCTGGACCGTGCACGTGTTGAAATGAAAATGCAGTGCAGACAGACCTGGATGATGGCGGACAGGTTTGTCAGCTGATCGCTGCGGCAGGACGGCTCCTCGGCTCCTTCGTATCTGAACCCAAAGCTGGCACCATGCCCTCTGGCGGCCCCTCTACCGGCCCCCCGCCCCACTTCCTCTCCACGCCCACCGCGTCCTTCTCCACGCCCACCGCGTCCTTCTCCACGCCCACCGCGTCCTTCTCCACGCCCACCGCGTCCTTCTCCAAGCCCACCGCGTCCTTCTCCACGGCCACCGTGTCCTCGGCCCCTCCAAGGCGACTGACGGGCACCCAGGCCGAGGACTGGCTGCTGCGCCGGCTGCCGGATGACCAGCTTGATCTCCTCCTCGCTGTCGGAGTCATCGCCAGGGGGGGGCGCCACACGCGCAGCTTGTCTCTGCTCTCCGTCTGCGGGCCGCTGGGCTGGACTAGCTTGCTGTGCTTTGGGGTTCACCCCCCCTTTGAGTGTTATGGAGGGGGGTTTCGGCGTGCTTTTTACAACGGCAGCCTCGTCGTCTGAGGTTTCTGAGGAGGATGACGAAGGAGGGCGGGACTTTGTCTGGGTGGGTTTGGTGGTCGGAGGCGCCCTAGAGGCAGCAGGGGCGGAGGTGGGCGCCTTTGGTGCTGCTTTCTGGGGAGCCGGCTTTCTGGGAGCTTTGTCCTCCTCACTACTGCTGCTGCTGGCATCTGAAGAAGAGGCCTTCTGGGGTTTTGACCTTGCCACTGGGGGCGTCTTGGGGACCTTAACTGGGGTCTTTTTAGGAGTAGCAGCTGGTTTGGGGACCACAGGTGGGCCTTTTTCCTCAACCTTCTTTTGTTTCTTCTTCTTCTTCTTCTTCTTCTTTTTCTTCGCTACTGGTTCCTTATGTGTCTCATCACCTGAAGCCTGCACAGTATCTCTCACCGCCGTTTCCACACTCTTCTTTTTCTTCTTTTTTTTCATCACTGTGTTTTCTCCCAGCCCATCCTCCTCTGCATCTCTCCGTCTCTTTTTGACGTTTCCACTGAAAGTATCCGGACTGCTGCTGTGCCCGTTCACCCGGGCCAGACAGTCCACCTTCACCCTGGTAAACAAAGGATCACGATCAAAAACGATTCATGCCAAAATAAGAAAATGTACAAACATATATGATAAACCGTGTAAAAGACTGCTCGCTCAGCAGAGTGATCGATACGTCTGAACGTGGCTGCGGCGCACCAGAAGGTGATGGAGGAGGAGAGGATGACCTCAATGATGGCAGTGGCCACCTGGCGTTGGCAGGTTTTAACCCAACGAGTCTACATGAGGCAGATGCTAGTTTAAGGCTGGGTTTGCCAAACCAAGAGCCGTTTTTTGAGAATTATAAAAAAACCAAGAGCTAATGGATTCCACTGTATGAACATTTCACATCACAGTTTAGACACTTACGGTCAACTATATTTTACAGAAATAAACTCTTAACACAGAAAGCTATATTTAGTTATTTCTGACGTTAAGTGTTGCAGCGTTGTTTTGAATTGTTGTAGTGCAACTGCCTAAAGAATATCCATTCACTAATGCTGTGGGCGAACTGGCAGTAGCTCTGTGCTGAGCTGGACTTTCAAAATAAAACATGACGCAGACATAATTCCCATCCAACGACTGCACTGGGTCGCTCGGACGGAAGTCGCCTCCCTGAGTGAGCTCGTCCTCGGGGCCCTGCAGCTGAAGGTGCCTGTTGGAACCGACTTGAGAACTGCTCCCCCACACAGACCCCTGAGCGCGTGGATGAAACGGCCAGGTAAGTGTGACGGTGGAAGCACGCGCACCTGACGCTGTCGTTGTCGCGCACCACGTACACGCTCTCCGTGTGCGGCAGGTAGCAGCCTTCCACGAAGAGGCTGAGGATGCTCCCACGGCCGAAATCGAACTTCTCCCTGATGACGCTCTCGAGGTCCGCCACCACGCGACACGCGTTCAGGTCCACGAGCAGCCAGCACATGCGGCAGTCCACGACGGCCGGCGGCGGGTAGTCAAAGAGCAAGCGCACGCGGATGGAGGTGTTACTGTGGGCTGCCATGCCTCACGCCAAAACACCGCCGCTCGTGTCCCGCCGGCGTTTGGGAGAGTATTTCCGATCGGGATTTTCAGGATAAGAGTGTCGTCACCATGTCAACATCGATCTCTTCTACTTTTTCCTCCTCCTTGAGGGGAAGGGATGTTTATTTCCATCCGCCTCGCATTTACTAACGTTATGGAGTGAGTGATTCAGTGCTTAATTGCTATTTCTTATATATGTTTTGCTAGATGAATAGACTCCGCCAAAAGGACATGTCATCAAAATAATGCAATCAACAACAATAAAGCTACCCTTGGTTACAACTTCTTATAACATAAATGCCACATTTAGAATGCAATTCATGCATAGAAATAATGATAGGCTGTTAAAATAGCATTTACAGACTGTGAAGTGATCACATTGCCTTTGTTAATACTTAATACTATCCTTTCGTGCTTTTATTTTGAATGGCAAATTTTAATCGGAAGTCTGGGGTTACTTGTGATCACTTCCGGGGCTCTGCCTAAACCTGCCAACCTTTTCACAGCACTGCCCTCTGGCGGACAGACAGAGTAGTAGCAGGTCCACAGACCAGTCAAGGAAGTGTCGTTCCTTAGAAACCAAAAAGTATTATACTTCCACAACTGTCAACAACTGTCGTCAGAAATAATTGATGATGTTACCAGAAAACCTTTAAAGTTGACCCATTCTCTATTACCTTAAACTCCAGTTAAAATAATGTAAATTATGTAAAAAAATAAATACATGTATTTACATGTATTTTTATTATTAATTAATTGGAGTTTTTAGCGTTGGTAGAATATTTGTAAATCATAAATGTATTGATCATTTTGGATTTCTTTCTTTTTTTTGACAAATTATATATTAATAAGTGTAAATTGACAAGCAAAGAAAAAACCATTGTTCGTGTTTAGTACTAAGACATGTAACGTATTTATCTTTAATGTTCAAAAAAGCGCCATAAAAATTGTAGTGGCGTGATACGTCTTTGTAATAAGGCAACCCGAGATTGAGCTATAATGTTCCCCTTTTATCTTTATATAATTTACGTTTGCATTTTTCTAGTTGACAAGCTGGGGAATTGTGCAATGTTAAAGGAAAAAAAAGGAAAAAGAAAAAAACAACTACAGCCTGTCAGCTGACCCCGTGCGTGATCATGTGATTTCTCGTTGCCATCAAGCAGTACAGCGCAGACCCGACAGCCTCCCGCCTCAACCATGTGTCGGCTACCAGGATTCATCGGCGTGTTGCTGTGCCTGGCTCTCCTCGCTCACACAGGTAACACGGGTACGATCGTCGTGTGCACGAGGCGCCTCTAAACAGACTCTAAACACTAAAGTGTGACGTAACGAGCGAAGCCCTCAACTCGGCTGCAAAGGCGAAGGCAGGTGTCGCTAAACTTTGACATTCCGCCTCGTGTTTGTTTCAAGTTGTTCTTTTGTTTGCAATGTATACGGTAAGTGGGGCGCCGGTGTTAACACCCTGGCCGTGTCCTCTGTCCGCGCTGCAGGGCTCTCCACCCGTCCCCCCCCCACCGGTGGAGAAGCCTGGAGCTACGTGGAGGTGAGGGACGGGGCCCACATGTTCTGGTGGCTCTACAATGCTGACCGCCAAGATCTGCCTCTGGTCATGTGGCTGCAGGTAGGACCTGTCCTCACGAGCACACTGAACACGCAAAGCAGTCCAACCACGAATAACTTGCATTCTGGGAAATGTGTTTTATAAACACACATCTGCTGACTTGGTTTTGGGAAAATTCTTTCTGGTTTGCCAAACTGTATATGAAATACTGGAGCAGGTTTAGCAAGCCCGTGCTAGTTGATGTTCGATCAGAAGATGGAGGTAAAATGCTGCGTCAGCTGGTTGAAATGAGAAGTGTGACTGAATGAGTAACTGCTTCCATCCCACGTGCTGACTATAACCGTCTGTAAGTATACACAGTGCCGGTAGATGGTTATCTAAGTGTTTGTGCTGTGGATGATATAGTTTCTTCTTGCCAATACTATATTAACAAAATGTTTATATGTGTGTATATATATATTATATATATATATATATATATATATATATATATAACATATTCCTGTAGTGTTGGAGCATGATGTGTGTGTGTGTGTTTCAGGGTGGACCAGGAGGATCAGGAAGTGGCTTCGGGAACTTTGCGGAGATCGGACCTTTGGACGGGGACTTAAAGCCCAGAAAGACGAGCTGGGTAAGAGAGGGTCCGTGTCTGAAGCGGCTGCTCGGGGGGGTCAGGAAGGCTGAAGCTCGGGGGGTCAGGAAGGCTGAAGCTCGGGGGGTCAGGAAGGCTGAAGCTCGGGGTTCAGTCAGTGTTCGCTCGAGTCATCGTGTCACGGAGGTTTGATGCGGGGAAGCTACTAGTAACTAGGTCTAGTAACCCACCAACTGGGTGAGGATTCCAAGTTCACTTAACATTCTACCAGTAACCCTCCAAGTGCCACCGCGAGGGTCCCAGTGGAACTGCCCAAAAGTCCAGTTAGATTTATGTTTTTATGTAATTACAAAACCACTTTCATCAATCTTATATATTTTGTCCAGTTATGTCAGTGGCCAGTTAGCCATTTCTTTATTTATATGTAACTGTGTTTCTTGGCAGTTTTCGACACTCTGACGTGGGCTTAAAGTTTGGGGTCGATAAAGTAAGCGTAATTTTATAAAAATAAAATAGAAACTCTTTTCCAACAAAAGAAGCTAGCAGCACTAGCTCTGAATGCTAAATCTAGCCAGATAGTTGATACTGACACTTCTCCAAAACCACGCCTCCAAAATTGTCATCCCAAATGAAAACATCAACACTGTTGTTTGTACTCTCAGCACATCACCCGCCTGCTACAGATTCTGCATTTAGTATCGTCTTATTTGTCAGAGCACTTGATATATTGATTGCTCGTCTGTTTTTTTTTTCCTGCGGAAAAAAGTGGCTTCAACCAATTTTTGGGGGCGGAGCCGTGGTTTGAGTTTAGTCAACAATGCTGAGTTGTGTTTGGTGTGTTGGCTGTTTCAGGTGCAGGCAGCTAGCGTGCTGTTCGTGGATAACCCCGTGGGCACCGGCTTCAGCTACACGGACCGGCCGGATGCCTACGCCACCGATGTGGCCACGGTGGCCTCCGACATGCTGGTGCTGCTCCGGCACTTCTTTAAAGCGAAGTCAGAGTTCCAGGTGCGTCCTTCGCTTGGCCTCACTGGTGCAGGACATCATAATACCACTCCACAGAGGAGCACGTGACGGCTCGGTTTTCACTTCCGTCTGAAGTCTAAGCACACAAACAAGTATAAATACTCCAAGCATGAGTTTGGATTGAATTGGCCAAACTTTTCAAAACTGCCATTTTTGGAGAAATAAAAGGGGGTTGTTTTGATTTTTAATGTTGTTTAAACCTGGTCTTTAAGTGTTAAAGGAATCCTCCACTCCTAAAAAACTGTTGATATCCTAACACATGTGGGGAAATATGTTTCCTCAAGGAAACACCGGTTAATTATGGTGTTTTTAAAAATATTTAGCTGCTTCTCAATTGCTGTCCTGCGCATTGCTCTTTCACTTTGCTCCATTAACAACATTATTTCATCCTGCACAGAGCGTGCCCTTCTACATCTTCTCCGAGTCATACGGAGGGAAGATGGCAGCCGCTATCTCCTTAGAACTCACCAAGGTGAGCTCACGACACAATGTTACTTCTCTTTCCAACATTTCCCCTTTTCAGGTGCATGACACACGAACTCGCTGCCATTGCAAAGTCCCCATGTCAAACAAATGTCATGTGACTGGTTAGAGGAAGCGAACCTGACGGTGCAGTGGCTTGCTTCCTTTCTGGATTGCGTTCAACTCAATAATTATGGATTCTAGTTGTTTAAACGGCAACCCAAATGGCCAGCGTGGCTTTGTTGGCTCTAGTTTGGTTTTGGGGTCCACAGATGCTATTAAAAGAGTTGTGTTAATGTGTGTTACTTGTCTGTCCAGGCTGTTGCACAAGGGGATGTGAAATGCAACTTTGCTGGTGTGGCACTCGGGGACTCCTGGATCTCCCCACTAGGTCCGTATCAGTCAGATACACACCTCTGTTCATGCTTGTGAAAAACGTCACGTCAGGGGCAACATTCCTTTTATGTGTCTAAAGGAATACGTAGCCCTCAGATAAAAGATGATGATGATTATCAAAAAAAAAAAGGAATCTCACAAAGTCACATTAATATGAGGAAGGCAGGGACTTGTTTGATGAAGTGTTTTGAGCTTGATGGTTCTTGCGCCGAATTTCCCAGACAACACTGACGATAATGGACATCAAAGTTGAAGGATCTATCTTCTATCTTTATCCACAGACTCTGTGATGACCTGGGGGCCGTACCTCTACACTACTGTGAGTGACAAACTACAGTTTCTGTTAAAGAAGATCCGAGTTTCCACCTAATGTGGCCTCTCTGCTGTGCAGTCACTGCTGGACGATCTCGGCCTGGAGGAAGTCATGAGTGCAGCGGACGCGGTGAAGCAAGCGGTGGAGCAGCAGCAGTTCCAGAAGGCCACCGAGCTGTGGTCTGTGGCGGAGACGGTGGTGGAGCAGGTTGGTGCCACACAGGAGGGAGCACTGCACTGTTTGTCAGGGTCACTTTTTCAGAGATGGAGCTTTGTGTTTTACTGTTTCCGGGTTACTAAGGTTACTGTGTGATCTGCCTAAGAGGACAGATCTCACGGTAATGACTGCAATAGAAACGGATAATGAGAAGAGGAGCCTGCGGAAATGTGGATGGGACAAGGTGACTACATTCTGGGGCATGCAAATCCACCAGTGGAAAGAAAGATTGGGGGTGGGGGCGCGGTGGGGGGTGAGGTCAGCTAGAGATTGGCCATTCTTTGCTGAGCGCAAATCGAACGCGCCGGAACCGGAAAGGAAAGTTAACTTCTTCAAAAACCCGTCCAAGCATGCCAGACAGCTGCTGGAGAAGAAAATTAGTGGGAGGCTGGAAATCACCCAACAAGCAGTTTGAGCAGCATGTCAGGAAACGGTACAGCGATACTGCAAAGAACGTCCCACTAGGAACACTTAGTACGTGCCTACACCACCAAGCCCAGCAAAGCAAAGGCAAGGTCTTCGTCAGTTTCAGGTCCCACTGGATTACCCTACGAGCTCTATAAGAACCGCCCCACGGTGCTAGAGCTGCTATGGTACCTTTATGAGAACTGTTTAGAAAAAACAATCCATTTTGTCTGCGTCGGAAGTGCGTTGCAATGCGAACACATGGTTCATGTGGTATTGTGTTGCTTTTCACCCCAGAACACCAATGGAGTGAACTTCTACAACATCCTCACCCGTGAGCCAGATGAAAGGCGCACCTCTGTGGCGGGAGAAGACTTTGTCTGTAAGTGGTTGCATTAACTCTGAAATTTATAGAAATGACCGAACTAAGGAGAGCTGATTTGGTTGTTGAGATGAAATGTTTCATAAAATGACAAATTGAATGATGATGGGGGGGTTGGGTTAACTTTTATTCTTCCAATTGAACTCAAATGTTGTGTCTCCACCAGCTCTGCAGGCGCGTCGCCATGTTAGACCGCTGCACAGCCAATCGCTGAGCGATCTGATGAATGGGCCAATCAGGAAGAAGCTGGGCATCATCCCAAAGAATGTCACCTGGGGAGGTGCCGTATCTCTGTTGTGGACCTTTTCCCAGGAAACCCTTTTCTTTTTCTCTATTGATCTGTTCTATGCTGGTCCCCTGTCTGTCCAGGCCAGGCAGAGGACGTGTTCAGCAACATGGCAGGAGACTTCATGAGATCTGTGGTGGACGTCGTCGACCAGCTGTTGACTGCCGGGGTCAACGTCACCGTCTACAATGGACAGCTGGATCTCATAGTGGACACCATGGGTAACGTGCTCCATGTATTCCCTCCCGTTAAGCCCGGGCAGCAGCGGTGTAAACTCCCCCAAATCCCCACATTGGATCCATCTGGAAAAGAGAGCCAGGCCACATGGTCTCTGCTTCCTGTCACACAAGTCTACTTCCTGTCACAGGTCAGGAGCTGTGGGTGAAGAGGCTGAAGTGGGAGGGGCTACGTGGTTTTAACGAGCTGAGGTGGACCCCCCTGGATGACCCCACCTCCCCGGGCAATACTGGAGCTTTCTGCAAGACTTACAAGAACTTTGCCTTCTACTGGATCCTCAAAGCCGGTCACATGGTAAGACAGAAAGGAGACAGAATCACAAATGCACCTGCTGTGGCGTTGTCCATTGTTTTCTTATGTCTGTCGTGACATGAACATTTTAATCACTGCTACATTAATAACCTTTTATTTAACACACAATATGTTATATGTTGCGGATTGAGACAACTTTTTAGCATTAAATACTGGCACCATCCAGGTCTGCCCTCGGCTGAAGTGCATTAAATCTGCATTCTCGCTGTCTCATCAGGGGGCGACTCTGGTTGTCGAACTTGATTTATTCCCTCAGTAAACACTGGAAACATAAGTTTATGGCCTCAATCTCTAGTCTTCAATACAGCACAGTGAGAGTCCAATTTAGTCCACACTTGAGTCCAGGAAGGCAGGGTAGGCTTTCGGGCGTTGGTTCTGTGATTGACGGGTTGCTACCACAGCTTCATCTTGTATGGTTCTATTTTTGTCTTAGAACTTCAACCCTGTTAAATTTGTCAAAATAAATGTTGTTTAATCACTCGGTTACCAGGATTCAAAGAATTTGAACTAAACGTCAAAGACCACTGCATTAGCCATACAAAGCGTAAAACAATGGACAAATAACTCTTCCTGTCCTCAGATTCCCTCAGACCAGGGACCTATGGCCTTGCAGATGCTGAAGATGATCACCCAGCAGGATTGATCCAAAGCCCCTCGTGATGCCAGCTGGAAATGCTCTGACAATCCCAACGATCACATGACCTTTTTTTTAGATTCCACTTTCTGCTGAACCAAAATAAATTTCACAGCTCTGATTGTGTTTAATGTTTAACCTGTGTAATCATCAGCCATAAGAACAATAAACTTTTAATTTTTATATATGTATTTTCTTCTGTTTACAAACTGTTTTTGACATTGATATTAATCCAATTCACCACCATCATGCATGTGGTTTTGGCAATTTGGACCCAGATGTGTGCAGTACTGCCCCAATTACAGTAGTTTATTGTATTATGATGTAACCGGGTCAAAGTCCTCCCATCTCAAGCACTTAAGAATATTACTTACTGTAATGACTTGCAGTCGTCAGTGTATGAATGGGTGAATGCTGTCATGTAGTGTTAAAGCCCTATACGAGTACAGTCCATTTATTTATAAGATGTATTATCTGCTGTAAACGGATGCTAAGGATGATTTGTGAGGCAGTATCAGGATAGTATCCCAAAGAAGTCCTGATGTAGAGTTTTATTGTCTAAGTGTAAACAAAGTGTTCATAAAATCATCATAAAAAACAACTCCAGTTGATGTGGGACAGGTGACCAGTCAAGCTGGTCCAGCCCCGCTGCTTGTGTTATCTAAGAAGAGCAGTCCAAGCCGGGGAAGGAAACCTTTGACTAGCCTTGACACATGACTTTCATGTGTGTCAACCTACTTGTATTTAAGTAGTTCAGAAATGTCCTCTTTAATGATTTTACACTTTTTTACGTTTTATAAAAAAGGTTTACAGCTGAAGCATTCTAGATACTGGTGTCAATTTTCTTATCTCCCTCTTAATAAAAGGTACTCAATGGAGTCCAAATGAAAACCACATGGTACTGTTGGAAGCTCAAGAACACAGACAGTATTCAAATCTGAAACAAAGCAAGCCACAATAACATGCAGACTAGCCTCGTGTATTTTGGGCTACAGCTCCTCTTTTTTTCCATCTAAAGATGTAGTGACATTCAGATTTGAAAGTTGGGTTGGCACTGGAACGAGTTGTCATTTGTCAAGTCATTTTGCTGATTCCTCTGCGTAGCTGAGGCTACTTCGTCCCCAGTGGACCTCTGGGACCGGGATGCCCTCCCTGCTCACCGGCTCCACCACCAGCTCCAGCAGGCTGGACGGTTCCGGCACGGCCAGCTCCGTCACTCTAAAAAAATTAGAATACGCCCGGCCCACCAGAACCAATTGACCTGGGGGAATCCTGGGATCGGGTCCTCTCAGCCGACGCCAGTACACCCGGAAGTGGCGCGCGAGCTTGGCTGGGTACTTCCAGTGCAGGGTGGCGTTAAAGTGCAGAGAGGGAGAGCTGGACCCGGGCAAGGTACCGTGCAGCCACACTACGTCGTAGAGGTACAGGTCCTGAACCGCCTCAGGGGGAGCCTGCAGACTGGCACCGTCCAAAAGCTTAAAGAGAGAGGAAGTGGGCACAAGAACCATTTAAAAAGGGACGAATTCTCATATACTGGCTGGGATATGGTGGTTGAGAGAGGTGGTTGAAGTGGAAAGTATTATAATTGTGCAACATCAATGGGATTAACAGCCGACTCACCAGGATTTCTCCCACCCTGCAGGTGAAGGGCGTGTCCTCCGGCCTGTCCCGCTGAATGCGGAGACAAACCTCTCTGAGGGTGCAGCGCTGAAGCTCCAACTGTGAACACCTGCCCGCAGTGACACGACAGAGATGGACTTTATAACGGAAACCCTGTTGGCTCAGCTAACGGTTGAGAGCCCCTTACCCGACAGTCCAGCCAGCCGGACTCACGTTGCCGCACAGCTGAGTGAACTGGCCCACCAGCTGGAGCCCCTCATCCTCCAACACAGGGGACACGCTGCCAGCTGCAGAAACATACCATCAGCGCTTGGCTACATGGAACCTTTAAAACGCTTCCAAAACAACTTTTGGGCCTCATGGTAGGGACTAACGTTTGACATCCTGGACGTCCACATCGGCGCAAAGACTGCCGTCTGTGGTCTTCAGCTCCAGGGACACTGTGATCCCGGGGGAAGGCTTGTAGATGAGGGACACCATAATCTTGGATGCCAGGGGCACGTGGAGGGACAGGATCCTGAAACAGATTCAGAACAAAGTACTGTGGATGCACTGTGAGACTGGTCTCAAAAAAGCAAGGGTGGACGAGATAAAAACGCACTTGGCACAAACTGGAGACGTGTGCGCTGCGGGGATGAGTCCTTCCAGCAGCAGCGAGCACCCCCCATTCCAGGCGTCCTCTGGGCACGCCCGGCTGCTCAGCCAGGCCCGGCCCTCCAGCTCCGTGTGGTAGTACAAGGGCTGGCTCTCCTGGGCGCTCAGGTTGAACCAGCTGCCGTTAGCCTCGCGCTTCACACACAAAACAGACAAAACAGATTGGCGAGCTGGATTTATGTGTCACATTTCATTGAGCAAATAACTTTAGACAAAAGTGGAGTTGAGACTAAATTAATTTTAGCCTGGCCAGTATCACGGAATCTTCCTCAGTCAGCTTGAAGATTTAGAGAAGTGCTCTCTGTAAACATGTTGTGGTTCAAATAGAGATAACCGAGGGTCTGAAGGAAGCTAGAAGTAACACCTCTCGGTTTTGTTCCTCCACCAACCAGTCCAAATTGTTTTGTGGGGAAACAGCGACCATAAGTCCTAAAGTCCAAGTGGAGGTCAAGGTATACATGAGATATGTGTTCAGAAGAAGGTGACGGACTGAGGGACACCATTCCACAGAGACTGTCACAACCACAAAGAAAGATGTCTTAGATCTAACAAATGTAGCCCAGGGTGATGTCCAGGTTATCCACGACAATGTACATACATGAGCTCAATCTCCTGAATAAAGTGCTGGGTTTTCCTTCTCGCCTCAATACGCACTGCCTTAAAATCCTCTTAAACTCATCCAACAAAATGTGTTATCTTGACGGGCATAATACAAAGCTCTTTTAAAAGCAGTTTTAAGGCACAGCATCTGCCTTTGGTTGCAGATGTGCCTCCTCCAGTACCTGTCCCTTCCAGTAGACAGCCTTCCCAAAGCCCTGGCAGAAGGAGGAGACGAAGGGGAGCGGCGAGTCCGTCCGATGGATGTAAAGGTAGTCTGACAGAAGGGCCCAGAACCTGCCAGGGGGACGGGTAACGGTTAAATAAAATTGATGCATGCGTTAATGCATCAATGGCTGGGTTGGTCTCACTTGTCCTGATTCTTGCGGAACTGGGTCTTGTCTTCGTGGCTCTCATACACCCAGCCTGGGGCAAAGATGGCCGTGGAGAAGTCATGCTTCCGAATGACTTCCAGCGCCTGTGGACAACCGAAACAAGAGGGAGTCCGCCGTCAGTGGTGGGAGCGGTTTCTTCACCAGGTCACGTGTTCCGTGCCGCGTACCTTGTTCGTTTCCAGCATCCCGCCCACCACATTGCCACGTGCAAACACGTCCACCCCGACGTAGACATCGGCCTTGCGGCCTTGGATCCCGCCGTAGTCCCCCATCCGCTCCAGGCTCTGCTCTGTCCAGTTGTAGTTGGTGAAGAGACCATCGCATGCGTCGAAAAACACCCTGTCGCAAAGAGATTGAGACTAAGCGTTTGGCCGGCTTTCACGGAACATTCAAATTGTTGTAATCATCTCTCTGATTTCCAGTCAGTCTACCTGTTGGACTGGTTGAGCTCATTTTGCCACAACAGTTGTCCGTCCTCGATCACACTGTCGTACCACAGCACCAGGCTGCCAGGCACCCGCTCGTGCATCTGATCCGTCAGGGTAGCGCAGGAACAACGGTGTGTTCATTACTGCGACCTTCTGCAGGCGCACACACACGGGACTTTACATACTTCAGGCCAACACGTTGAAGAGAAGCACCACCACAGGGCAGCGTGTTAACATAGTACAATTCTATATTCATCACAAAGAACAGCAGCCCGACATTTAAGGCTCTACAGAGAACCCTTCTATGGTGTAAGGTTGCAGAAACCTCTCGCGAGGTTCAATCCAGAACTTTTCTAAGGGTGCTAACATGAATAGAACCCTTTTACATTCCAACAGCTTGAGCTGGAAGGATCTTTTAACCACAATGCTTTCAACAAATCCTTAAAGAACTTGTTCTTCCAAGCTGGGGTTGAGTGAAAAGGGTGCTTCATGGTAAAGCTATTTTTCATTGAACTTAAAATCTCATCATTCAAATCAGGAGTGAGTATCTCATTGCATGACTTACATTTTGGCCACACTGCGACAATTGCTCTATGTATCGTGTTGCTGGCCTGGATAAATCTCTTACTCACACTGAGAATGTTCTCTATGTTTATGAGCCAGCCCTCGAAGCCGTAACAGTGGCTGATCTGGACTAGTTTATCAGCCACCGCCCGGTACGACTCCTCCTCTTTCAGGAAGGCCTCGCACACTTTGGCTCCGTCGGTCCACTCTGTGATGAAAGTCCCTGAAAAAGCGGCATTGTAGAGATGAGGAAGACCCAAAAACTTACTTTTCAAAATATGATAGACAATTATAAAGACATAAAACACATTCAGAATTCCTTTACTGGACATTGGTTTGGTATTTATTTGGCCTGTTCACTCACCGAGAACAACAACTCCATGTTTATGAGCTGCATTGGTCCACACAGCAGGAGGGACCGTCACCATGTTGTGTGTGAAGTAGTTGAAAATATCAATGTACTGCCAGTGATAGAAGGCGTATGGGGCCTTTGCATTGGTCCCCTGGGTAAACCTCGATAACAGAAGAGAGCATGACAAAGAAATACGGTAAAAGGTTGACTGAATTGTATTGCCGAATGAACTAAAAAAAGCATTTTCTAAACTGGTCCAGACCTGTCGCATAACACCTTCATCAGAATGAGGCTGCTGGACATCAGAGAGAATGCAAGTTTCTGGCACTTTTACACCTGATTCACTTTGCAGACCTGGGTGATGCCACCTAAAAGTGCCCCATCACCTACTTTAGGCTGTAGGTGAACTATTGTAGAACTAATACTGTTGTGCTACTGTTTAAGTCATTTTTACCGGTCATCCAGGTAGCCTCCCATCATGTCATGAGACACCAGGGTGCGACGGAGACATTTGGCAAGAGGAGGCTCCCGAGGTGCCAGCGGGACAGCCGCCACATTGAAGGGGTTCGCCTCGTTTCGCTTCCATGACAACAGCTCCTCCAAAGATTGAAGACCACAGCTGATCGGTTCGGTGGTGTCGGCGTCATAATGTTTGGCTGAGAGGGAGAGGACATTAAATGCTGTTTATAAAAAGTCGTTATCAAGCCATTCACTGCAGCTAAGATTTTATTTCTGCTGATGGTTATAAAAAGGCCTCACCTGGTAGCGGGGAGGGCAAAAACTTGATGACTTCATGGATACCGCTTGAATCCATTGGTTGATCCAAACAAGACTCCAAACTTGTGAAGTGCAAAATGAGAAATAAATCCCATTACTATCTTGAGTCAACACAAGTAACATTTACCTTTAACTGATCACTAGTTTACTTGGACAAATGTACCATTTAAATGTCCACTATACTTTAATTTCGATCATTTGTATTGACCATAATTTATAAGAAGCGGGCATCACCCATTGGTTTGTGGACAGACGTTATAAAGCCTCAAGTGATAATAGAGAATTTGCTTAAATATCTACAGATAGAAACGTTATTATAGTTTATAATACGGTAGATGAAATGCAGCATTCTGATTGGTCGAGAGTGAGTCATGAGGTGTACTTTATTTAAGCAATAAGGTACGAGAGGCTGTACTTTATCGTCCAATAATGTAAAAGTTTGGGGGTGTTGTTAGGCCCGACATGCAGCAGAGGGCCGGCAACCCTCGAACTGTTGCACAGGGACTATTTTCTCTAGGCTACTGAAATGCGTTACACAACGTTTGGTACAACTATTTTGTGCTGAAAGGCAGCTATTTATTTACTATTTATAATGTCGCTCGTAACCGTATTTTATATATTATAAAAGCAGTAAGGTACTCAAGGCTGTGCTTTATCTTCAATAATGTCACAGTTCAAGGGTTTACTAACAACGCCCTTGAACTTTTATTGACGACAAAGTACAGCCTCTCGTACCTTATTGATTAAATATATAACATCACATCTTGGTTTATAAAATCAGTTACTTGATGTTGTGTTTAAAATCCACATTAGACGTGAGAACACCGTCATACTGCACTTTAGAGGTTGACTTACATCTCTGAGGCTTTTATGGTTTTTTAACACCGTTGCCATCATTATGAACAGAAATGGATCAAAGTGGGCTCAGGTAGTAGTAGACTAGTGGACAAGATATGAACCTAACATTCAGCTACTGTAGCATGGACATATTCTGTAGCATGTTATGGTTTCAGTTAAATTATCGTTTTCACTGCGGAACATGACTAAATTAGTTATTCAAAATTAACAGGAATTTCAATTCGGGTGTAAAATGTGAAGCGTTCAGTTGGAAATAGGGTTTCCACCTTTGGTACAGAAAAATAAGGGACGCTACGGCTGACGGGGGGGGGGAGACTCTGCGACCCCCCCGTGATTCCTCCCACTCTCGTCGGTACTTTTGCATCCGCTTTCGCTTCAGAGCGGGACGTCGGGGTATCTGGAGTCACATATATCTATGTCTGGAGCTGCTTCCGCCAAGAGACCCGCCCTCCTCTGACCGATTGGTTTGTTTCAGGTTCACGGCCAATCAAACCAACGATGGCAGCGAGTATCACCCAATCAGGGGACGAATGGGAAGAGTCTTCACGGAATTCGGGTGGGATTATTTGCATGGGACGCTGCATTGGCGTCAACCCGGAAAATACGGGACAAACCCCGTCCCATATTGACGGGACGCGCTATTATATTCTCACATACGGGACCATTCCGTATTTTAAGGGACTGGTGGAAACCCCAGTTGGCAACCTGATGCTTTAAAAGGTTAACATGCCAACATCATCTGTATGAGTGCAGGAAGTTACCGGCCGGAGTCACTCGTGTCCGTCGTCCCGCCGTCTTTACGGTCCTGTCCCTCCGCTCCTTGCAGGGGAAGCGCTTTTCCACTCTTGGTCAAAGCCATTACCTTTCTTTAGATCAGTTCTCAGACTCCAGAGAGAACGAACTGTATGGTGGAGGAGGAAATAGAGAGGGGTTTTCCTGCGAGCAACTACAGCGAAACATTTCCGACCCCTAGTCCTTCAGAATAAAAGCGTAATTTCAATAAATTAAAATGACAAGAAAAATAAAAGAAACTAAAGCTGCACAGGGGATACATTTTACTTTACTTTATGTAAAATGTTGTACTTTGGTATTCTTAATATATAACTCAACAGCCTTATATGTGGTGTTCCCCTACAAAAATGCTTCTAGATCAAGTTGAGTTGTTAGGCTATTCTATACTATAGAAGGGAAACAATATAGAGGTGTACAGAGTTTCGTTTAGACAACTCCGTGTAGTTTGTTGTCCAATAGAGGATGGACTCAGGCCAGCTGGACAAAGGAACAACTCTTCTGTTGTTGTTCAGGACCAGACTCCCTTGGCTGGAAAAGATGAGCCTCTGGCAAGAAACCAATCACAGACAACAACACCGGCCAATGAGTGAGGAAGGCAAAGATGGCGGTCCTAATACTGCATGCGTAATATGTTCAACGACGATGCTTTTTATAAATACCTTTTTGAAAGGATATATATAGTGTTTCCCCTACCATTATAACAGGAAATTACACATCCCCCCCTGAAAAAGTGTGCAATATTTATTTTCTTCTTTTTTTGTTATATTACCACACACGGCTGTTCAACACTGACGTGAAGATGTCGCATACGTCCGTGTGCCGTGTGGCTAGCAGCAGCGGGGCAGAGACCACCAGAGTGACTTATACCCCCCCCCCTCTTTAATTTTCTCTCTGCACAATGAAATAAGGCTCTACAATATAACCATATGGAGGCTATTGGGTCACAAACTGAAAACCTAATTGGAGTCAATTAAAGTTCAGTTTTGATAACATTTATTCCAGGAGTATCCAGCTGGAGTGTGAAAGCTAAGAGCTCTCAATTGTTTACCCACATAACACCCGAGCAATTGAGCTTTTAGAAATTCTAGTTTTGGAGATTTGGAAGGAAGTTGTAACATTACATTTGGAAGGGAGTTGTTTATGTTTACTAAATTGTCGGGAGTGTCCCAGACAGTAGGGATATTGTGTATGATTTAACATAAAGAATCAAATAGTCATCATATAATATGATAATTGTCGTGAAGCCAGAGACTGGGAAATGAAGACTGCAAAAATCCAGATTGAATGAGTATCTCAGATCAAATCTATCAATAGAAGGCTTCAGATGAAAACCTTATTGTTATTTTATCACAAAGCATTTCCGGTTTCAGTCACTTCCTTAAAACAAGGATGAATCCAATGTACAGTAGTTGTCAGTGAAGATGTTGTCGCTTTTGGTAGCCATTGGCACCTCTCTCCCTTAGACGCTCTCTGGTAGGGTCCTCCCTCGCCACGCAGAAGGGAAGTGACGTCAGACACCTCCCGAAAGTCTACTGACAGAAACTGCAAAGACGGATAACCAGCCAATATAACCTCGGCAAAAATCCATCTTCATCCGTGGACAATTGACGCGTATCCGTGTCAAAAACAGCGGGAGCATAACGTACACATTTAGACCTTTCGAACGAGCCCCATATTGACCCAATATGAGGTTAGCGTCTTTTTAAAACAAACGGGGAAAGATTGTGAGAGCCTTCACTCGGGAGACGACCTACAGGAAGACACCACCACCGATACCAAGAGGGTTTCATGTGTCGGGTGTTCTCGTCTGTTCTGCTGTTAAACAGACTCGAGCTTTAACCTGAATATTTTCGGTGGATATTTTGGAGCTAGCGAGTGCGCTAGCTAGCCGAACGCAGATTGCCAATCATGGAGTTGAGAGTCGGGAACCGATATAGACTGGGCAGAAAAATTGGAAGTGGATCATTTGGGGACATCTACCTGGGTGAGTTGAAGTGAAATAGCCCCGATGTTCTGTCTTTGTCTCCGGTTAATGTCACCTCAGTCTCTAACACAAAGCTTTGACACTTTGTCAGCTGGCTTCCTAAACGAGCTCAATCAGCTGTTCGTTGTTTAGTGTTCGCTAACGTTACGTTAGCTACAAAGCTAGCACTCTCGTAACGTATCCAGCAGTAACAAAACATTACCGTAATATTTCACGGCAAATAGTGTACATTGTATATCAGTTAGACTTAAGAGGACACGTTGGCTGTCTTCCGTGAGACAAATGTCCAAGTGAACCGTGTCAACGACAGAAAAGGAAACTGACGTCTACCCACTGAGTAAAATAAGCTAACGTTAAACCCTTTATTGGCTAACGTTAGCTCATAATTGATGTACAGCCTTTGCTGTCGAGTCCCCGAAGCGGTGAATCACATGACCTCACACCACACAACAACGGGCAACACAACAAGCCGGCTTCCCTTCCTTTTCCGTGAAAGAAATCCACCAGCATGCTAACGTCAGCTTCATCGCTGCTTACAGGCGCTAGTGCCTCAGTTTCCAGCGTTTAATCCGGGTCCTTCTGATCAGCTGTGCTGGTTCTCGACATAAAACTGCTTCACGGATCCTGGTTCTGTGCCCGAGGAGACGTGTTCCTACGTTACTCAGTGTCGTGTACACTGTGGCAAAGCGCCGCGGGCCCCATCGATCCTGTTTGTTTGTGAGCAACACATCGGACTGGGCGTGTTGCCTCTCGCTGAAGGTGAACGTCGGAGGAAACCATTCCTCCTCCGCTGAACGCGTCTCCGTGCGAGCAGAGGAGCTTCAGATGGTTTGCGGTGACGCTCTTGGGCGTCGGACGCGCATCGATCCGTGCGCGAGAGACACGAACGATTGGAATAAACGTGCGCGAGTGTTGAACAAAAGGGACATCTTGTCATTGTGCACCGCCACCATGAATGCATCCTCTGGTGGCCACATCGGGGTCAACATCTCCTGGCAACAGCTGATCACATTTCTGTGTTTTAAACTTGGTCATCTGGACAACAATGGAGAGTAGACGTTGTTAATTCATGAAGGCTTTTTTTCTTTCTTTTTATTTCCGGCTGTTGTCTGAAGACCTCATCACTGATGTCTAATCAACCAGAACGATACCCACGTCTGACCGTTGGCATTCACTCACAATATGATTTAATTACGTTACAATGTTAGATCATTTGTTGTATAGCAATTATACAACATACCGGCGTGCACACACACAACTGTGTTGCATGAACCATTCACAGGAAGATTGATTTTCCCCTTTCAAAGAACTTCCTCAACCGATCATCAAAGACAATCTAGTAACTGGACAGTTCTGCTGCAGTCAGTGTTTGTGAGTCGTGGGTTGTTTCTACTATAAATTGTTGGTCCCCCAAGGTGTCAGAGAAAAGGGAAAACCACCAATCAATTCAAGTCACACCAAATATGGATTATTTTTGTTATACATAATATATTCTGTCCACAATGAAACCCAAAAGATGCCGCTGTATTTTAATATTGAAGTGAAAGCTCAGCAAGGGGTTTATCTTCAGCGGGCTTGTAGATCCTGCTTAGTTATTTGTTGAACTGTTAATTTAGCTTTTACCATAAATTGTATCAATTGTTATGTAACATTTACAAGAGGTATGCTGATTAAATTTCTGCCCTTCGCCCGTTTTTTATTGTGGCCGTCTAGTTGTCAGCTGATAGTGTAACGACAGCATTAGTTGGCTCCTTTCTGTTTTCCACTTGTAAATTGATTGGCTGATTGGAATGATGAGCGAGACCCAGCGGCTAATTCAGTGTTATTCACGCTCTCTGACTGCTGATTGATGCGGCGTAACCTTGGTAACGGGCGAGAACAGCATCAAAGCGTCCGACTCAGTGTTAGAAGTGCCACGGAAATCTTTAACGCTAGTGGTTAATGTTTTCTACGTGTACACTCACTAGTGCTGCCGTGTGAGCAGCTGGTGGTCTCTGCTCCTTTTGTCGTGAGCAGGAGGAGGAGCGGAGGTCTGCTGTTGAACAGGCTGTGCGCTCTGCGTGTGGACTGTCTGAAGTGGTACAAAAGTGACTAATGTTTGTCATGACAAATGCAGATTGTTAACAAAGTCCACCAAAAGCTTGCTACCTCGTTAAAGGTGGTTTTATCTGTTGGATCATTTTGGGAAAGTGTTTTCATCACGACGCAACCGTGATGTGGATGTGTCTTAAACTCTCTACCGACCAGCAAGGCTTCAATAACATCGTTCCACAAACCAATGGTGACGTCACAAAGACTACGTCTGCTTGTGTTGACTGCTGTGCTCTCCCCGCTGGCAGGAAGCAGCCACTTCCTGGACCGGCCTCACTGGGTCCATCTGCACAAAGTTGAACCCAGCTCAGTGTTTAGCTCGGCGTTGAGCTCATCGTATTGCATCACTGTTCTGCTCACTGTGTGGTTTCGCTGTCTGATGAGGCCCATCAGTGAAACAGGAAGTCCACGTGGTGGTCGGGCTCAACCGATCATCCAATCCCAACGTAGCGAAACTCCACTGTTCATTGCACAGGTTACTTTCATTGTTTCACAATCCAACTTAAAGTTGAACCTATGAAATAAAGAGTAGCTTCTTTTGCTAATGGAAAGCCAAAGCACGGTTGTGCCTGGTGGATTAGCGTAGCATCCACGTAGATTCTCCTGTGGTTGTTTTGTAACCTACTGCCCCCCCTGCTGGGTCTCACACGGCCGCATGCTGCCAGAGAGTGACGGTGGTTCACACCAGTGCAGGCGAGGAAATGGCAGTAAAGACGTCTGATGGTAGTAAATGTCCAGTGCCGTTTCCACATGCAAGCGGCTGCATGAAGTGAAGGAGCCCCCCCACACCACCCTTCCCCCGAGGTGAGCGCTGACTTCCTGGAAGCACAACAACGTCTCTGCTGTGCTCTGAGCTCAGGGGCAGAAAGTACATGTACAGTTACACGAGGCTCTATCTAAATACTTTAGATAAAGTTTGTGTGATGGCTTACTTTGACTGACTGGAGATCAGTGAGATTCAAATTTCTTTGACTTGTATTAATGTTCACAGCAGCCCTGTTGTTCCTCATGCTTTGCATCGGGGAGTGACATCATCCTCTGGTCAGTTTGACATCATCGCTCTGTAGCTTTTCATAGTTTGCTGCGCTGTTAATGCTTCTAATAAGCTTCTCTCCATAGTACGAGTTAGTTAAGTAGACATTATATTGCACATTTACTTACTTAGTATCTGTCGAGTATTTAGTTCACTAGCATGTGAACCATCAAAGATGTGATTCATATATAGCAATGCATTCATTTCACCTCGTGCATGTCTTTGCCTTGTTTTAGAAACCCTTTTCTGTTGCATCATGAATGAAGGAACCGTACATTTCTTTCAAATTGCATTTTTAATTTAGTAGGAAATTCAGTTGGAGCCAAAGGCCTTTTTTAAAAACTTGTGGTGAAACTCGAGTGACGAGCCGTGCAGCAGGTGCTGTACGCCTAAAGGGAGGGGTCCTCTTGCACAAGCAACGTTCACTACAAATTGCAGAGCAGTCGAGACACGCTGGGGGCCGAGCGCTGCAGCGCGCTGACGCTCTGTGGTCTGATGGCACTTGTTGACGTCATCTCAGGCAACCACGTCTCAGAAAAGGCTACAAGTTGCGAAATCTTTGTTGTTGTTGCAAAGCACCGGCCGCAGTCATCCCCCCCCCCCCCCCTCCCCCCCCTTTCCCCGAAAAGCCCTGGGGTTTGACGCCGTCCTGAACCAAAGAGCGACAGGTGGCAGAGGGCATTTAACGGGATAAAACGTCATGTGTGGGAATGTGTCCGGACATGTTCAGCTATCAGCAGCCGCGCTGGAGATAAAAACACACGTACTCCCGTTGGTCCCATTATTGCACAACATCATAACGTCATGGATGTGGGGGCGGGGGTGCATGACAGGGGTAATCATCCAGATATACCGCAGTGCTGTAAGCAATAACACTAAATCAGATGTGTAGTAAAACAATAACAGCCATTTTGTGACTTATTTGCCCGCTTGCTCAACAACAAGTCACCGTACCAAAGTCACTCTCAAAACATTTATTCAACATACTCTGTGATTGTTAGTTGCAAGAAAGTAATTCTGATCCATCCATTTATCTCCCTAATTTAAGAAATTGCTTTTTATTATTCATAAAGGAAATTAATTGCTATAATTTCTATTGCCTCCACGCAGCTCATCATGGCAACTAAAAACCCACGAAGCAGAGGGCCAATATATCTTTTGTATCCTGCTATCCTCAATAGTCCCCCCCCCCCCCCCCCCCCAAAATACTTATTCTTATTTATTACATTTTAGTTGCGCTGAACGAAACAAAAGGTTTTGAGTTACGAAGGCAAAAACTCTACGCAGTTTCTATATTTCAAAATAAGCAAATACTTTGAGGGGACCACTTAAAAGGTTTAAACGTGAGGCTCCTTTATGTTCTTTCACTGACCCTTTTTAAAGCTGCTGTGCTCATATGGATTTTGTTAGTGCACCAGAGGCGAGTCAAGGTCATCCCATTTAGTTCATGGGTTTGGGTGGATGCAACATATCGGCTTTAGAGTGAGTCACAGCCCCCTTTGCTTGTTTCCCCCCCTCCCCCGGGGCTCTGCCCCGCCCAGATGACCTCATACGGACAAATCAATGACGCTCCGCCGCCGTGAGCTCCTCCCGATGCCGTGTGTAAATTGAATTCTGTATCCGGGTGTTTGGTTACCGCGTTGTCAGGGGGAGGGAAGCCGTGACCACGTCAAGCAGCAGGGAGGAGACTCGTGTCTGATGAAACGTAATTATAGCTGCCAGGAAGTCGGGCCGCACAGCCAAGCGCTACTGGAGAGGAGAGCCGGCTTCACTGGCTCTGCTGTCTTCGATCAGCCATTATGAACTTCATCCTATTTACACGGCGGCCTGTAACTTCTGTCTACCTGCATTTACAATTCACCACTGCCCTCTGTGTCGCACACACAGACACACACAGACACACACTGCCACCAGCGGACACACTTTTGGACCGGTAAAATGGCTACCTTGAAAGCAGAAAGGGCTTAATTGAATTGATTGACTGCTCACCCTGGACACTGCTGCCGATGACGAACCTTTCCGTTACTGCATCGCTTCGGTTAACGTCCTGCGTTCCTTCTGTCCCCGTCTAGGTACCGACATCTCCGTCGGAGAGGAGGTGGCCATCAAGCTGGAATGCGTGAAGACCAAGCACCCCCAGCTTCACATAGAGAGCAAGATCTACAAGATGATGCAGGGGGGAGGTATGGTACCTGTGAAGTATATCATATGCAGGACCTCATTGTCCTCCCTGGTCAGTTTCGGCTATTGTTTTTTTGTTCAAGCTTCAGTGAAGAGGATTGTGCCGTTTATGGCCCCTCCAGCACTGTCCCGTGTCTTTAGGAGCGTCCCCGTCCCCCTAGGGGCCCTCAGCAGGCTGTTACTTGTGACGTGGAACCGAACCCATCAGAGACCTTTGGGTCACAAAGCAGACTGGACATCTCAACGTGGCCGCCGGGAGCCTTCATGATGTCTTTGCATCGCAAATCCTTATTTGCTCTTGTAAAAATGCCCTAAAATAGCTTTTTTTAAATGAATTACATCGGGAATTGTATAAAACAAGTTGGTGACCAATATGTATTTGTATTTGGGCTGCCGTCTGCTCAGAGAAGGCAATGCCAGAAAGGCCTCTTTGCCTTGGCAGCGTCAGCCAATTACCAGCGGCTCCCAAACCAGCTGGTCTCTGTCCTGACTGCCCTCCTGCCTGTGTGGGGGGTCGGAGGGGACAGCGTGTCCTTGACGTTCCATTCATTATTTTAGAAACATAACGTCTGCCTGCAACAGACTACTTTTAAAAAATTTAGATTTTCTGACTCCACTTTACCATTTAGCCTTAAACACAAACACAAGAGATATGAAATGTAGTTTATCCACTGCAGATATTCAAGGTATCTGTGGGACTCCAGATGTTTTAGTTATCTCAGTAGTGGGTCAATAATCCCTAAACCTCTCGTCCCTTGTCTCTAGTGGGCATCCCGACAATAAAGTGGTGCGGCGCCGAGGGCGACTACAACGTGATGGTGATGGAGCTGCTGGGGCCCAGCCTGGAGGATCTGTTCAACTTCTGCTCTCGGAAGTTCAGCCTCAAGACCGTCCTGCTGCTGGCCGACCAGATGGTGAGTTCACGACGTCCCCCCGCGCGCGTCCCACCCCGTCTCTGCTCTTCTTTTCACGCTATCAGCTAATCGCCCCCTCTCCCGCTCCGCCCCCTAGATCAGCCGCATTGAGTACATCCACTCCAAGAACTTCATCCACCGAGACGTGAAGCCGGACAACTTCCTGATGGGGCTGGGCAAGAAGGGCAACCTGGTCTACATCATCGACTTCGGCCTGGCCAAGAAGTACCGCGACGCGCGCACACACCAGCACATCCCCTACCGCGAGAACAAGAACCTGACCGGCACGGCGCGCTACGCCTCCATCAACACGCACCTGGGCATCGGTAAGAGCGCCGTCCGCTGAGACCCCTCGACGGACGAATGAACCAACGAGTGAATGCGGCCATCTGAATTGGTTCTCTCGTGTCCACAGAGCAGTCCAGACGGGACGACCTGGAGTCACTGGGCTACGTCCTCATGTACTTCAACCTGGGCTCCCTGCCCTGGCAGGGCCTGAAGGCCGCCACCAAGAGGCAGAAGTACGAGCGCATCAGCGAGAAGAAGATGTCCACGCCCATCGAGGTCCTCTGCAAAGGCTACCCGTGTACGTCCATGCGCTGTCCGTTAGGGCCGTAAGTCAACGTCGATCCAACGCAACGCCCTCACTGATCTCGTGTCCCCCTCCCCCCCCACAGCCGAATTTGCCACCTACCTCAACTTTTGCCGCTCCCTTCGCTTTGACGACAAGCCGGACTACTCGTACCTCCGCCAGCTCTTCAGGAACCTCTTCCACCGACAGGGCTTCTCCTACGACTACGTCTTTGACTGGAACATGCTCAAGTTTGTAAGTGTTGGCTTTCATCCTCATTGAAGTTTTCTATTCCTACTGGCTGAATTCAAACTTAGTGCTAACAGAAATCCTGTTACCGCCGCTACTCTCGGGGGGGTGGAGCTTTTACATTTGAAAACTGACAGATTACAAAACTGTCCGCGTACTGTGGATGTGTTATTGGCAGCCCTCCCCCCATTTTACACTCAGTACAGTGACCCACTATCTTAGTAGTTGGCTACGAGTCGGACTTCTCCTCGTTCTGGGAGTTAGTTCACTTTTGAAATGTTTTCAAACTGTGCAGGGAGCAAACCGGGCCGTGGAGGACGCGGAGCGGGAGCGCCGGGAGCGGGAGGACAGGCTGAGGCACAGCAGGGCGCCCGCGGCCAGGGGCCTGCCCGCGGCCTCGGGGAGGGCCAGGGCGACTCAGGAAGTGGCGGCCCCCTCCCCACTCAACCCGGCCTCACACACAGGTCAGCGCTCACACACACACACACACATACACACACTCGTATCGCCAGCAGGGGAAGAGGAAATGGGCTGAGCGAAATAATCCAGCGTGCATCAAGCGCATCTGTTCTAATGGAACAGTTGGGGCTCCTCCATCATTGGGCCGCTCCTCTCTCTCTTTTTCAGGTTTGGAGAAGGAGCGGAAGGTGAGCATGCGTCTTCATCGCGGGGCGCCCGTCAACATCTCCTCCTCGGACCTCACGGGGCGCCAGGACGCATCACGCATGTCCTCACAGGTAACGCAAAGACCTCCTGCTTGGTTTCGGGAAAACCAAACCATCCGCTAGCGGTTAACAGGAGAACCGGTCCAGCAGCTTTGTTTCCTGGGTACACTTTACTCCCCCGCCGACGGAAACGCTGCTCATTCACATGTAGGTCCTCTTTAAATGACCTCCGTGCTGGGGCTGCGTCCATGCAGAATGGTCCGTGTTGGGAATGTAACCGAGTAATGTAATCAAATTGGAGAATGTAAAGCTTAAACATATGTCATGTAATTAAAGTTACTGATAAAAAGGTTCCATCATTCTTTGGGTAAAAGCTTTTCAATTCAAGGTGTGTTAATGTTCATAACAGGTTGACAGTTATCAGTGTTTAGTACCGTTCTGAAGAAAAGTGTCCATCCTCCATTTTTATTTTTATTCAGTCTGTTCTTTATTTTTTCTCCACGTGTTACATTTCAAAATCCCCACTCTGTAGTTGTGAGCGGTCTGACAGTCGAGCAGGGAGGACCTGGCGAACCACACGGGACATATTGTGAAATATATTGTCTGTTCTATTGCCTAACAAAGGCTGACAAAAAGGGAAGCGTACATTACCAGAGAACTATGTCTCTGATTCGCAGACTTCCCTTTTTCAATGAAACCAAATGCTCATTGGTACCTTGTTGTTGCATTTACATTCACTGGCAGGAACAGTTGTTTATTAACAGCAGAATGTAGGGATAAAAATAATATAAATATTGTTTTGTCATAGTTTTCAAACTAGACCAGGTGTGGATGTGAACAGCTCCGATGTTCCTTGAGCTCCCCAGGAGGGAAAAAATAGTGTCCCAGGGCTGCTTTCTTCTATGACAAGAACGTTATTGTTCCAAAATATCTATCAGCAGGTTTAACCTTTCATTGCTAATGCTTTTATGAGGGCTCTAGAAATATACAGTGTTGCTGGTCGTAACATATGATCATATCTTATTATTATTTCTTTTTTTTGTATTTCAGCAGAGCTTCCCAATGACGCGCTGTAAGCGTTTCAGACTGCTCAGCGTAAACAACCACGCACCTGCGTGTCATTGCATCCGTGCGGTTATTTTGAGTGGTGGTAGAACACTACGACGCCAGTATAGCCTGATCAACCAAACTCCATTCAGAAAACAGGCATTTTTAAGTTAGGGGAATAAGGAATAAAGCTCATACGTGTGTACTAAATCATTTTTCCCCTCTGCAGGCCTTGTCCCGGGTCACACCCAGCGGCCTCCAGTCTGCAGCGCCGCGGTGAAACCCCCCCCCACCCCCCCCATTCACCTGTGCACCACGGAGGCCTCAACATGCACCGCCTGCAACACACACACACACACACACACACACACACAGAACTCTTTGATGACACAGAGGACTACCAACCAATGCACCATAGTCTGGCTGCCCTCCCTGAACACCTGACGGAGAATGTGGGAACACAACCAGGACTGTGTCTGTGTGTCTGTGTGACAAGGATGGGTGGAGTACAGTTTTGGTAGCAGCCACGGCCTCCCCTCCCCCCCCCCCCTCCTTCCTGTTGATGAAGCCATGGATCCACTTTCCTCTGGCATCTTTTTAACACTTTGGTTTTACATCTTTTTCTTCTATCGCATTTAAAGCGTCTCTCTTAAACACAATCCCACTCCACCGAGGTTTGGAAAGGACGAGCGCGTTAGCTGTTTGAAAACGGTGTGGGGGGAATTTTGCTTCTAAAGGACGGATCTCAGGCTCTGTTCTGAGAACTGAAGGCATTTTTTTTTTTTTTACCTTTTTCTTTTGGTGTGTGTGATGTTTAACTGTAACGGTAGGATGACCTCCTTGTTTTTAAAAGGGTCTTTTAATGTGCTTGTTTCCAATGGTGGTCCCACACTACCACTCTGTCTGTTTGATTGTTGTCCCCCTCAGGTGCGTTGGACCCAGGACGTTGTAGTAGATCAAACACGCGGCGCATCTTTCCCCCCACCTTCAGGTCCCGACTGCGGTTACGCTTCTTTGAGAAAGCTGTGAATGCAAAACGCTCCGTCAGCAACGAGCAGACGAGCCGTTGTTTTTAACCGGGTCCATAGTGATGTGTGTGTGTGTGTGTGTTGGTTTGTCTGTCTGTCTGTCTCGGGGGGGGGGTTAAACAAGCTGAAGTGGTTGGTGGGGGTTTGAACATGTTCAGGGGTATTTTCTTTTTGGGGTTTTCACTCCTTTGCCTCCCAAGCTCACTTTAGACCACCTCCCCACCCCTATTGAAAACAGTAGGGCTTTAAAGGACCGGTTCCCCTCCCTGAATCCATCTTCCCATGAGTCCCCTTTTGAATCGGCGAGAAGACGGACGTCTCTGCGGCCGGGAGGCTCACACTCGGATAAATGGCACGAGGGAGAACCGTTTGTGTTTTGGAGGTGAACCGTGCCTTTGGCGCCGGGCGAGGTGGAGGTGAAGGCGCTTCTGGAGAGTGTTTGTCTTAAGGGGGGGGCGGCGGCACTTCTTTTGCCGGTAACCCTGCTTCTTTCTTTCTTTGTTTTTTTTTTTTTGCATCCCTTCTGACGATGAATCCTGCCTCTTTTGGCGTAGAAAGTCCTCGATGTGGTAACTGCTTGCAGAGTATTGTCATTCTTTCTGTAGTTTGGGGGGTGGGCGGGGTTGTAGTGGTGGTCTGTACCTGTTGGTTCTGTTTCTGTGTATATGATGTGCTTATACTCCGAATGGCAAATGTGCGGAGGGGAAGGGAAAGGAAGGTCTTACTCCATTTTTTTTGTTTTGTTGTTGTTGTTTTCTTTTAAAAAAACAAATAAAAATATACCTCACCTGTGGGCTTGAAAAATCAACAAAAAAAAGCGAGGGTTTAAGTTGTTGGTCTCACTGATGATGGCTATGATAGATGCAAGTACACTTAACAAGGGATAATAGACGTGGGTTTTTTAGTCTGTCATGTCTACTTCTCTCAGTTCTTTCTACTTCTCACTTCCTGTCCCATATTTGCGTTTTACTGTGCGAGGGGGATGCGGATGCTCATGTCAACAGTGCGTCGCTTACCGTGGACTCATGGGAATTCTTTTCTTTCCACTCGACACCTTAAGACTTTCGCTCCTCATTTGTAATGCCACTGTATTTGTGTATTTTAAAAGTGTAAATAAATAAGTACTTGTATGTTTGCTTCTTATTGGTCAGGTTGGCTGATCTTAAGTAGATTTGTATTTTGGGGTTATGGTTTGCAAATCTATATTGCCGTTTTTTTTCTGCACACTTTCTCAATGCTTTAATCAAATATTAAGTTATTGTATTCATGAATCAATATTCTATCAGGTCCGTTACATTACCAGGTTTTCACTACACAATTATTTACAAAAGACATGGATGTTCTATCTGTATCCAAAAATCTGACTGATCCTTCAAAGTGTTAGAAAGCATCCTCAGGGGACCATGAATATGAACATCCCTGCTTCTCAGTGGGTTGTGATGCACCAGTATTCACTAATATTTAAAAATGTACTTTATGCTTTAGTAATGATCAGGATAATGCGTGATACAGCACTTCATAAATTCTTTTCTATACAGTATACCTCAATAGTCAGTATTTTGAGTGTAATTAATTTGCCCCAAGAGGAAAAATTGCACCCTAACCCTTAACATGAATCTCACTCATGCTTGTTTTTGGGGGGGATATGGCTACAATACGCATGTATTTTGCGAATAATTATTTAGGGAAAACCTGGTAATAAAATGCACCTGATTTATTAATTAATCCAAGTGCAAATATTTGAGCAAAACATTGGCATAAACTGTGGAAAGATGGCGCTATAAACACTAAACACGTTGGGAAGTCTCTTAAATATTAAGACCTCCTGCTGTGTTGAAATGGCTCCTGGCTGCAGTGACACAGTGTGACCGCTGGGTGGTGCGCAGAGGACAGTTACACAACAAACGAGAACGTCCACCACGAGACCTCACAAACCAACGGGATTGGGATTATAGTGCTTTACGTGTAGCATTTATGGATGTATATATATATATATATATATATATATATATATATATATATATATATATATATCACATAGTGGCCCTCACGCACGTGGGTGAATACAACCCTGTCCAGGGTAAATGTAGGGCGAGCGGGGGGGGGGAGGGGGTGACGTCAGCAAACAGCAGTCTCTTCCAGCACAGTAGTTTTATTTGCTCCCTGGTTATTAACACTATCAGCCGCAGCATGAAGGAAAGAGACGCAACATCTCCGGAGCAGCAGTGCACGTGATCAGCGCAAACACACCACAGATGCACGTTATATAACAAGGGCAGTGATTAAACAAAACAGACCGTGTAAGTGAGTACAGTGGCACGAAATAATCAGCATCTCAAAGTAATGTTCTTAATATGTCAAAATAATTACTTAGGATCTGATATATCTGATAGGTATGATATATCAGTATATTTAAAGAATCAATTATTACCTCAAAATATTTATGAATAATAATGTGAACTAATGATGATAATCATTAATAATGATGACTTAATATTTCAAAATAAGCATTATCTCAAACGAATGAGTAATAATTTCAAAATAATACATTTGTATCTCAAAATAATCACATACTTTAAAATGAATGAGTATTTCAAGATAATGAGTAACTTTTTCAATATTTAGACTTATTGGTGCAAAGTAATTACTTGATATTTCAGAAAATAATAATTGCTTTGGGTACTAAGTAGATTCAGATTTTAAGCCATTTTATTAAACCATAAGTCAGTAGTCAGAAATACAAAGTCATTATTTTGAGATGCTAATTTCTGTTCTGAAATGAATTACTTAGCTAACTGTAATACGGAAAGATGCCTGTCAAGGAAGCAATAGTGTGCCAAAAGTACGAGTGTCCTCTTAAAACTGCAATAATTCATATTTTTGCATATAAGCCATGGATCAAATGATGCAGCATAGTGACATCGGTGTTAACCTACTCCTTTATCTGTATGTTTTAGCATCTTGTAGCTCGTTGTTCAGGTTTCACGGTGCTATGGTTGACCCACTGCTCATAAACCATGTCTATAAGAGCACTGAAGAAACAGTGGGGACATTTAGAAACCTCTGGTTTCACAATTAGACACCTCAAAAACCAATGAGATCTCATGCATTTCTTTGCAGTCTCCATTAGTTTGACCACTCATGGGCACCGTAGATACAAATGTCATTACCAAAAAAGGCATCTGACGAAGCGAAATCAAACACTTTGTGAAAAAAACAAGTTATGAATCCAGAGATTCAGAACTTAAAGAGAGATTGTGACAGGTGATTGCAGAACAGTTTTGAATCAGGGTGGAGGTCGTTAAGAAAGGATGTATAGAGGATTGGACAATAGTAATTGTCAGCTAATAAAGCATCTGAAAAATATGAACTATACAAGAAGGTCCAGTCAAGATTCTCCAAGTTTATCGAAGGACACAATTCAACTAACAACTTGTGTTTAGGAAAAGATTGAGAAATATTTCAGTTCTTTATTCATGGTCAGCCCGGCTAACATATAGAAGAAAATCCATTTGAATGCACAATCAAGTTGATATTAACAGAATATAGAATATACATAGTTACAAAATTATTTCCCCTGGTTTTGACATTTGAGTTTTGTTTGATAATGCATTGATAAATAAAGTACAAACCTGCCTTTTACTTACACACCTATGAAACTACAGCCCACCATTCGAACAAACCTATCATTTGATCTCGATCTCTCCCAAAGACACGACCGGATTGGGCCGTCCAGTTCAGGTCTCCCCTGCACTCTAAATAAAAGACCAAAAATAGCACCTCGAGCATCAGTGCTGGCTCGTTGGTCGATGGACGCGGGCGGGGGGCGTTAGGACCCAGCAGCGTGGCGCGGAGTGCTGCCTGCTGACGGACTGAAGGTACGTGCGGGGAGAGCAGCGCATCACCATCGTCCGGTAAGAGACCGAGGAGCTGCAAGCCGGAGGAGGTAAGAACACCACTGCGTGTATTGTGACATCGCAGCCGCATGTTCCTTTAGTATGCCCCGTTGTGTACGTTGCATCACGTGATTTGTCTTTACTCACGTTTTTGTGATGCAGAGCGATTTGCCCGCTGCTGATATGATGTGTGAAGGGATGTTAGGTCACGTTAGTTGATTGTGTGTGCGTCAAAACTTAATTCAAAAAAGATTAATTTAAACGACACATTCTTTAATATAACCTGTTGGCAGGCTCCGGTTCTGCCGAGTGAAGCCAATTTGGAAGTGTCTGCAAACTTGCATTCTCTCTACTGACCCTTAGGGGGCGACTCCTCTGGTTGCTGAAAGAGGTCTGATTGTATAGAAGTCAATGAGAAAATGACTTCACTTCTCTGTCGATTTATTCCCTGAGTAAACATTGGGAACATTAGTTCATGGTGTCAATCGCTAGTTTATATTCTTCCTCAATACACCAGGATGTTTATATAGTGTAGTGGAAATAATTATGGTCCATTTAGAGTCAAATTCCAAACATGGTAACTGCAAACCACATAGCGACGAGTGAAACTCAAAATGATGACAGGGACGTCAACAACTACATCCACTTCTTATATATACACATGCAATCTGAATCATTACCGTTCCTTAAATGAATAAATTGTTCCAACTTGAGTATGTGTATAATTTGGAAAGTACTTTGTATTCTTACATCTCGCCTCACTAACTGGTACAGACCTATAAGTTGCTTCAACTGCATTGTGTATTTTTTGTTGTTTGCAGCCACATTTGTTGCAAAGTAAACAATTTATTTATATGCATGTATGTATGAATTTGTATTTATTTGTATGTGTGTGTATACAAATAATGCTTTATGACCCGCAGATATAAAACGCTATAAATATCATTGGGCTACACGGCCCTCATTGTCAGTAGGTGCCCTGGTCAACACTGTGCCCATATTGCCTGCACGTTGTTTTAAAATTCAGGACTTTGGGTTTTCTTTCAGGAAATCTGAGACTGAGTACCTGAGTTATTTGCTAAACAAAAATGCAGCATCCATCATTTATATTTTTGGCACAGGTCGTGATATCCAAGGAGGTTCAAGAGGTCGATTTTTCTAAAAGTAGATAATGCGTTCCGAACAATATCCCCATCAATGACGTCGTAGGACTGTAATAATGCAGCGGAGTGCTGCTCCCCGGGGGGTAGGCGTAAGGGGAGGGGGAGGGGAGGACTGCCGGTGTCACATCACATTCCAGTCAGCGAGGCCTGAGATGTTAATGTTACCCGGAGACACTGGATGGCCGGCTGTTGTTTCCTGAGCCGAGCCTGCGTATGGGCCCCCACGACTCGCTTCTCGGGCTCTTTTGAAGGTTATAAATCAGCTTTATGGTCGCCGTCCAAACAGCAGCTAAGCGTACGTGCTCCTTTATTTGTAGAAATCCAGCGACAGAGAGAAGTGTTAACAAGGGTGCTACAAACACATCAGCATTCATGATTTGGACTATGAACATACACAGTGACCATCATGTATTATACATGAACCTGCCCATTGACATTGTCTCGGTCGAGATGCTGAGTTGTGGTTATGGTGGTAAAAGCCACGTCTAGCTCCAGAGACCCAGTGGAACTATGAATCACCCGGCGCCGGCCCATTACGAAGAGTTACAGGCTGTCTCACTTTGCTGTCCTGTTTACTGCTGCCATGTAAATACTGGAGACGATGTGGGAAAATGTTAGAGTCGGTTCAACTGCTGTGTTCAAATTAGTTTGAATGTGTACATTTAACTAATTTCTTGCTGAAAATAATTTATATTTTGTTAACAGTACTGCTTATTTGTGATTGATGTAAAGTACAAGAACATGCATGTTAGCATTAGCCCCGTGTAGCATGATGAGACACACATCGAACTGCGATATTGTGAAGTGATGTCCACCTGAGCAGAGGATCTCGTCACTCCACTTATGTGTGTGTGTGAGTGTTCCTGTGCATCGCCCGTCCGCGTTTTAGTGCATGTGACACCCAGTGACTAAATGTACTATAGCAGCTACGTTAACACTGAATGTCTTACATTCTACACAACTGCCTGTCTTCATTTCTCATTTTTGTCTTCTAGCTTCTCTGTCTGCTTCCATTGAAACACGGCCCACGAGCACCGTGGGAGAAGTGGCGGCGGACATGGGGGCCGAGGGGGTGAAGGCTCCAGACGGCGGGTGGGGCTGGGCGGTGCTGTTTGGCTGCTTTGTCATCACGGGCTTCTCCTACGCTTTCCCTAAAGCAGTCAGTGTGTTTTTCAAAGAGCTGATCAGGGAGTTCGGGGTGGGATACAGCGACACGGCCTGGATCTCCTCCATACTGCTAGCTATGCTCTACGGCACAGGTGGGCAAAGCTCATCATTTCTGTTGATATGAAAGGAATAGCAAGATGTGTTTTAAAATACTACATTTTAGTGTTATAGATCAACTGTCCTTCCACTTGATTTTTTTTATTCTTATATATTGATTAATTGGATTACATTATTTTTGCGTATTATTAACCTAAATACTATTAGTTGTAAAAACAAATAAAACTTGTTTATCCTTCATTTTCTTTTTTTCAAAGCTATATATATATATATATATTACTTGACTTCTCAAACAAAAAACTAAAGGTTCCTTCTTGTATTTGGGGTTTATATTTGAATTTTTAAATTGTCTTATCAACCAAAAATAGCGGAAAGCTCAAAAATAAAAGATGGCGGACCAAACTCCGTAGAATAGGGAGTCCCTGCTTCATCTCGGCATCAGTTTGGGGGACCTTGGGCTAAACAACGTTGACCCCTGCTCTAAAGGAACAGTCTGAAGATTTGTCATTTTAAAAAGCTATAAAACTTCCTATTAATATATCTTATTAACGTGCTGTGTCTTACACCATCTAGACACGCACAGCCCAACCGATTTCATTCCACTCTATGCAGGTCCTCTCTGCAGTGTGCTGGTTAACCGCTTCGGCTGTCGTCCAGTGATGATGGTGGGCGGTCTCTTTGCCTCTCTTGGAATGATCATGGCCTCCTTCTCCACCAGCATCATCCACATCTACCTCTCCACTGGGGTCATCACAGGTCTGACTGACTGTTTGTATTTCATTTTCTGACTTCTCCTAAGCAAACCTTCAGGCTTGCACCGGTCGTTGCATGCGAACATTCGTGCCATGTCATATGTGACAAATATATGACTACAGAATACAGAATACATTCTCTAAAAGCTTCTCAGTAGACTTTGATGGTATGTTTATTCTTTAAAAATAGCAATGTAGGCATGTCACACTGCTGTATTAAAGCCTTTATCAGCAGCGGCCCTCTGGCACAAAAACAACGTATCTGGTTTATTTTAGATGGTTAAATATGGAAAATCCAATGACATAAGAAACTTTGCTTTACTTTTTTGCTGCAGGCTTGGGTTTAGCTCTGAACTTCCAACCATCTCTCATTATGCTCAACCGCTACTTCAGTGAGAGGCGTCCTCTGGCCAATGGGCTATCGGCAGCAGGAAGCCCCGTGGCCCTGTGCTGCCTCTCGCCACTGGGTCAAGTCCTCCAGTACCAGTATGGCTGGAGGGGGGGCTTCCTTATCTTGGGTGGGCTTCTACTAAACTGTTGCGTGTGCGGGGCCTTAATGAAGCCTCTGGTCGGCCCCAAGGCGCTCAAGTCCAAGGTCCTGGAACTAGACAACCAAGAAGGACCAGAGAAGACGAAGAAGCCCAAAGCGAAACTGCTGGACTTCTCCGTGTTCAAAGACCGCGGATTTCTCATCTACACTGTGGCAGCGTCCATCATGGTTCTGGGGCTGTTTGTGCCTCCGGTGTTCATCGTGAGCTATGCCAAGGAGCTGGGGAATGAAGATACCAAATCAGCCCTGCTACTCTCCATCCTGGGCTTCATTGACATTTTTGCACGACCCACGTGCGGCGTGATTGCCGGACTCAAATGGGTGCGGCCTCGTTGTGTCTACCTCTTTAGCTTCGCTATGCTCTTCAATGGAATCACTGACCTGATCGGATCACAGGTGGGTAAATGCTTGCTCGTTTTGGATCTGGAAAGTCAAGCAACGGGTTGCTCTTCCTTCACATTCTCTTTCACATGTGTTACCAGGCCAAGGACTACGGCTCGTTGGTGGTCTTCTGCATCTTCTTCGGCCTCTCCTACGGCATGGTGGGTGCCCTGCAATTTGAGGTTCTCATGGCAATAGTTGGCACTGAGAAGTTCTCCAGTGCCATTGGCCTGGTCCTGCTCATGGAGGCCATTGCTGTGCTGGTGGGGCCCCCTGGTGCAGGTCAGTCAGTGCAAAGATGCTTAAAGGTTTTTGCTGATGGAAAGCTACTCTCTTGCTCAAATACAAAATCGAGACGAGCGGCCAGCTGTTTAGCGTGTCTTTTTTAACTAAAAACTGCTGTTAAGTTGGGCATTTCAACATGTGGGTCTATTGTGATTGAACCGCCCCACAACCTCAGGTTCTGGAGGGAAGCCAATGGGAGAGTGTCTTAAAACTTGCATTCTCTTTACTTCCAATAAACCTGATAGTGTAAATGTCAATAAGAAAATGACTACTGACTACTCCAAATTTGATTTATTACCTCAGTAAACATCATAAACATGGCCTCAAGTGAACAGGAACTGCCGTCTTTTTGCTTAATGGCTTCTTTTTCAAAACCTGCAGGTTTTGTACAGATTCCCAAAGGATCTTTCATCATGTGCAGAATTAAATCGCGTATCATATTTGCATCAAATCAAAAATCCGGTCAACTAGCCGTAGGTTCCTTGTTCCCGTCCCCTGTTACTATCTATATATACTGTATAAGTATGTTAAGGCCTTGCTAACATACTTGCACTGCGGGTACTGCGGGTTGTATGATGTCTGTAAAGAGGGAGCACATTAACAAGGTTTATATCTGTATGACTTCTTTTTTTAATCCTCTCATCTGTCTTTCTGTTTCTCCACAGGCCGACTTCTTGATGCCACCAAGAACTACATGTGGGTTTTCCTGCTGGCAGGAATTGAGGTGGTCATATCAGCCGTGGTTCTGGCCACTTGTAACTTCCTGTTCATCAGAATCAAGTCCTCGGCTTTGGAAGACAAGCTTGAGAGCATCACAGTGACGGACGATGCCAAGACAGAGGTTTGCCACAAGCCTTCAGAGATAAGTGAGGAAGAGGAGAAGGGAGCAAGACAGGGGCAAGAGAAGGAGACAAATGAGAAGGTGATTAAAAAGGAGGAGGAGATGCACAAAGAGAGAGTAAAGGAGGATAGACCAGAGAGCGAAACAGTGGACTCAAAGGCAGTAGAAAGGTTCTTGAAAGAGCAACGTCAAAATGGCGACATGGCTATAAGCCCTGAAACCTGCCTGTGATTAGCGGATTAGGGGTGGAGGTGAAGGGAACTGTGAGGCGTTCTAATGACACTAATAGATAGTTGTGCATTCTTCAAAATGTGTAACCGGTGGGGGACTGAGTGGTGTTACTGATGTATGGAATGGTACATTTTCTTTAAAAAGGTTTCATCAATAGATGTCTCATAGAATAACATGTTTTTGCTCTGCCATATTCATATCATTCATTTTATTTGGATGTGGTCACCGGCAAATTAAGTCAAGGGGTAAAATGAATTAATTAATATTCCATGTAAAATATTAAAAACACCTTTGAAAAGAAAACAACAATCAACACTATAAATAAATAGGCTTCTATGTTTTGGTAGAACCATTCATGAATGCCGTCTTAATCTCTTTGAGAAGGTTTCACCTACCAAATATAAAAATATACACCCTGAACCATCTGTGAAAGGTGCCCCCAAATCTCCCTAAAAGACTGGAGAGAATGTATCTGGTTTGTTGGTTTCATTGAGCATCTCCTCTGACCAGAACCTCTACATTACAACAATAGGAAGGGAACAAGAACCCACCCAGGTGGTGCTTCTGTAACCAGTTCACATTTCATGGGATTGATCTAGGAATTTGAAGAGCTATTTGTTTCAAAAGGGGTTCTTTGGACAAAAAGGGTTCGCAATAAAACCTGTAGTCTCATAAGAAACTTTTAAAAAACCTCTTTCACCAAAAGGATTCTTTTTGATGTGATTTTATTAAGCTGATTCAAGCATCTCTGCTTAAAAAGTAGCTCTAAACCGCTAGTGGAATAGCTACGATTAGCTGGCTAACCGCTAACCCAAGTCAGCCGGAAACATGCTAGCACCTTCGCTCACTTTCTGAACTAGTTTGCATCTTGATAAGTATTGCTATGATAACTTCATCCAGCTCTCAGCGCAGTCAAACTGTGCTGTATTTCAAGACTACAGTACCTGCTGTTTTTAGAAAGGACAGTATATTTGTGAGACACTTTAAATTTGGTCGATGGTCCAACATGCGGTTAGTTATTGGATGTTGACAATATATATATATATATATATATATATATATATATATATATATATATATATATATATATATATATATATATACTGTAGCCTATATATTTAAAAAAACGATAGAATCACGCCATGCTGATCCTTTAAAAATGAAAGACTACTTTTGTTTGTAATGCAGAATAAGAACAGCTTAGCCGTTTAGGTAGAAACAGTTAACTCAAGTTTTCAAGAAAACTTTTTGTTGGGGGTGGACGCTACGGTTGCTGGGGGGGTGAAGAGTAACCAACGCGACTTGGACCGGAGTCCGATTTCTTGGCATGAGGAATTGGATGTGTGGCGGATGTGCGTGACTAGAGACCAAAATGAGTGACTGTCACGCTCGATGCGTGACACTTGTAGAAACAGCTTTTTATGGATGCTTAAAATGGTCAATGTTTGCTATGAACACATTTAAAAGGCTCACCTCAACTCCTGGTATCATCGAAGTATATTCTCCTGTGGAGTTTACTTTTGCAGATAATGTGGATTTGATTTGATTTGATTCGGTCGTATTGGTAATAAGTGGTTGCTAATGGTTGCTACATGCTAGTTGTGGGTCTTGTAAAGTGGCTTTGTGAATCCTCCTTGCGTTTTAAACAGGACCTGAATATTCTCCACATCTTTGTCATGGTCTTCATCACACAACTATTTCATTGCACACTCACTGTTATTGGTGGTCCATAGCTGTGTGAGTAATACATGTATCAGTATCCATGGTGACAGAATGGTTTATCCAGTGCAGACTAGTGCGTGGGACTGTGTGAAGTGTCACTCAGTTTAGACAAGCGCCGTCTATTTTATCATTCAAGTTACCAAAACAATGGTGTTTTTTTTAACAAAGCATCTCCAAGATATACTAGGGGGGAAACATATTTTTTAAAACTTCTATATGACTATATAAATATTTTATTTATTTTCGGATGTTACAGTGTACTTTATTATAATGTAATACAGCTGAATATCATGCTTTCCCCTAGATGTATTTGGTTCTCTCTTATAAATCGTGACTCACTGTGATTTAAATCTGCAGAATGTGATAAATCTGTTTCTGACAGAAAATCTTGCACTTGAACTCGGTACACCCACCCACACACACACACACACACACACACACACACAGTATGTGTAAATATATTCCTGCTGAATGTCACTGATATCCGTGCAAACTTACTGAGTTGTTCTTTTAAAATCAAATATAACTTCTGAGAAACACCCTGTCTAACCCGTTCATGTTGTTCAATTGTTCTTGCTAACATAAATCAAGTAATCTTCATGTGTGTCTCTTTTGAGCAATATTAGCAAACCGTTCATGACATGGCCTGGTCTTATTTATTTGGCTATTAGTAGATATGTAATATTTTTTTTATTATATTCCTGTTAAAATGTAAAATGCTAAACGATTGCTTATTCAGCAATTAAATAATGAATTTGTTTACTTTTTAAAAGTTATTACAACACTGTGGGAATTGTATTACTGTCGATGGTGGTTGTGGATAAAGATGTCTGGAGTAATACAACATAAAATGAGTTGTTGTTTAATATACAAAATATGAATACATAGTTACAGTTACATTAGACAGGCCGCTCCATATACTGGTATACTGGTATATATAACTAGGATGCAGGGCTTTTACTTTTCATAAAGAATCATTTTAAGTGCTCGTGTTGATATAGACACGCAAGACACGTGAGCCGAGAGTACGGCAACAGTAACCCTGTATGCAAGAGCCGGATAAGAAATGCCCATGGATATTGATCAAGCTGTGGTTCGTCTGGTGTTTAAACTCACAACAGAATCACATAAAGGGTCAAAATGTGTCTTTTCCATCCGCTACTGTCATCTTGCTTCTGTACACCAGGCCGCTAGGGGGCGACCACGGCAAATAGGTGGATACTGACAGTTATTTCGAAGACGAAGAAGAAGAAGAAGAAGAACGCCCAGATAATGTTTCCCGACGGTTCTATTTCGGCGTCGCACACATTTGGAAAGTGGTGCGTGAGGAAATACTCCACTAACTCTAACTATTACAGGTGAAACATTGACATATTAAAATAAAACGTGATATGGTTGTTGGTTACAGTTAGAGCGCGAGGAGGGCGGCGCGTGACGCTGCCAGACGAACAGAACCGAGCTGGCGTTGTGCTTTTGTACCGCGGTGCCGCATCATGTGCGTCGTGGCAGCGTAGCTCCGCTAGCTAAACTCCTCAGTGCGCTTCGTGCTCGTAGACAAACATCAGCTGTGAAGTTGGCCGCCTTAAATAAGTTACTACAACATTGATATTTAGTAAGGTTAACTAATGTTATATACTAAAAACCGTTGATACAGGAACTTTTAACAAAATGCCAATGACGCTAATAATACAACTTATTTAACGTTAAGTGTTTTAAGCTAACGATGCATTCAGGAACTCTGCTAGTTAAACCTTCAGTGTCAGTAAATTCAGACACCTTGTGAGAAGTCCGTGAGTTGGTTGAAACTATCAAACAAACTTAAAAACCGAGTAATACATATGTTTATTTTTTAAATGCGTAGTAAGTTAATGCAGAGGAAATGAAAAGAGAAATGAGGCCAGACAGAATGTTGGTGTTGAAAAGACACGTTCGAGTGCCTGAGAAAATCCCCCGAAAGTTCTGGGGTAGTGAAATGATTTCACATTTAAAGGTTCAGTCCATTATTTTCATCATCAGCTTTTATGTTTTGAAATTCAACACAGTTGAAGACGTTCACAGCAGCCCGGGATGAAATTTGGTGGAACAACTGTGTGCCACAACAAAATCCAAAATCATATTCGTGCCTCTCCTTAGTCTGTCCATTACGTTTACCGCTTTGCAGAGCCTTTTATTTTCTTCCACCTCCCGGTCCGGTGAAGTCGATCGCCAATGATGGCCAAGCTCCAAGGCTTCGAGTTCTGGAGGAAGACCCTGAAGGAGGCCCGCTTCGTGGTGGCCCCCATGGTGGACCAGAGCGAGCTGGCTTGGCGTCTGCTGAGCCGCCGGCACGGCGCCCAGCTCTGCTACACCCCCATGCTGCACGCCCAGGTCTTTGTACGCGACGCCAACTACAGGCGGGAAAATCTGTACAACGAGGTGTGTGAAGAGGACAGACCTCTCATCACACAGGTGAGGATCCACGCGGGCAGACTCAACATCTCCCAGCATGCTCGCTGTTTCGTCACAAAGCTCATGAACCTAGTTTTTTCTTACTTTGAAGGGGGGGGGTTTTCACAATTTTCACATCTGTCCCTGTCTGTCAGTTTTGTGCCAACGACCCAGAGGTGTTCCTCCAGGCCTCCCTGCTGGCCCAGGACTACTGCGACGCCATCGACCTCAACCTGGGCTGTCCGCAGATGATCGCTAAGAGAGGTAAGCACGCTTCTCACCGGAATCAACCCCCCAAATTCTGCCTCTGGCGAGTCCCGGTGTCAGAGAAAGCACTGACAACGAGTTGCATGCAGGCCGAGTGAACAGAAGAAACTAAACCCGCTTTTTTTTTTTTTTCTAAGGGCACTATGGAGTTTTCCTCCAAGACGAGTGGGAGCTGTTAGAGAAAATGGGTGAGTCAGCCGTAGGACCCTGGCAAAGGTCGAAAGGCACCAGTGTTCCCCCTGGTCAGCTGACTTTCCCTCATTTATTTAACAGTCCGGTTGGCTCACGAGAAGCTCTCGGTGCCAATCACATGCAAGATCCGTGTGTTCAAGGAGCTGGAGAGGACGGTCCGCTATGCCCAGATGCTGGAGAAAGCTGGATGTCAGGTGTGATATTAAACCGAGACCAACTGTCCTCTTTTAGAAATATACATTTAGAGCTTTTTATTTGCTTATTCATATTCGTCCGTGAAACCTGACTAGCTTCATGTCGGCTGTGTCCAATGTCTTCCCAGCTGCTCACGGTGCACGGCCGAACCAAAGAGCAGAAAGGGCCTTCGACGGGCATCGCTGACTGGGAGCACATCACGGCAGTACGGTGAGCGGCCGGCACCCACTTTCACTGATGTGTCACATAAACGTTTGACCAGCAATGGAGCAGCTCTTGTGATTGGCATCATTCAGTCAGCTCAACGGGACAGTTGAATAAATCCTCCTGCCTGAACAGCTTGTCTCCATCTCAGCTGTTGGCACATGGTTGACAATAATTAGTTTCTTTCTCACCAGTGAGGTCTGTAATCTTCACTGACTGAGTCATGGTTTTGGGAAAGAAACTTGGCCGAGTGCCATATAGTCCAGCTGTATTTAAGAGAAGACCTCGCTCCCAAACAAATCTAGATTTAGAATAAACCGAGAAATATGTGAATCGTCTCTTTTGGTGTTTGAATGTTGAACTGTTTGTGTTGTTCCTCTGCTGCAGGAAGGCGGTGAACATTCCAGTGTTTGCCAACGGAAACATTCATCACCTGAGCGATGTGGAGCGCTGCATTCAGGAGACGGGGGTGCAAGGAGTGATGAGTGCAGGTCTACACGTCTCATTATGCACTGAATTCAGATACCTGATGTGCATTCGGGCTCACGATATGCCCGTTATGAAACTTACATTGGTGTATTCTCATCTATTTCTTTTAGAGGGGAACCTCCACAACCCGGCGCTGTTTGAGGGATGCAGCCCCCCCATATGGGAGATGGCGGAGGAATACCTGGATGTGGTGAAGCAGCACCCCCCCTGCACTCTGTCCTATGTACGAGCACACCTCTTCAAGCTCTGGCACCACACGTACGTGTCTCTTTCTGTGTGTGTGTGTGTGTGTGTGTGTGTGTGTGTGTTTGTGTGGGCCTGCGTATGCATAAATAACCCACATTAGTCCCAATCTTTAAGATTTCAGCCCTGGCTTATTTGGCAAGCCCCCGGTGGTTACCGCGACAACAGCAGGTGCATTCTAGTACAGCAGCGATTACTTGTTGAGCAGCATCAGCAGAAAGGAAACCAGTTCTCAGTGAAACCTACAGTGTCCCCGTGGCCGTCCGGTTCTGCCCAGTGGACCCAATTTAAAACTAGCATTCTTTCTACTGACCGGCAGTGCGGTAAAAGAAGTCAGGTTGTATAGAAGTCTATGAGAAAATTACTCTACTTCTCTCTGGATTAATTCCATCAGTAAACATGAGTTCATGGTCTCTAGTTTCAATACAGCATGATGTTCATTGAGACGTGAAATCTCCTAAAAGGCATCTGAATGATCCTGCAGCCATCAGGGGTGTGGTTTCATTTCATTTCTGTGAGAGTGTGAATTCAGCGGATCTCTGCGCTCCAATATTAGCCGCTCTGTTTGGACAATGAAATTCAACCTGGTGCCGTTCTGTGGGGAGATACTGCGACTTAAACAGAGTAAGAGTAGCTGAGTGCTGGGTTAGTTCATGCACTATGTAGAGATTATGCACCTTAATGTTAACCTTATTTAAGGCTGTTTAAGTCAGTTTCATTCCTGCAGCACTATAGTTCGTTTGGCTGTCCACTGACTTTTAACTTTATGCTGGGAACACATCTAACAAATGAATTTAGAGCTGTGTGTGTCCTTGTTTGTGTGTGTGTGTGTGAGCAGACTACAGATCCACCAGGACCTGAGAGAGGAGCTGGCCAAGGTGAAGACCCTGGAGGGGTTGGCCGGGGTCAGCAAACAGCTGAGGCTGCGCTGCCAGGTAACTGGCCGTAGAGACGAAGAAGAGGAGGAAAAGGGGTCTTTGAGCTGCTCTAAAAAATCTTTTAATGCTTATGACTTCTTACAAAACCCAGATATTGGTCGGTTACTGCCACAAACCGGCACGGGCGTATTGCTGATTGGACTAATTATACATCGCTGTACGGTGCAGGAGGAGATCGCCAAAGGAAAGGACACTGAGGAGAAGGAGGGCAGCCTGCCGTTCCCCCACTGGATCTGCCAGCCCTACGTCAGGCCAGCGTGAGTCCTCGTCTCTCGTTATGATCCTTTCACTTCCACGCGGCCCTCATACAACCGTAAGCTCTGCATCGAGTGAAGTGAAGAGGAATGCTGAGCCCAACGTTCTTCCATGCAGGCCGAAGGAACCAGTCGTCAACGGCGACAGCCAAATCTCAGAGGTGAAGAAGGCGGTGTGTCAGAAGAGGGCGCTGGAGGACGACGCAGTCAACGACACTCTCTCCAAAAACAAGCAGAAGAAGAGATCCCGAAACCCGCACAAGAACTTCTGCCCGGAGCACAAACGTGAGTCCGACGTGCCGCCTTCCCGTCGGGCCGACCAGTTCCTCTGTGAAAGGAATGGCCTCTTAAAAACACTGTCTCCCCCCGGCCCTCTCTCACTCTCTCTCTCACTCTCTCTCTCTCTCTCTCTCACACTCTCACTCTCTCAGCCAAGTACGTCAAGTGTGAGCAGTGCGGGAACCCAAAGGTCGGTGTGTGTTCGTATTGAAAATGTGGCTTTCTGTGTGTGTCCATTTGTACATATTTATTAATACGGTTTATTTTGCTCCACAGGGCAATAAATGTGTCTTCAACCTTTGTCGAGGCTGCTGTAAGAAGAAGGCCTTCAAGGAGGTGGCCGACTGCCCAAGTTAGTACATGTACAGAGAAGAAAATGTTCCATGAGTATTAATCAGTTTTACTCTTTTGGCAAAATGATCATTTTACCTCTATGATGATCATTTCACCTCCTCTAAGGGAAATAATAACTCGTCAAAACAAGACTCATCAAACCCGTCTCGGTTGCCAAATTCCAACAGCCTCCGAGCCTGAATTGAGAGCGAGGGGTAAAGTAGTCGGCCTCAGAGCCAATAGTAGCTCGCTGAATGAGTCCGAAACGGCGGCATGAAGTTTGTGACAAACTTTAAGAATTCAGCCTTGTAGATACAAGATAGCAAGTGGATTGGCGAGCTTTTGAATGTGCCCTGTAACAGATTTCCTTGACTTTGAGAAACACCCAGTGGGTCGCTGGAACCTTTGGTTAATTGGATGCATGCAGACGCAGTAAAAATGAATGTTAAGATTTAAGGTCTTTTTGCACGGTAACTAGAGAAAACGTTGCTATGCTAATTAGCATCATTTCAACTTAATGAAGTCATCTTTCACAGGAAGGAACGACACTGTATTTGGTTTTCTTCACGCGTCTCGGTGCCTGTTGTCCATCTTTATTCACCGGCAATGGTCCGGAGCAAAGTGAATCTCTTGATGGTAATGGCAATAGAAACTAATCCAACCTTGGTTTGACAGGCCACGGGTTGAGGTTCAAAACCAGGGCTGAGAAGCTGAAAGCTGAGGAGAAGAAGGAGGAGGAGGAGGAAGAGGAGAAGGACTCGGCGACAGAGACCGATGCAAGTGCAGCGCTGCAGAAGCAGTCGGAGGCACGACTGCCACTATGAGCGGGACTAAAGCCGGCTGCACGCACACAAACTGCCCTCTGGTTGGTGCAGCACTGAGCCCTCGTGTGTCAGGAGTCCTGCTTCCGGGACGTTTCTCTCTGACCATCAGACAGGTCAATGGCCTCTAAACATTTTGACGTCCAAAATGCTGTCACGGTGTAAAGCCTGCTGCAAGGCTCCCGTTGGACCCTCTTTGATGCCTGGGTGAGGAAACGGGGGTCATTCGATTGGTTTGTGCACGCAGAAGAAGCCAATCATGACTTTTCGCTCATCAATCAGCAGATCAAACCAGAAGAAATGTCTTGTTTTTGATATGATGTGGATTAGTGTGGGATTTTTTTTCTTCTGATGGGACAGTTTGGAAGATTTTTCTCAACTCTCAATTTTCTCTGGTATTCAGCATTCCAACATCATTTAGCCAAACTCCAAAGTCAAGAGTTGGCATTTTCTGCTCCTCAGCTAACCTTTTTTTGAGGGGTGAAGTCAAGATTGCTCACAGTGCATATGTGCCTTTTTGACGAGAACTACAACTGCTTCTCAAGGTCTGAACAAAGGTAGCGTGAGATGAAGGTGCTGCACAGCGGCCACGCAAGCTGTGGAATCGTGCATGCACTGTTTGTTATTGGAATTATTCCCTCTATATTAAAGTGTTCAGCCTGACTCGGGGCAAGCGTAGCTCTATCAAAAGACACTGGTTCACTAGCTTACTTGCTAACGAGACGTTTACTGGAGGATAGTGGTGCAGAAGTGATTCTAGTCTTTGTGCTGACATGCCCCCATCTTACTTAAAGCCCCCTGAAATGAACGTTATGAGAAATAACTGTTGCTCTGACTTTGTTTTTGTTGAACGTAATGTCATTTTCTTGTTTAAAAAAAAAAATCATCCAAGTTTTAGCACGGAACCATGTCCATCTTTTAAAATTGCAATTACTAACTTTTATTAAAATCCCATGTCATATTTTGCTTTCTTTGGAGGAGCTGTCAATCACTGGTCATGCAGCGCTGATCTAACATGCAGGGCCGGGTAACGTGTATGTTGGCGGTCAGCACGAGCAATTAAGTGGTTAAAAAGGTAACCGATGTTTCTGAGTGAGCAGTTTGCTTCTTTGTTTTGTTGGTTTGATGAAATGCAGTGTGAATACAGTCTTATCAAAAATAATTCTCCAGCGTCACACTGCAACGAATGATTCAAAGCTTTAATGCAAAGGCGACGAAACCAGAGAGCATGTAACTAATAAAGGGACAACGGGGGCTGAGAGTGCAACTCAGGGGAGAGGCGTCAAAGAGTGAAGCGGCGTCTTGGAGGTTTACATCTCTGTCTCCGTATCCTGGTTGATGTAGGCATTGATCCACGAGCGGTACTCGTACACTCGGGTGTAGACGCCAGGGAGGCCATTGGGATCACAGCTGCCGGAACTCATGATGCCCACCTGCACCAAGGTATTGTCTGCCTTACACACCAGCGGGCCGCCATAATCCCCCTTTGGAAACACACACACACACACACACACAGTGTAAATCTTGTTCTGGATTATCATTAAGAGCTTGCCATCCAATTGGCTTTATGCTACGCAATATGCTATTCGCTTGAATGCGTACTTTAATTGTGATCATTATCCATGTAACTGAAGGGTCTGTGGACGCGTGTATAACTTAAAATGTAGATTTCAAGTGCTTCGGTGTCAAGAGTTTGGAAACTAAATCCATCAACAAGGCTGTAAATTCACACATTGTTTTTAGCTTCAGTTCTTTAGGTGAGAGCAACGCTACAACAATGTACAAATATTCCGTAATGTAAATGTGACCAACAGAAGAATAAGCAGCGATGCACTTAAAGTATCAAAGTAAAAGCACTGCAGTAACTCATTTACTCTCACACATGCATATTAGATGGTCATTGCTGACTCCTCAGTGGCTAATAGCGAAGTCTCCCCATTCACACGCTGAAATGTGCCAAAGGGAGTAGGACTCACGTCGCAGGCGTAGTCCTCTGCACACAGCATATTGGAACCCAGCCCCGGGCGCTTGTCCTTGCAATCCTTTTTAGAGATGATGGAAATCTGCCGCTGCTGAAGTTTCTGTGGTTTCTTCAGTGGAGCTGCGTAGACAAACGCACATAGTGAGAAAAGACGAGGCGATAGTTTATGCTCTCAAAGACACTGAAGACAGACCTGCGTTTAGGTTTTTCTGTCTTAAGGACTTGAATGAACCAAGTGCCTCCTGTTGCTTAATGATTACCTACCATGTTATTTTGTTACACATAGAGAATCATTTTTCTATGTGTAATAGTTCTATCTTAGCCATAACGGCCCGGAGGGCCCTCAGTGTTCTCATACGTCTTTGTGTGCAGAACTTACTTCCTTTCCTAACGTCTCCCCAGCCCATGATCCAGCACAGAGAAGATGCTCCGAAGTTGTCTTTGGTGGGCAGACTTATCAGCCCGACTTTGGCGTTCATCTGGATCGGGTCCGTTGTGTGGAACAGAGCCAGGTCGGCCACGCCATGGATTTGGGGGTTCCTGTCTATGCCGATGAATTGGTCAGCTTCGTTTTGCAGGTCTATTAAGCCCACAGTAAGCACGGTCTTCCTCAGGACTGGTGCAGATTTTCTGGACACACACACATCAGGAACTATTACACACACTGGTATTCTAACTTCTTTTTTGTCTTCTTTTGTTTAATGATAAAAGTTCCTTCTTCATTAAACCATAGTTACCTTTCTACTTTTCCATGATTTAAAGCAACTGGACTTGTCTGTTTGCTATAGAGGACAAACAGTTCCACATGACATGATTCTATACGCTGTGTGATACTGCAACTGCTGGAGTCATAAACGATATGCCGACGTAACTCCGCTCTGCATCTGCCAAACTGCTTGTTCCTCCGTCACTGAGAGCAAAACTCTCGACTAGATCACGACTCTTTGCTGTTCTGCTGCTAAATACCTCTTCAGACTCTACCTCGACTAAAAACACTAACAAATTGTAGCACTTGTTGTTGTACTTATAATGGTTCTATAGCAAGTTGTGAATCGGCTTACTTGATGAAATTGCACTTTCTTGTTTCTTGTTCTTCTGAGTTTGTATCCTTATGGTTGAAATGCACTTATTCAAAGTTGCTTTTGATAAAAGAGCGTCAGCTATATGACATGTAATGTAATAATATGATTATAAGGAAAACAATGTTAATAGTGCATTAAGGACCTGGGTGTCTAAGAAAGTTTTTCTAACTTGTTTTATTATATATGAATATTCACTGAGCTTTGAGTTGTTTTGTGTGTCAGTCATTTATGACACTATAAAGTCATGATGTAATTATGATCTTCCATTTCAATAACAAAATATGCACAGTCATTACATTTCATGCAAATTTGACACACAATCACACTCTGGCACACTTACCTTTTCCAGCAGCTCGCAGCACTCATCACCCAGTACTTGGACACGATGGTGGCGCCGCAGCCCCACTTCTCTTTGTCCTCATTCATGAACTTCAAGTAGGCCATCCATTTCCAGTTGTTTGGCTCAGCATCCTTCCCATCCACGATGGAGCTCCTCACCTGGGCTCCGAGCAACTCTAAAAAAACAACAATGATGTCACATGATGTGATGACCACATAAGACCCAAAACAAATTAAACATCTCACTAAATATTCAGATTAATGTTTATCTCTCCAAAAAATGGAAGAGCAGAAGTTACAAAAAACCCCATACTAGTTGTACAGGGGTTATGTGACGGTGAGTAGTAACGACTTGAGCTTGTTTGTTGCACCTTCAATACGGATGACACAAACAAGATCCAACGCACAAATAGTGAGTTCTATTAATCAGCAGGTTGAAACCATGCTTGCATATGATTATGTCATACTGTCTCATATCTGCCCAATAGCTTGTCTCTCTGTCTCTGTTTCTCCAAGTGAAGAAAAGAAAGAAGATAACGGTTAAGGAGTGTTTGCAATAAAGCCGCAATAAAAATACATGTTGAGTTGAGAAAAAATAAAAAGCACAATTTTGATGCCTTGCCTCACTCAGCAACCTCCAGCTATTGAGTGAAAATAAACCCAGACAGAAGAATTCGGTCTCTCACCTCCAGCGTTGTGGAGCAGCACCAGCGCAGAGAGAAGCGCCCAGAAGGTCATGGCTGCTGAGTGAAGCCGTGTCCCCGCAAACTGCACCTTTTATGAAGCGCTTATCAGCGTAATCAGCCCCAATCTTCTCCTCTCAGACCACAAGTGGAAAAGTACTTTTACTTCAGTACTGTGATGTAAGATACCAAAAGTTTGCCCGGGTATTTCCACTTTTTATTCTTTCCCACACCACTTCGGCGAGAAATATTATACTTTTAACATGAAAAGCATAGCTGAGTTTTATAAATGGATATGGTTATACATAAAGATCATAATTTTTTCTCTTAAAATATTATCCACTTTAAACTTTAAACAACACAGAAAAGAAGAAGAAGTCTTTTTTTGTTTTGTTTTTACAGATTTTAAAGCCCCAAAGTCTTTTTACAGTGAACAGTTGGGTCACTTTAATGCATTAATGCAAAAGTAACGCAAAAGTATTTTAAGTAAAAATACTTTATGTATTGATCATCTGTCCTCACCCTAAAGATGATACAGGAATATCATTATTATTGCATTCATACATATTGTGTCTACATAATGATCAGACAAGTCCTGAATGTTGTTGCCTAACATCATTCAATCTCCCCATTTGAACACTCAATGTGGTAAATTTTTGAAATAGATCAATATAAATATGACGACATTTCAAGTTCTAAAATATATATATATATATATAAATCTAAAATATACTGTATTTTTTATATATATATATCATAAGTCGTTTTTTTCTTGACAAATGTTTAATTAAACGTAAACGCACCCGGCCAACGTGAATAGAGTCACCGTGTGGGAACGTTCAAGGGTTTGTTTTGTTTCACCAGGAATTTATTTTTATGTAACACCGCGTCTCGGTGCGACGTATTGTTGTTAAGTTTACACTGACGAAGTTCACAATGTCCGCCACTTCCGGGCAGTCTCCGTCCGGCGCGTAGCAACCACGGCGGAGAATCGTGCTCCGTGCCCGGCGCACCTGAAGTAGCCTCAGCCGTTAGCCTGCTAGCGGTGACGCAGCGCGGCTGGTTGCCCCGTGGCCATGGAGCGCGAGGAGCCCCCCCGCGAGGAGCCCGCTCCCCGGGCCGACAGCAGCGGTGGGTCCGCGTCTCGGTTCCCCTCGATCCGTGTCAAATTATACATCACGTGACCCGCGGCGAGAGCCGCTAAACGCGTGCTTGTGTGTGCGTTGCAGGTGCTGCTGCCGCACAATGGCGCAACTGGAGTGGATTTTGGTGAGTGTCCATTTGTTAATAATTAAGCGGGACGTTTATTGTCGAGCTAAACCGAAGTTTGCTCGCACTTCTCCTCCCAGCTACGGCTGCTGTGGACGTGTGGCGGATGAAGCTGGTGAACCAGTGACTCATTGCGTCCACTGTCAAGCGAAGTTTGACTTCACTGAACATTAAAAGAAGTGTTCCCCGAAGTACTTCGGGTCATTTTGTCGATCGCCGTGTCAAAGAAAGACACCGTAATGAGGACAGAAGGGACATATGTGGCAAACAAGCAGTTATTGCAATTGGATGAAAGTGATGTTTGCAGGAGATCCGATCAAGAAGCTTCAGTATAAAAATGTAACGGTGCAATTCCCATTACACTTAGTACAATAAATATTGGAGCAGGGCATCATATTGCAATTGTCTTCATTTATTCTGTAATCTAAATTACTTTTTAATGTGAAAAATAATCTTGTGAATCACTGATGCATTTACATCTTTGTTGCTAAGAAGGCCAGTGAGTGTGTGTCTGATTTCCCACTCAGGCTCCTTGGATTGTGTAACAACTTTGCCTACGTGGTAATGCTGAGCGCCGCTCACGACATCCTCAACCAGCAAGAGTCCAGAAACACCCCGGATCCCGTGAGAATCACACGTGTCTATTGCAGCGACCCTCGATATAAGTGAAAACTATGATTTGCTCTTTACCCTTTTCCTTCCTTTTGTATGTATTTAGACTTCAGCAACGTTGGCTGTGGAATTCCAAGGAGGAAACCGTAGCAACAGCAGCCGCTACGACTGCAACCCCGTCTCCACGGCGGTAAATGAGCATTCAGCACACAACGGGGAACCAACTCAACCAGCCTGTGTGTCTACAAGGAACTGCTAGCGTCTCAGCAGAGAGTCAGCAGTAATGTACACAGAGACTGTCCTTCATCCAAACCAAACAAGATACTTTACATTTCAGTGCCACGTATTTGCTGATGAGAGATGATGAGACTTCATATTAGATGCACCTCTCAGAATGACCCAGTACAGTTCAAAAGCAGACTTTAAACCAAACTCAACAAATCGATGCTGTATATATTTCACTACCCGTTTTCTCACACAGTAAACCGGTAGTGAAACTAAAGTGACAAACTTGAAATGGAAGATATTTGCTGCTGCCAGTGCAGCAGAGAGGGGGTCAAGTGTTGCTTGAATGTATAAAATAAGGGATTGTGACACAACCTAAATATTATTTTCCCCCAGCGTTTGTTAATCTGCATGTTGTGTTTGAGTTGATAGCGTTAGACGACCTGAATGCTGAGTGAGCGCTCTGATGCTTCTCTCCTCAGGCTGTGCTGTTAGCCGACATCCTCCCAACGCTCGCCATCAAGTTGTCAGCTCCCTTTGTGATCCACAAACTGCCTTATGGGTAAGAAAATGTCCCCCGTTATCGCCGGTTGGGGAGACATGTGAAGCATCAAGCAGCCGTTGCGTCATTTTGTGTCCACAGAAACATTTAGTCACTTCTAGTGCCTCATGTTGCTTTTTCTTTTTTTTGGAACATTCTTAAAAAAAAAAAAGAAGTAAATAGTGTGTTCTGTTTATTTTGCTCTTGATAGACTAATCATTGCATCATTGGTTAGTCGAATAATATGTTCCTAATGACCTCCGTCAATGACGATAACTGCACCGACGGTCGTACTTTTCAACTTTGAGACCTCACGAACTGGGAAGATTTCAAAAGAAGATAAATCCGGTTCTAAATCCTTGTTTCATGAACATAGAGTGAAATGAGTTCACCGAGGGGACTTTAGATATCTTTTTGTTTCACTCTATCAATGAGCGAATACCATCAGCAATCGGAGAGGAAACTCTTTCAGACAGGACAGCGGTAATAACACGTTGTAATAAAATGACGTTCGTTTTCAACACTACAGGGTGAAAAAAATGTAACTACGTGTAAACCTACTGAAGCCTGTCCAGTTAATGATAAAAGACCAGACTTAAATGTGCGCTGGCAAATGGATCTGTATCTACTGGTAACCTTTGGTAAAATGCACCAAGTAGTAAAATGAAAACCAAAATGTTTATTTGGGATGTTTCTGTTCCACTAGTCTGAAAGAAGGAAAAACATACATATTTTTCCAAATCTCAAAAGCTACCAGGGTATGATAACTTTCATCGTTTTTGTCAAACAATGTTAACTTCATGCATTCATTTATTCGTTCGTTCTTCCACGTCGCTGCGATATCACTCCAACGAAGCGTGTTTGTAGAGTGAATAAATCCAATAGACTCTTGTGTTGTAACGTACTTTTTAAATTCCTGCTTCTCCAGTTTCCGAGTGTTGTTCTGCGCCTTCATGGCCGCAGGCAGCTTCCTCCTCGTGTCCTTCTCCTCGGCCGTGTGGATGAGCATTCTGGGTAAAGCTTTTTTATTTTATTTTTTAAATCGTATTATTTTTATCTGTTATTGGTGGTGGAACTGTGATGAAAGATACGATGCAGATTAAAACACGCTCACTGTTACTTCCTGCCATCTTATCTGAACGGCTTCCGCTGCATTTACTGAGTTCTGATACCGTTTTAGTCTTCACGTGACCTTCTGCTGGACATTTTTTAATCGGCATACTAAGACTGATCAGTGAGCTGATTGTTTATGTGTTTACATGTTTACAAAACGCCATCCATTTTAAAGCCTGCAGCAAATGAATCTAAAGCTGGTTAATTACTGGTATAAAACCCCTCTGTAGATGTTTTCGTAGTGCACGTACTACTGTGTGTGTGTGTGTGTGTACGTGGAGGAGCTCAATGCCAGATAGCAACACACGCCAACCGCTGCCAACCGTCTGCACGGAATCGCTGTACAAGCAGTTCTAACTGGGCTTCTAGACCAGCAAAGGGTCTGTGGCGCCCTGGAGCCCTTTTATTTTTACTTTTCCAACCTGGGAGCAACAAAAGACCCTGGAATTGTCACGGTGGAAAATGAGTACAGGAGGACCCCAAGGCCCCTATTCAGGACCCCTGTTGCTCCGAACCCTCTTGCACCGCGTGTGCAAAAATATCAGTGACGATGTTCAGAATCTGAGGTCAGCAATTGTGTGTGCTATTCTACTTCTATTAACTATGAGCCGTTCCAATCAAATGAAAGTGTCAGTCAGCACTCCTGTCTAAAGCCGAACGCACACGTGGTTCTTCTTCTCTCGTCTGATGACGATCTCGGCCTCTGTGTCTCCCAGGTGTGATCTTTGCGAGCGTCGGCGCCGGCCTGGGCGAGCTGACCTTCCTCTCTCTCACCGTGTACTTCAGCAGGTAAACACTTTGTCGCACAGCGCTCCCTCATCGAGGGAGGAGGCGTGTTTAATGGTGTAAAAACGTCTGTTGATATAAATAGTATTTAAGACAATCAAAAATAAGGCTGGCTTCATTACATTGTCAGTAATAACCAAAGGTGTTTGCAATTCATTTTTATATATATATATACATATATATATATATACATATATATATATACCTCCTCACCGGCCACTTCAGCAGGTACACGTTGCCAGTAGAAGGTTTGCCATACCTTTTTGCACACTTTCAACAACGTATTGGAAACATTTTTGTCCATATTGACACGATGGCATCACGCAGTTGCTGCAGATTTGTCGGCTCTCGCGTGGCGCCGCATCCCAAGATTGAATTGAGATGTGGTGACTGGAGGCCGTCGGAGTACAGTGAACACTGTACACTGAGCTTTGTGACACGGTGCGTTATCGGACGATGTACACTGTGATCATAAAAGGATGGACAACAACACTCCAGTAGGCTACAGCGTTTAAACAATGTGGCATTTAAAAAAAAATGGTACTTAAGTGTGCCAAGACAATATCCCCGACTCACCTGAACCACTGATACAAGGCAGGATGGAGCCATGCTTCGTGTTGGGTTTGGGTTTGGCCACATTCTGACCCAACCATCTGAATGTTGCAGCTGAAATCGAGACTCCTCACAGCAGGAAACGTTATTCTGCATTGCTTGGTTGTAACAAGTGCTCAATTTGTGTTATCAGCAATGGACTGGTTGTACCTATTAAAGTGGCCAGTGAGTCTATGTATGTATGTATGTACGTACGTACATTCACAGAATCGTTCTGGTGCTTTGTGATGCATTTGCAACCTTTCAGAATGACATCAACATTCACCGTTATGTAATACTTTTAATACAAGTATGGCTCAATAAATGAGAATAAATACTTTAAGATTGAATGTTGCTTAGATTCCTCTACTTTGCCCATGGGTGTAGATTTGTGATGTCCCAAACATCCCAGGTGGTGATGCGCTGAAGAACAGTTTCCTTTAAGGTCCTCAATTTTTGAATTGTGAGATGTTTTGCCCCCCTCCTCCGCAGGGATGTACTGGGAGGTTGGGGCTCCGGCACTGGCGGCGCCGGTGTGGGTGGAGCCCTCCTCTACTCGGGCCTCACCCAGGCGGGCCTGTCTCCCCAGGTCACGCTTCTCAGCATGCTGGTGGTGCCGGTCGTCATGTGTCTGAGGTGAGTGAGACCGGAGGACGGTCGGACACAAAAATATTGTCCCTTATTGCCGCATCGTATGTCCTGATCCGTGTGTGTCATGTGAATTGTGTGGCTGCACCGTCATCAACATTCAATTCAACACTTTTTATTAAATGTCTTTTTATTTCTCTCCACTACCAGCTATTTCTTCCTGCTGGATCTCCCCCCTTCATTACCTCAGTGGAGATGCGCGGAGACGGAGTACAGGGCGGTGGGCTCCGAGGACAGACGGGCGCTGATGGACGGATCGGAGGAAGAGGAGCAGGAGAAGTCAACGCCAGGTACGTGGGCTAAAAACCCTGACGCACGCTCCAATTCACTGATAAAGGACGAGTGGACTTTTAGAAGCAATCCTCGGTGAACTGTGGTGAGTTTTATCTTCTGACACACTTGAGGGTTTGAGGATCAGATACACGTCGGCGCTATCGGCTCCGTGTACCGCAGAAAACTGATACCATCACTTTGTGAGAAGACCGATGGCTTTAACACACTTAGTTATAAAGCTTTCTAAAAGAGTGAAAACATTCTTATGAGTCATAAGTTGGCTGCTGGGGCTCCAGTATCACAGCACCGCCGTCCGCTCAACCATATTTCTTTATCTTTAATATATCGCAATCGTTGACGTTAGAATAATTATGATCTATTTCTCTCTCTCACACACACACACACACACACACACACACACACAGTCAGTGTTCAGCACAAAAGGTCAACATTTATTGCTAAAATCCACTAGATGTTTAGATATTTGGGAAAACCTTCAACGCGGCCGTGTGCGTAACGTTAACCGTGTTTCACTAGCTAGCAGGCCTCGGCTTGCTCCGCCACACGTCTGTAATCCACACCGCTCGGGTTCTGAAGCGGAGCACAAAGACTTGTTTGTACCGAGGCGTTTAAACTCTCCGCGCCTACCAAAATGAACTGGTTTATGCAAACAAGACTGAACCAGAACTCCACGACAGCAGATTATCTGTAAAGTCGTATCATATTTTCATGGACCAAACCAGAAGAATTCCATGCGTTTGGTAAACTAAGGTTTAATGTCCGGTAAACGGGACGGTGTTACTAATGGGAGTGTGTGTGTGTGTGTGTGTATGTGTGTGTGTGTGTGTGTGTATGCGTGTGTGTGTGCGTGTGTGTGTGTGTGTGTGTGTGTGTGTGTGTGTGTGTGTGTGTGTGTGTGTGTGTGTGTGTGTGAGTGACCCTCTCCCCTTCAATGCAGCAGAGGTGATGACGGCCGGACCGCTGACCTTCACAGAGAAGCTTTGTGTCGTCAAAGTAAGTTCAGCTCAAACGCTGCTCCCTGTTGGTCGGAGGTATTTGCCGCTGACGCGTCTTGCTTCCTGTGATCAGGGCCTGCTGTGGTTCGTGTTGCCTCTTGGACTGGTCTACTTCGCAGAGTACTTCATCAACCAGGGCCTGGTAGGGGGAGCCCATCCACCCCACTGCATGTTGTCAGAGATACAGGAGGTGCCGTGATATTGAGCCCGTTTCCTTTTTCGCCAGATGGAGCTCCTGTACTTCCCCAAACTGTTCCTGTCCCACGCGCAGCAGTATCGCTGGTCCGTTACTTGGAACAACTTCATTAAACCGGTTCAGGGGCGTAGACTTCAGAGTGGCTGATTGATGGTGTGTGTGTGTGTGTGTGTGCGCGCAGGTACCAGACGCTGTACCAGGTCGGTGTGCTGGTGTCTCGGTCGTCCCTGTGCTGTGTGAAGATCAGGAATCTGTGGACTCTCTCTCTGCTTCAGGTCAGAAACAAAGCACCGAGAGATGTTTGCATGAAGCACAAGAGCCCAACTGGGTTACAATCTCCTCCAAAATATTTGCAAATTGTTGACTGGCAACATTAAGCTGATGATTCTTTATTGTCCACGTGTGGCAATAACCCTGGTCCAGGTTAAGTGTTAAAGGCGTTCTAAAATCTCGTGGACTATTAAGCTTCTATAACACGTCATCTTTCAGACTACCGGGGAGAAAAAAAATCCCAAATACACATTATGGTGTTTATTTTATTAGTTCTTCCAAATTCACAAAAAGTTACAATTAGCTAATGGCTCATTTGTTATTTGCTGTTATTTGTTATATCACCATATCAAGTATGGTCTGCTGCTATCGATTATCAAAGGCGGTTCAACATAGGCTGCCCTCGCCTGGGCCTTATTGGCGTCTCCCCCCCCCCCACCCTCCCCACTCATTTGGCTAGAAATAGCCAAACGACGATCTCAAAAATGAGCTTGAAGTTATTTTCTACAACGTCACTTTTAACGGTTGAACTTGTGCGCGCTGACCTACTGTACGTCGATCACCATGCTCTCCGTTCCCGCCTCGCCCTCCCGCAGGTGGTGAACGCTGTGCTGCTGCTGTTGGCTGTGCGCTTCCAGTTCCTGCCCAGTGCCTGGGTGGTGTTCGCCATCGTCCTCTACGAGGGCCTGCTGGGCGGAGCGGCGTATGTCAACACCTTCTACTTCATCAGCAAAGAGGTCCGGTCCCACACCGCTGCACCCACTCACTGTTCCTACACACCTGGACGAGGGGAAGAGAGGAAAAAAGACGCTCCCCGCTTCCTTCTCGTTCCCCGCTGAATATACGTGTGTGTGTCTTCATCCTGGTGTGTGGTCTTTTTGTCCCTGCAGACCGGAGACAGACACAGGGAGTTCGCCATGGCCGCTGCCAGCGTCGGGGACAGTCTGGGCATCGCCGCGGCCGGACTCGCCGCTTTCCCCGTCCACAGATACTTCTGCTCCCTGTGACCCCAGCAGGGGACGCGACGTCTTCTGTTTACATGAGGAAACCTTTTCCTGCAATATGACGAGTTTTCAACGGTAAAAGTGTCCTTAAGATTTTGCAGGTTGTTCAGAGAAACGGAGCGTTGATTTGTTTTACGGTGTTTCTGAATAATGGAACAGAATGAAGCTTTTTATTTATTTATTTTTTAAATAACAACAAATGTTTCTAGATCATATAGTTTGAGGACACAACTTGTACTAATCTTCTTTTTGATTTGATTGTTGTATTACTGACCTCGCTTGTTATTATTTACCTTTAACACTGAGTGTTTACCACTCGCTGCCTTCACACAAAGGTGCACTCTGCTACACAGCAACCCTTCACGTCACATCTGATCTCTGTTATGCTGTTATTACATTTCGATGTCTGCTCACAAACAAAGAGAACTCACTGTCGTCGCCCCGTCACATTGATTTTTGGCTAAACAGTGGACATGAAGGTTTCCTCTCCCGACAGACGACTCGCAGGTTAGAAGATGAAAAGGTTCATAGTGTCTCGGGTTATTGCTGACCTACATGCGTTTATTATTTAGTTTACTGGAGATAAGAAACATTGTTTATGTGGATTAGCATTTCATATCTTATTAAGTGTAACACTGTGGGAGGCAGGACGACACCTCGAGCTGCATTAATGTACATGAATGTCAGCGAGGAGGATGCATCTCAGGGTATGCCTGTCAGCATTGATAGTTTTTTGGTGATTTTTATCTTATTTCTCACCCCGGTGGTTGGATTGCAATGAATCACAAGCACACTGAAAATGGTATCGTTGTTTTCCCTCTTTATTATTTAATCCATCGAGTGACTGCCTGAAAAACCCTGCTCTTATTTTCTTTAGAATTTCCGCTCCTCCCTTCGCCCAGCCCATAATACAACCCAACGCACACACAAAGCAAGAAATGTAAATGTGCCTGAATAAAAAAAAAAAGAAATAAAATATGAATATTCACATATTTTTTGTAGTCACGGATGCTGTAACACAACTTGACGTATGTGTCGGCTGGACGCCGACACATACGTCACTTGCTTAGATAGCAGCTGTAGACCAAAAGTGTTTTACGTTTTTGCAGTCCCGTATCATATCCAACTAAAGATTTATGATTTTGATAATTATATTTTCAGGAGTAGACAAATTCACTGATGCGTGTAAACATTCCAGAGCCGCTGAGCACTAACCTCACGTTTGGCTTCATGGAGTTGATTTATGGGAAGAGAATTTAATTTCCACGGAACTCTATTAACTTATTAATACTCCCCCAAAACATTTTTGCACGAGGTTTGCTCACAAGAATCTTTGTTTTCTCAGTAAATTTAGTGTAAAACATTGTTGGTAACTTTGTACTTTGTCCACCTACACAACCTGTTTTCTCTTAGACGTGTGCACATTCCTGCTGACATTTAACCTACTTTCATTTTGTATTCTGCTACTACTGTTGAACCACTTGCATTATGTTTTCAAGCCTGTGCTTTTTTAGCTAGTTAGATGTTGAATCAAAGGTTTTAAAATGGGTGATTATCATATATTTTGTAAAATGCAAAACATAAATAAATTTATAGATTTTTTTTCTGTTCATATGAAATTACACAGCATGATAATGTTGGTCCAGCTGTTCGCTCTCATAGCTGCTTTCCACCTTTGGATTATTGTACCAGAGGTTTCATTCAAAGACCTTTCTCTCCCAACGGATTGTCATTAGAACTGCAACTAAAAACTATTGTCATTGACTATTCATTTGTATCACAGAGGCAGATCCTCACAAACTGCTGACAATATTTTGTCGACTGATGTCTTAAGTTTGCATTAAATTATACTAATTGAGATACATTTGAGCAATGATGTGGTTGTGCAACTACAAATACCCTTTAAAGATCTGCTTTAGAAATGCTTATTTTTTTACTTTGATTTTAGTACTCTGCCATGAATAATCATTTCTGTCTGATATTTTTAGCCACAACAAAAGGTAGATTTCTTTTAAATAAAATCGCATCCATTTCGTCCCATATATGATACTGATGAATCCAGTATCCAAGTAGTTCACGGAGAGGCTTCCTGATGTCTTCATTCATCCTCCGTGTCATTGAACTGTGAACAGACTCCTCCGCCCGCGCGCCCCACACCGGAAGTTACAGTCGTGCGTTTTCATGAGCTCGGCAGGAGTGGGCCGGCAAAGACGACAGTTACCGGGAGGGAGCGAAGAGGAGCCGGTGGGTCGATTCCCTGGGAGGAACCGTGTAGATGTTTGAGTAACGTTCAGCCACCATACACGCTACAGTACGTGCGCCTACTCTGGATTCCTCCGATTAGCGGCGTTGTGTGTTCCGTAGTGATATGTGTTGCTAGCGTTAGCTAGCCTGCCACATTAGCCGAGAAGCGCTAGCCAGTGTTGATGCTTTGGTGCCCCGACAGCCGTGCTTAGCTAGCTAACATACAACGTTTTGGCAACTATGCTAAATGTAACTGTTGCGCTTAATGTGTGCCTTTTCCCTGGCAGCAGTTCGTAGATATTATCTTTAACCATTGGGGCACATTACTAATTATAATTAGATACGTTATCAAAAGAGCAGTCGCTGACGGCTTTAGCAGCTATTCAAGCTAGCGTGCTAACGGTTAGCTCGTAATTTAGCTACGCCCATAGGCCTCACATTGCTGAACGAAAAACGCCAGTTTCCTCTCACCCATTGTTCAGTCGGATTTATAGTGACGTCCGATGAACTAATAACGCGACGCTAATCTCCTTGGTTATGATAAAGTAACCGTGTCGTTTAGTCAACAACTGAAGCTCGAGTTAACAGCTGGTGAGGTTAGCTAACGTTAGCTATACCCGCTCCTCCGCTAAAGTAAATTCAGTTGCGTTGTTTTTTCTATCTTTCGAATTAGCCGTTGAATTGTTTCCCGTATCTTATGCCCCTTTTCATCTTCTTAGTCTGAAATACCCAGCAAGAGGCGTATAAAGGACCCTGCCCATTTCCGAGGAAGGAGTGTGTTGTGGCTGGGGACGACAGAGAGAGAGCCGGGTTCCTGCGCTGCCCCCCCGGCCCGTGACCAGAGGACTGTGTGACCGTAGTGTGTGAGCAGCTCTCCCTATGTGTGTCACAATGGGGGACATCAGTGATCTGGACCGACAGATAGAGCAGCTCAGACGCTGTGAGCTCATCAAAGAAAACGAAGTCAAAGCACTGTGTGCCAAAGCCAGGTAACGTGTTAGCAGTGTCTCCTCTGGCCCCTTTGTCTCCAACTGGCATCACCTAACGTGCAATACATTAAGCTGTGTCCTTTGGCAGACTACATATGACTTGTATTCAGTATTTACCACATACTCATTTTAAGGGGACGTTCAATGAATGGAAAATGTGATGGCACTCGAGTCGTGCTCCTTGTTGTAACAGCTGAATGAAACCACAACGAAAACCCCAATATTTACTTTTTTGTTTTCCCCCAAAACCTGTATGATAGTAACTCCAAAAATCTGCTTGGAATTGGTGGGTATTATGACACCCTGTATGACGCAGCTTGGGCTCTTGTTTTTCTGAGATGTTTATTTTTTCCACTATACAACAAGTTACAAACAGGAAGTTGACATATCTTGTTTACTTTCAGAGAGATTTTGGTAGAAGAAAGCAATGTTCAGAGAGTAGACTCCCCTGTCACGGTAAGTAATGCTTTCCTTTGGCCCTTTTTTGCTTAAAAGTTGATTAAATGTCGTAACGTTTCTCCTGTTTGATGTTCCCTCAGGTGTGTGGTGATATACACGGCCAGTTCTATGACTTGAAAGAGCTTTTCAGAGTAAGTCTTTTTTTTCTTCTTCTTTTTTTTTTACACACGCATCCACACTATGAGGGTATAAATGACACAAAAATACAAATAATTCCCCTGTGAGTATTACTTATTAAAACCATTCATACTGGTGGAGATAATGACAATTGCTACGCTCTTCCTGGGCTGGGTGGTGTACCGTTTAAACCGGTTTCAACCGGCCCTAACAACTGGTGCAGCAAATTGAATTATTCACCGCTGAGTGTTGGAGCTACTTGTCTTATGTTTGTTGAGATGGAGTCATGGTTATAACGACAATCAATAAAACCACAACAAACACTTTTTAACAGAGTAAAACACCAGGAGAGTTTGACACATGAACAATTTGTAACACTAGTAATTGTACATGCCAAAGTGCATGCTGGGTACAGCTCGCCCGCTACCACAAGAAGAAACTTCTTTGCTACATGGAAACACTGAATAGAGCAGTGCAGGAGGAACAACGAGAGACCAACGATGCACCAACACAACTTGTGCCCTAGAGAGGAGCTGTGTGCTGTTTGGAGGGGTTTTGAAACGTCACAGAAAAACAATTTATTGCAAAGTTTGTCTGTGATAAGAAGCTGAACAAGGAGGGACTTAGGACCCAGCGGAATGCTGGTGAAACAAACAAGTGACAGAACGGAAGAGAAGCCGAACAAACAACTGGGTTCCTTTTGACCTTCAGCGATATGAAAAGAATGTCTTTGTTTTGCTTAGGTTGACTAAGTTAATTTGAGTTCCATCTGGCTAACAGTTATGCATTGTATATGTCCAGGGCTTTTATTGTGAAAGTTGAGAAGGAAAGAGTGGTCCTCTTGGCCGTTTAGCCTTTCAGTTTGCCATTTTGTTTTGTACTGAGGAGCCTCCCTGTCATTGTACAGTAGGGGGTTTATTGTGTAGTTTCTGCCGGCGGGCGGTATGGGCGAGAATTCATCTTTTGTGGCGATATGCAGGTTTATCACGGTAATTCTTTTTTTGTTGAGTAAACCCAATTCAATTATTTGACGCCAAAAAGGACTGCCAGCCACCTGAACATAAGACAATGTCAGCTTGTTGGCTGTTGTGGCTGCTAGTGTTGCCCTCAGAGACGATACCAGCGCCTGGACCGACTTTGCAATAAAATGACTCCTGACTCCAAACGGCCTCTTGGGCACAAGTTGTGTTGGTGCATCTCTTGGCTCGTTGTTTCTTCTGTATTGCTCTTTTGCTTTCTTTTTTTTAATGTAGCGATGGAGTTTCTTCTTGTTGTGATAGTGGGTGAGCTGTACCCAGTATTCAGACTGGTGGTGTAATGACTCCATCTCCATACACATAAGACGAGTAGCACCGCCCTCGGCGATGAGCAGTGAGCAATACATTAATGGCCTGCTGAAGAGCGACAACAGTCATTGCTATGCACTGGTAGGACAGTGTATTTTTTTTTTTGAGCTGTTGACATTGTCCAGCCTCTCTGCTGAGTCAGTCATGGTTTCATGGAGCTTGAGGAGCGTGGAATTTAATGTTTTTACAGAATCTGTCTAAAGTAATTTAAAGTTAACTGTTTAACTTGGGCCAATATGTGAGTTAAGACATGTAGAATGTTTTTTTGCTAATTCTGATGTGTTTTTGGACTCTAGAAAAGACTCATCTGATAATTGTGGCCGCTTTTATAGTTTAAGGCCTTTTTAAATACTTCAGTGGGATTGTTCCGGAAGCAGGGGGTTTTCTTAATGGGGTTTTTGAGAATGTCCCCGTCTGATTCTGAGGCGAGGTGCCGATACTTGGTGTTCCTGGCAAAGTGGTGCCGGGTCGAGCTCGATACACCTGCTAAAATGGTGGTGGCACTGACATTGACCCATTTACTTACCCATTTACAGGTGGGTGGCGACGTCCCAGAGACCAATTACCTCTTCATGGGCGACTTTGTGGACAGAGGCTTCTACAGTGTGGAGACGTTCCTGCTTCTGCTGGCTCTCAAGGTACATTCGATTGGATGTTTTTAATTTTTTTCTCTCAAACTTGTTTTTCAGAACATGTTTTTGACGAACCAAGCCCCCCCCCCCCCCCCTCAACCATGTGCTCCTCTTTTTGCTACACAGGTGCGCTACCCGGAAAGGGAAACCTTGATTCCGGGAAAACACGAGTTCCGGGAAAATACCCAGGGTTACGGGTTCTACCAAGAGTGGCTCCCCAAGGACCGCTCCGTCACCCGTCTGGAGGTACTGCACGGAGATATTCGACTACCTGTCCCTCTCCGCCATCATCGACGGCAAGGTGAGCAAACCTCTCCTTTTGGTTGATCGTATGACTCTGATCGGATCGCTGGTCGAGTGAGCGCTCGGCTTTTTCACGTGAGCTCCCTCGTGCTCTGTTGACGTGGTCCCCTCTTTGTTTCTCAGATCTTCTGCGTGCACGGCGGCTTGTCTCCCTCCATTCAGACACTGGACCAAATCCGCACCATTGACAGGAAACAGGAAGTTCCCCATGACGGCCCCATGTGTGACCTGCTGTGGTCGGATCCTGAGGGTATGCCCATCAATGGCGGCCGATTGGATCCTAGTGCTCCCATCACTTAGCACACAGACATGACAGTTTATATTCAGTTAGAATACAGACTTCAGTCAACCCGATCGCACAACAGAAGTTCCGTTGAAAAGACCAACTGCATAATGGCGTCTTTTGTAGAAGCCGATCTTTAACTGTCTGCTCTTCTCCCCCTCAGACACTACTGGCTGGGGGGTCAGTCCCAGAGGCGCCGGCTACTTGTTCGGGAGTGACGTGGTGGCGCAGTTTAACGCCGCCAACGACATCCACATGATCTGTCGAGCGCATCAGCTAGTCATGGAGGGCTACAAGTGGCACTTCAACGAGACGGTGCTCACCGTGTGGTCAGCGCCCAATTACTGCTACAGGTATGTCTCCATGGCAACACCCACATCCTCCCTTTTTGAGCCAGCTAAGTGTCAACACTACCAGGGACAGTGGAGTACTTAAGTGCCACAATCACTGCTTTGAAGATGCCATCAGACATTCAGCAATGCCTCCTGCCGTGTGTCACTGTTATCAACTCAATGCCACTGGAGGGGGAAGGCCTAGTCCTAACCTGTCCTCCACGTCTGTCTCTTTCTCCGGACAAATCAGGTGCGGGAATGTGGCGGCCATCTTGGAGCTGGACGAGCATCTACAGCGGGAGTTCATCATATTCGAGGCGGCGCCACAGGAAACCAGAGGCATCCCCTCCAAGAAGCCAGTAGCCGACTACTTCCTGTGAGATCTCCACGAGCGGACAGCCTCCATCAGTCCTCTCAGTACCATTTCCCACCAGCAGCCCTCCTCCATCATCCTGTCAGACTGAACTCAGAGCAGTTGGACAAATACAAATTCGCCGAACGACCTCCCTCTCCTCCTCCCCCTTTGAAGGTTGGGAGAGCTGGATTTTTGCGGCGCTGCCATTGGGGCTGACTGAGCGGTCACTGTGAAGGGTGAAGGGGCGAGGTGGACACTGGGCCTCATGACTGTTGTCACTTCTCCATTGTTTCCTTTCTCCCTTCAGCTTCCTCTTTCCGCCCGCTGTAGATGCTCTTCCTCGACCTGACCTGCACCACTCTTGTATTTTTTTTTTTTTCTTCAACATCGAACATTGATGTTTAGTTTTTAGAAGTATCTTGAAAGAGTTTTTTTCTCTTTGTTTTTAATTATTTGCAGATGTAGGTCGTTGAAACAATTGTATAATTTCCAGGGGAAACGTTTGCTGATTTTCAACCGGCCTCTGCGTGACTCCGTGCGCAGATGAGCGGTGATGACACAGCTGGTTGAAAACTGGAGAAAGCGTCCCTGAAGGAATTCCTTCCATGCATACATTTTCTTTTGATTTTTCTTTTTTTTTTTTTTGTATAATTGTCGCTTCCAGGATTAAATGCTCTTATGTTTCTGTTTAACAGTTACGTTGATCACTATTTAACTCACCCAGTGCTGCTGCCGCTCAGCGCTGTCTCTACTACCAGAAGTGGGATGAGCAGCCGACGGGAGTCACTGTATTATTCAGTTTTCTCTTAATTCCTTTTAATCTACAAATCACTGTAGGTCTGTCAATTTTGATATTGTGAAAATAAAGTTTTTGTATCAATGCTTGCATTTTTTTTCTAATTGGCTAAATGTGTATACAATGACAATGACTACGTACTGGTGGTGTAACCCTCTCGCCCCTTTATCTCAGTTCAACAGCAGATGAATTGGACAGCTGAAGACTGAACTCGTGAACTGTTTATTATTTTGAGTATTTTAAATACAAAATCACTCATCTAGTATTTTTTTTAACGATTTTATATCGGTCTTCAAATACAAAATTACAAAACACTCAAGTAATAGAAATATTTTAAATATAAGAAACCCTGCCCATCTCTGCTTGAGGGTAATTCCATTGAAGGCTTTATTTATCATAGACTTTATTGCCCCGTGCATCGCCACTGCTGCTTTTCTTCGTGGACACATTTGTCCTGTATTTTCCTCCACCACTTTGTTCCCCTCGACCGGCAAACCGACGTTTGTGGAGATCTCCCTCCATGAATCGGAGGCCATCCGTGCGTCCTTATAGTCCGCCAATGACTGCTTATAGAAGTGGTCATATTTACGCAATTCTTCCAACGAAAGTTCTGATCCGTTCTCTTGTAAACATTCTTCGTTTTAATAATGGCGATATTGTGCTATGAAACTGGAAATGTGAGACTCCGTAAAGGATGTAGTTAGCAGACTTATCAGACTTCCACACTTACCCACTAACCAGGTGACCTCAATTAATCTCCTGAGGGTTCAAAGGGATTGTGATTTGGCCTTAGACTGTCATCCAGCAACAGACGTGTCCGTTCTTATACGCAAATGTAATGTAAAACGGCATTATAAAATAAGTCTCTGGAAATGAAAAACGGCATTATGAAATAAAAGACTGGAAATGAAAAGTGGCATTATGAAATAAAAGTACCATGAAATAATTAAATGTATTTAATATTTATGTATTTATTACCTCATTATTTATTTCATGATGTATTTCAAATGCATATTTCATGTATTTACGTATTTATTTAATTTTGACTAAAACGGCATTCCATAGAACACACGTGTGCCGTCCTTTACTCTCATGGCTTCATACTGGTTAACCCGTTTTTAACGTGACATTGCAATGTCTTGTGGGTAATTCATTTTTTGTGGAAAGGCTTTTTATATCTATGGTTCGGTCCCTCTGCTCGGGCTGGATGAACATTTAGTTGTAGGTCGGCCTACAGTGGACCTCTGGTTTGTTTAGGACTAGTGGCGACACGTCGAAGTGTGCACGGACGTAATATTCCCACGCTGTACTTGTTCAAACTAGTCAGCAATAAACTCCAGATGTTTTGAATGTGGCAAATGTTTCGAAACACAAGAAGACATCCCGTGAAAGAAACGCACGAGGTGCACAGCAGAGGTTTGAGACGGGTAACAGTCACGCGCGCGCACACACACACCTGTGTTTCCCCCCGACGGTGAAACCAGTGACGTGACGTCACACCTGAAAGGGCCGCGGCTCTCTCGCTGAACAAGTCCGGAGGCCGGTTTTTCTGGATGAGCCCAAAGCATTTCCCGCCTTCCATCTCCCGAAGACAGCCGGCGGTTAATTAAGAGCCGACACCCGGAAACACGCGCTCACTGTCTGCGGGGCGACGTCGGCGCGGGACGCAAACTCAACAGGTAACGTTACCTTCACGCGTTGGTTGTGACTTTGATTTGTTAAATAAGCGGATTCGGAATTGTGACATGAATTTTGCGGACTTTGCACGCACGTTTCGTTTGGTGTGACGCGCGTGTGCTCGTGGTGGCATTTATTTATATGAATTATTTATTATCCGTGGCTTCATAAACTCTCCGCACCAGTTGTGGTGGAATAACAACTTGAGAAAGAGGTTCATTATTAGAGTCTCAGTGGTCACTGAAGCAGCAGCTTTGCACTATAATGGTCCAACTTCTGCTCCCCCATTCATCTCCTTCCTGTGCAGATCTGAGACCATCTAATCAACCCAGGTGTGTTCTTCATCTTGACCTGACCTCATGACCTTTAATCCTCCCTTTTGAAACCGGGTGTCCTAAAACTTGAGTCATCTCCGATGGATCGGAATTGTCAAACACGGAGACGTCTGACATTTACGACAGGAGCATTGGTCGTCTTGTAACGTTACTAACGCAGTGGAAGTCCACCATCACGCAGTCCTCAGGTTAAGACGCACGCCGTGGTCCCTGTGCTCGTCACAGGCGGTTAGTTCTTTGGGCAGTAGTTTAACTAAATATGAGACTTTTCACAACTCTTATTACTCATGGGAAGGATTGGGTAACCATTATAGTCTGTAATCAACAGTTGACATAAAACAATGTGTATAAGAGACACTTCAATGTCATCGCACTGAGATTACTGAGACATTCTGTTCCACCGGGCTGCATCCATTATCTTGGTAAATGTACAAAGAGATACTTAGTAAGCACACTTAACATATATATATATATATATATATATATATATATATATATATATACATACACACGCTAAGACCTTTCATTCATAAATGTACGACCTGGTGCCAGACACACTTCCTTGTTCTGTGTGTGTGTGTGTGTGTACGCGTTTCTACTGGTTTCAAGTTCTGAGAGGTGAATTGGGATTCCTCCCTATGAACAGGTGACAGGATGGAGAACCAGAACCAGGTGCTGGAGCAGTTGCGGTCGGTGTTCCGTTCGGGCATCACGATACCGGCGCAGTTTCGCTTGTCTCAGCTGAACCAGCTCATGTCCATGATCCAAGAGAACGAGGAGGTGATTTTAAAAGCACTGCACCAGGACCTCGCCAAGGTACCAGACGGAACACACACACACACACCTGCTTATTGTGAAATGTGACATTTAAGGCAAACGCACTTGCAATTCACAACGTCGACCTCCGTCTTCTGATTGTTAGCCAAAATTTGAGGCCATCATGTCCGAGGTTGATATCGTGGTCAACGAGCTGCACTTCGCCATCGCTAACTTCACAAGCTGGATGCAGCCAGAGTATGTCAGCAAAAACCTGGTAGGTTAAACAATGACAATTCATTAAAACATACTTGTAACATTGTGTGTGTGTGTGTGTGTGTGTGTGTGTGTGTGTGTGTGTGAGTGAGAGAGTGTGAAAATGTCTCTATATCATTCTGCGCAATAAATCCAAAGATATTAATTCAGAAAGTGACGTCAATGTGTACTGACTGTACTGGTAGACTTCTACATCCCAGAGTAAAACTTCCACGTGGGATCGCAGAAGCCACAATGTTTATTGCACTTCTGTAAAAACTGTGGAACTCATAAGTGACAAAATCTCATCTTTTGGTGACATCACATCCCTTTTTTCCTCCCATGTTTTCTTATTGTTGTTCATTTCAGGCCACAAAGCTCGATGACTGCTTCGTTCGGAGGGAGCCGCTGGGAGTGGTGCTGATCATCGGGCCCTGGAACTACCCCCTCCATCTGCTTCTCCTACCTTTGGTGTCAGCCATTGCTGCAGGTATCATCCACACACAATCCCAGCAGATAGCCTACATTCACCTGAAGCTGTACCAATTGACACTTGTTTCTTTTTGTTATATATATATATATATATATATATATATATATATAAACATCAGATGTCACTGCGTAAGGTTAAATGGTGTCACTGTCGTAAGGGACCCTCAGAGACTAATCAGAGGTGGCCCTCCATCTCCATGCTGCTTTGAGGCCTCATTTAGCTTGTTGGTTATTAGCCACCTTCTGCTAAATTGCAAACAAACCATATTCAGGGATAAACTACAACCACTAATAATTTCCTTGTAGGCCTATACATATTTAATTTGACAAGTGTGCAGAAACACGACTGGGATGATAATGTTGCTCTAAAAGTCTTTTACGGCTTAGGTTTTCCTGCCAAACTGCATTGTAGTCACCCGCTGCCTGATCAAGCCTCAACCTACGGTCATGGAATGTGAACCTGGTACAGTAGCTTGCGTGATGTGTTTCTCGTCAGACGCTCACTCTTGTTTATCAGATGTTCCATCGTGCTGAAAACATTCTGTTCTTGAATGATCAACCAGAATTCCGTCATTCTTCTGCGAAAACAGTTCTTTGTCATTTATCATTAATCGGTCCTGAATCCGGGGTCATTTTGCTCTGCTCCGTTTCAACGTGCAGAAGTCAACCTGTTTGAAAAAGGTCTGAGTGAATGTGGCCCTTTATCAGGAAGGGACAACACCGTCCCTTCAAGAGCATTAAACCACCTTTCTGAGAGATGTGAGGACGTACCTCGTGCTGGTCGATCACTGCTATGTTTGCTGACCGGATGATTACAGCGTCTTCACCTTAGGAAACTGTGCGGTCATCAAGCCGTCAGAGGTCAGCGCCCACACGGACCGTCTGATGGCAGAGCTCATCCCCAAATATTTGTCTCAGGTACAGTGACATTGTTTTGTTATACTGAATACATTAATCAGTCAGTGAAACCCAGTCCAGGAGTAAAAGAAACTACAAATGTATTCATTTTCCAAATGCTTTGATTTAATTTTGCTATCCTGCTTTAATCCACCTTTGTTATATGGGTTGTAACCCAGTGCGGTTATTCACAAACAGGCTGAACTGCTTAGTGGAGCTTCTACTCTCACAACAAATGCTGTGAGATGTGTCTTCTGGCAAATGTTCCTGAAATTTGGCACGTAATGTAAAGCTGCTGCCCGGACCTTTTCGGCTCGCACGCCACTTTTCAATCAAACAAGTCATGGCGATCTACGCAAACGTGTCCTGTTAGTAAGCGAAGATCGCTAATTAGCACTACCAAGTTTTCCGTTTTTGGCAGGGGACCTACTGTCCCTGCCTTGGCAATCTGAGAAGAAGCCTTTTGCGGGCATGTGCATGTTGCAAAACCCTTCTAAAACACAAAAAGGTTGGGTAGTGGCCGCACCCTGAGGAGGGAAAGGTAGATCTTTGTCGCATATTTGATCTTTGTTGGACTAGAATCCAGTCTCTTCAGTCTTGTGACCAAGATGTGTATTGATATGGATTTTACAGAAATGTTCCACTGTCTGTTCCTGGAGAACACTTGGTGAGACAGTTTCTATACGTCACTAAAGGCCACACTAATCCAAAGCTCTCATTGTGGCAGGAGTGTTACACGGTGGTTCGTGGTGGAGCAGAGGAGACCACCAGCCTTCTGCAGCTTCGCTTTGACCACATCTTCTACACAGGTCAGAGCCTCGGCCGTGGATCACATCACTACATGTCAAAATGTTTCCACTGGTAGCAAAAAACAAAAGAACCTGTTCTATTCTGATCCTTTGCTAAACTTACTTTTCATTCAAACGATGTGCAAATCAATCCAGTCCGTCACTGTACCCTTTCAAAATATAACGTTGCAATACTTCAAGCTATCAATTAAAACGAGTATCATCTTTTAAATGTTGTCGTCATACGATGGGGTTTTTGGTCCAGTACTGAGGCACAAGGACTGATATTTGTCAGATATGGAATGCTGTTTTAGTCAAAATGAAATAAATTAATAAATACATGAAATATGCATTTGAAATAAATCATGAAATAAATAAATGAGGCAATAAATACATAGATATGAAATACATTTAATTATTTCATGGTACTTTTATTTCATAATGCCACTTTTCATTTCCAGAGACTTTTATTTCATAATGCCGTTTTTCATTTCACGTTCTTGTATGCAAATCAGGGGGCGTGGCTAAGGGACGTGAGTGTTGATTTAATGGAAGACATCGGTGGGCTCCGAGGTAGCATGCTAGCATTAGCAGATCAAATCGATCAACATGGGTTTTCTGCAGATACGATTTTGACACACATTGAGGGTTTTTTGGAAATACTATGGCGGATAAGTGCTCTTCAAGATGTATACATAGACGACAAAGTTTTAAACTGTTTAAGACTGAGCACCGCGTGCGTGTGGAAGAGGTCCAAGTTGAAGAAGTCAACATTAGCGCTGCATGGCGACAAGCTGGCTAACTTTGTGTTGTCTATCAACCCGAGAAATCCAATATCCAGAGGCGGGCGTCCAGCACCTGTGCTTGTAGTACCAGCGCTAATCTCACGTCCCTTAGCCAGCCTTCTTTTGCACACGGCTCTGTTGTCTGTTCTGAATGTTAGATGTAGCCACGCCCCCTGATTTGCATATAAGAACGTGAAATGTAAAACGGCATTATGAAATAAAAGACTCAGGAAATGAAAAACGGCATTATGAAATAAAAGTACCATGAAATAATTAAATGTATTTAATATTTATGTATTGCCTTATTTATTTCATGATGTATTTCAAATGCATATTTCATGTATTTATTCATTTATTTAATTTTGACTAAAATGGCATTCCATAGTCAGACACCAGAAACCGTTCCATTCATCCCCTCTGAACGCTGTCTTTCAAAGGTTCTCAGGCCGTGGCACGCATCGTCATGCGGGCCGCCTCGGTCCACTTGACCCCGGTGACCTTGGAGCTGGGCGGCAAGTGTCCATGCTTCATATACGGTAGGGTGGACATCGCGGCCGCCGCCCGCCGCTTGGTTTGGTCAAAGTATTTCAACGCCGGCCAGAGCTGCGTGGCGCCCGACTACGTGCTGTGCTCGCCAGCCACGAGGGACGCCCTGCTGCCGGCGCTGCGCCAGACCCTGGAGCAGTTCTACGGCAAGGAGCCCCAGAAAAGCCCCGACATGTCCCGCATCGTGTCAGACCGACACTGGACTCGACTGATGGAGCTGCTCAAGAAGACCTCTGGAAAGGTCGTGGTGGGAGGAGAGAGCGACCAGGAGGACAAGTACATTGGTGGGTTTGCGGTGGACTTGTGGAATGTTTTTATAAATCTGTTCTTCACTCTAGCGGATGTCTGTTTTTTTTTTTTTTGGGGTGACAGTGTGATAATGATGTCATTAATGTGGGAACATCCTCCCCCAGCTCCCACAGTCTTGGTGGACGTGAACGAGGATGACGCCCTGATGGCGGAGGAGATCTTCGGCCCCATCCTGCCCATCCTTACCGTGGAGTCTGTGGAGGAAGGCATCGACTTGATGAACCGCCAAGAGAAGCCGCTGGCCCTCTACGTCTTCTCCGACGAGGCCTCTGTAAGCGCATCGAGCTCGTAGCCGCCGACGTATCGGCCTCAGTGTGTCGTAACTGATTCTCCTCCCCTCTTCTTAAAGGTGGTGAACACTGTTCTGGAGAGGACCAGTAGCGGAGGGTTCTGCTCCAATGATGGGATCATCCACATGTGCCTGCCAACTCTGCCCTTCGGGGGTGTAGGTGGGTAGTGATGCTGTAGTTAAGGTCCTCCCAGCTGGAGAGGTGTGGGATTTCGGGGAAACGGTTGGGTGCTGTTACAAATCAGGTTTTGTAGCTTAATTTCCTCATTAACTGAAGATCACCTGATCTATTCCTTACTAACCCGCAACCGTTATCCGTATCATTTTTTTGCCACCTTTATATTTCAAAGTAATGAAGGTACTGTGTAGGTGTACGTTAGAGGGAAAAAATGAAATGTAACAACAAAAGAGTGAATGCTTTAATATAGTAAAAAAAAAAAAGTAGAGTAGTAAATGGCCAACATTTTTGTTGATCCCTTTTGCCAGGAATTACCAAAAATAATGTTTGCCAAAAGATAATTGTGTACGTGAGGAAAATATGCGAGGCAGACCACACACACACACACACACACACACACACACACACAGGCCTTCGTAGCCTGATTTATAATATGAAAGCGGGCTTCGGCCCTCTGCCGTCGTGTGCACAGTTCTTTCTGAATTTAAACGTGACTGCCCCCCCCCACCAGGGACGAGCGGCTTCGGCAGCTACCACGGCCGCTGGGGCTTCGAGACGTTCAGCCACCGGCGGGCCGTCATGCTGCGCGGCTGGGCATTGGAGAGACTCAACGGCCTGCGCTACCCCCCCTACCAGGAGAACAAGCTGAGCTGGCTGCGCTGGACCACCTCGGCCAAGAGCAGCTGCTCGCTCATGTGATGGCGTCTGCTTGTTGAAAAGATGGCACAGTTTTAGTACCGTGCGCATGGATGGATCTGAGATGTTCAACTGGAAACCAGGTTAATCATACCATCCGTATGTTGGGAGGTTATTGAAAAAGCCATATTTTGTATCTACAGTGCTTTTAAGAATGTGTCCTATTCTGTCCCACCTTCAGCACTTTGTCAGCGCAGTGATTTATGAATTGTGGTTAATCTTCTGATGAGGTCATCGCCCTATTGTTCTTAATACCCTCATTTCATTCATGTCATTTGTCATTTATTTGTGTTGCTGTTTTGGTTCATTTATTTTATTTTCTCGTTTGCTGCGTCGATGCACCGGGGTTCTTGTCTATGGCGTAATAATCTTCCGTGAACTACTGTAAATACAGTCTTATTGTCACATCTGTCAGCAGCTGTTCTTCGACCAAAGCGCACCCACGAGAAAAGACCACAAATATTTAAGCATCTTTAAAGCCAAATCATGTTGTACACAAGTGGGGCTTCAAGTCACAACCACTATATACAAAAGTCAACTATCTCACAGGGAAAGTACTGATATGATGGTTAGAGTATTTTCAATGTTTTGCTATTGACTTAAGTCAACATTGAAGCACTGGGGTCCGTTTGAAGAAGCGGGTTTAGTGGAAGCTCTGAGTTTGTTAACCCTAAGATGAGGGGAACTCTGGCTTGTCTGTTTCACAAAGGGAGGTAACTAAAGCTCAGGGTCAGTCACCATGGTAACTGAGCCTGTGATCACCTGGTCGGGAGCAGGTTTTGTCTCCTCCCTCAGCAGCCCAGCCAATCACACAGCGCTTTTTCATTTCCTCATTCATTCAGTTACTCTATCAGGCGTATTTTGGTGCAGTTTCCACATATGGACAAAATAAGATCTCTGTTACGTTAAAGACCTAAAGTGTTTTCTTGAACATGGTGGGTCCTTTTCTGGACGATCCTGTCGGTGAAGAAGTGGCTTTACTTCGCAGGGTGTTAAACACGTCGGGAGAGAATATTGACGCCCCGATAAGATATATTGTCATTTCCAGATAACTACTTATTTGAACGGTAACATTTTTCTTCACAGACCATCAAATATGTACATAACCTCACCCGTCCTCATATAACTAACGTCCCCCGTCGTGGACATGCTCTCACAGTATTACGTTTTTCTGCAAACGCCAGTTTCCTTTACAACTAATAATAAACTAATTAGTAACTAATATTTACATTAGAATATTAGTAAAGCTGCTGTATGCAGAGCCGTGAGAAACGTGTGTGTCGCTCTGAAACGTCTTTTAAACGCTTTTGTTCCCTGGACACAAACCAGTGAAGCCATTAAAGAGGAGTTCCTGAATAAAACCCATTATAGGTTCAATAACATTGTACCAGTTTTTACCAGCGATATTTTTCTTGAGATTAAATGAGCGCATGGGTGTGTATTTCAAGCCTGTGTGTGTTGCATTCTAACAGTGTGAAAACTGGGAATTAGTAAAACGTATGGAATGATTAGTGTGTAAATTAAATATTAATTGACAACACTATATTGAAACTTTCTGACTTTTGCTGCAGTAGCGTTGTGGCGCTTTCTTTCTAATTACGGGTTCATACTCGCCGTACGCTTGCATTAATCTTTCCAGCTCAATAGGGGTGAATATATTGTTTGTGGTGGTTGTCATGGTAACCTGTGGTATCATTGCTCCATTCATGCTGCCTTCAAACTGTGGTGGTGCACGCGCTCAACTCAGCAACCTACCTCTAAACAGCTGTTCCGAAACCCAAAACTCAAGAGTTTCCCATCTCAGTTTGTTAAACCTCCTACTTGAAGCGGACCCCTGGTGAATAAGGCGCACGCGTAATAGAAGCTTGTTTGACTCCGCTCATTTGCTGCCACGATACCAAAATCTAAGAAACCGGTTGGTTGATGTGTTTAGGAAGGTGCTAGCAGACCTGCAGTTAAGTGGCTCTTAATATGTAGATAGTTCAGGAGGTTGAGGAGTTGAAGAGGAAATTACACCAGAGTGAAAGACGTGTAGTTTGTAGAGTCACAGAACTCAAACATACAGACAGCGAAACCTCTGCAGCCTGAAACACGCGTTTCTTTATTGTCACTTGTTGAATAATTACACGGTTGAAACAACAGACTGCGCAGCAGAATCCAGTCACTGCAATTCGGATGATCCTGAGAAATTGAAAACTTTTTAGGATCAAGAATTGCAAGAATTGTTGTCAAAATGATCCCATTTATTTATTACAGGTATGAGTGTTCAAACACAGGTCCCCCCCCCGGGGTCTCAGCAGCAAGCAGCTACAGAACAACCCGGCTTTCTTAGCAGTCTAAAAGAAATTAAAAACATCTGTTGCTGTGCTTCTTCTCAAGCACAAAAATCCGCTTGTCTGTGAGGTCAAATGTGTCTGAGTGCTTCTGAGCGATCACCTCTCTGAATTCTCATCTGGAATCACGGAAGTAACAAAAACAAAAAGGTACATTACGTTTGATTCACGTCATACGAGGACCCTTTGATCACTGCACTTGTTGGTTAGGGGGAGGGAAAGACCGGAGAAACACACCGCGGGGGCGCCGCCTTGTCCTCAAACTCTCCCGTCTCAGATCCCGACGGCTCTGCGGTGGCGATCACGGCTCGGGCTTGTGCGAGGAGGGGGCGCTGGTCCCCGGGAGGGGCCCCCGCCCTGAGGCCGCGGACTCTGGCTGTGGAGGGGGGCTGACTGGCGCCGCTGCCTCTTTCTGCACCAGCTCAGGCTCGTCGTGGCCCGCCTGGGGCGGGTGGACCAGGACCCGGTCGATGATCCCGAAGTCCTGCGCCTCCATGGGGCTCATGTAGCGGTCCCTTTCCATCACGCCCTCTGGAGGACGGGAGAGAAACGGACCCTCAACAGCTGATTTCCACCGTTCCTCCCCTCATTGGACACATGCACGTCGGCCTCCTTCAGCTGCTGTTGTGATTGGCTAATGCCTACCTCTCTATGAAGCCATTTTATTGTACTAGATACTGTAAGTCAAAGCAACACTCCCTATTTGTGACCTCAAAATTGTACTACACTCATAACTACTTCTATATTCAGAACTAAGAGGGAGAGTAGGAGGAAGATGAAAGATGAAGCGGTGGAACCTACCGATGGTGGTCAGCAGCTGCCCCGTGTGTTTGGCATAGAGGCCATTGATCTGTCTCTTCAGCTTCATGATCTCCTCGGCCTGGATGGCGATGTCCGTGGCCTGACCCTGATAACGCAAGGCGCTGCGGTTATTATCACTTCTACCCTGAAATGATCCCTTCACAGACGAGATGGCCGACGCCATGCTCCACCTAGGGTGAGGTCCGCCTTACCCGGGCACCCCCTGAGGGCTGGTGGACCATGATGCGGGCGTTGGGCAGTGAATGCCTCATGCCCGTCGTTCCCGCCGCCAGGAGCAAGCTGCCCATGCTGGCCGCCTGGCCGACGCACCAGGTGGAGATGGGATTGAGGATGTACTGCATGGTGTCGTAAATGGCGAGGCCCGCCGTCACCACACCGCCTGGGGGAGGAGGAAGGAAAAGACATTGTTTCCATTAAAAACAGGAAAACTTGTATTATTACTAGTTATTTATTCATATACTACTAAAAGTAAGATACAAATAATACATGTAAAATAATAGATTTTTCTAAATCAAATGGTTTGAACAACAAAGAGTGGTTAAAAAAATATATATACATAAGTTGTCATTTTATTCAATGGTTTTCCAGATGTTTGGATGCATCAAGCACTCACCGGGACTGTTGATGTACATGTGAATGGGTTTGTTGTTGCTCTCTGACTGTAAGAAGAGCAGCTGGGCGATAACCAGACTGGCTATAGAGTCATCGATCTAAGTGAAGAGGAAGTAACGTTTTAAGTTTATAAAATCCCTTTGAAAACATGTACAAAATATATTTCTTTAATCTTGACACTTACAGGACCCATTAGACAAATGATTCTCTCCCTGAGGAGGCGGGAATAGATGTCATATGCTCGTTCTCCTCTACCCTGGAAAAGAACACAAAGAAGAACTTTTAGAATCCTAACAAAACAATTTATTAACGCTGCAACCATCTGAAAATCCGCTGTGTTCATGCAAGACGTTTTAAACGTCCTACTGTCCCTTCCGCTGTATTTGTTTAATTTCTGTACTTGGATGAAATGATGTAAATCTGTTTCAAACGTTGTTGTATTCCTGTTCTTGTTGCGTTATGATCCGATGACGATGCTGATGTGAGCGGAGACTGAAAGCTCTCCTTGATGTTGCCTTCAAAGACGCTCTGACAGATGAAGCCTCCGTGATGCAAAAAGTGACCACCTTTAAATTGTCCCCCTTTGTTTATATGTTTCCTCATCAAGGCTAAGATTTGTTGTGAGACAACCGGGCAAATACAGCAGTGTAGTTTTTTGTTGTAGGTTACCACTATGTACTATTAGATCCCATTAGTCCCACATCAACCACATTAAAACTCACCGTCTGCTCCACGACGATCGGTATGAGAGGACTCCTCCAGACGGGGCTGTGGTGGACGGACCGGTTCTGTTTCAGCGCCGAGCCTCCGGCCTGCAGCACTCTCTGGAAGACGAGACGGATGGGAAACACACACGAGTTTCTATTGAGCAGTGGCATGTGTCAAACATGTTTGACATGAACCACTCAAACACGTTTGACATGTGAGGCAAAGGACTAAAACAGGTTAAAACCTTTGGAAGCGATGCAAACACAAAATGATGTGGATCTTACCCACTGACCAATAACCTAAAAACAACACGGCTATAAAATACATTTCATAGATCTGCTTTGCTCTCTTTTTGTATGTGGACGTAAAGTAGTTTTCTAGAGGTTAATAATCAAACATATTTTAGAAAGGATTCACGAATAATCTGTTATTATTAACAATCCTAATTCCTACAGCCATTGACCTGTGATCATGTGAAAAGTTGTAAATTTATATGAAACACAACTTGTAATCATCCGCACATCTTTGATGATTTGATCAAGTATCCCCCGTTAAAACCAATTTACACAACAAGCCACGAGCCAGTGACACACGCACGGGTCTATGTAGTCGGTGAGTGGTTCAGTGTTTTCCTGCTAAACGCATTTAACGTCACTTCGTGCGTTTCAAACGGACCCCATGGCTTTAGAGGTGATGCGTTCACGCACCGTTACACAAGCTACTCGTTAGCTAACACGCGACAAGTTGTAATAACAACTGTAACAACGGGTTTGTTCAAGCCAATGTACGACGAGACGCACGTGAACGGGACGGTTCCGCAAACTGCAGCTTGTACTCACTCGTAACAGCATTTTGAAGTTTTTTCGGTTGGTATCCCCTCCGTGTGACCCCCAGATTAGTAACACCGGAACCAAACCCAACCAGGAAGTGTGTTCTTCTTCGTTGGAATTACAGCCAGGAGGTCTGTACTGTTTCTCCGTAGCGCCCTCTGCAGGTATGGTCTTCCAATGCTCCCTCAGATACTCTGTTTCAGAATAGCTAATTCAACAGCTTTATTTGTTTTTTCACTGTTTAACTAGATTAAATCAGATCACTTTGTCGATCAGATTCGCATACAATGTAAATTGAGCATTAAAATCGTCATAAAGACAACATATGCCACACATATGCAACATTCACACAAATTCAGTTGATTATAGTTTGTGTCCCGCTCAGTGGCCTTTCTGTGTGAAGTCTGCATGTTCTCCCCGTGTCTGCGTGGGTTCTCTTCGGGTAATCCGGCTTCCTCCCACAGTCCAAAGTCATGCTCTTCTACCCTCAGGCAGGAGTGCCAATTGCAGGACCACCAGATTGAAAAACTCTTTTTCCCCCACTGCCATTAGAGCCATCAACAGCTGAGAGGACTCCATAACCTAATTTACAACTGGTCTGCACTTTAGCTTGTTAGGATTTCACTTACTGTTACTGTACTGTTAATTTATATTGCACACATTTCATTTCATTGAAGTTTTTTTTTACAACCTGCTCAGTTTTGCACTTTTCCCCTTACCTCATCTCTGCCTTATCCTTACCTCATTTCTGCCTTATTGTTATATTTATTTCATGTACATTTATGTAAATATTGTATTTTTATTTTTATTCAAATTTTAAAATTGGTCGGCTTTCCAGAAAAGGTAAGCACAATAATTTCAATATACATGGCGTGTGTAATTGACAATAAAAATATTTGAATCTTTGGATCTGGGGGATCAGGTTGATTGGGGACTTTAAATTGCCAAAAAGCATGCCACGCAGACAGAATTCAGGCAAAGTGAGTTTACAGGTTCACAACCAGGATATCCGTTAGACAGTCAAACAAATCCAAAAGGGGCAGACAGAGAATCCATCAGGCAGATGTCAGAACTGGCAGGTCAGATACACACTACGGTATAAGGTGGAGCGATTGGCAGTCACACACAAGCCCAACTGGCAGGGGAGGCGTGCAGGTGAGTGGACCTAAAATGTGAGGGACTAATGAAGGAAGAGGCTGGAGGTGAGGAAGACATGAACAGTAAGGTGAGGGATGAGGGTGCTGATTGGAGGTGAGAGGCTGGATTTGAAACGACAAGAGTTAATGAACAGGTGAACAGAGTGAAAACGAACTAGGACATGCAATTTGGTCCCAGCTAGCTAATAACATAAAGCTAATTATGTACAAAATACATATATTCATTCCTGACACTGATGTTGTTGTTTTTGGGAAATTCATAATGCAATCAACTAAATGGGAGTTACAAACTACATTTCTGAAGACTTCAATGTGCATTAAAAACTCAACACAATGTTAAAACAATTATAGTACCATAAAAATCAGTCATCGTCACAAGATTATCCAATATGTACCCTTCCTGACTGTGGTGTTTGTTTCACAGAAAACCCTCTACACTTTTATGAAATATGAAGCAAAGTTATATCTTTAAACACCCCAAATAAATATAATAATATGAAGTCAAATTAGCTCCACCAAATGCAGTTAAATGTAAAATGCAATTTACACATCATAATACATCACTAATTATAATCCATTTTGGCCCAACATCTGATAAACTTCTACATTGTTTTTTCCATTTCTATATTACAGGTAGTTTTCTGAGTGTTAAGAATGTTTTCAAAAATTAGCCTCTTAGTCTACTTATTTATAACATGACCGAATATTTTTTGTTGTTGTAAATAAAATGAACAACAACCCAGCGAAGCAATGGCGCGTGTGTGGGCGTGTTAGTGGGGAAAGTAAAAGCGAACTGAATTGGCCCTTTATTCTGAAAGTTCTGACCGGAAGCGGTGAATTATTCCAGCTTGGCACAGAAACATGAACCTAACTGAGTATTTAGACGCTTTCTCGGTTGTTCGGACTCAGTCATGTCGAACAACTGCGCTGTCAACAGCAGTCTAGTCATCGCCCAGAAGGCGGTGAAGCAGCTGCGTCTGGAGGCCGGCGTCCGTCGGATCAAGGTACGTGTCCCCCCCGCGCGACACGTCCATCAAACGGCCTCCGGTGCGCGTGACTCCCGCTCTTTTACCTGCCGCGCGCAGAAACTAATTCCTTTCCACCAACTGACAGACGTGTGTGGACTCCGAACGGGCTGCTGTGCAACATTCATCACAGGTTTCCTACTTGCAGTTCTTTTAAGTTTAAAACAAAGTATTTGAGGAGCTTCGTAAACTCTTCGACTGTTTGTTTGTCCTCTGACTGTGATATTATCCTTTTGGATAAAACTGCTGTAACACGTAGAAACATGTTAGCTTAATGGCTCTTAATGGCTGTTTCACATTCTAACGTCTTATGGCTCCTAGAAAATAAAATTAGCTATTGCTGGTGTGCAGTGAGATGGCAGCACACTGGCAGCTTTGTCCATTGTGCTGCTGTGTGACTGCTGTAATTGTTTAGCTGGCTGCTTATTTTAGAACAGAAGTCAGACTTGTTTCAAGTGCAGCATGAGGCTTACGTGGAGTAACCATAATAAATACAATCACAAGAGAATCTCACGCAATAAAAAAATATATATGTTGATGTTGTCAATATGGGAGAATAATTTACAATGGAAGATCCAACTGAATAGTGTAACACTTTCATATTATGTCTGTGTTATAAAACCTATGGTTCTCTACCTCCCTGGTATTTCCTGATAGCTGTGGTCATTTTGACATAACTTCAAACTGTACATATTAAAGTACCCAGCGGTCCTTCTGTTTGGACTCCTTGTGTCTGCATGGGTTCTCTCCTTTAAGTCCAAAGACATACAGGATCCCATTGAGGGCCGGTTAGCTGTTTAATCTAAATTGCACGAAGGTGTGAGAGTGAATGATTGTTTGTCTCTATGTCAGCGCTGTGATTGACTGGACCACTCCGTCTCCTGCCAATGGTCGCTGGGACCCTCTTAAAGAAGACGACTAAAAAATATTTAAAGGGACAGATCAATCTAGATATTGCTCAAAGCGCCATAACACATTTTGAGAAACTCAACAGCACATTTTCTCTCGGGAAATCATAATCCACAGACCTTTATTGTGGAGGAGTTTCATGTAGGAATGAGAATATCCTTTAGCATTGATCCCATTTGTAATATTTGGCCTGATTAGGCTCTTAATGCTTTAACACTTAAAAGACATTGGTGAATATATACTATATACACATACACACAAACCAAACTTGAATAATTTGCCTTCTAATTTGTTGGTATTTGGGTATTATTGTAAAATGAATATAATTCAGTAAATGATTGACCAGAATCAGCCATATTTCTGATTACCTTGCACTTTAACTGTGGCCGGCTATTGTATTCATTTCAAAATACCCATTTCTGTCCGAACACATGGAAGAAGAACCGCGACGTCCCTTTTTAATCAAACAATATGATTTATGGAATATAGGTTTCTCAGGCCGCTGCAGAACTGAAGACCTTCTGCCTGCAAAATGCCCACAAGGACCCTCTCCTAACCGGGGTGCCCTCCGGCGATAACCCATTCAGGCCCCCCAAGTCATGTGTCCTCTTCTGACGCGTGAGTGCAGCTCCCCTTGCTCTGCTTGAATCCATCAGTTTATTTTGAGATCCTTACTTTTTTTTCTTTTTTTGAATACTTTTGCCCCCTGTTTTGTCTCATGCTGCTGCTGAACAATGAGCCGGCTGTCTCTGCAGAGCACAAGACTCGCCCCTTCCAGCTTCAAGTCTTTCTTGTCTTCTCAGGGACGGGGAAGAGTGCCAAACATTCAAACGGATGCCTGATTCCAACGTGGATTCCTGTCATGTGCCCTTCTGTCTCTGAAGAGGAGGAAGCCAAGACCACACACACACACACACACACACTGGATTAGCTACACAATGATGCTGAACATTTGAGTGAATACAGTGTGCTTATAGTGATAGGGTGTTGTTTTATATTGCTCTTTCAGGGTTCAGTGATTTATGGTTTCGGTTTACACACTAGGAGTAATGCCAATTCTGTTTTGGGGAGCCACGCCCAACTTTGCACCACTTGTAGAACATGTGATTTTACTTTTTTCATTAGCTGTTATTGGATGTAAATGATAAGAAAATCCAATGAAAGCCACATTCTTTTTGGATTTATTTATTACTATTTATGAAAAACACACCAAAACAAGTATAAAAATATTGCAAAAAAAGGGATTATAATACCAACAGAAAGCACAAGGAGGTCATAGTTCACAAGGATTACATTGACTATTAGAGGTTTTACTGTTATATACACCATTAAAAGTCACCATTTGTTGTTTTAAGTCATCTGTCTGTGACGTCGTATCTTGCACACATTTTGCATCTCAGTTTTAACCAAATACCAACAATTTGAAAGGTTTTTCTGTTAAAATAAAATCATAGGAATCATGTTTTCAGTTGGAATTTCAAGGCCTTTTAGTGCTCGGTTTTCCATGATGTCATTAAATGTTGTCATAGAAAGATATCAGTATACTTTCAGCTCTCCATGACCGTCAGAAATAATAAAGTTGACCTTGCTTAGTACATTTACCGAATCAGTGAGTGGAAGAAATACAACAAGAGAGTTCAGCAAATGCAATAGCTGTGTCTCAAAGTGGCTTACATTGGGGCTTTTCGCGTGGCTTTGCTTCGTCGGCCGCTTGTCAGCCTGGTGCCCGCCGCACTGCATTTTTCATATTTTCTGCTGTATATTGGGGGGGGCACGACCCCCCCAAAAGAATGCGTGGTTACGCCCTTGAGTACAGAAAAGGAAGAAAATCTTCGCATTTAATTTAATTACGGAAGATACGCTTCTCCTCCGGAGCATGATATATTTCAGGCAGAGAGAATAACTTGTTTTGGTTATTTAAAATGCAAATGAAATCAGGTAGGCCATATACTTTCAGCTAAAAGTAATAATGCAATCTCAAGGTAGAGGAGATTCCACCAGTACTGTCAATAAAAGCCACAACAGCAAACACATTTACTAACTTAAAGCAAGCAAGGACTTATTATTTCTCTATTGCAAAGGATACGAGCCGTTAAGATGTTACAGAAGTAGCTGGATGTCACCGCACACATCGTCCTCCTCCAGCTTGATGCTGCTTCCTCCTGTTTCTTTGCGTATTTATTCTGTAACGTTACTGACGGTTTCATAACTTGTCTGAGCTAACGTTGATCCATTTCTGTTCATAATATGAAGTATAAACTATATGTAAAACCGTCTCAGGCTCAGTAAGATATTAGTCAGCCTCTAAAGTGTGAAAGTTAAGTCATTAAAGTGACTTTTCACTAATAACTACAGACGAGCTGCCGTTAACAGCGCAGCGGCTCCCGGTAACGTGAGCTGCTCGTTGTGTGTTATACATGTGCGTTGGTACATTAATGTTCATAAGGACCGGACATGGACTCAGGGGGGGTTCGGGTGCGAGTCCGGCTCATGGGCTCTAAGGGGGGTTAACGTTATCACTATAGCAGTTTATTCTAGCGTCTTATGTGCATTAAGAACACGACATCGGTTACCAACGTTACGTAACTTAAGCGATTTCATAAACTAAGATATTATTTTATATATTGTATTAAAACATTTCTATCGGTTGATATTCGAGTGAACTATATTACTTAACGTTACATTTAAAAGTGAACTCTTCCGCGCTGTCGGATCACCTGCCTCCGTCCTGGACAAATTAAATCCTCGTCGGCCCGCAAAGGCTAGATCAGATGAATCTATTAATCTAAATCGGCTGCGTTCGGAGGCAGCCGACAGAATGGGACAGGCGAGTCGCAGCCGAAGTGACGTATGCGGTTCACGAATGCGTCCGTTCCAGCGTAGTGACTCTGAGACGGCTTATGTTACCCCTATTGACCCCTATGCAGCGTGTTATGACTTGCTGTTAAGAAGCAATCTCTTGTTTCCTGATTCCTGATTCTACAAATATACTGCGTATGCTTGCATTTTGCGGCTATACCATACTCCTATAGCAGAGGTCTTCAACAGGGGGTCCGCGACCCCCAGGGGGTTCGCGTAGGTACTGCAGGGGGGTCGCAACATTTTTGGTTTTTATAAAAAGTCTTTTTTTTGTCTTCAGAACTAGAATTGTATTTATTGTCCTTTAAATACACATTAACATGAATGCAACATTTTGTAGCGACTGGATAAATTGATGGAGAAGAAGCTTCCCACAGGAGCTTTCTCAAGCTGAGCACCGGTTCATTCACAGTACCTTTCATGCAAATACGACAGCACAGACACCAGCCAATCAGATCGGGGTCCATGTACCTTTTTGATAGTCGGACCAGATCGCTTTTATGCTCCCGACTAAAGAGTGCGAAGCTTAAAAAATAAAAGACGGCGGACCAAACTGGTCCGTGTACCTTTTCCGGGGGCGATCGATTCCATGGCAACGGAATGACATCATCAACAAATGTCTTTGATGTGTCCCGGAACACTAGATCATTGCGTTTCTGGTTCCAGAAGAGTGCAGTTGGATATTTTCTCTCGAAAGTATCTGCGATATTTGTCCTTTACAGACTTAAGTAGTTTTTTGGAAGATTCACCACCATTTTTCAAAGGTTACATCGAGTCATTTAGCGACAAATAAAACACCAGTCTTTTTCAAGACTACCATAAAAGTATGGTGAGCGAACTCAATGCCTACATTGAAACTGAGAAGGTCAATTTGTGCCGCCAGTTAGAAGGAAAAGATCTGGCCTTTGATCAGATGGTTTGCAAGCACAAAACCATGCATTCAGACCACCAGATCCAGGTCCAGAATCTTATTGAGCAGAACAACCATGCGGTTCTGAAGCTCAGAGAGAAAGAAGAACAACTCGCTGTCAAAACTGCTGAACTCACAGTCAACAACCAGACCTGGCAGCAGAAATATGAAGAACTGGAGGAAAAGACATTCAAGGAACTGGATCACCAAGTCATGGAGTCTAAAGTAACAGGGTTACTCTCCACCAACATTCCCGCTCCCCTTTCCACCGCCCCCTTCACAGCGCTGAACCCCCCCCCCCCCACACACACACACACCCTGTGGGTTTTCCCTCCATCTATGGGTTTGCCACATAAAAAATCTCCTCCTATCAACATCTGGAGGAGACCATCACCAAAGAAAAATGTGATAACATGGGCCACCCCGTCATCTGTGAGTTCCCCTGTGGGTTTTCCCCCCTTCTTGGGTTTCCCACATAAAAAAAAAATCTCCTCCGCAAATCGCCACCTTAACGTGGTGGAGGAGTTTGAGTGGCTCAGTGATCCTGTGATCTGTGTTGTCTGCGGCCCCTTGTAGGGTGAACAACAGGTCTCAGGGGAGAGTCCAGACTAAGAGCGATTCAAAGACCCTGATGCTTAGCTTAGTCACCGGGCCCAGTCAGGAAGACTGGAGTCAGGAAGACTGTGCCGTTTCCTGGTGGCCTCGCCTTCCTGGGGGCGCGCGGCCAGCTGGCTGGTACTACCTGACCCCGCCCCTAATCAACCGGACGTGGGTGTCGTTACCGTAAAGCAATTGCATCGGTGCGGGCAAACGTTACAAACTGTTCTCCTCTCTTTTGCTGTCAGTTGTCATTTCAACTGTCACCACCACCCCTGACACCTCCGAAATATAGCAGAACTGGCATAGCAGGAGATTGGAACAACCGGCTCTACCACCACCACCACCAGTGTCTGGACTCCCAAAGGGGGTATATGCCTCATCTCGGCATCCCGGCCGCTGGTCTATCCTACGGCAGGATGGAGTCCAAGCCCCAAACAACTTGGCAATATAAATATGTATGCCTGTTACAATAAAGCATTGTTAAAATTTGTTTAACAATTAACGCAATTAACCAAAAATGTTCTTACAGCCTAGCTATATTTCTAAAGTGTTTAAAAAAAAATACACACCCCAAGATAGTCTAGTTCTACAAAGAACCAACACCTTCTAAAGAACCATTTGATCTATTGTCGCTGCTTTTTGCAGATGATGTGGTCCTGATGGCATCTTCTGTCTGTGACCTCCAACTCTCACTGGAGCGTTTCCCAGTCGAGTGTGAAGCGGTCGGGATGAGGATTAACACCTCTAAATCTGAGGCCATGGTTCTCAGCAGGAAACCGATGGATTGCCTACTCCAGGTAGGGAATGTGTCCTTACCCCAAGTGAAGGAGTTCAAGTACCTCGGGGTCTTGTTCACGAGTGAGGGGAAGATGGAGTGTGAGTTTGGCCGGAGAATCGGAGCAGCGGGGGCGGCACTCGCTTTACCGCACCGTTGTGACGAAAAGAGAGCTGAGCTGGAAAGCAAAGCTCTCGATCTACCGGTCAATCTTCGTTCCTACCCTCACCTATGGTCATGAAGGATGGGTCATGACCGAAAGAACTAGGTCACGGGTACAAGTGGCCGAAATGGGTTTCCTCAGGAGAGTGGCTGGCGTCTCCCTTAGGGATAGGGTGAGAAGCTCAGCCATTCGAGAGGAGCTCGGAGTAGAGCCGCTGCTCCTTTGCGTCGAAAGGAGCCAGTTCAGGTGGTTTGGGCATCTGGTGAGGATGCCCCCTGGGCGCCTCCCTAGAGAGGTGTTCCAGGCACGGCCAGCTGGGAAGAGGCCCCGGGGAAGACCCAGGACTAGGTGGAGAGATTATATCTCTGCACTGGCCTGGGAACGCCTTGGGATCCCCCAGTCAGAGCTGGTAGATGTGGCCCGGGAAAGGGAAGTTTGGGGTCCCCTGCTGGAGCTGTTGGACCCCGGATAAGCGGTTGAAAATGGATGGATGGATGGAAAAATGGCATCATACTTAGTATTTCTAATATCATAGAAAATAACATCATAAGTGTTTTCCCTACCATTACATCTGCGCCCCAACGCACACGCCCCCCTCCGGTACGTCCGCCCCCCCCTAGTTGTGAACCTAGGGGAAACGCTGATATGACATGATATAGTAGAACTAATATAGGGCTATATATATAATTATACATTTTGAAGAATTTACATTTGCCTGAGCACCTCTCTTACCCATTTAAAATTGGCTAATATGTATTGTATATGTTAGAAAAACAACAGGTCCTTGCTCTGACTACTTTGGTAGTTGGGCCCAAAACAGCCTCGTCAATAATAGCTGTTCTAAAATGGGGAAAAGAGGTGCTCAGGCAAATGTAAATTCTTCAATTTATATGTGTGTATGTATGATATTTGACTACATGAGAGGGATCAATCCCATTAGCTGGGGGGAGCCTTTTACCTCTTGGTGATTCCGCATTAAGGCTGGCGGGTCCGTGCGGGTCCGTGTAACTTTTGATAGTCCCTTTTACCATAAAACCTAGAAAACGCGTTGACTCTTACTATGAAAATCTGCGTACTTCCGGTTTAGCGGCTCCGCTTCGTATTTTCGTTTTATGGGCAAACCCCAAAAGGAATTAGGGGGTAAGGTGGGGTCCCTGCTCCATCTCGCCATCAGTTTGGGGGTCCTTGGCCTGAAAAATGTTGAAGACCCCTGTCCTATAGTATTTATGGCTATAGCATTTCCCTTCTTAGAATTAAATATATAGGTATATTATTTACATTACTGTTATTTATACATTCAAATGTATTATTATTTCTGGACATATATACGTATTCTGTATGGACGTATATTTATACATATTTTATCATACATTTTGTATTTATTATTCATTATTAATATGAATGAATCTTCAGTCGAATGAAGAAATGTCAGGGCTCGTTGCATGAAGTCATGACGTATGCTAACCGTGTTGACACAGTACCCACGGCGAGCCGCCAGGTGGCGCTGTTGGAGCGACTTCTCGCGTTGATGCCCGGCCTGCCTCCAGCGGAGAGCGGTGCGTGGTTGGATGTGAGCGCCACAGAGCTGTCTGTACTTCCAGATCGAAGATGGCGGTCTCGGTGTTTCCCGGCGTGCGGCTCCTCTCCATCGGAGACGCGAATGGAGACATACAGCGACACTCAGAGCAGCAGCCGCTGCGGCTAGAAGTCAAGAGCACGCACGACGCTGCTCTCATCAATCTCTCCAATGGTGAGTTGACCTTTTCCCGCAGCTGCTCCTCGGATGTTCGGCCTGTCCCAACTGCCACTGCTAATGCTCGCGGCTAATGCGGTCACACGTAGCTTTAGCGACCAAGAAGCTAACGTCGCCTGCTCCTACCCATCACGAGGGAGTCCGTAAAACTCCCAAAATGTTCCCCGTCTGACGGGGTCTAATTGTTTTTAAAAGCTTAAGCTTCGGAGTCCCGCTCCGGTTCAACCGCGTCCAAGACCGCAGCCAAAAGCAGCACGCGCGGCGCAGCTTAGTTAGTGCACCAGGAAGCGGGGCAGCTAACAAGTTGTGTGTAGTTTAATGCTAGCTAAACAATGCCACTAGCCCGGCTCCGGTAATGATTCGCTAACGTGCATCCGAGCTGCTAGCGTCTAACGTCTTTTGCCCTTGATGTCTCAGGAACGTTTAATAAGTCACAACGCCGATATAAATCCGCCTTATTGTGTGTTTCGCTTAACAGATCCGTGTGTGTTATTTGGCAGTGTTTTAAGTGTGAATTCACGTCGGCTCGCGTGGAGCAGAACGTAATCACCCCGCACCCGCCGCCGTGCATCGTGGTCCGATCGGCTGCATTCAGCCAGTAGTCCGTTCCGTCACCGGAATAACGTTTTAAAAGCTCTCACGTTTTTATTGTTGCTGCTTAAAAGCGGCGTTTGCGCTGCGAGCGGCGTGGAGCGCCGGGCCCTCATTACGTATGCAGCCAGCTTTGTTCTCATTGGAACAATAGCCGCCTACTTTCCCTCCTGCGTGGAGCATCAGGGACGCTTCTCATTCACCGGGACGTCCCGCTGAAAGGGACCAGCTGCGTGCGCGCCCCCCCCTGCGGAGAAGTGAAAGAAAAGCTCACCGGCGTTCATTTGGAGACCCCGAGAAACTCCCCATAGACTTTGTATGGAGCTGTGGGGAGTTGCGCCCCACCTCCTGTCGCTTCTCAAAATCCCCGGATTTACATACAACGCCAGAGAAAAGAAGAGTACGTTTTTTTTGTGGAAATAAAGACCCCACGACACATTTAAAGTGATGGTTTCATTGTAATGCGGGGAGGCGGGTGAGATTATTATTATTTTTCGCCCTGTAAAGTCCCAAGATGTGGTAAGGGTCCTCTGGGTTAAGAAGTACTTGTCTGTCAGCGTAAGAGCATTACACCAGAAGAAGACAACTAAAAGTAAAAACAGTCTTCCATGAAGGGAATTAAATGGAACATAAGGGACAGTTAACGTTTGGAACTTTTTGTTCCTTCTTTGTATAAGAGCTAAAAAGGATGATTGCTAAAACATTAATTATTAATAGCATATCAAACACACTGTGCGCGTAAAATAAGTTGCTAAATATAAAAATAAGTTGCTGAAAAACATAATAACTGAAAGCCCTGTGGTGGATAACATTTAGAACATAAGTGACTAAAATGTTCTTATTGAAGTGGAAGTGATTGCACACATTGTCTGTGTACGGGTGCTGAGGAGTTCCACCATAATATATAATATATTATGCTCCAAAGGGATCTTTTTGTTTTCTGTTTAACGTCCTTTAAGTGATGTCGTGCAAATTAAATCTGAAGACCACAGGTTTATAAAGTAAAAGCCCCAAACTGTTTGTTGTTAGAAAGAAGGGATCTATCGAGATCCACTGATCTTCTCTGCTGCGTAATGCCTGACCTACGCACGTCGGACCACCATGCGCCGTCGGGTTTTGGTACAAAATAGCATGCGCACGCGCCACGTCTGCACATATTTGCATGCGTTTGTTAATTTTTTAATCACAATAAATTTTGACCAACATAAATTATTAATTATTTATCATGATTAATCGATCATTTTAGGGACATCTTTTTATTGCACTCTTCCCATTTAAATGAACAAGAACACGGCTTCCAGTTCTGTTGTTGTGCTACATTCTGGCTAAAGTACACATCTCTGCATCAGACTGGTTCTTATCTCACTGCATCACATAGAAGGCAAATATGAATGAAATAGTATCAATACTTTTTACCCAAAATTAAATCAACACTGTTCACTTTCACTTCCATGTTGTGCTACATTCCAGCTAATGTTCACAACTTTGCATCAAAATAGAACATTATTCACCTGAAGCAAAGTATAAATATATTTTTTTCCCCCAAATGAAGGAATAACTAATTCTTTATTTATATAGTACTGGACACGCTGTCTCTGTTGTGCTTTTCTGGGTTGACGTCATTGGACGTTGACGGAGATTCAGTGAGGTCACGTTATCTTTGGCAGTGATGCGTTGGTCGTGCGGAGGTTTGTGGTGATTCTTCAGGTGGTTGAACGAGTCAGTTGGCTGTGCGGCGCGGACACGACTAACGCACCCTGCACCCTCTGCGTCTACTCTGCTCTCCGTTAGCATCACTTGAATCCAAAGAACTTCTTTTGGAGAGAGCAGCTCCTCGCCTGCTGCTCCTGACATTTGCTTGACCTTTCACACTATGTTGTCTGCTCTTTGTCCCGTTGTCTGTCTCTTAACACCGGAGTCCACTGCAGACAGAACTTTCTCTGAGGCAGCAGGGCGCTCGTGTGACTCCTCCCACCTCGCTCTCTCCCCGGTGCTTGGTTGTTCGTTGAGGAAGCGCTTTATTTAATATGTAGCAGACTATGCACTTGATCATGCTCATTTCATTGTGGCAGTCAAAATCGTGATGGCAATTAAAATTTGGTTAATTGTGCAGCCTTAAGACCGGATCAGACTTTTTGCAGCGATATTCCTGCCATATCACAAGATGTCCCAAAAATCCCTCCCATGAGGGACCACATGGTGGTGTGGGCGTGTATGGGACAGACAATGGCCGCTCCTAATGAGGTTACGTTGATGCTGCAACACCACTTGCATTCAAGCTGGAGAGCAACTCCTCATCAGACAAGAGAAAATACAATGTTTCTTCTGCAAATGTAAAACACCACAACACAACAGCTTGTGACACATAAATAATTCGTAACACTAATAATTGTACATTTATAAAAATCACCCCACCGAACTGCATGCTGGGTACAGCTCACAACAAGAAGTAACTCTGTTGCTACATTGAAACACGAGAGAGCAATGACGCAGCAAGAGAGGATCTGTGTCTTTTTGGAGGGTTTTTGGTTTTGGAAAATCCGTAAGTTTCGTTAGATCAGAAAATGATTTATTGCAAAGTCTGTCGAGCCTCTGGTGGCAACACTAGCAGCCACAACTAGCTAACAAGCTAACGCGCCGGCCAGTTGGGGTTTTGGAGCTCGGCTCTTATTGTCATTGGAAAGAAATCAAAATGAGTTGGCAAGAATATAAATACAGTCTGAAATGGTAAAGAAAATAGGACGTGTGTATCTCTGCCTAAAGCACATGCAAGAAGGGAATATGATGAATATTATAACCAATATTACACAAATGCAACTTCTAGATTTATATATCATGAAATACACAAAGAGAACACTTTTTAATGTGACGTCAGCAGCTCTTTGCACATGTTACCATCCTAGCCGTATTCTACATTCAACAATAAGATGTCTGAAGTCACAAAAGCACAACAAGTCACAGCTTCCTGATTCCTGCGCCGTATCCTCGTGAACACTAATCCCAGGAGCGGTTTAACCAGCAGATCCACACTTCTAATTCCACAAACAAACCGTAAGTCTGCACCGTGTGTTTCTGGAAATAGGAAATAAGCAGGAGGCTGTCAGAAGACGTAAATCACTACGGCTTCATTCAGTCAATGGGATTATTAGGTGTAGGTAGCATTTAACACGGTGTGTTTACATGTAATCTTGTGAACAAACATTTTGGTAAGTCATATTAATAGAAACAGTTGTTATGTGATCCTTGAAGATAAATATGTTGGTTCATTCCCTTTTTATTTGAAATATCCCGATTTAAAAATGGTAACATTTGATATTTAGAAAAGGCTTGAAAGCGATCCTCCTCCCACATGCACCCACTCATTAGGTTCGGGTTCACTGCATTGCAGAAGTGGAGGGAGGTGTTTTCATGGAACGGATCGACTATCTATTTGTATCCTGCGTAGTCATCACAGTCCAGATTTTACGCACATGGGCCAGTTAGTTCTCCTCGGCATGTGAAGCCAGTTGAAGAATGTGAAAAAACAACTCAGATGATGATGCCATTATGTGAATGATGATAATAATACAAATGAAATACATTTTACATTTTCAGCTCTGAAGTTTTGACCGTGATCAACTCGTTTAAAACTGTAAACACTTCACTGTCCTTGTCTTTACTGATGTCAGTTCTTCCCCTTTTAATGGCCTTTCTGATTACAAAGATACGCGGAGGTGTTTGTAGTGAGTTAGACCTTTTCTCACGCTGTTCCCCTGTCTTTTGTCATGTGGCTGATTTGCCATCTTTTCCAGAGGATGCTTCTCTCTTAATCTGAAGTGCTGCACTTAATCCCTCCGAAGGCACTGGATTAGCTCAGGCTGCTTTGTGAGTCTGTCGGGCTGCCGCACAACCCCGAGGGTTCGACTCGCTGGAGACGTATCGGCCCTCTGCCAGGCTTTCATTGGTCCTGGAAAACGTTTCTTTGAGTGTGGTATCCCATCAAATGTCCCGTTTATGCTTGTTGCACCCGGGGAGCCGCCGTTCTTCAGTTCAGAGCAATAATTTAGGTCATCTTTATTTAGCCGGTCGTTGATAACCACTCAAAAAGACCCAGAACAAGTCCACGACTAACTAATCCTGCTAAGAGAGTCATCGTGATGAAGGACAGCAGCTCCAGTAGATCACTGAAGAGGAAATGAACACAAACACACACACACCCCAGTGCAGCGCAGCCTTTGTGAAAGAAGAGAGAAGCATATTGACTGAAGCAAATTAAATCCCCCCCACCTCTTGAATATGTAAACCTGGTGGAAACACTGCGCACTGTAGTTCATTTTGAGTTCCACGTACACCGTCCTCCCTCAAGCATCAAATGTGGTTTAATCTGCCTCTGAAAATAGTCCCCAGCAAACAGCGCATTTCCTCCCGTTTGCTGCAAACGGCGGAACGAACAGAAACAAACGCTTCCATTCCGTACTGGGTAAGGACGTGTCAAGAGACGGACACACTATCCTGGCTGCACTCTCTTGCATCGACCCATTGTAGGAATATATATCGATGCATTTTATTTATCTATTCCGTCTTAATAGAAAAGCACATGTCAGAGTTTATGCATCTCCATCCGTGTGTGAGCAGCAGAGGGATGTAAAGAGGCTAGAGGTGCATTGTAGTCGGCTCTCTCTCACAGGAGCCGGTTGGGTTGAATCTCAAATGGCAAAAAACAACATCAACCCCCCCTTCAAAAAAATAAAGGCATATTTTTGCAAATGCAGCTTGTCAATTCAGGGCCGAACGCCGCTCCGCCTGTTAGAGCTCACCTTCAGCAATCTGCACTACCCACACAGTCCTATGTCACCTGCAGAGACCCTGTTGAGTCTGTCGGTGTCCTCACTTCTTCTGTTCTTTTTCCGTCCAGGAGAGGAGGCGAGTGTTTTCAAGTGTTCGGTTTCCAGGGAGACGGAGTGCAGCCGCGTGGGGAAGCAGTCATTCATCATCACACTGGGATGCAACAGCGTCCTGCTGCAGTTCTCCTCACCTGCAGGTACACACATGCTGCCCCCATTACCTGGTGGACACACACACACACACACCACATCACAATTTTAGGTCAAAATTAGTGCCAGTGAGGAAGCAATTTCCTGCATCACCAAACATTGGAAATATTGAACAAATGTCACCCAGCAGCCCCTTTGTCTCAGGGTGGAGGTGTCTCCAACTAACAAGTCAGAAAGCTGAGTGACGATCCCTCATAGAACCACGCTGAGATATTTACTACTACGGCTAGTACCTTACCCTCGGCGTATTACTGTTTGGTCTGAGACGTGACCTCCTTTTTACTGTTTAGAGACCACGATTAGCAATACAATACAGAGCTAACGCTAGTTAGCCAACATTGGTTCACGTAGTTGGGTTACCAGGTGGAACGTGGGACTTTGCCCTGTATGCGCCACATTTACCTCGACTTTGACTTTGCCAAAACTAGATTGTATCTCTGGCCAGACTGGCTCCACCGACGGACGTCAGTTCCCAACGTTAAAACGGAAACGAACAGTAGTGGCCTCACCAAGCTGTCATATTAAGAATATCCAACATATGCCGACTGATCTGCTCTCCTGTAAAATACAGCAAGCTGAGTTAACTTCTAACTGCCATTGGTTTGTTTGTATTGGTAAGACATTACGCATGTCGGCATATTGGTAACATATAAAACCTGATAAATACCGCTCAGGTTTCCTACCAGCCACACCGTCTATGTATCCTTTTATTGGGATTGTGTTACAGCCATTTGTTACAGATTTGGGGAGATTCCTCCGAGCGTGACGGCCCAGAGACCAACGTTGGTTCTGTGCGCGGTCTGCTTCCCACACAGCGTGTGCTACGGAAATGATCAGTCTGTAGGAACACGAGTTTGACTACAACTATTAATCTGCGGGATTATCTGCTCTAAGCGAATGTTAGTACGTGCTGATAAGTGGTTTACTGTTCGTAGCAGCAACTCTCAATGAGTGGCTTTAGTTTGTGGGTCTGCAGATGACATTTACAAATGCTGGCTAGCTCGCCAAATGTTGTGTATTATTACGTTTTTTACTGAAGCAAGATTATTCAAGACGCTTCATTTAAGTTATCTTAAAATAATTTTCTCTTTGAAAATACAAAGATAAAAAGTAGAATGGTCAGCCACAGACAGAATGAAGCTCAAGTAATGAAACAACCTTTTCTCTTTATACCTTATCGAGGTAAAGGACCTGAACCATGATCTCACCAAGAGCCACAAAAACAAAAAGCTACACATGTTGTTCCCATAAACTCACTCCTGCATGAAGCACATCTGAAACTCTACACCGTCCCGTTGGGCTGTGAAGGAACCTTTGCACGCACCACTTCAAACACTCAACACAACGGTTGTGACCGGCCCGTGTGTATGCTGTTGTGTAATGTCGGGTCCAGTGAACATGTGTGTGTGTTTCTGTTCCGCCGCAGACTTTCAGTCCTTTTATAACCTGCTGAAGAACAGTCGTGGGCACGTCAATGAGCCCTCGGTCTTCAGCGACAGAACAGAGGACTCCTCTGCTGTTCAGTACTTCCAGGTGAGCGGCGGCTGAGACGGTGAAAGGACACACGGCCGTTTGTTTGTCTCATTTAATCATTATTGCCCCTTGCTGGCTTTGTTCGTCATGAGGCTTAATTCATTGGATTTAAAATGATCTTCCTGTTAAATAAAAAATGTCCCTCATGCAGTTCTCACAGAATAGTCAATATTTCATTTGAAGAGAAGATGTAACATATCGTACAATCCAGACACCAAATGTAGGATTTACATTTGAACATGTTTTGACCTCTAGAGAAGAAGTCTGTATTCTGTCCTGTTGTGCTAACTGAGCCGTCATGGTCTACTTTGGCTTTCTAGGTTTTCGCCCCGGTCAGTGTCTGCTGGTCCCAGAATGCATTATTTTAAACACTGTCACAGGAACATGCCCCTATTTGAAGCTGAACCCACTGGGGCGATAAGCTTTCACTTCCTCTCACCAATGAGCAGGGATTTGTTCTTTCTTGGAATCACTGCTCACACTTTGTCTGTCCAGCTGCCGTCGTGTACAGAACGCGGCTTAATGTGTAAAACAAGAAGTGCGGGACGTGGTAAAATAAGACTTTAGTGGTGTCCTAAAGACTGAACAGTCAGCGCCCCGTTTCTTTGAGCACACAAAAAACAGAGAAATAAACTGTAAACAAGTATTCTTTTAAAGGGATTAAAGATTTAGAGGGAAGAACTATGCGATGTTGTGTCCCAATAATCTCGTGTGCTACTTGTTCTTCAACACCATTGCATATGTCTTTGGGGTGCAAGTCCCGCGTCCCAGACAGAGACCTGGAGGATAATGTTTTCCCTCCTGTATATTCACATGTAGAGTTGTGATGCTCATCTATGTCTGATGACTTAATAGAGATCATAAGCTGTTTCTTTCTCTCTGCAGTTTTACGGCTACCTCTCCCAGCAACAGAACATGATGCAGGACTACGTTCGGACAGGCACTTACCAACGGGCTATTCTCCAGAACCACACCGACTTCAAGGACAAGGTAGCCTCATGCCACAGTCTAGTTTGTGGATTCATCACTGTATTCTACTGTGATCAGAATCCGACGCCCGTAGAAAGGCTAACTGCTGACATGTGACCGTCATTACTGTGCTGAAGAGCAGCTTAAACTAGACGGGTGCCAATTAGTCTGATCAATTTACTCTGCTAAACTCCTCCCAACCAACAACCACGGTCCAGTCATACATAAGCCACTGTAACGCCGCAGGTGTCGTAGGAGGCTCCACACGGGGGTCTCTATTTTCCCCCTCAAAATGTAATGAAAAGTGAAATTGAACATTAGCTTAGTTAAGCTTTTTGTACCCCAAAAATAGACACCCCCCCCCCCACCTGTACTGACTCGTGTGGTTCTCACAGGTGGTGCTGGATGTTGGCTGCGGCTCGGGGATCCTCTCTTTCTTTGCCGCCCAAGCTGGAGCCAGGAAGGTCTATGCTGTGGAGGCCAGCACCATGGCTCAGCACGCCGAGGTACACACACACACACACGTTGGTGAATCCCTGAATGCCTCCATGTGTTTGGAGTGACTCTGTTAATGGGTCGCTCTGTTCTGAGGCGTGATTCCTGAAGCTGTGCTCTGCCTCCCAGGTGCTGGTGAACAGTAACCGTCTGGGGGAGCGCGTGGTCGTCATACCGGGGAAGGTGGAGGAGGTGACGCTCCCCGAGCAGGTCGACATCATCATCTCAGAGCCCATGGGCTACATGCTGTTCAATGAGCGCATGCTGGAGAGCTACTTGCATGCAAAGAAGTTCCTCAAACCCAACGGTGAGCGAAACGTGGATCAGAGATGGTCGGGTTGGTTAGCATGAGGCCTCAGTGAGTTCACAGGAAGAATACACAGATGTAAACAAAGAGTATCCTCATATGTCTGCAATACAAGCTAAAAAGTCTTATTGGTTGACAGTCCGGATACAGAACTATATATGAGGTTGTGGTGGATGTGTCATGTGAGCTGCTCTTATTGTGACGGCCTCCTCTGTGGTTGTGTGTTTCAGGTAAAATGTTCCCCACCATCGGTGACGTGCACCTGGCCCCCTTCACCGATGAGCAGCTCTACATGGAGCAGTTCACCAAGGCCAACTTCTGGTGAGGGGGGGGGGGGCACAGTTTAGTTAGTTAAAAAACTGTTAAAAGCCACGTTTTCCATTGCTAACTGAAAATGCTACGTGCTAGGTAGAGTTAAAACACAGCAGACTACTGGTTGTGGATGTAACTGGGATCATTCTTTGGCCCTCAGGTACCAGCCCTCCTTCCATGGCGTAGACCTCTCTGCCCTGCGGGGAGCAGCAGTGGACGAGTATTTCCGCCAGCCTATTGTGGTACGCAATCCGCCACACGCGCACACATGTGGATATTCCATTCAATTCATTTTATTTTGTACAGGGACACAGTGGAGGTCTCCTGAAGGGTAGATGTTAAGATTCCCTCTGCACCGTTGTCCTGTTAGTTCTACTTCCAATGCAAAAAGCTCTCCATCTTCAGCTACTGTCTCGGCCTCTCCGATCTAACTGACTGTAGCACGCAGCGGTTTTAGGGGTTAGCAGTCAACGTACACAGGAAGTAAACAAAATTGCGTTAAAATATTGTATCGCACTAATCTCAGCCACCATAATATCATGGATTAAATTGTTCACTTCAACAGCCCCAGTTCATAGACACACACTTTAGGATTGAGTTACTCAGATCTGGATTTGTTGTGCTTTTCTCCTCAGGACACATTTGATATCCGTATTCTGATGGCCAAGTCAGTCAAATACACAGTCAACTTCCTGGAGGCCAAAGAAGAGGATCTCTACAGGTGTGTGTTTGTGTGTGTTGAGATGCTCGCTGTGTTAAACATATGCTCTTACCCAATGTAAATGATGTTCTCTTCTGACTCTTTCGTGTGGCTCCCAGGATAGAGATTCCCTTTAAATTCCACATGATGCACTCCGGCCTGGTGCACGGCCTGGCTTTCTGGTTCGACGTGGCGTTCATGGGATCCTCGTAAGTCGGCCTTGCGCTGCTTTCACTGTGACCACAAGCAGGAAAACACAAGTCGTCCTCACCTTGCTCCTGTCTCTCTGCAGGATGACTGTGTGGCTGTCCACAGCCCCCACAGAGCCCCTCACCCACTGGTACCAGGTGCGCTGTCTGCTGCAGTCCCCCCTCTTCACCAAGGCCGGGGACACGCTGTCCGGCACAGCTATGCTGATGGCCAACAAGAGGTAGGATGCTTCTACACCCGGTCGCCCCACCTCTCACTGGTACACGTCGGGTGCGTTTGGGGCAATGGGAGGTTTTTTGCACTATGGAGGTGTGGACAGTGGACAGGTGGGGGACGGAGGGCTGCATATGCATTTGGCATCGAGGCTGCAAATCACTTTAGCGTAAGAAATCTGCGTGCATGATAGTAATCTAAATAAGTGTTAAAGAGAGGCTTGTACTCTGTAGACTGTAAAGAAAGTAAAAGATATGCATTATTTAGATGGTTATGTTTTATTTAAAGTTTAACTTTAGACTCTACAGCGAGCAGTGGTACTTTATCTCTCAGCTCAGCACTCACAGGCAGGGAACTAAATCATTCAACCCGAAGAGCCATTCTTTAATGTGTCGTCCCGGCAACATGCACATGCAACGGAACAGCGTGTTGTAAATAAATGTAACCTACTCCAATGAGGAAATCCAGGGTTCTCTCTGCTCCTGTTGTGTGAGTGGTAGCTCTCATCTAAAGCTCTCCACCGTCTCCCTCTCAACAGACAAAGCTACGACATCAGTATTGTCGCCCAGGTGGATCAGACAGGATCAAAGTCCAGCAACCTCCTGGACTTGAAGAACCCCTTTTTCAGGTGAGTTGGTCTCTCGGCCTCAGCAACACCCCTGCATCCGGATGGCACCGTTTGACATGTAAGATGGGGAACACTGTCCGCCTCTCCCATGTTAAACGTGTGTGTGTCTGTATTCGCAGGTACACAGGCACCACCCCCAACCCCCCTCCTGGCTCACACTACACCTCCCCGTCCGAGAACATGTGGAACACGGGCGGGGCCTACAACATGAATCAGGGGATGGCTGTATCAGGTGAACACACATAAACACTGGCAGATGACGGCGCTCCTCCATGTGTTTATCAGGGCGTCCTATCTGTGGCCTTTAATTAGTCTGAAAGCCTGTGCACATAAACCCCTGCTGGTACAGAGCGCTGCGAGTGCGTCGGCAGTAGTGTTCTGTTCAAAGCCTCGTTGCTTGCTCTGCTCGGGTACTGATCACTGCTCGAGTATTTTGGTGCACGGGTTTTGACACTAATTAAAAATGGTAAATATTCAAATTTAAGAGGAATTTCCACACATTTTGAATCTGGCATACTCAAAGGGCTTCTCGATACCCCTCGGTGGGGTATGGCATAATACATCTTCCACAACAACATGAACTAGGAGGTCCACGCCGCCAGTCGGCTGCGTCCCCAGACCAGGGGGACAAATCCCCTCACACAGGGGGCCGGTGTAGCTATCAGCGGCCCCTTTGAGTGGGATGCGGGGGCGTTTCCCTCAGAGGGAAGAGTTTTGTTCTGCATGTCTATAATCTCCTCAAACCATGTCTGATTCTTGACCAATGACTGGACACACAAGTATCCTAAAACTACAAAACCCCATTTAATGAAATGTAGTCATTCATTGATATGATGGCATTCATTATTTACAGCATCGATGTAGCTTCCCATAACTGCAACTTGTGAAAACCTGTAGGGTCTTTAGATGCAGTCTTGTCATCACCTTAATGTACCAGACACTCTTGAATGAAAAACCTAGAACCAATCTGGATTTAACATGGAGAAATCAAAGAGCCCCACGCAGCTTAGAGTTTATTCCATGGGGGGGTCATGGAATAAAAGTGAGAGAACCAAAGCAGCCCCCTCTGAACACCGCTTCTGGTTCCTGCTCCGAATCGCTGCAGACAACCAAAGCTACCCAAACATTACGTAACAATATAAATAAAGCACCACGTGGCACTTGTTGCTCTTGGCACACAAAGGGGTTTTTCTTAGAAAACCATTTGTTCTACTGCAGCGGGGTCGGCGCTCTGCCCCTCCCGGTCCCCCTGAGCTGGGTGCAGAGCTCTCCTCCCTTCCCGATGTGGGTCCGATGGTCTCTGGTGACATACAGACTGTTTCATGAGCAGCTTAGAGTTCTTCACAGCGCCTTCAGTAACACGTGGTTTATCCTTCTTATTGAAAAAATATAAAAAACGAGTTATTCTGTATGTTTACGTCCCCGCTAGGGGTGTAACAATTCATTTTAACAACAATTCGAATCGCGATTCATGGTTGCCGATTCGATTCATGGACGATCTGCGTTAATTTAGAACGATTCGATTCAGTGACTTGAAATCGATTCAGTAACTTTACTGGACAGTTCAGGCAAAGTGTCTGAGATCCCTGTTGTTTCTTGTAAGGAAATCAGGTTTAAATTAATTATGGATATTATAAACAAGCAAACAATTAATGGCAAATATATTAAACTTTTATTTGAATCAAGTGCCATTTTCAATGTAACCATTACACAATAATTACACAATGTTTGGATCAATTCGCAGAACCCCGGATTTTCCACCACATTGTAGGGTCGCATGTCTTTACAGATAAACTTGGCAATTGTTACTGTGATGTTGAGTTTGGTGCTGGCGAGGCCTGAGGTGTCTGATTTGTAAGACCCCTCACCTCAGTTTCGATTTGTAATCGATATATGTCGTCCGGAATGCCGATTTGCGGAGCACAGATCGATTCAGTTGGATCGCAGGAATCACCAGATCGCTGGTGTCACCAGGCCCTGTGCAACGGAGACCTGTATTTAGCGTAAAGAATGTGAAGACTTCTTTGTAGTATGTGTTCATTTTTTGCCCCCTTTTCTTTGTCCCCCCCCCCCTCCCCTAAACCCCCTCTCCAGGGATGCCTGCAGCTTATGACCTCAGCACAGTCATTGGCGGCGGCCCGGCGGTGTCTCACAACAACCTCATCCCCCTTGGTACGAATCGCACTCCCCCCGACTTCTCGACATCTCATGGTACTTAACGTTGTGGGGGACAAAGAGCAGAGCAGCCGGGGGGGGCGGGGGGGGCTTTAAGCATTGGGTGTTGATGTTGTGCTCTCCGGTCTGCTCTGCAGCTTTGTATGTGTAATGACTAAACATGCCCCCCCCCCCCTATGTGTTCTGTATGAAATGTGTGTCCTGAGTGTCTGATAATAAATGTTAAATGGCTTTTCACTAATTAACAGCTTAACAATCCGTTTGTGTAGTTCTAGTTGTTGGTGTTCATTATTTCATGATTCTATTTCTACAAATGACTTCCTACCTTTTCGCTTGTAGTGACATTTCAACCGCTCTCATCTCTTACTCTTCACTTTCTGTCTTTGGCGGACGTTTCAACACTTCTTCTCACTTTCAAACACCCGATAATCGGCGGCTCTGATTTTCACTGGTCACCAACAATGTGCCAAACACTGTTCTGACTGCTCACTGCTGCTAGGCGGCCTTTTGCTGAATCACCTATTTTTCATATTACACTCAAGAGTGATGAGTTTGTTGTTCTAGAGAGCCCCCGTTGGGATTTCAAGGACAACTGGACACTCCTTTGATCACCGTTCTCTCGCCAAGCGGCCACGATTTGTGTCACAAAGATGCAAAAGGCCCTCTGGGTTTGTCCTTTCTGGGCTACTGTAGAAACGTGGCGGATTCCTGCTGCTCGTTGTAAAACAGAAACACTGGTGTTCCAGGTTAACATGCTGATTATTGTATTTCCTCACAACCCCCCAAAACCCTACATATGTTTCATTTCTAAAGGTAGTTGTCTTAATAAAGTGGGTTTAGCACCTTTTTTTAATGGCAGAGTTTCTCGTCTCACTAAAGCGGCCACAGTCTCTCAGTTTGTTCCCTTGAGCTGCACTTCAACTCCTTTTAGCATCTACCTCCCTTTAACTCCGGGGTTCCCACAGCTTCCTATTCTCCCGCAGAGGTGTTTTAGATCACGGTTGTCTTGGGTCACAAGCTGGACGGCTCTGTGTGGTGTGAGCGGCTCCTCAGGGCTCCCACCCGTTTTTGTTTTGCAGCTTAAAAAAAAACAAGAAGTTCTGCAGATTTCATTAACTGTGCTTTCCTCTCTCTGATTGGTCACAGTGAACACCGGAATTGTAAACCACACCCACTCCAGGATGGGCTCCATCATGAGCACAGGAATTGTCCAGGGTACGTCCACTTCCCTCTTCATTTAACAAACACGGCAGCAGAGAGTGGCTTCAGGCTGCCGCACAGAAATGGACCTCCTCCAGTTGGAAACGCCATGCTTTGTTTGTCCTCCCCCAGGAGCCACCACGGGCCAGTCGGGTCCCAGCAGCAGTGGCACTTACTATCCCGTCACCAACCAGTTCACCATGGGGGGCGCCGCAATTTCCATGGCCTCGCCGATGGTCATCCCCAGCAACACCATGCATTATGGCAGTTAAGGCGAGGGACCTCACGGAGACCCTTATGACCGCCCTGCCCCCGCATGATAAGAGACCCCCCCCCCCCCCCTCCCTGCCCCCCCAAACCCCGAACGACACACCGACCGCAGCCAAAACCAAGATACCAAAACCAGTGCTGTGCTGGCACTGCCTCCCCATGTTCGTCCTCCCCATTCTGCTCTGTTCAGTCCATCACTTCATGAACGGTCGAACGCTCTCATTTCCGTCCAGACTTTTGTCTTGCTGACAGACCCGCCCCCCTCGCCCCCCCTCCCCACCGCCGCGGGATCAATTGGGACTCGTGCACAGCTGAGATGCACAGCCGTTTATTTGCAATTCGCCCTCTTCCCTCAAACATGTATCTCAGTCCGTTTTGTTTTTGGTGTCATGATGATGACCAGCACCAGTCTGCTCTGACACTCTGTCCACACTAGAGCGCCATTATCATTGACTTCATCACTACTCGTCATATCTGACCCGGTCCTCGGGCCCACCTACCTTTTCCTCAAGAGACTGACTGAAACGAGGCAAACCCTCCACGCCTCCCCCCCCCCCCACTCCCCTCCCCAAGTTTTGGTTTTGGCGAATATATCAGGAAACTGGCCAGAGCGCCTGGAAGAGTACAGAAAATAAGCTCTTTTTTTCGTTTTGTGAGGTGGAGAAACTCTTGAGGTGTCGCTGCAGGAGAACGGCCCGCCGGTCACCTTCCGTGCTGAGCAAAGGGACAAAGCCAGTCGTCTTTGCTCAAACAGCAGGGCAGACATAATCTTCCACACTTAAAAGCAGAGCTGGCACCTCTGACATCCTATAATTGATTAATTGATCCAAATATTGAAAAGTTGAGGCACGTTTCAGCCAATCCCGCCACGTGGTTAGCCTAGCTCAGAGGCTAGCAGCCGGCGAAATTTCCTTCCTGGAAGGGAACACAGAGCCTTTGAGTCGAGGACTTCGCTTGTTGTTGACTTGTAGTTGTGAGAGAGTGAAGGTGACCGGTGGCGTAAAGGTGTCATCAAAGCTGTGGCTGCCGTCGCCCGGCTGTCTTTTCCTCTGAGGGGACACATCAGGGAGAAGATAGTGAGGACGGAGGACCCCCAGCTGGCAGCTTGTCGGACGCCCGATGAGGGATGTGCCCCCCACCCTGCCCCTCGCCCTCCCTTCTCCTTCCAACCTCTAGTCCGTTCACCTCCAACATATCACCCCCCCCGACACCGTCGCCCCTTTTATCAGTCAGAGAGGACTGACACACATTGCTTCCAGTGTCACAATTATCGGACTTGAAATATTACGAGTTTAGAAATGTTTTAAGAGAGTTGAGAGAAAAAAAGTCTCTGTAGGATTTACCTTTTTTTGTTATGTTCATTTTTGTTTCCTTTTTCTTTCACATAAAACGACAAACGATGAAAAAAAAGAGCAAATTAAATGTGGTGCAAATGTTCCAAAACCATCCTGGAATCAGGTGTTTAATACTTTTTTGATTTGTTGTATAGCCTGCGGCCACGCGCCAGATGTTTGCTAGCCTCTAGCAGTCGTGTCCCCTGTTTCTTTTTGTTGTCATTGAATTATTTGCTCTGTGTAGTCGAATAGCGACAGTGACTTTTTTTTAATCATGGAAAAGTGTGAGGAAGACTGTCCTGTTCTGTCGTTTCTGTGTTCCGGTAATAACATCTGTCTTGAAATGTCCTCTTCTGCTCCGAGACACCCAGGGAGTCTTCTGTCCTCGTTACCCGTGTAGAGACACTCACTTTAGTGAGTAGAGCCTCTATCTCTGTTGCAAAATGGGTCGGGTTTCACACAAAAAGTCAATGACAGCAGGCAAACGAAGGATTAGTGGACGCGCGGCTGGTTGGGATCAGTCTCGTGCACAGATGAGGCCTCACGCAATGGGTCATTCATTCAGAGACTCCCGGCATTAAATTTAAATTGTGGCGGTGAAAATCTCTGCTTCCGTGAAAAGATGGCTTCAGTTTATTTATCTGATCAACTTGAATAGCCCTTAAATAATTCCATGAGTCATAAAAGTTATACTGTTAGATAAATCCAGATTGATTGTCCTTCCTCGGGAAGGAGCTGTGAATCACAGGAAGCTTGCCCCAAAACAGACCCTGCTTTATGGTCAATTTGACTCTAAAAGGGACCATAGTTACTGAATCAAATCATTCAGATGACCTAAAACTAGAGATGGAGACCAGACCATGTTCACTGAATCCAGAGAGCATCTCATCTATTCACATGGGACACATCATGGAACGCTAACCTGAACAGTCTGACAATGATTCATCAGAAGTCAAAAGCAAATTTGCTCCACGGCAAAATAATTTTACAATGCACCATCGTTGTAATTTAAAACTTACAAATATTACGTACAGTATTGAAATTCGTAGATTAGCTGCAAATCCTCTTTATTAAAACAAAATGGATGCATAGATCCAGACTCAGCTTTGTAAAGATTATAATTACTGTTCACATTTATGTTCATAAATCCCGAACGTACAAATACGTTTCCAAAAAGTATGAAAATCAAGAGTTGGCCAGGAAATCGGTGCATCTCCAGGTTTTGTGTATAAAAACGAGGTTTGAATTTGAATAAATATGGCACGTTTCTTTGTTCTGGTATTGGAACAGGACAGAAAATAGTATTTCTAGGAAGTCCGTCATGGGATGAGTTGGGTTTATTGAGGGATTATGATGAAACCATTGGTGTCACTTTTGGTCCATTTGATAGAGCATGAAGCTGGTGCCATGGCTTTAAAAGTGTAATATTCCACTCGTACAGCTCGAGACAACAGACCCCTTCATACCAACATCCGCTATCAGCGTCTCTAAAGGCGTCTGCAGCTTCAGCTTCCTAAAGGTGTGGTGACATCTAGTGGGAAAGCTGCAGATTGCAACCAGCCAAATCGCCTCAACGCGACGGAGGACTTCATTAATACTGGTAACTGCTCTCTTAAAAAAACATTGAAAAGAACAGGATTACAATAATTCAGTTGTAAACATTGGTTCTACTCTAGAAACTTCTTAGCTACAACAGTTAAGTCATCGTACAAAGTTCTGATCTCACTGGAAACACAATGGTTCTCGTCAGTAGAGTAACTCCTTGTTAGGTGAATAAGGAGCCAGACGCGTCTGCATGTTTAGTTCTCAGAGGGAGCTGCAGAGTTAAACTGCTCTCAGTGTTCAGTGCGAACTCAAATGCTCAGAATACATATGGTCATTACCCTTTTTTGGGGGGATAAGAACAAATAAAAATGTTTAATTACAACAATCCAAGCCAGTGAGGATGATCGCTCTGGGGTTGATTGTAGTGTTGAATTGTGGATTGCAGTCACTCCATCCTGATGTTTCACAGAGGAGATTTGAAAGAAGAAGTGTGTGGCTCATTTTCAATCCTCATTGGTGCTGCTCTGTATAAAATGAAGGTCTATCAAAGTGTGGATCAAGGAGAGGTCAGAACTAATGGTAAATGAATTGGATCTATTTTCTAGACTTCTGACCAATCAAAGCTCCTTAATGCCACATTGACATGTGGCGTTCACACCCCTCCATGAACTGATGGCAGGAGGTAACATTCACAAATTAGGGTTAAATATCTTGCCCGGGGATCGAGCCACCAACCCTTTGACTGAAGGACGACCCTGCCCTCCTTGTGGATGACCTTAATTGGGGCCACATCCCCAAATGCATCGGTCCGACGTGAGCTGCTCAAATGTTGCCGGAGCTTTGACCTCTTGACAACTCCCACTTCCTTCTTGGACCCGGGTCGGAGGGGAAGCTGGGCCCGGAGGTCCTACATGTGGTTCTTTGGCGCCGTGGAGCGGGCTGACCAAGCCGGTGACCCGATCAAGGAGGACCACAATAAGCACGACCGCAGTAAGCGTCGTGACGAGGTCATCCTTATACAATCTTAATGAGTGTTTGCATGCCAACTTCTACTAGTTGGCAGTGAACGCAGCGCTGCCCCCGCTGTAACTGGTAAGATGTTTCAGACTGGCATTATTTGCCCCCAAAAGAAGTTGTTTTAAAATGAATACATTTGAGGAAGCTTACAAATGTTACGTTGCCGTGGCAACTTCACTGCACTGAGGATTTTTGCTGCAGCCCCCCCTTTGTAAGCTGTGTTCGACTGTTTTTCCTTGGTCAAGTAGTATTTCCAAGTGAGTCATTACCTCTAAAATAATGAGAACAATGGCAATTTATTTTTGATGATTGTTGATATTTACATGTTAAAATGTATTTACTGTTAAACATCTGACATTTATAGTATTGTCATACTGCCTTGGGAAAAGCATCTGTTTTGTCGGGCTAAGAAAAGAAAGCCTTGGCAACCATTGAATATAACACCGTTAACTGAAATAAAAAAATTGACAGTTAAAGTTAAAAGTTAAATTCAACTAAATTGTATTTAGAGCACCCGAAATTTTCCTCTTTACAATCTGTACAGATACAAGTTCTCTGTCTCGGCAGCCTCACATCAGTACAGAAAAACTCCCCCCCCAAAAAAACATTAATGTGGAGAAAGAAAATCAAGAATCTTTAGAGAAAGAAACCGATCCTGCTATTATATTATAGTGACTTCGAAGAACTGTGTAACTCGTCCTGTTAACAGATTCCTAATATCCAGAATATTAAGCAGCCACGTCTGGGGGATATGAGAGACACGGAGAAGGTTTAGAAATTGTTAAAGTAAATTGGTCAAAATCAGCTGCCTCTGAGGTTCCTACACCCGAGGACGGGACGGATCAGATTAAAGAAGTTCATTAAGACGTTCCTACTGAGGCCTATAGGAATACACTGTTTGTGTATGTGTGTGTGTGTGTGTGTGTGTGTGTGTGTGTGTGTGTCTTTTTTATACCTGACACCATAAGTCTCATTCAGACCTAATGATCTGTTTGCAGACCAAATCCAAATGACCAGGAACAATAGGATCCAGCTCCAGCATCAGGACCCCATCTGCTCCCACCAGACTCCTCCTGGAGCTCTAAAGGGAGCACACATGCAACGGCAAATATACACACGTCAGCAGAACAGTGACTATTGCTAACACTCAATACCACACGCAAAATTCAACAGTCATCGATATCCCTTTAATCTCCTTCTGTGAACGCCGCACACATTCACTTACACAAACAGAATTTATTGGTCAACGGCTTCATCTAGTGGCACAAACATGAAACTGAGTCAACCAGAGTGAGTTAACTTTATTTAATTGCATGTTTTAACTATTTCGTTTTTTAACTTCTATTTGAATTAAGTTTTTTATTGTGCATATGGGTTGCTCTTGTTTTTGATTATTGGCTGTACAGAGAGTGTGTGAGTGTGTGTGTGTGTGTGTGTGTGTGTGTGTGTGTGTGTGTGTGTGTGTGTGTGTGTGTGTATAAGTGTCTGTTGAAAGCCAGCAGGGGCTCTTATGATCAGGCTTTAGGAGGATACACTTTAGGGAACGGCAAACCATTGCCTCACTGCCCGGACACCAGACATCGCTGAGCGTGGGAGGCATGCCAGGGAACATATCACCGCCCTGGCCTGCACTTTGTCGCACAGGAACACCCGCTTATGCAGAGGCTCATTGTGTTATGGCTGCCACCACATGTCACATCCTTCAGCCCCTGGTTTTTTTTTGGATCCTTGAAGTAAGATTCCTTCGGTGTTGCAGGTGATCTGTTGGCAGTGATCCACTGCTTCTTCATCTCTGAAAGGATTTTTGAAGGGTTCCAAGAAACACCTACAAGAGGGTGAAGCATCAGAGACTGACGGTGGCCTCAACCCTCTGGACCTAATAGCATACAATGGTCACAGGCCATGCCGTCCGGGCCGCGGCGTGGGCCTTCTCGCCACCTCCGTCAAACCCATCAGCATCTTCCTGGGCTGTGCCCCTTTTCCCAATCCCCAGAACCAACCTCCAGCTTCCCCTCCTTCCGATACTTACACCACCCATCCCATGGCAATATTGATTGTAGTAGACCTGTCCCACCTCATGGCCGAAATTCATTTTCAAGAGAAATTTCTCCAAGGCCAGACTACTGACAGACGTCTGACGCCGTCGTGGTGGATCGTGCTGCCAGGCGGGAGGCCCAAGCTGTAGCCAGAAGAGACAAGCAGCAAGACGGCAACTCTGGACTTTCCATCGCCGTTCCCTAATCCAACTCTGTCCCCTCTTCTGCCTCCCACTGTCCCCGGCTGCCTGCTAGCAGCACCACTGCATCCGAGCCTGTCTGCCGAGGAGGACGGCCACCTCCCCCCGTCCCCTGGCACCTCATCGACCAAACAGTTTTACTCCTACAAACTCACCTCATACAGGCAGGAGGTGGACAAGCTGGTCCTCTGGTGTGGTCAGAAGAACTGGAGCAGAACAAGCTCAAAACTGTAAACTGAAAAGAGCTTTAACAGAGGGCTCCAGCTCGTTTACCCCAACGTCGTCTCCGGCAAATCCAGACGAGAGAAGCTGCTCCTGCAACCAAAAGCTCCGTGGAACTTTCCATTCTCATGAAATACGTCAGAAATGTTTAACAGTGTGTCGTCTAATGTTTTAAAGATCCTCCCTGCTGAATGCGATCAGAGAGAGAGCTGCAGACGAGAGAAACAAACAGAAGACTACGGGAGCACAGTACACGGGCGGCCATCTTGGATCTTGCAGCGGTCCTGCCTCACTGCTACTGTCTTTGTTAAGTTAGTAGTAGTCACATTACTATTGCTGACACCATTTCTTCCTTTGTTGTCATTATTAATCTACTGCACCCACTACAGCTGTTATTATCGGTGGTGCTTTTAATTATGGGGCTTACAACTCTCCATATTTGAATCATTTCTGTCATTGAACGTATTGTACATCTTTAAAGAGTGACGCCAAGATCAGAAAGTGGCAGTTGACAAATCTTTTTTTTTTTTATAATTTACTTCTTTTGCTTAATGTGAGGCTTTAGAAATGATAAGATAGAGAAGATAAAGGGATTCTGTATTTGCTCATAATGCCTAAAAACTAGTAATTTGGCCAATGTTTTGTTAACTACTGGAGCTGGTCTGACTGACCAATGGGAACAACGTGTGTGTGTGTACGCACTCTGACTCATCTCGTTTCGCCGTCACTGGTAAATTGGTTCTCAGTTCATTTATTTTAGCATGCATAGTCGTCTATTGTTTCAGTGTTGCCATGGCACTCTGAATCAGTCTCAGTGATTGTCATGTTCCGATCATATGAAAGACATGTCAGTCTCAGTGACTCATGGACGTTATGACAATCTGATTCAATGCTTCACCGTTTTGCACAAACATAACTATGATTCACAGCAGTGTATTTTCCCTCTTGATCTCATGGAAATATGACTTTTGTATACAACTAATACTACTACATTTTCAAACATGACTCGAGTCTTCAGTTGCAAAACACGTAGTCGTAAAAGCTGCTCGTTTACATGGGATTAGCATGTGGATGAGGAGGCGGGTCCATGCCGCTACAGGCCGTTCATGCCTTTCTGAAAAAGGAACTCGCCACTGACCCTTTTTATTCTTGGCGCTACTGCATCTTTCCATATGTCATGAAAATAGTTTTTTTTATGATTCAGTGTTTCAGGATTTGGGGTTTTGATTGATCATTATGGAACACACCCATAATAAAGAATAAAACGTACAATGAATATGGCAGTGTCTTCTCCCAGCAGTCTTTCATGCTTGCTGACCTAAATAACCCATATGAGGTATTAACATGCACGCAAACACAAATTTGCGGCACACTAATTCATTTTTAGTCAGTGTTCCCATTTGAAAAGGATGCGGAAACTTTGCTGCTCTTATTCCTGGAAAATGATTCTTAAATGAGCAAACATTTACTGAATTTAGTTAGCTTAAACTGGACTTTTTCTTTAGCCTCGAATGAGAACTCTAATATATATTTAGAGTAGTAGATACCATTCTAATCCTGGTCACAATCCGACCTCTTTATGTAATCTCTAATTGTAAAAACAAATGACTTTTGTTCCAGAACACCATCTAAAAAACAAAGAAAACACGCACGTTTTAAGGGAGAGATAAATCAAACAATAAAAGGCAATGCTGCTTTTTCCGCTGAAGTGCCACCCACCTTTTTCTCGTTGGTCGGTCAGAGAGGGGAGGGGACACACACACGCACACACACGCACACACGCGCGCGCACACACGCACGCTGCTGATGTCAGACTCCAGTCATGTCGACCCTGCTCAGCACCACCGGCACCATCATGGCTTTTCTACGGAGACGTAAGTTAAAAAAAAAAACGGCTCCGACGTCGCATGCAACTTCCCATTTCCTCTCTGCTACATTAGAAACCATCTTAACCCCTCAAATTGTCGCTTACCTGTGAAATAAATAAAAGCATCTTTCGGGGAGCGGGTCAGGATGGATGTTTTGGTTGCGCAGCAGCAGGATGCTGTCGGGGGAAGCTGCTCTGCTGCGACGCTTCATTGAGTATTAGAAGGATAGCGGATAGAGAACATATCAGCGCAGCGCAATAAGGTCCCGCAGATTGCACCGGGAATTCTATGAGCACCGTGGCTTCAGGCATTCACAAAGCTAATGCAGCTCCATGGATGCCTATGTTGCGTTCATGTGGCGTCGTTTTTTCTGTAACACATCTACGCATCTATTCTGTGGAAAGGTTTTTTTTTTTTTAATTACCGTCCTGTAATTTGTAATGAGGGGAAAAGCAGGCTTCCTATGTGATAGTTTTCGTTTCAGTTGTCGTTTTGTGCCTCTAAAGCTGTTAACGGAATGTCTGCCTCCGTAGGATCGCTCGAAAAGATATTTAGCACACAATGTCTGAACATTATTTACTCATCTAGACCCTCTGGATGACAATATAATCCAGGTACCCAGCGCATGGCCATCTTTGTTTTGCTTTGGAAAGAGGCACAACATGGGAAACAGACTTGTTATCCAGATGGGGAGATCATTGGGAAGCAGTAAACAGTTTTGTGTTTTTAAACAGCATTGCCGGCCACGACGGGTGCTTGAGGGAAGGTCTCAGCACGCTTTCCACACTGAGGCGGCAGACCCTTTGCCAAGCGGGCTGTCAGCTGGAAGGTTAGGCCCTACGACAACGCCGTCTTTGCCTTGCACCACTGTATAGGCATTTCATTCTTTTCAAATTCTTAATCGCAAATTATCATTTGCTGATATTAACGCTCTGAATCCAGTGAAAAGGGTTTGATCTTTTAGAAACAACAACAACAACAACACTACCTAGTGGCCACAGGAAATCCTATGTTGAAAGCTTTCACATTTTTCTTCTCAACGATTCATCAAATCCATCAAAATTTTTCAGAAAAGCCCTAAGACATTGATAATGCTTCATTGTGAAGATGTGAAGAACACCTAAAACGGTGAATATGGAAAATTGTTATCCTGTTGTAAACAGATCAAACCAGATTTCCAAATATCACATGTTTAATGAGGCCCAAAGACATCTACAGGCCATTTTACTATCACAGCCATAGCGCCACCTACTGGTAACAGCCTGTCTTTGTACACTGACTTGTCCGCTTTCTTCCTCCTGTGTCTCTAAAGGCTGGCGCACGCTTCTGCGTCTCGTTTTACTTCCTGGTTCTAAAAGTCTTGCGTGTGTTGCAGAGCAATTCACCTCCAGAACAACAGGTGGAGTAACGTGTTTTGTTGAAGACGACCTAGAGAGTCACGACTTTGTGTGTGGAAGTCGTTGGTTTGTTTATTTATTTATCATAGACTTTATTGCCCCGTGCATCACCACTGTTGCTTTTCATCAAGGACACATTTGTCCCGTATTTTCCTCCACAACTTTCTTCCCCTCGACCGGCAAACCGGCGTTTGTGGAGATCTCCCTCCATGAATCGGAGGCCATCCGCGCATCCTTATAGTCCACCAATGACGGTTTGTAGAAGTGGTCATATTTACGGATTTCTTCCGACAAAAGCTCTTCAATCTGATTCGTTCTCTCGTAAACATTCTTCGTTTTAATAATGGTGGTATTGTGCTGTGAAACCGGAAATGTGAGACTTCGGATAGGATCTAGTTAGCAGACCAATCGCAGCCTTGTGGGGTGCAGGAGGCTTGCATCGCTTTTGACGCTAGCCTTGAAAAATGGTCGACGCACGCAAGGATGCAAGGAGGCGTGAAAAGGCACGCAAGGGACACGCAAGGGACTCTTGCGTCTGCGTGTCCTTGCGTCTCTCTGAAAACGCAGAAGCCTAAACTAGGCTTTAGTATCAACAGTAACGGCACATTCTCCTAGTGCCGGATACGTCTAACGCAATCGACCAGTTGATCGCCAAGGCAGTGCCGGTAGATTGCCTGCCATTGGGAAAAAAAATCACGTCGCGTCACCACGCATGTGCAGTCAACCGCGGAACTAACCTTGAAAAGTAGCTTGTGGGGCGAAAAGGTGTGGGCACCCACCCCTGTTCTAGCGCTTACACAAGCTGCTGAGTGAATGTATTGACAATATCGGTTGTTAGCCACTGACTAGTCCTTCATGATCTGATGCAGCAGCTGTTTCACCGCATCCTGCAGCTCGACTCACTGCACTTCTTCCCTGTTTCCTCAGCTATTTGTTTCTCCTTCCTCCGTTCAATTTCCTACAATGTAAAAAAATAACCTAAATTTTATGGAAAATAACTTTTAAAATGTTTTTTGAATTATGATACAAAACTCTTCAAGTACAAATATTATCTGTAAATTAACAGCCCGGTCAAATGACTGGCTGCCAAACACAACCCGTAAAATTAAGGTAAGATAACTTCAAATGATGCAAAAACCATAAATTTACAAGAATTTTCCGTAACAATTTTACAGAGAGACACATTTATTTTATAGATTTTTCTTGTAGTATTATAATGAAACAACTTTAATAAAGGGAATTATGTATTATGTATAAATTTATGTATAAATATGTAAATATATATACACAATTTAACAGCCTACACATACAACTAAATACACACATTTATTTTATATTAGTCAATTTTTCCTATATTTGCTATGTTACCACCCTAAACAATTGCTATTGGCTGTCTCACTATGTTACTTTTCTTTTTTTACCGTGTACCGGTCTAAGTTTCTTCTTCCATTTGATCTCCCAAGACAGTGGACAAAGTTTTTTCTTCTTCATTTTATTTGCAGAGGAATTGTTTCCAGTTTATTCGCAAATGGCCGCTTCCAGCAGATTGCCAAAAGCATTGTAGGAATGTATGCGTAGAGATTGTAAAGCCCACAGAGCCAAATTAAAATAGTTTTACAGAATAATGATAAATGCTACCAGTGTAGTATTCATAAACTAAACATGCTATCAAACAACTCTTCCATTACCAGACAGGATCAGGTTTTTGATTAAACGGGCCGTTAGCTTCGAAGCGGAGGACCTTAATGCACTTTCTTTATCCCTGTCTGCTCCATCAATGACCTGGTCTGCCTGCTGTCTGTCCTCGTCAGTGATTAGTGTGATTACATGAGTCAGATAGATGACTTTGTGCAGTTGCCTCATGACCATGCTGCTCCTACGTTTGTGCAGAGGACGGATTAGCGCACTCAGGTTGATTAATGTAAAGTCTTCTCACACACTCGGCTGACCAAGCTGGTTCTCAGTTATTTAAAGCCATTCTGAAATACTCCATTATTCAGCCAGTGATGCCACAACCGTGTCTCCAATGGCAGGAGTGGTGGGGGTTCGTAGTTCACTGAGCAGTGCTTTTTGGGGCGGAACTGTTTCTGTACTAAGAGGTTCCATCAGGAAGAGCCACAAGCTCCATAGCAACGGCCTTGACAACAACACATTGACACACATACGGACAAATCAGTGTTGAACGCAGATGTGTAGTGCATTGTTTACGTTTTTATATTTGGTTCAATTTCGAAATAATTTATCATTATTCATTTTTTAATTGTGGTGGAAATTAGGATAAATTGGTTGTGAATGGATGGTGACAACCTTTAGATATTAGTCTTTATTTCGTTTTTTTATTTTTTATTTATTGATTTAATAAAAAAAAAAAACGCTTCAATTTGTTATTTAAAAAAGGTTTAATAGCTGCAGTTTCTAGTGCTTGTGGGAAGTCACTAGAGAGGAGGGATGTGTTTACAACTTGTAGTAGTGGACATGGAGTTTGTTGGAAGAATTTTTAAGCAGCAGGAGGAGGACTTCAGATGTTGTATAATGTCATCCATGCTTGTATGGTTGATTGGATTCAATTGTGTCATGGTGTTTGAACAGGTTATTCTGAGATCGGAACACAGCATATCCTGTGTTTTTTGTGGAGGCACTGACTGCTTGTCTAATTGTCTGAATGTTATCAGTAAAAAAGCTGGCAAATACATTGCATGCCCAGGTGGATTGGAGCTCAGCAGCCACTGACACTGGTTTGTTAGCCTGTCAGCGGTAGCAAAAAGGCCTGTCTTGCATTTAAGTTCATGCACATAAGTTCCAAATTATAATTATAAAGTCTGTCTTAATAGATCAGGTCACAGTGTACCTGGAGATTTGTTTTTCGCCACCTGCACTCAGCCTTCCAACACTCTCTTTTCTCTATTCCGGCCAGTGTGGCATTTCTCCAAGATCTTTGCTTACCTGAGACAACTTTCATTTTAGTGGTTGAAATGTCATCAATACTATTTTCTGCTTTGGAACAGAAGCTGTTTACAAGCTCATTGTGATGCAGGGGAGGGCTGGTATTTATATACACTTCTGTATAGTATAGTAAGTAACGCCTTTTCACAACCTTGGTCTGGACACTTTGTGTGCAAGGAGAGAAAGAAAACGCAGAAATCATACACCACATAGTTTTATCGACTCTGTTTGGCGGATTATCAAAATAGATATTAAAATCATCAACAATAACGATAACAATAACACTTAAATTCAATACAGGTTACAGGTGGACGTCAAATCCACGTATTCAAATGGAGTGAAATGAACAATGGCCCTCTGCTTGCATTTAAGAGAATCATCAAAGTAGCAACTTAAAGTCATTGATTAAAAACATTTTCGGGACCGAGACCTGACATTTAATAAAGCTGAGTTTAATGTGTTTAAAGCTTTATTTGCCGCATTTATTTGTACAGGCAGATGAGGAATGAATGGTAGTTGTCACTAGCAAAGTCACGTTTGGGTCTCTGCATTAGACCTTTGTAGAACACTGACAGCTAGTAGAAATGTTAGCAATGGCTAGTAGTCATATTTTAAGTTTAACTCAATTAATTTACCAGAATGAGAACGCTAGTTAATTCATATATGATCTCCCAGCCGATTAGGCCTCAATTCAAGGCACCTTTGGGTGCACAAGACGTTAAAAAGAGATTTGTATTGCAAATACACAGCTTATCGGCCTAAATAGTCTATTTAAAGATGTGTATATACATCTTAATATAAGGCACTGTTCAGTTGGCTGAATAATAATGGCACAACTGACCTCACTGTCATTCTCTTTGCCCCTACAGTCATCTTGGTTTGAAAGCGGCTGACTAAAACATACCCGTCATTTGTCCTCACTACTCTCTCCTCTCCATCTGAAAAACTAAAACGAGCTGAAGGTGGGTGGTCTGCTCCATCGCTCTGCGGTGCAGCAGCTGGAAAGCCGGCCAAGAGCAGCACAGAGCTTTTGCTTTACATGTGGTCTGCTGCAACAGCAGATGTGTTTGTTGAAGAAGGTACAGGGAGATAAAGAGGACCGGAGAGTGTGTTTTAAAATCAGTATGTGTAGGTGAGTGGGGAGAGGCCAGAGGATCACTTACAACATTGCAAAGTAGTACATAAAGTAGAATGTGAAAAACAGCTTTTTGCTGTAAGAAGTGCAGTGCCCCATATTTCTAGAAGAGTGAAAGTATTTAATCAGCTTAATTTACCTTTACGCATTTCACGATTACGGTTTCCTTGATACTTTCTTTTTGCAAAACTTTTCTATTTTGATGGACCTCTTGTGCTGTATGTCAATTGTAATCACATCAATTTTTACTGTGGACCAAAACCACTGGTGCTGGACTGCAAAAGGCCGTCCTTGGGACTGTTTCAAGGTGGAACGCTAGTGCAAGTCGGTGGAGGATTATCTGCAACGTTACCAGAGTTTCCATTAAATTGATCTGCGCGCAGAGTAGATCGGTGCAGAGTCAGTGTGAAAAGCTTTCACAGCAGCCAGCCATTTTCTACAGGAGGGAAGCTGAAAAAAAATAGATAAATTCACTCCTTCGTACACGCCCCGAAGCAAGTTTTTTTTAATTTTCCTTGGTCGTCTTTAATTTGTTAACTGTTAAACTTAACAGAAAACACAATTTCACTTACTTTCGACTAGTCCAGCAGACTATGGGTGCTGAAAGCGCCCCATAAATGCAACCCGACTGAATGCAATCCACCACGGAGGATACCAGAACCCTAACGTGTTGCACGGGTTACACTAGAAAGAGAAACTCATATGTCTATATTGCTAATTCTTGTTTGTATATTCTTATCTTATTTTACATTATCTTACTTTATGCATATATTTTATTCTTATATTGTACCAAGTCAAATTCCTCTATGTGTAACATATGTGGCTTCTGATCTATTTTTAAAGCCTAGGAAATCACTACTATCGTAGTAGTCATGTATGTTTGATATAAATTACATGACTACGGTAGTAGCACAGAAATTTCTCATTTGCATTACCTGAATTATAGTGAGGCAGTATGGCTGTATTGTTCATTGTTTTTTGCACGTTTTTTCAAACTCATTCCATTCCTATGGAGCATTTTGGCTCGGTTTAAGGGGAGATTTGGGGACAAATGGTCAGTCATTTTTCACACGATTCCAGATGAGTCAAGACACTTGATTATTTTGAGGCATGTGCTAGCAACGCTGCGGGAGGAGTAGCGTGCCAACCTTTTTGTAAAAGAGAAGAAGCACGCTGAATAATCCAGAGTATGCTCTGCTTTGCAGCCACACTCAGCAAGACTTACTCCAAAATAAATCAAATGTAATTCAACTCTTATTTCACATTGTTAACCCGCTATGTGGTCAAAGTGGATGCAATCTCTGAACTCCATACAATGATGAGACACAGTCCACCGCCTTTTGGGTTTGACCGCAGGGGGTTGTGGGTAAAGCGGACTGCTAGTCCATTAATAAATGAAACAACCATGTGATGAAGACATATGGCCACAGTCTGATCTGCCCTCGGCTGGAACTGTGTGTGCGCGTGTGTGTGTCCGTGTGTGTGTGTCCGTGTGTGTGTGCGTGATCCTTGCAATGAAATTTCGACAGTAATGACAGGGAGATACAGAGATAGAAGTGGACGAATAGACGATAGACGCAAGCAGTGTGTGGGCTGAATGTGTGTGTGAGTCAGTGGGCTGTTATATACAGAGAGATGCTTTGGCCTCTCTCGCTCTCTGCTGCTGCAGCTGTTTTGACCACACACACACACACACACACACACACACACACACACACACACACACACACACACACACACACACACACACACACACTAAGGACTGGAGTAACCGTGTATTAGTAGTGAGAGTTAAGTTTTGTGTGTTTCTTAAGTTGAGATGATCACAATAGTGGCAATTAGATGTTTTTAATTACAGAGCTCTTTGCTGTTGCTGCTAGAACAGATTTACTGCACCGTGAGACAACTGCTGCATCTAAGCAGTAAGGATGTCAAATGCACAGGGTAGATGTTCCCATTACATTGAGTAATCTACGCAACGTAATATGTAATTTCTCTGGACTCAAAAAAATACATGAAAGAGAAAAATAATAAAACAGAATCCATGTACAGCAGGAATCTGAAAACAATGTCTTTTGCAAATTAATTACATACATTTTCAATATTTAGAAATGAGAATATTGCTTTCTAGCAACATAAAGAGTAGGTGCCGTTTTGGGACAGCTCAGCTTGTGACGCATCTCGTAGCCTGCGAGGAACTTCGTTCTCTCTGCAATGTTTCTCCACAGCCACTTCACCTCCTCTTATACAGTAGAGGCATGAAGCCTCAGGAACACTAATCTTTCACTCAAGCAGAATTATTTTTTTAACTCATGCAGACTGACTGCACCTCAGTATGCACCCACCAGCGCCCAAATGTAAAATGATTTTTGTAAAAACACATCCTTGCATTATGTGCACTTGTACTTGAAATTCACAACATCTCACTTCAAAATCATTACATGATTAAGAAACACTGCACCGTACAATGCTGTTAGGGAAGTGGTGGTTAGTGGTGGCTATTGTGAACCCGTGCTCATTTCTGAATTATTAATATACTGCAGACATTCCACCCGACTCAGATTTGCTCGGAAGACTTCTCTCAATGAGGTCTTGCTGATGTGCTAAATCCAATTCTTATTGTCAGACATTTGTCCCATTCAAATGGACACATTGGTGACTTCACCTGTTTTCAATCTTCTAAAGAGGCGTTAGGATTCCAGGTATTTGGTTTCTTCTCACCGCTGACTTTTCTATTGTTTGATCCAGATAATATGGATTTGGGTTGCAAAAACAACTCCATCAATATTGAAGATTAAAGAGTACTTTGCACGCCCCTGGTTGGGTTTTTCTTAACACTCTTTAAAGGAGGAACGGCTCTGTAAAGGGACCCCAGAGCCGGTAACGTCCACATCCGATAATAGTTCACCGTAGACCCTCCCAAAGCGGTTCCCTGTGAAACCTTTCACAAATGGTTGAAGGTATAATCCTTTATGTTGGGTTCTGAGCAAAACCCTCTGAGAGGTTTCCAGGTGTAACCTTTATGAAAAAAGTGCCAACAGCTTCCCTTTGGACAAGTCAAAGAAGTCTATAGTTCTAGATAATGCCTTCATTTCTGGAAGATTAAAGGGTTCTCTGTAGTTCCCTGGTGGGTTCTCATTACCACCCTTAGAAGGTGGTATGGTTCTGTAAAGACACCCCAGAGAGGGTTTCTTGCGGGTTGAACACATTTTCCAATGCTCTCTGTCCGCTGCTGTGAGTGTCCTCATCTGTGAGCGCGCATGTGGCAGTTTGTCCCCATTGGAGCGGAAACCCGCACAGAGCAGTGAGGAATTGACCTACATTGACCTAATTAACTTATATGAGGACAGGCCTAAGAACGTTATATGGTTCTATAGTAGTTAAATAGTTGGTTCAATAGTTGGCACTTTTATATTCAAGAGTGAATGAAGCCAATAGAGGTCTAGTATACAAATAGCTTACAAATAATGAAATCTTCAATGAAATCATCTTCTAGTACATTATGAATACCATGGCGGGGGGGGGGGGGGGGATTTATGGCAGCAGATGGGAAACAGCAAAGCGTTGGCTTGCAGACTTAGTGGGCCCCTGGCAGCATTTAAAAAAAACACACACACTCACACACACAAACTCGCTTTGTGACTATCTCCTCTGCCAGGACATGGGGCGTGACATATTTGCCATTATTGCCCCTGTTGTGGGAGGTGGAGGGTGCAAAGTGACTTACTGAGCCGACATGGCCACAGGCCTCTCTTGCCAGTCGGCCCAAGGAGTTTTCTGCAATATGTTTCCCAGAGACAAATAACCACCATCTCTCCCGTCTCCCGCAGCTATCTGATGATGGATCTGTTCCGCAGAGGAGAGCTAGGGCTGTTGGGAGGAGGAGAGGGCCTGAGGGAAGACGTGGGCATTCCTGGGATCAGCTGGCCGGCCAATCGGCTGCCAGAGGACATGTATCCGGCATCAGGGTTGGCCCTGGCAGCTGCCTATCATGACATCAAGACCCGGCTGGCAAGTCTGGAGAGGGAGAACAGTAGCATCAAGAGGAAGCTCAAACACTACGAGGTCAAGATGGAAAGCAGCTCACTCCCACTCCCACACATGCATAGGATATAATTAGATATCATAAGGCTTTCATGATGTGAGATTTTTTCTGCAAAGTTGCTCTCCTCTCCTGCAGTTTCCTATGGTCAGTGAATTTGGAGAGGAAAGGATCCTGTGCCGTTCCTGTGAGCCCATCGTCAAGGACACCAGTGTAATCCAATCAGAAACCACCAACCTGCAACAGAGGATCAACTCTCTCACTCAGGAGGTACTTTGCTGAAAGGTTACATAAAAGTGTTGCAGTGCCGGAGTATAAAACGGAAGGTAAGACGGGAGGAAAAATGAGTTCCAGTGATTTCAACACAAATTATTGTACAGAGCTGAGTGTTATAGCGTTAATCTGATCCCTGGTCAGTCTAAACGGATTGATTTGCATTGGGGACAGAGCACTGAGTAAAACTCCATAAAACTAAATTGATATCCTCCGGAAACACACAAATACAGAGTGCCATCTCCATTCAACTTAACAAAATGAAGGTGCCATCTGGAACCAAAAATGGTTCTTTGGAGTGAAACCGTAGGAGTATGGAGCCAAATGGAAACCATTTGTAGTTCCTCAAGGAACCTTTTTAGAACAACGTTCTTTGAAGACCCATTTCCATAAAGGGGTTTTCTTTAATGGAAATAAAGATCAACCGATTTCTTCAAGCTTAATATATTAATTACACCTTACTAGGTGTACTTACTAAAGGGTTGGAGCCCATTTGCCTTCAGAACTGCCTTAATTCTTTGTGGCGTACTTTCAGCAAGGTGTTGGAAATCACGCAGTACCTGCAGATTTGTTTACTGTATATGTGTATATGTATGTGTACATAAAGACGTGTATGTTTTTAGCTATAACCCCTCCTGTCACAGCTCCAGAAGAGTAAGGAAAGAGAAGAGAGGTTGGAGGAAGTCATTCAGGCTTATGAGAAGATTCACTTGGAGAAAAGCAATGTCCAGAGAGACCTGGATAAGATGGTAAATGCACACACACCTCGTCATAGTGTTCTACAAGTGTTGGGCAGCATGGTTGACTACATTTCTTGTGTTGCGCATTTGTCAGACGACTCTAGCGGAACAGCATGTGGAGCACATCTGCGGCCTGGAGTCGGCACTCAGACAAAGAGAAAGCTCCGTGCAGAAGCTCAATGCCCAACTCCGGGGCAAAGGCACACTTCAGTCTCAACTCCACACCAGCCTGGATGTACCCAGGGGTGGGTTCTGTTCAGATTCACAGTAGTAACTAGTAGATTATGATGGTGATAATAAAATAAATAGAACTATGGGTGGCAGTAATCAGGACCACTTCAATCCATTTAGCAGCAGTCCGGCGAGGAGTTTCTAGCAGCTAGAGGCTTAGGTTGCTGCAGGACATCTCATAGAAGTGTTCTTTCAAATCAAAATCACAGCTTCATTTCTTTATTGAAAGAGAATAGGACACTGATGGTTTTTTTTTCATGGTAAATATGTTTTTTTTTCTTCTACTGACTGGCTTGGGTAAGGGTTTGATTGACAGATGTTTTAATTGAATTGACAGCCAGGTAATTCCCTTTTTCAAAATAGTTTTAATGGCGTATTTCTCAGTACTACCATTGTAATTCATAGTTTTGTAGGGGCCATGATTTTAAGATAGTGGCAGACATAAGCAGTTTTTCCTTTCCAGCTGGCAGCCTTCAATTTTGTCACATGACACCTTGGTAACCAAGGTTTTGCAAACCTAACCAGTTATTCATAGGGCTTTGCCTCAGAAGTAACGTCAGCATTGCATTTCTGATTTTAAACTAAAGGAGAGCCACACACAACGGCATTAGAATAAAAATGTATGTACATATGCTTTACAACATGACCTAAAATCCATGCTTTTGGAATGGCAAGTTAATTCCTCTAAACCCTTTGGTGATTTGTACGAGAACTACTGGATATAGCACTGGACTAAATGTCTGGTTCCCCTCAGAGGGCCGGGGGCCGACCCTGCAGAGCTCCCGCAGCCTGGACGCCCTGTCCGACCTGAAGCTCCAGCAGCTGGAGGCCGAGCTGGAGGGGGCCCAGTGCCAGGCGGAGGCCGCCCGTCAGAGGGAGGCGGAATTGAGGGCCGACATTCAAAGGCTGCAGCAGGAGGTGGTCCAGCTACGGGGAGCGCAAAGACAGGTGGGCCTGCTGCTACGTGAAAACAAATGTAGTCATGATTTGGTTCGAAATTTGGCAAGGAATGAGGAACTATCAAATGAGTCCTTTATTACAAAAGTAGTAGTAGTAAAAGTAGATCTAGGAATTCTTTTTTTTAAGTATTTGCTGATGATTGCTCTCAGATTTTTGTACGGTTGTGTTTGTAACTGCAGAACAGTTACACAATCGCTACAGTTACACACAAGAGTTAAAAACTCTTCCAGCTGAACCACATCCGGCCACATGGTCCATACTGATAGAGGGCAGCCTTTCACCTTCCGTACGATCTACGTTTACAGTCATCAACGTATAAAAGAAGTGAAAAAAATGCTTTTTACCAGGAATCAGGAAACATTTATTACCAAAATATGTCAGACATACAAGGAATTTGACTTGGCGGTTGGCGCACAACAGCAGACAGTTGGACAATGGACAACAAGACAGATAAGATAACATGGAATAAGAGGAAGAAAATAAAATATAAGGCTATGGGTTAGAATGTAAGGGTATGGGTTAGTTAAAAAAATATAGAAACCAGCATACTCTACACAACCGTGGTGAGTATGCCTATGTGAAAGTGACAGGTGTATGTGCATGTGGAGTGTGAATGGAGTGATCGGTGGAAAAATGGATGTCAGAGTCAGTCAGTGGGGGACCGGGCTCTGTTGATGAGCCTGACTACTGACGGGAAGAAACTGTTTGTGTGGCGGGAGGTCTTAGTCCTGATGGACCTCAGCCTCCTGCCAGATGGAAGGGGCACAAACAGCTTTTGTCCAAGGTGAAAGGGGTCGGTGTGACGACCCCTGCTGTGGAGGCAGCAGCCTTCCAATGGGATTTGGGTTTGGTGATTGAAGGCACCTGGGCCCGGTGCCCTGAGATTGGAAAGCCCCGTGTTCATTCATTCATTCTGGCGCTCTCTCTCCTCTCTCCAGCAGACGTCTGGTGTGGTAGGGCAGCCGCCTGTTGAATCCTGTTTCCTTTTGGTTAAATGCCCTTGACAACACCCATCTTTTACACTCTACCCTCATGCACATCCTACACTACTGATAATACTGACATTCACATCTCATCTGGAATGGTTGTGGCTTTTTCGTTGTTATTATGTTAAATAAAGAATATGTTAAACCTCGTAAACCAGTGCAACTCCAATCTTGTCATGGCCCAAAGAGCCAGGTCAATCTTTTCAGCTCGCTTCAGGGTCCTAGAACAAGTGCTCGAGGGACGGCAGATTGCAGCCGATCACTGTCTCTGCAGAGTGGATGACACGCTGCAGCCTGCCCTTGTCCTTGGTTGTGGCTGCAGCGTACCAGACGGTGATGGAGGAGCAGAGAATGGACTCCATGTAGGCCGTGTAGAAATGCACCATAACTGTCTTTGGCAGATTCAATTTCTTCAGCTGCCTCAGGAAGAACAATCTCTGCTGAGCCTTCTTGGTGATGGAGCTGATGTTCCGCTCCAACTTGAGGTCCTGGGTGATGATGGAGCCCAGGAAAGGAATACACAGTGGTGACGGGGGAGTCGGGTGGCACTCGGTTGTGGATTTTCAGGAAGAACAATCTCCACTGTTTTCAGAGCGGTGAGCTCCAGGTTGTTTTGGCGTCACGTCACCGAATGGTCAGATTCCCAGGCGGTGGCATTCCCACCAGAGAGGTGGTGTCATTCGCAAACTTCAGGAGCTTGACGGAGTGGTGACTTGAGGTGCAGCTGTTTGTGTACAGGGAGAAGAGCAGAGGGGAAAGAACGCAGCCTTGGGGGGAACCGGTGCTGATGGTCCGAGAGGCTGAGACATGTTTCCCCAGCTTCACGTGCTGCTTCCTGTCAGACAGGAAGTCTGTGATCCACTTGCAGGTGGAGTCGGGCACGTGCAGCTGGGAGAGTTTGTCCTGCAGCAGAGACAGGATGATGGTGTTGAAAGCAGAGCTGAAGTCCACAAACAGGATCCTGGCGCAGGGTCCTGTGGAGTCCATATGCTGGAGGATGTAGTGGAGGGCCATGTTGACAGCATCGTCCACAGACCTGTTGGCTCTGTAGGCGAACTGCAGGGGGTCCAGGAGGGGGTCGGTGCGGGTCTTCAGGCGGGACAGGACTCGCCGTTCAAAAGACTTCATGACTACAGAGCATTACAGCATTAGCATGATTGAAAGGAGCCCTTCCTTTTGTTTTTCATAGCAACCGGTCAGGAGTAAAGCCAGACCAAAGCAGTGCCAGTGTCTGCCATGTTAACATAAATCATAGGAAAAAAGAGGCGTTTAACAGCACTTTTGGCTTTCCATAGTCCTTAAGCGTCAGTGGTGGTTGAAGGATGGTTTGGGACTGTATGTAGATAAAAGTCAGTGAGTCAAAATAGTTGCACTGGAGTAAATGGATGGCGTGTCAAGAGAAATGTCTCAAAGTGCTGCTGCTCTGACCTCAGCGTTGTGTCCCTCTCGGTCACAGGACCCGTCCCAGCACTGTGAGCACTGTGACGTGGAGTGGATAAAGAAAGCCGGGGACGAGCAGTGAGTGGTACCCTGGAAGCAGTCTATAGTACTTGTCATTTACGTGTATTATCTATTCAGTATCTCTCTTTGTGTTGCAGGGTGAACCTAGCATTAGCCTACACCGAGCTAACCGAGGAGCTGGGCCGCGTTCGCAACCTGGCGGTTAAACAGAGTGACCTTCTGAGACATGTCTCACAGGAGCCTGGTAGGACTTCATGCCATCGTTACGTTTTGCGAAGTAGTTTGTTAAGAGATGGTGAGAATCAGCTTGAAAGTCTTTGGAAAAATGGATTCGCTGAGTGTTTTGTCATTTTTATTCCACGAAGGATTGAGCGGCTTTCCTGGCCGCTTGACCGGCACAAACGAGATAAAAAGAAACAGTGTCATTCTCAATGCACCTTCAAAGGAGGAAATAAACCTTTTAACTTGTTGTGTGCTATTTGCACTTAAGAAGTAATGTCCATACATCGAAGCCTCATCGTAAAAGAACGTCCAATAGACATTGCTGAAAGAGCCACGCAGGAACAGTAAACGTTCTCCAGAGAGCTGGTGTAAACGAAGAGTGTGAAGAGAGTATTTATAAAGGAACGCCCCCACAACACGTGCGTTTTTGGGTGAAGTGAAAGAATGCAACAGCTGAGTCATGAAACACGATGACATGTCATTTATCATAATACGTAACATATTTTTACTGTATACGTTTTTTATAATTTTCAAAAAAACATGTATCAATATTCTCCTTATTAATGATGAATTATTTAACTATGCAGTGGTGTAAAAACAATAATTTTAAAGAGTCTTGCATTTGTTGCTGCAGAGCCCCTACAATGCACAGTCACTGCAACCATTTAACTCATTCAACTTGATTAAATGAAACATACCTTGTTTGGCTTAGCTTGCTTCATTGAGTTTAGTCTGTGACTTTTTCTGACCATATACAGAATGTGCAGATGTGTGGCCAAGTTACCCAAAGTGACAATTGTGTTATTGTTGTTATGCGCTATTATTAGTGTAATGATACACTAGCCAATGCAACGTTTTTGTTTAAAGACCATAAGGTCATGTTTACTATGTTTACTGGGGGAATAAACTCATAGACTTCAATTGGAACAGAGGAGTCGCCCCCTGCTGGTAAGCAGAGAGAAACCAAGTTTTGAGACTTTCTCCTCAGCTTCACTGTGCAGATTGCCGCCTGGCCACAACTAGAGAGTCATACCAGCGGAAATGTGTCCTAACGGCCTCCACATCCGTGGTTGGCGTGTTTTGTTGAGGGGTTTTCTCATTTCCCGGCAGCTTGTGGCGGTGTTCTCAAGTTACAGTCCTTTTAGGATGCTCTCTTGTTCTCTTTCTCCCTCAGTCGCTCGTCCAACCCCTGCTCCTCAGCATCTTTCGCCCACATCGACCCAGCGCCCCTCGCTCTCCCCCGACAGGCTCTTTCCCACTCCCTCCCCTCCTCTCTCCCCAAGTGGCAGCCCCGCCTCCTACTCCCATCAGCCAACCTGTAGCCGTCTACGAGCCACGTTTCAGGGTCGCCGTAGTTACTCAGAGGTGAGGCGGAGTTTTTAGAGCATCAACATTTCACGTCATCTCGCAGTGACAGTCTGACCTCTCATCCTCCTTTTTTTTCCTTCTTTTTTTCAGGTGTCTGACCCGTCCGGCACCCACAGGCCCCCAGGGTGGCTGATGAGGGATCCAGTGTCCACCTTCCCGAAACCCAGGCCCCTCCTGGGGGAGAAGCAGGGTTACGGCCAAATCAAAGCGCAGCTGCGCACCTCCTTGGTGGGCCTGATCCGACCGGCCTCGGCTCATGGGGCCGGAGGGGAGAGAGGAGGAGGAACGGGTGGTGGTGGGGAAGGGGACAGGGGTGGGGGTAGCAGTCTGAGCAGCAGTCCTCATCACTGTGCCCTGGACCTGGACTTCCACCGGGCTTCTGAGGTAAGAATGATCTTTTGTTCACTTTCATCAAGTCCTTGACTTTTGGGGCTGAAGTCAACCAAGTCTTCAACCAGGTTGTGAAAATGTACTTAATCTTTAACCATAAATGAAAAGGTACCAAAAGAGTTCATTGAAATGATGTTGATACAGTTTCTTCAGCAGGTGTATCAACCCAGACAGTACCATTGTTTAAACATGTGTAACTGATTGCTAGGTGCACCTCTTGCTGACTGAGGCCATAAAGGGTTGCCCGCATAGACTGTATATTGTCGCAATGTCGCCCATTCTATATTTGGAATGTGGAGGAGTGACATAGTGACGGCGTATACAGCTATGAAAGTAAGGAGCTAAGTAAATTAGCCTCACCACATCACTGTTACCCTCTGGGTGCAACATTTCATAGACCGCTCTACATGCCCCTCCTCTCTTTCAGGTACATCACTTCCGTCGACTTGAGAACCCGCCTGAGCCCGCCCCCTTGGTGACGCCGCCGCAGTCCTCTGATGAGGAAGAGGTGATGGTGACGATAACGATGTGCTCGGCTCTTCTTGTGGCTTTTGAAGCTGGGTTTACTCACTTTGACGTCACTTTACAGGATGTTTGTACATATCTGTCGCCGGCCGCGAGCCCGCCTCGGACGCTCGGCGCGATTGGCTCGTCGTTACGTAGGGACCCGCCCCTGCACCACTCATTCTCGTCTCCTGGGAAACAGCCCCACCATCCCTCCTTCTCGTCCCCCCAGGGCCCTGCTACCCTCTCCTGCCATCTGCCTCCCTACATGACCTCTGAGCACGCTCAATCATGGCCGTCCATCAACGTGAGTACAAAAAAGCTAAAAGAATCACCTTGTTGGGAGACCACATCGACAACGACTCGCTTTGTTTTCAGTTTTAGCGATTAAAAGCTTCTGCCTGCTTGCTAGAGTGGCAACTGCTTTTAAAAGTTGAGCCCTATATATTTATGAAACAGTATCACCTGGTGTTGTTACCTTATATTGAGTTACATTATTATAGTCTTTACTACTTTTAATGTTCTACTTTGTAGCTTTGTATTGTGTGTTCTGTTCAGCCCTTATATTTTTGTGTTATATCTTTAATTTTGTTCGTGACTAGACTTTTTACTCTGTCTCTAAAAAAGCATGAGTTTTTAAACGGCTTCATTGGAACATTGCCATAAAAATTGGCTAACAAAACAGTTAAATAATGTTAAATCATCATTTTTTTGAAAGCTTAGACCAGATCTGATGGACATCAAAGCTTTAAATTGAAGCCTAAAATGAGCTTTCAGTCACTTAGCGTCTGTGTCTTCCTCTGTCTGCAGTTATGGATGGAGTCAGAGAGCGCAGTCCGGAGCTGTCCTCTGTGTCAGCTGACCTTTCCAACCGGTTACCCTGACGACGCCCTCATCAAACACATTGACTCCCACTTGGAGAACAGCAAGATCTGACTTTTTTTAAATTTTCTTTTTTTTTCTTTTTTAAATCAAGCCCTTTTAAACACTTCGGCATGCTTCTTCCTACGGACCTCTGAATCCATGGCCTCCTCTCTTGGGAGACACATGGCTTGCTTAAGGGGCACTTTACTACGCCCTTCCTTCCAGATGTGGCATCTAACCAGCGACCCTTTGTTTACAGAACAAATATGTTTTTAAGTTATGAATTGCTTTATGTCAAGGACCTGCGTACATTTCTAACACTATTCTATATCTCCTTTTTCTTATTTCACAACCAAACTCACTCAGACACCAACTTCACTTGTAAATAGAGCTGTGTGCTAAAATAAAAAGAGCTGTCTAGAGACGGAGGATGCTGGTGGTTCTGAGAGCAGTGGTGGACGTCTGAAGACGAGCTGTAGAACATCTGGCATATGCAACATTAGGAAAACCCGACCGCCATGCCTCTCATGTCGGTTTGTGGGGAGTCAATAAGATTTCTGGACCTGCAATAAACGGTTGTGTGATATAATGGTGACATGAAATAGTCTGCAGAGGTATTTCAGTTAACTTGGATGGATGTGATTACAAAATGAATACTTAAGGTCTAATAGCTAATTTCCAGATATACGACACGGCCTGTGAAACGAGGTTTGTTGGAAGGACACATCAATGAGTTATGAAGAGGCCGACCTGCACGTCATTTAATGATACTTTGGGGAACTTTACCTGATTATGAAACCGTCTCCATGTAACACAGACAAGTGGTCATTGTCAGCTCACCCATTGGCTTGTGGGCTGATGTTTTGAAGAATTTGGCAATTTCTCCGTTGCCATGTTGGATCAGGGCCGCTGCCATGTAGGTTTTTTTCTGCATCCAAAGAACAGAAGTGACCATGTTAGGCATTGAGAGACGTGACGTTGAGACGGCGTATACGTCTCTACAAGCGGCACTGTCCTGTCAATCACAGTGAGCCCGCCCTAAAGCATCCCCCGCTTTATGGTCTATCTGACTCTAAATGGAACTTCATGCTGTATTGAAGAAGACTAGAGACCATAAACCCAATTCCTGCGAGGTCACGAAGATTCACCAGAGACTCTTTGAGCTCAGACTCCAGCAGGACCTCGGGCCGCTATCAGCCCGCCATCTGGCTTCGCCTTCACCCTTGACCTCAGGCTTCATTGTGTTTGAAGACTTATTGCTGGGGAGGGAAAGGATGCTCGGGAGAACCAGAACCACGTAGGGCAGACTGTCAAATGAGATGCACACTGGTGCTCATAAACAGTACTTATTTGGTCCACAGGGGCCACCAAAGTCAAGTTCTTCATGGTATCTTTAAACAAAAAAATAAGGAGAGCAAAAAAAGACACCTACTGCCATATTTTGGTGTGGTAATGAAAGTGCCTTGGGTAAACCGCAATATATATTTTCAACAGGTCTGTGGAAACGATTTGAGTTGAAAAAAAAAAACTATTCCAGTTTTATTAGGTCATGTTCTTTTCCGCATAATTGTAACTTTTTACATGATTACAACTTATATTTTGTGATCGACTTTTTGGTTAATTTGAGAAACGTCATATCCATCCATTATCAAGATTGCTTTCTTTGGCAATTGTTATCTGGTCTCTATAATGAAAGAAATAGCCCATAATTAAGAGAATTATAATGACTAATTGTGAAAAAAGACTTTTCTGATTAATACTTGTGATAGTATCTCATCATTATAAAAACATTTGACCGTTTCACTCTTATAATTATGAGATAATCTAGGAAAAGTAGACTTGGAATTTATGAGGAAAATTGTGATTTAATTTCTAATTGTATACACTTTGGAATTCATAATCATGGAACTATAAATATAATTTATGAAATAATCAATAATTATGACTGTTATCTTTGTAATAATCTGATAATTGTGACGTATCTTCTAGTATTCAATAGGCATACCATAGTTATGTCCGCAATTATGACATACAAAAAAATAGCATAATTAGTTGTGTCGTGATGTAATTTTCTTCATTACGGGAACATTTCTGAGAGTTAAGTCCCAATTTAAAATGAATATTTCTAAACATCGCTCAATATATGGCATATATCATAATAACAGAAAGGCTACCAAGCCATAATCATGAGAATATTTATGATATTTCATTGCATGATTGGAGTTCACAATTCTTAATTTTTTGTATTAATGAAAAATTATGAATGGCTTAAATTTTTTTTTAAAGCCTTTCATTGAACTGAAATGAAATGTTACAGCATAAGACATAACTGACATTACGTTTTTGTGCTGAAACATTCCACACTCAGTTTTTTATGTTTTGGATATTGCTCTAAAGACAGTTAAACCGTGAGAAACATCCGGCTTGTAATTCCTCATCACTTCCTGTGTCAGCTGAGAACAGCTGGATAACTACTGGCAGACATTTAACTGACTGGAAGGGATACAGCTTTCCGCTGTCGTTTCTCGGATTGTTCTTTATAATAGAAATAAAAGTTTGAGAACATAAAAGGTCCATAAAGGGTCCATAGTTTTCTTTCTTTCTCGGCCTCATTAATAGATTTTTATGGATTTGCATTTGAGCTTCTCACAACATCCAGAGGCAGCAATTAAATAGATGTCTAGTGTACTAATGAGCTAAATACTAAAATCTGCATGCTAACATGTTACAAGCGCGTCACGATTCTTTTATTCATTTTTCAATCCCCTCTATAGTGTTAAGATGGAGGGAGAAAAATATTTTCTTTATCTTTACACGGTTGCGTGAAACAAAAACAACTTCTGACTTCAGGAGCAGTGTGGAGCATTCTGAGGGGGCTTTTGTTGGAAATGGAATACAATAATATATTAGTGTATAATCCAAAATCTAAATTGTTGGGTTTGTGTTACCTTTGAAAGAGCCCTTGATGTTCATGTATAGAAGTTTCTACAGTGACCCTAAATAATGCCTCTAGAGGAAGGGTTATAGCTGCTATATATTTAACACACTGGCCCTTTGAAGGGGACATACTATGAGAACGCACATTTTCAGTGTTGGACCACATATATTTGGGTGAATGGAGATCCTATCCACCCACAAGCTCTGAAATAAGACTTAGTTTTCCTATGGACTGCCTAGATCAGGAAAACTACCATTTCAGACACAGGTTGAATACAGATTTATTCAGCCAAACATGAAAGATTTCAAACAACGCTAACATGATAAAAAGAATCATTCTAAAAATGATAATTATTTGTCCCCTTTAAAATCAGGGGCTTCGTTTGTTTGAATGCGTCAGTGTGGAATGCTGCAGCGCCTCAACCTGGTGAAGTGGGCAGGTGGATGGTGTAGTAATATGTACAATGTCCCTATTATTTGAACTGCTATGTGGTACAAATGGTTAAGTTAGGGCTATGAAATGGATGAACCTGTCTGGAAATCTTCTTGGGAAGAGAAGAACCATTGAACAAGGCTTCAGCAATGCAGCGGTCACCTCAGTTCTCTTAAAACGCTGCTGCTCACCTCTGCGTTTTCCATCGCTTCACAATAAATTACCCTTAGTTTTTTACATTAAATTGCTACCGCTGAAAAATACTACCCAAATAAAAAAGTGTTTGAGGTTGTGAAAGGTTGGAAGGACTGCAAATTTATAAGTTATAAAATTTCACAGAATTTTTCCACTTGTTCCAACTTGAAATTGATTTCACCATCTTCACCACCATCCCAACTTGATCAATAGTCATCATGTCCTGCTGGTTCCTTTCAAGACAGCAGGAACGGAAATACCACCGGAATTAATTCAATTACTTTTTCACCAGGGTATTGTGGGACACGATTGATTTTTTTTTATTTATTGGTACTTGGACTATTGTAGATTGTACTAGTATCTATACACTCCAGTTTCATCAAGCTGAATTTGCAGTTAATTTTAGCCACGTTACTGAAGATGTGAAGGCCGCCGGCAGGAGGAGTTCTTTGTCTGTTCCACCTCACTGTTCACTCCAGTTTGCAACACTAGCAAGAGCGCGGCGTGAATGCTGTTCCAATAATGAACATACGTCAGAGGTCAACGGGGTTTTGTGCTGTAAATGATCAGGAATAAGAAATAAAAAGGTATCCAGTTTATACTAATGTGTGTTGTGCGTCATTCACTGTCACATGACGAGTTAATGGATCGGAGCTGTGCACATTAAGTTTAAGGTGTATATTATTGGTGTAATTATTTTCAGACAAGATAAATTCCACAAAAGTCTTAAAGCTTTAACATCTTTGATACATCTTCAGGATCAGATTCTGAAGACTTATTTCACAATCACCAACTTTTGAATAGATCGAACTCAAGTGTACATTTTTACACAGATTGAACCTGCAAAAAAAAGAAAGAAAAAAAGTTGAACACTATGCTGAATATGGAAGCTTTTTATTGTAAACAAAATCATGAATAAAATACATTTAATGGGTTAGGGTTTAACAGTAGTCTATTTTACTTCTTAAAAGCCATTGTTAAAATAATCAGTAACACTACTTCACTGCATCAACAGGGCACAAAGGTTGGAGGGGAGCAGTCATCGGCCGGCTCTCTAAGGACAATAAATCGCTGGAGAGGGGAAGAAGGCTAAGCTAACGGGAACAACACATCACCAATGTGTCCATATTAAAACATCAGAAGAGATAATACAGAGCTTATACACAAAGACCCACTGAGAACAAAAGCAGGACAGCACCAGTTCACCTGTAACACACAAGGCCCGGATTAGCTCTCCATGTGCTCTGGATCCCTCCGCAGGAAGCAAGCTTCTGAGGCTTCATTCTTTTGATTTCATAAAAATCCACATAACTCAAAAGAAACAGAAAGATAATATACAACTGACAAAGTATAACATCTGAAACCCGCAACGACACAAAACATTACATACAGAGAAAAGCCTCAAGTCCTGACAACGATTTTGTCAAGAAGTTTAAAACTGAGATTTGCTTTTAAGCCGTGATTGGTCATAGTTATGGGACCCCATCACAGCACAGCCAAGAAGCTTCACCTAAATCAGTCTTCATCTGTTCCATAGTAGCATCTCACCTCGACATGCTACAGAACACCCGATGCGTGATTCATTTGGCCCAAGCGGCCTTCTCCACATTGTGGTGGTAGCAGCAGACCCCTCGGGTCTTTGACGCGAGTCACTACAGCATAGAAATCAGACTAAACGAGGAAACAACGGTTACTTTTGAAGGGGCCTATTTTTCCTCTTCATTAAATGACAATGTTTTTAGTTTGGTTCCTCAGCATTAGGCCGTGTTCTACCACAGGTCCAGATCAGTAGTCTTTTTGAAGCCCGGTTCTTTGCGGAGCTTATAGTAGGTTCCGTTGGTCACCCAAACCTCTCTGCCAGCCTGGTCCTCAGATTTCCTGAATTAGACAAGACACAACCGTTGATTAGTAATAGTCTTGGAAAAACAGTTGCTACCACTATTTAAAAAAAGGCAAGAGCAATATTTTGACTTAAAAAGAAATTGCTGATAGTTTGATGAGAAGATGGATGTCACCCTCATGCAATCAATACTTGCTATAAAAGCATTAACCATCATTCGCTGTATAAGCTTAGCATTAGCCCAAATCCAAACTCTAAAAACGCATTACACCTCATTTGATGAGGGTATTCTCAGCAGTTAAAAACGCATTTGTAATACGTCAAATACAAATTTATTTCATAAGAAATGTATGATCACTGGAAATGTGATTGAAAACTGAAGAGTAACGTTCCCCCTCAGGTTCTGTCAACAGAACGGTTTATGTGTCAGCTGTTGCACTGGTAGCTGCTAGCCATGAAATGTTTTTGTTCAAGCACAATTACTTTTTTGCCACTATGAGTTTGCAACCAGAGTGTCCTGGAAGTTTGTGCACCCAAAAGGTAATAAACAGATTCTACACCGTATACACAACGTATTAAGTAACAGCTAGTATGTGGTAGGGTGTCAATGCTTTTTGTCTTCCTCACCTGAAGAACCTGGGCTTGTGCTCCTCCCCCCTCTTGGTCATCTCCTTCCTCCTCTCCCTCTGCTTCTCCTCCACCTCATCCTTCTTTTTATCCGCTTCTGCCACCTTCCCCAACTCCAAGAGCCTGACGGCGAGAACAGCGGCAGAGATCAGACAACTGGTCAACATGGAAGATGCCAAAATAAAATGAAAAGAATTAAAACAAAAGGTTTGAATCAAGTTTGTACCTCTGGTCTGGTCTGAAGCGGGTGTCTGTGGTCGGGAGAACTGCCTCCAGCTCGGGTGTCAGCTCGTTTAGTTCCCTGGCGTATTGGGAGAAGCCGTAGAACTGGTGGTAGTCATCAGGCTGCACGTCTAAACAGGAAATGACATCATGCATATCAAGACTGAGCACATTCGACCGGACAAAAAGGTAAGACGAAGGTGATTTGTTCTCCATTTGCTTGTCATGTATTTTGCAACTAAGGCTCACCTACATTTGTAAATGTACAACACTAGATGATCCAAGTCAGTCAGATATTCATCACAATGAGAGACAGACACTAGAACTCGTCACGGCTCTGGGGATACTGCAGCATGCCACTCACTGGGTTTCCAGATGCACTTTGGTGTAGACAGAGTATCACAGAAAATGCCTTCATGCCAGAGGCCCCCAAACCGATGAACCACCTCTCCAGCCCGATCCAGGACCACCCCCTGCACCTCGTTCTTATTGCTGTCTGAGCTCCAGTAACGAGACTGGAATACGCAGAGCCAAAGGAAAAAGGTTTATGGTTGAACGGGAGAAGCGGACTAGACAGGTCTTGCATTATTCTATTGAGTTAGCAGTGACAGATGAAAAACAAATGTGTGCGTGTGTATCCTGACCTTGACAAAGGTGATCTTGCATGTGCAGTCATCACTGTTGTTGTTTTTGATGACCACCTCGCCATAGTGCTCCAACCAGCGCTCCTGACTCAGCACGTTGTGGATACATGTCACTGCCTTGTTCCACTCATAGTGGTCACCGTACCTAATCACCAAAAACACATGAATCATGTTTAACAATGTCACTGCGTCGTAGAAGATGAAGACTCATGTGGACAGACTGTAAAGCCCTGAGGCACAGCTCATCTCTTCCTTGGCTACAATACATTATGATGATCACATTATTGAGCATCTCCAGGATGTGACCTTATTGCTTTACAAAATAATAGTGTAGTTTTATTGAACACTCAATGAGCTCACCAGTTTGAGCAGAACAAAGTGCTATACAAAGCAAAGACTGTATACAACAAACAAACATCACACAAACCAATGGGGACATAGTCACCCATTGATTTGTGGACAGCAGGTTGCAGTCAGTTTCATTATAACAATGATGATATGATAATAATGTCGAGCAGGGGAGATCAAGGTAGCGCTAGCTCTGTGTATTCGTCATTCACATTTAATATCATTTCAATTTGGCCGCATGGTTTTGCTGACGAAAAACAGGTTTCAAATAAAATGAGAGAAACTTCACCACAGTTCTGTAGAACTGTTCATGAGAAGTGTATGGTTCGAGGGGGCATGAAGAAGCCATTTGAGGAATGGCTGATTTTGTTCCTGTATTGCATCAGCAGTTATCTGCCACAAGGGGAGAATGAAGCAGTAGCTCACTTGGGTAGAGAGACATTGACCAGTCCAGATGAGAGCATCTCCATGGACTTCCCCCAGAACTTATTCTTCCATCTCTGATCTGAGGCAGACAGACAGACATTCGGAGCATTTGGTTAGAGTCCTCAGATACACTATAGGGTGATCCAGCACTCTTCTCCAAGCCTGGAGCTCCTACCTTGCCAGAAAGAGAAGTTTTCAGACTCAGCATGGCAGGCAGAGACAGGCGGGTGATGGCTGACCTGAAAGCAAAGCCCAGAGTGCAGTATTACGGTATGCTTCAAAACTCTGTGTTGCAGTTTGGGAGCGTTTCTAAATTCATCTCTGTAGGGTACCTGCTCACTGATGTAGCGGAAGCCACGGTCTCGTCGGTCACTCTCGTACGTTTCTCCCAGAACAGGGTTGAAGGGTTTGTAGCGATTCCTCCAGGACGCCCAGGCATATCCAGAGATGGAGAACACTGCCACGTACACCTGCAGTCATGGGGGGAGAGGGTTTTTTTTAGTTTGCTGACGTTCAGTTACAAGTTCTTTTCTCTCTAAACCAAGCTCACCATTCTCTCATACGGGTCGTCAATGTGGTTGGCGATGTCCAGCAGCTCCGAGTACTCCAGCTCTTCGGTGAGTCTCTGCAGCAGGGACAGCGGCTCGTTTAGTGCCACCGGCATGGAGATTCTGGACAGGTCCTTGCCGATGTTGTTGTACAGGATGCTCATGATGCCAATGTGGCTGTTGTCCGTCCCTGACGCGGGGAGGACAGTGCGACGACCTGCAACAAAGAGGAACAAATGAATGCTGCAGAAAGATAAAACCATCCTGGAGGGCTGTTTGCTGATGTAGTCCTCGATCCGTTAAACATGCATTAATGCCACTGCTCAAATGTTGATGGAACATGTCCTTGGTTGTAAGTTCTCTATATACACCTTGATACAAAAAAAGGAAATTAACAAATCAGCCATAGACACGTGGTCTCAAGAAGGTGTTCCCCAAGTAAAACCAATCCTGGTGTGAATACCTTCATTAAAGCTGCACTATATAAAAACGCTCATATCTGCAGAGATGTACAGACATGTTAAGATTTTCAATTAGAGCACGGCTGAAACCAAGCTGTCTGTCTCTTCTCAAGGAAGTTCAAACTGTTTGACTACGCACCAGAGAGCAAATATGAAATATGAGGTAAACACTGCCATAGCACAAAAGGTGACATTACCGGTATTGGTGGGCGCCGGGGTGGGTGTTTCAGGAACATTGTTCAAACTTGCACGATAGTTGAGTGTGGCAGTGGCTGAGGAGGAGAGAGGACCAAGTCAGTTCATGATGGGAGTGGGAGGGGGCGTCGGTTGGGTCCACACTCACCGTGTCCCTCCTCTGGCTCAGAGTTGCTGGTTGTGGTGACATCGCTCAGGCCCGACTCGTCTGACGCCTCAGCCTCTGATGAACTCTCGCACGTGATCACCTCGCTGGCGTCGAAATACTCGGCCATGGACTCCGCCACAGAGGGCGCGCGATGGCTGTGGCGGCTCAGGGACGGTGTCCTCTGGGAGAAGAAATAAGACTTCGTATGAAAGAGTTGGAGCTAGACCATTTGCCAGCGTGCGCTTGTAGCGCCAGACGTATCGCAACGTTTGTAGGAAACTCGCAACCACCAGCACAAAACTCCTGCAGCCATTGTTGCCCTCTAACCCGCAAGTGACCGTCCTCATAACAGCGCTGGCACTCATTTGGATTTTCTCTTACGATCGCGTTGGGGAGCACCGTGTCAACATTGTCAGTGATTTTTTTACATAATTCAATATGCAAGAGGAAAATTAATCCAAATGAGTGACAACAGGATTCCTTCACACATAATAATTGCATCACTTTGTTCTTTGGATCATCAGCTTCAAAAACTGCCACTTTTGTTTAATTTAAAAGTTTTTAAAAGTTTTAAAACAAACAAAATGATTTTTTTTCCCAAACTGAGTGACTAAAGAACGAACGACACGGATGCAAAACGCGGGACACAAACGCGCTACACACCTGGTCAGGACGGACGGTGCAGAAGGATTCCTCGGTAGACTCAGAGGATAGTGAAACCGAATGGACTTTGGTCAGACGGGACTGTAGGTCAAGCTGAAGACATAAGCATGAAAGCACACGCGCCAGGAAAGACCGAAGAGGAAAAACAAAGTAATGGTCAGAAGATGTCCTACGGACAGCAGAGCGGTCACATCAGTGTGTTGCTCTATTGTTTAAATGCCTGCATGTCAGAGGACAAACCTTAGTCTACGCCATTATCAACATCACAATGATTAAGTAAATGACTCATCCGCTATGCAAATTAAGTCAATCATATTTACATTGACAAAGATGGAAACATATGAAATATTACTTTTCATATTCCAATTAAAATGTTGAAATAAGTTCAAGAACTTAAAGGTGAATGCAGCCTTCTTGTTCTAAATGTGTTGCGTTTGAGCCCGAGCTTAGATAACCATTAATGTATCTGCCCAAAATCAAAGGGTTTCAAAGTGATCATTATCATACCAATTATTCATTCCTACCCCATTCTTCAATACTCTATGAATGGATTGACTTCTGGTCTATTGTGTGTTGCTTGCGGAGAGAAGATGGAGGGAAAACCCCGCCGCCAGACACCCAACCAAGATGAAGAGCCGGTCACATGCACCACGGACCGAACAAGCAGGCGACTCGGAACAAACTCCATTAAACACCAAACGGACATGGTTTGATCGCAGGAATTAACAAGTTTCTCGACTGACAAGGCAGTTCGGTTTCAGTGAGACAACCATGGCGATGTTTCGGTCTTTCTTTGTGCCACGACAGGGAGAAAAAAGACTTGAGGTGTGTTTCTATCATAACTCGTACCAGTCCTGCCTACAAACTGCCCAAACCTGCTTCATAGTTTCACACCACGAATCCTCAGCAGACTGTGGGCCGGGCCGCCATTGTCTCTTTACAGGCCGATACCAATATTTAGGGCCAATCAATAAGCAAGTCTTAAAACTGTACTCCACTGTACTTTAAGTTTCGTTTCTACCCTTCCCAGTTCTGCACGGCTGTGTGTGTGTGTGTGTGTTACCTCAGACATTGTGCTGCAGAGTGTCGCGAGCTGCTGCGACGCGTTGTGCCTCAGGTCCGGGCCGGTCCAGGCCTGCCTCAGTCTCTCCCTTTCCAAGGTCAAAACCTCATGGATTGACTTGAGAGACGAGTGAACTATAAAAACAGAAACATTTGTATATTTAAAAAATATACATTTTTAAAATGTATTGTTTGTTAGCCAACAAGGTTTGGCTTAATGACATCCAAGCTTCAATTACATTTATAATGATCATTGACGCCCAATGGCTTGTGTTTACCCATGTCGGTTACATAGGTTTAACGCTATTTAAATCACGCAACGCTTTTTAGCGAGCCCCGCAAAATCCGTTGCTCTGACATAATTTGCAGACTTTGCGCATGTAGGCTGTAACAACATGTAGTATCTGGGTGTGAAATGTGTATAGTTCTATCTAGTGATCTACCCCCCGGTCAGCCCCCACACATTGACGTTGGATCTGTGGAAAACACTGTAGATGAATCAGTATCCAACTTAGACTGGTTCATAACCAGTTAAAAGTTACTGTGATTCAACTTTAAACTTCTTATGAATTAAGGAAACAACTTCTTCATAACTTCTTATGAATTAAGGAAACGGTTTCAGAAGTTATTTAAAACCACCTCAATTATCCCAATTGACAGAAATACAGCAGTTAGGTAGGAGGTCCATACTCTTCTGAGAAGAAGTGCAGATGTCCTGGTGGAGCTTTTGGGCCTCTGGCGAGGTCCCCTGAGGGTTGGACAGTTGAGTGTAGACGTGGTCAGGGATGGACTTAACGGAGGCCCCCATACCAGAGTTGCTGGTGCTCAGGTGGCTAGAAGTGAACTGTAGAAGGGACAAAGCACCGAGCTGAGGCAGTTGACTCGGTGAACAGAGGATGTGACTATTAAACGAGATCAGACGCCGGTCCTACCATTCCCCCCATGGCTTCAACACGGGACAAAGTCCTGGAGTGGCCGAACACTTTCCCTACTTTCTTCTTTGGTTTCTCCAGGGTCAGATTCTAGAACAGAGACCAACACGGTTATAGCTTTACTTTCTAAAAATGAGGAATTAATATTGTATAAACAGTACTTGTAAAGTCATTTTAAATCAAGATTAAAACAGTTGATCTCTTAACAGTTAATTTGGGATTTGAAGAATCCCGCGTTCAGTTGTGACACAAGCGCTCACCTGCATGCTGATTCGCATCTCCAGGTCGGTGTTTGTGATGGGCAGGCCCCCCTCCAACCAATGGAGCCGCTGGATGAGCAGGGCCAGCTCTGCCAGCTCCCCCTGACAGCGCGCCAAGTCTGATACACACCCACACAAACACCCACACAAAGTCAAAAAGGTGTATCCAGGTGATTTAAGGCAGCGTGCAGATTAAACGTTTTGTGACTGTTTCTATAGAGACTGTAAAACGTCATTATATGAGATCAAATGAGACAGACGGCTCGCACCGTTTGAGGTGCCGTCGATGTCGTGGGTCTGCTGCAGCCACGCAGACACCTTGCTGGTCACCCCTTGGTGGGAGGAGACTGTGGGGGCGGGGCTTCCCATCTCTGGATTATACACCGACGCCGAGCTAGCATAGTGAGCGGGCTGGATGATCCAATGGTTAGTCAGGGTTGAAACCAATGAAGGAAAGGATGAAAGTCATCGTCTTTAGTTTTTCTTCGAGGCAACTGACTTAGCGTTTGTCAATATTGTAGAATTCGTTGATCAATTTTATGGCAATCATTTTTTAGGCCAAGACAACAAAGCCATTAAAATCACAGCTCTGGACCTTTTCAGAATTCTTCCTCATAGAGGAGTTTTGTACGTTGAAGATTAGTATGATGGCTTAGTTGTAAGCGGACAGTATACTGCTGCCAGCACTGACCGGGTGGATGCCAGTGATTTGGTCTTTGTGGTAGTTACCAAAATAATTGAATTTTTCTGTCGGAGAGTATTCTCTTAAGAAAGGAACCACCCGTGTGATATGATTACACTCATCTTTTCATTGAAGCTCTTGTTGTAGAGTAGATTTAGTGGTCAAGGGAGAGGACATGAAAATGGTGGATTGCTCATTTCATTTAAATTCTTCACAATAAAAATTCCGGTTATATTAACGGCTTAATCTCCCTATACTATATTTTTTAGCCGCTAGCAAAGCCAGGCTAAGTCAGTAATAGAGGGAGAGATAGATATATATATATATATATATATATATATATATATATATATATATAGATATAGATATATATAGATATATATATGCTCTTAATATGCTCTTAATATATATGCTCTTAATGGCTTTAACAATAAAAAAGTTACGCTTTTATTTTGTGGCCTAAATCAAGTAATGTTAGTTCTCATCCACAAACATTCAACATTTCTGGACCCTCTACTGACCGTTGCGCTCGTGGTCTGAGAGAGCGTGGCCGCGGCCTGCATGGTGCTCGGGGCTAAGGAGAGAGCGTGAAGGACACCACGATGGACACTCATCGCCTCATTTTTCCTGAATACACGATGTGCACACAGCTTTGTCAACCAGATGTAGAAAATGTCATGGCTCTTTGCCTGATGAGGGAAAAAAAGAGAAAACAAACTTGTTTTAGTTCACTGCGGGCTACAAAATATCCTCAACTCCGTAAACAAGGTTTCACTTATGAGCAGGCGTTTTCTCCTGGAGCTTAGTTTTCCCAAATGGAGTCAGTGAGTCCTTCAATGCCTCTGAATTCTGGTGTGTGTTTGTGTTACCTTGAGGTGGTAGATGTTGTCCCCAGCGTCAAGGTCTATGCCTTTGGTCTTCTTATTGATGGACATGACAGCCAAACTGACATCCAGTGAGCCATGGAGCTTCCCTCTCTGAATCTAAGACAGAAAATTGTAAATTACACAATTCAAGCAGAGCCGCTAGGAGCTCTTCAACAGAGTGAACCGGACGTGAGGTAGGGTGTCATTCTGTTGAGGCTCTGTGGGACGGACAGGGAAATGTGGAAACACAGTAAGACTCACATCTTGCTGCGTCTTCGAGTACTTGAGAATCCCTTTCTCCAACACGAAGTATCTCTGACAAAGATCACAGTGAAGCGTTTGAGTGAAAGCAAAGACGATCCTGTGAGCACAGGAGTAGCATTCTGCTGACTGGAAAATACGGCCTGACCAACTTGACGATGACTTGGGTAAACGGAGTAGAAAAATACATCTTTGTTCACCTTGTGCCAGCCTTTGAGTGGATACTTCCTCTTCTTCATCAGGTAGCCTTCACAGATCCCAGGGATGCTGAGGTCCGGAGAGGAGCCCGGGTAAGAGTACACATCCCGGCGCTGCAAGTCGTCCATCACCTCCCAGTGACGAGACTAACAGAGACAAGACCCGGAAATCAATAAAACAAATCTACAACCCAACCAAACACTTTATGTCTATGGGATGTTTAACAGAATGATCCAAGATCAGCTCTGATCTGGCCTGTTTTGATCGGCAGCTGATCAATCGGTGCATCTGTATAGTCAAACGCGTACTGTAGTACTTTCTACTACCAGTGGTTCTAATTACCTGCTTCGATTGTTTGGAGGAGCCGGTGCTGCTGCTACGCGAGTGCCCGGGTTTGAACACGCTGGCTGGGGATTTCTCCAGGCCACCGATCACGGACTGGCTGCTGCTCAGAGGAGGCGGACACACCTGAGGGTCCATCGGAACGATGTGAGGAAAGCGATGCATGGGCGTTCACGACAACACCGGTCTCATGGCAAAGCGTGGGGCACTGAGGAGATCAATGAAAGGTTGTGCAAAATATTTTTTAAAAAAAAAGGCAAAATAAATTGTGAAGATGTCGAGAAATTAAAATAAAAGTACAGGATTCAAAGTAGAATGTCAATTCCAAACAAAGTACAGCTATAGCCTTTCTTTACTAAAAAAATGTATCTTGTGTAATGTATAAAAAAGGCGTTTACGTGGAGATGTCTACAAAGGAACTACATTTATAAACCTTGGCCAGCTGTGTAAGACAACTTCAGGACGGACATTCACATTTAATCAGTTCACCTTCATACAGCCAGTGATGAAAGGTTACTTAAATAGGTTGATTAGACAATGAAATACATAATTAGGTTGAAACCAGTCAGCACATGAAATATTCAGTAGTTCTTCCAGATATCTCTGGAGGAACAAAAACACCCTGCACACACCCTCAACATTTGGTTTCCCATTTTCACATCCAGCAGGTGAACATAGCCAGGAAGAGGAAGTGCAGACAAATGATTTGAGAACAGATTTAGAATGCAGCTGATGGCAGGCAGCCATTATCACATGGTGTGTTTAAACAACACTTTTTAATTATTAAATCCAGGGCCTTAAGTGATTTGAAACAAATTGTGACAATCACAATTTGATGTATATTCACATACTGTAATTTGAAATGTTATTTAAAATCTTGGCAGATTTTTACCCGTAGCGCTCACTCTTAGACGGACCATAAAGGAAAACTGCTGAACTACAGCGAGTGAAAAAACTAGTGACCAATTAGTCAGAAAAGCCTTGGACAACTGAATAAAAACACACCTGTGTTGGCCTGCAGTCAAACAGTATCCTCCCACAAGGTCCACAGGAAATTCCTTTAACCTCGAGATGAATAGTCGAATAGTCAAGACGCTACCCAAAATTTTTAAGAAAAGACGCTAAAGGACAGCGGCGTTCCTGGGAACGATCCGTCAGCATCAAAATCCTCCAAACAACTGAGCAGTGACACGCCTGGCCTGCTCGTCGGCCCGATGCCTGTCAGGGCCAGCGGGTTTCTGGGCGGGGCTGAAAACCAGAGCAACACTCTCGACCTGACCCAACAGGCCCGCCGGCTCTGTCATCACAAGATCTGCTGCAGATTTGCAGTAAGCGGATGTCGTGAACACTTTAAACACAAACGCTTTAAATTGCATTAAATTCTCAAATTCCGCTGGACATAAAGTCAAAGAGCGGCAACTACTGGGTGAGATTTTTAAAATAGGAAAATAAAAAAAGTGAGATGTAGAACATCAGGACACTTTTGGGGGCAGTATTTCACCTTTATTACTGGGTGCGTAGCATATAAACGGATTTAAAAGTAAAAGGCAGCTATTAGTAAGCAATGAACACGTAAAAACGCGTGATGAAGATGCATATTAGGGATGGTTACTGATAGCTGGATTTGAAGTGAACTAGAGTTAGTGAAGATGACGACTAAGCTTGTTTTAGTGCAATAAATTAAGAGTGATTAAAAGTGTTCAACAAGCACGATATCATGAAGCGCATACAACGATCTACTGTTAAGAAAAATCCCTCGACCTCGGCTGCCACGTTTTACACAGTCGGTTAGTTCGGTCAATAAAGAATTGACAAGAATGAGCCGTTTTGCTGGATCTCTGACAGCTGTGAAGCACTTAAAGTTCTTAGTACGCAGTGTACGTGTCTGGGGATTTCATCGTGAAGTGAGGAAGTGTTGACCACGTCGGACTGAGGAAGTTGCTGGTCTCTTAATTTTCATAGGTGCCACGTAGCCCTTGAATACAGAAGCAGTCTGTATGTAATCTAAAAGGGAGACCGCAGCCGCTCCTCCCTCTTCCAGCAGGAGCCGCAGGCGTTTTCATTTTTGTGTTTTTTTAAAACTGCAATACTGGCCAGACTGTTCACATTCATAAAAGGTTTAGGAGGATGTCTGCTGAGGCAGCCTTAAGTGACAATGCATTGGCTTGATATAATGTACGCATTCATTCTTAGAAGCTAAACATGAGGGAATCGTATGGTGCTTGGATGTTCTCCTCCTGTTGGACACAAAAAACAAGCGCAGCATAAAGAGCAAAAGGCCCAAACATTTCCTGAATACTTTGGAGTACTAATCATTGTGAGATTACATCTTGGTTGGTTACAGACTGACAGCATAACAGTGATACGTGTTCTTGAATTGTCGCTGTACGAGGGACACCGTTGATGTGCCCTTTTTAAATTGATGACACATTTGTTCCTTTCACAATGATGCTGAGCTGCCACAACTACACAATCATTTAGAGGACAACCCAAACATTGTTTGGTTGATTATGAACAAAAACGAACACAAGTCAGATGTAACCCGTTGAGCCGTGAAACTCAAAAGCATGTTTTCTTTCAACAATCTCCAAAACTGAATTTCACATCCTAAACAAAAGCTGTGGATTACATTATCAGATTTCCCACCAAGAGTCCCTGATTAATACGTCAAAAGCTGTTCTATTACCAAGAGTCTATTATTCATTGGCCCATGATAGTAACAATGAAAATAGCCTTGCCCCAGACTAGTTATGCCGCTGCCCTGAGCGCGTCGAGTTTAAAATCTCTGAACCGTATACTTTTCTGTAACACTACTGTAGAAAGTGGATGAGACAATAGTGAATTTGAAGAACACTTAATGTTGTTAGTGATTGTTGTCAAGTCATTAACTAGGACTGGGGAAGAAGCTTAAAACAACCATGAAAGGTATGTGGTCGGACCAGTAGACCAGAGAGAACGCAGGAGCAGAGATACAGCCACCAACAGCAGCGTAGAGCAGGAAACAATTGTGCAATTTGGTGTGTTAATACTGTAAAGGTATGAAACAGCAGCCCTGCCGCCCACTCCCGGTTCCAAGGTGCCCCCACAAACATCCTTGATTTTAAATCCATTGGTCAAACACATTTCTGCAATCCGGCTTTAAACGGCCAAATAATGACTCAAAACATTGCTGGCATTTAAAAGGTGGATTGTTTTGCACAAGCAGCCGCTACAGAGGCTGAATGCTAATCAAGTCGTTAGTTGGATCAAAAGACTTGTACGTTTCATGTATGGATGATTTATCATTTCATTGACCACGTGTGAGGAGCAAACCTGAAGGTTTACTTTTTCCGTGGCCAATACAAAGCTCAACGGTCAACCAGAGATGTCGGATTTTTTTTCTGTGTCATCACCATGAGTCATAAAGACTGCAATGTCAATTTTGTGTCGCCCAAGTACGAAAACCCACACTAGCGTAAAACAAGTTGTACAAATTACAGCGGAATCTCAACCTTGAATGACGAAGCAGTCAAATTCACAACCAAATACCAGATTCATAATCAGGTGGTGTTTTTTTTTTTAAAGGAAGTGCTCTGTCGAACAAAGTGTTCTTTTACATTGGTTCAATGTCAACCCAGACGGAGCAGACCTGAACAGACTGGTTCCGTTGCTCTGCTCCATAATCATCCTCCTTTGCTTCTTCCTCTCTCTCCCTCCCTCTAGGAATGTGCTAGAGCTGGTATACGGTGACTGACAGCAACACTGTTTTGGTTCAGTGTTTACAACCAAATGAGACAGTTGTGGGTGCAGCTTTTCCCCAATATGTTGAATAGAAGGGAAAGTTGCGTTCTTAAGCCAGTCTAAAGACCTTTTCACAGCAGAGCACAGATGGATTAATGACAGAAAAAGCTTTATACTAGCTTCAAAATATCACAGGCATGTATTGAACCTAAATTAATGCATAGATTAAGCTACTGAGAGACATTACATCGAGTAAAAGTTACACAGTATATACGGCGAGGACTTTTACTTTGAAAGGTAATAAAACAAAACTCCAATGCCATTGTTTGATGCCTTCATTCGGGAGACCAAAGTTGGATAAAAAAAACGCTTTGCCATTTAGTATTTGCGGTCTTTGCTTTAAAACTCAGATTAAAGACAAACCGCAACAGGAGCTGACAATATGCATGTTGGATCAATATAAAGGGACCTTAATGTCATTCACCTTTTACTTCGACAGTTTTTGTGGGTTGATTTTTCAAAAAAACCACAGAAGTTACATTCATACTTTCACTTTACGTCCGTTAGAGCTTGGTTTTACCTCAATATTGATGGGTTTTGGTACAGACGATCAGGTTTCCATGTAATAAAAAGAATTTGAACTGTTAGCAGTAACGTAATTGATAAGGCTCTGAAGATTCTGTGGATTGCTCTACGATCAGTTTGTCTGCCTTTCCGGTTTGCCTTAGAGTCTAGGAGCTAAGCTTTCTTTAATATATATTTCTTACCAGTGGAAAAAAAGAATTCGAAAAATCCATCTGTTGCAGAGGGAAAAAGATGTTTGACCCGTTTCCCCAAGTTGCACCTCTTCCTAATCGAAACAAAGATGGCTGCCGTCACCTTATCCAATTGTATTGCCATACATTATGGTTTTTAACAGATCATACAATTTCACACAAAATAAATAAATGTTTTAAAAAAAGGTGCATAATTACATGTCACGTAGATTAGGAATGTCCAAAAACCTGTTTTTTTTTGTTTGTTTTTTTAAAGGTCACTGGGTAGGGAAATATCAACTGCTACAAGTTACATACTGTGGTTCCAATATTATACTAGTTCAGCAGATCACAAATATTAGAAAGTCATACACAAAAATTGCATTTTCTTGGTGAGAATTCATCAGCTAAGACATCAGAGTACAAATGTAACGTTACCAAGCAAGACAACACACCTAACTTGAGCCTCAGGAGAGCATCCAGTCACACAGGTGTGTGTGTGTGTAGGTGTGTGCGTGAGCGAGCAGGTAGGAGGCTTAATAAAAAACAGGTTTGTTTTAAGTGGACAACACCCAAACACCGCCATGGGAACAACACGACACATTTCCTACTGCCGATAAGGAGATTTTAAGAAGTTTCTTCTAACGTAAATAATTAAAGTTAACGCGAACACGCACGATAGTTTCAAGCGTAAAACTAAATTAAATTAAACGCCAAAAAGGGCCGTCAAACGTGCCACAAATGCATGTTTACCAAACAAACCCCGTATTACTTAACAAAGCTCCTGTCCGTTTGAAAAACCAAACATACCAAATATCACATTGTCACTGCGTCAAGTGTGAGGCGATAAAGCAGCGCGTTTCTTCCACTCACCTGTGTTCAGGGCGAGGCAGCAGCTCGCGAGGCCTCTTTTAGTGTGTTCGGTGTTTGTGCGTGCGCGTGGCACGCAGCCTGCTTCTATCCGCGCGCCGGCGGCACAGGTGCATCATGGGAAGCCTTTTAATCACACTGCTACTGGTCCAAATGAGCTGAAACTTATACTTTTTACATTTTATCTGTATACATATCCATTCCATCAAAAAAAAACCACCATCCCAAAGTCTGTAAGGGCTTGAAATGGTGTAAATATGAATAGGAGAGCACTTTGCTGTCACATGTCACGTTATCACGACAATGTCAAAAAATCAGATGTACAATTGGGGTATTTATGTGATATGTTTTACTCTCTGATTTGAATGTCTTCCAGACTCTTAATATAGTCATTTTAAATGTTGTACTGTTTTTGGTCAAAATAGCGTGACTGACTAAATCAAATATTTGATGAATAAATGATTCAGTAGAGATGGATTTGGCAGGACGTCAGTGAAGACGGAGGGGGCCTCTCATCGCTGATCTCAGGCTGTCCCGCTACAGCATCACGCAATTTTGTCGCCGAAGTTGAAATATTTCAACTTTTGCGTTTGCTGCGTTTGGGCTGACTATCAGGGGATGATCATGAACGCATATGAGGAATTCAAGACTATAATATGTATATTTTAAACATTTCTGTGGTAGGAATTGAGCGTATTGTACATCTATGACGTTGTTCATTCTGTACACATGACATCCAATTGCAGTCCATCCATCCCGTTCAGTAAAGTTCCCAGTTCAATAGCTTGTCAGTGAAACGTTGTAAAAACACAAACAACGGTTACAGAGTGGAGTTGGATTCTCTAAACACTGTGGTTTTCTGTTCCTCAACCTCCATGAATTCTAACCATCTTTCCTTGACCTCATGACGTTTTCCACAGAGGTCAAGGAATAAACAATAAGAGGTCATTTTTTTGACTATTCGAATGCAGCCTTCGTGGAACTGAAAAGCCTAACCTCACCCTAAAAATTATCTGGCTAACTCAGTTAGCTAAGTACCAGGAACGGGGCACAGGTCTCAAAGCTGACCCATATTCAATGGCCCCACCCAGCAAAGACCGGCAAAAACACGTGGGACTGTCTTCAAGACATATCATTTTAGTTTGATTATTCTAACAGCTAATAATTTAGTGTGTAAAATTTAAAATCCTGTGACAATGCAATTTAAAGTAAATAAATAATAATGCAATCTGTCTTGCCCCTAAACCCTCCCGGATTTTACCGACGTCCCCTGGTAAATGGTGGAGTGAGAGTGTGAGGGCTTTAAATGGCGTAAATATGAACAGGACAGCACTTTGCTGCCACATGTCACCATGACAATGCCAAAGGATATGATTTACAATTAAGGGGATTTAATACTTTTTATTATCTGATTTGAACCTCTTTCAGGCTCCTTCCACATGATTGAGGTGATTTTAAATGTTTTACGTTTTTGTCAAATTGCTGGTTGTCTGATTTTATGTCTATTTTTTCCCCCTTCAGCCCTTGATGTTTTTAAATGTCTACTTCTTATGAGTCAGAACACACATGTGCTATCCTCTTAGTTTACTCCGCCTCCATGGGTCCACTGGTTATCCCGTTTTTGACGCCCCATTGCAATGACTTGTGGGTAATTGCCTTGTGCTAAGTCAGCATCCAACGGTAGGGATTCGTAGGGGGCTCAAAATGTCTGCCTGAGAGCCCTCAAACACTCACGGCCCTGAACCCTAACGGACTTGGATTCGGATTGGGGAGCAGTCAGACATCTTCACAGCAAAATCACAACGAACTTGTACGGTGAGAAACTCCATGCATCCCCCCCGTTTGAAACAAAAGACGTCAAGAATCCCACTAACAGCTTCAGCTTTTAATAACGAGACATTACATCACACAGCGCTGGCTGAGTTATTTTTTTGTTGACAGTGGGTGTACAGCTACAAGAAAAGAAATACAAATAAAACACTACTTACATGTATCACAACTGAACAACATTTTATTCTGTGCTTCATCAGAACTTCTGTACAATACCAACATTTTTGCAGACCTGGAAAATGATCACTTCTGTCAGGAATCCAGGCTTTTTATAGAGAAGAACCCTGCTTTAAAGCACAAACACAGCACAAACCAAAACAGGGACACAAGCTCACTTCCACGCCAGCCAAGTTCGATGCAATCAAGGTTTTTGCGATCACATACATTCTGCTGGGAGCCGCATCGCGTACAACCATTCTACAACATAAAAGAAATAAAAGGGAATGCCCTACACATTAGTAATCACACACGGGGAACTGTTACCAGGCGAGGACCTGGGGTTCGGCCCTCAAACGAGCCAAACGCAGACAGACAACAACACATGTCCGACCACTCGCTGAAAAGCGTACATGACTGGTGTTATACGAGTGTTAAAAGTCTGCATTCGGACCGAGGCGTTATTTTTTTTATTCCCTTTCTGGCGATGTGTGAATTGATAGCGCTCACATATTGGCTACCTTAGCCACGAACAACCTCCGTCTACCAGTACCTCATGCTCACGTCATATCATGTCTCTTTACAACAGTGGCACATAATCCCATGTAAAATATATTTTTACACCTTGTTGTTGTTGTTAAAGATTAAACAGAGGAGCTATATGTCAATTAGTGAGTTCTGGAGGGGCTAGTATGTAGATTTTGTCACCTTCAGACGGAGAGGGTAGCTGTACCTATATTGTGCATTTCTACTTGGCGGCCAAGTGATGCTTGAGATGGATGTGAACGGGTGGAAGCATTCAACCAATAACACATTTAACGCATGTACAGCATGAGCGTATCGTATCAAGAAGGACTTGAATGGTAAGTGATCTTAACCCCTGTCCTTTTGGAGCGTTTTCTGCCTCACTGCTCAGCAAGTTCCGTCAGTTTTAGGCTCTCCTGTAGGCTGGCACTTAGCCAGGAGTTAGCCGGGATGCTAGCCATGAAAAAGCAAGTAAATGAATATAGAGTGCAAAAAAGCGATGATTGTATTTTTGTAGACTAGGAGGTTCCCTCTCTCTTGCATCGTGACCACATGGAGCATTCTGGAGGGGCTGTAGCTAAAATGCACGGGATAATCTGAAATCACGAGAACCCAACAACCCAAAGAACATGGGTTTTCCCAAAATAAAAAAACCCTGACAGAAACAAAGCCTTAGTTTCAGCACAACAATGAGAAAACAACATAACAGAGGGGGGGGGGGGGTGGATATAAATGAGAGGTGACATTTCTCCACGACGGCTTCTTATGTTAATGGACTCACTGTCAACTCACCAGAGTTGCTGATGTCTGAAGTGGTCCGAGGATCTTTGTCCATCTACATACTTTGAAGGAGAGCCTGCGCTCCAAATATGTGGTCCCCATGTCTGGCCTGCCTCACACGGCTTTAGAGGGTCTCCATCTCTTCCTTTTCTCTTTCTTCCCTCTTCCTTCCCTTCCTTCCTTCCTTCCTTCCACCCACCCTTGTCCTTGAGATTCTCCGAGTCCAGCACTGTCCGGGGTGTGGGAGAGTGGGGGTGAGGAGAGTCAGGGCTGGGAGCTGCCCTGGCTGTCGGGGTCCGTCCCTGTGGAGCTTGTGTCTGAGTCCGAATGCTCGTCGTTATGGTCGTCCTCCGCCAGGGTCTTTTCGCGTACCCGCCTGTGGGTGGCGGAGAGGCGAGCCAGCAGGCCCTGGTAGTCGAAGCGGCCTCGCTTCTCACCGAATGGGTCCTGAGCAGATAAAAATATAAGAATAGAGAAGCGAGTTTGGGCTGGCGTGTCCTTCAGAGATACGGCTGCCGTCGGCATCCATTTAGACATAGGAATAGATCCGTATTGACTTTCTGTAGTAACATTCAGATATTCCTCATGTGCCTCACCAGCGGACAGACAGTCCGCCATGACTACTAGGGGAAACACTGCTGTCCACACAGTAGTAAGTAAAAAGCTGCCTTTCGGCATAAAATTGTTGTAATCACCCAACGCATTTCAGTAGCCTAAAGTAAACGGCCCCCGTACGTGTGGCAGACAAACAGCAACATCACGTTTGGTAGCCCAGAACCAAAGGTTTGTTTAAGATTAGCTAGATCCTCATTAATTTATGCGCCGTCTGAAAACTTCCCAGGTCTCCTTGCTAGATCTCGCACCGTGTCATTCATTCACATTGCTTATGACGTCCACCTGAATTGTCGTCTTTGGCTGAAAGGTGTCCTAAATTGGCTGCGAAAGCTAGTGTTGCTCGAAACCGGTTAGTGGCGTTTCCAGTATTTTTTTTTCTGCAATCGCCATCAAGCTTAAAACTGAAATGACAACTAAGGATCACGCAAAATCTAATTGTTATCTTGAGTGCGCACTGATATGGAACGTTCACGTCCATGTAAACAGGAACAGTACATTATTGCTCAGTACAGTACACCCTGTGAAGGTTATATGGATTCTGGTATAAACTGTCTGAATAAGCATGCAAGAACAATTTACTACAGTGTTTACCCTCCATTCAATAGGGGGGCAGGACATTTTCAATTCCTTTTGTTTCTGTTTTCAAATTCATTTTGTGAGTAACAATGTTCATCTAACCATTAACAAAAGTAGAAGTTCACAGTAAGTAGTTACAGCAGTCGTGTCCAGGTTGCCACTTCGTACCGGTCACAAAAAAATATTTGATATAGAAAAATAACTAGCGTCTCTCCCCATTATATGCAATTGTCCCACATGACACATTTCCCAACATTCACCCAAGCGCTTTATCTGCTGTTCACAGTGACTACTACCTCCCCTCCCCGGTTATTTCGGCGTGTTTATCTGCCACACTTTCAAGAACATATTGTCGAACATGAAACCGGTCCGTGAGGCAAAAAAAGGTTGGGGACGGCTGGTATACAGCATGTAATTGTGGTGCTCTGAAGGCCTTTTGTAATACAGAATATGTATATACTTAAGTATATACTAAGCGTTTTCATATCTTATCATAATAAAAATGCTAGCAGTTTGGGACCCTTTTAGTTAGTGGTCCTACATTGTGACCAAACATATCCTGACAACTAAAAATAAACAATACATATACAAACCTGCATGTTCTGTCCCTGTAAATGCAGTCTCTCCTTGCAGACTCCCTCGTAGAAATCGTAGTACTCCAGGAAGGACTTTTCCATCACACTCCTGAAAACACACACACACACACACAAATCAGCTGAAAAGAACCCAGAAGGAGGGAGGAAGTGAGAAGGAAGGCGTCATCTACTCAGTCGGGTCTCACCACAGAGCTTCAGGACAGGGCACTTTGCCCTCCAGCATGTCACACACAGCCACCCTCATGGTTTCATGGCGGATGCACTCGTTGTAATTCTTCCCGTCCCCTGGGTGGCGCTCCTGAAAGAAAAAAAAAAAAAGACACACACACCCACACAATTCTTTTACAGGACTTAATTAATGACATTATTCCACTAAAACCATCTAAACCAATTTAGAGCACAATGAGTGACATGTTCAGAGAGACAATGAGAGAGTCCAGAGTATTGTTTCATGGCCTGTCTGCACTCTGTGCCTCCTCTTCCCTCTTGGCTGCAGTCTTTTGCAGGGAGACGAAACGTAACGTGTGGCCAATATATTTCGCCTCAACTACCCTGCCCTCACAATTCTATACGTTTTCATCGGAGACACCAAATGTGACTGCATTTTCCCATATTTATCCCTCATCTCTCTTGTTGTAGTTAGCTCCTTTTTATTCAATGTTTTTTGTAGCCATCAAAAAGGTCCGTGTCAAGAGGTTGTTATGTTTGCAACAAGTACAATATTGTCTCATTTACAACAGTGTAGAAATTGAGCTTGGATGCTAACTAGTCAGGCACAGCTTCCTGATAAAGGTATACTAGTATTTTATTGCATGATGTCTTTGTGCTCAATTGGCCATCATTTATAAAAGACCTAACCAATCCAAGCTGAAAGCTTTTTTTTTTGCACTGATTGCAGCGCACGACTGACTGAAACCCACAGCGTTCTTTAACGCTTCAAGTACCTTCCTGTTGCGTTGGGTGACGTGCAAGCCGCATAGACAGCTCTAGGTTAAGTACCATAAATATCCCCTGTATATGCATTTTTAACGTATTAACCGTCTCTACGTTAAAGTCTGAGCTCACATCTTTTACGCAGGCGAATTCCTCTCACTCGCTACATTGTGGAAAACACTCTTGATTTTTTGTCACAGAGCCGGCATTAAAAGTACTTTGCGCACCCACACATAGGCCTGTACCTCCACCCACACACACACACTACCTGTTCAAAGCCAGGTTCATTGTGATAGGGGTTCTCCGTCATCAGAGACTGGATGGAGATGAGGACAGATGAAATACTCTGGGCTGGGCTCCATGCTGGGCCAGTCCATGTCCTACACACACACAGACACACAGTTTTATACCTCTACGTTCTAAGACAGCAACAAATGAGAGAGGTGAATGCCAACTCACCCCAGGATGCTGAGGCAGACCTTGCCGTTGCGGTAGAAGTTGGGGTTGAAGCGGACGGTGTTGTGTCCGGTGGTGATGAGCTTGACCCGCGGTGGGTGGATTGGGTAGTCAGGGGGACAGCGGAACAGGAACAGGAAGAAGCCTCCCTCGTACGGCGTGTCGAATGGCCCCGTGATCAGCGCGTGGATCTGCACAGGAAGTGAGGTTACAAAAGGAAGCAGGTTTAGAGCAGTGGGTCTACACCTTCTTTCAGGCCAGCGCCTCTTATCCAATAACCTGGCCTACTACTACCCCCCAATAATTAAAATGCAATCAAATTTTGATCAAATCTATAAATCTACAGTACCAGTCAAAAGTTCAGACACACCTTTTTATTTGAGAAGGTGTGTCCAAACTTTGTAGATTTATATTGAAGACAAGTCAAAACTATGAAGGACTACATATGGAATTATGTGGCACAGAAAAAAAATACTCAACACACCACAATATATTTTAGATTGTAGATTCTTCAAAAGTGCCACCTTTTGCTTTGATGACAGCTTTGCACACTCTGCATTCTTAGACGGACGTTTCTGGATAACTGTATAGCTTTGTACGTATATGCTATGTATATTTTCAATGTACATTTGAAACGACAATTTGAAAGACGGATGCAGGGACTCATACCTTGGTCATGTCTTGAGGATCGGGGACAACAAACATCCCTGGCGGAGGTTCCTTGTAGATGGACATGATATCTCTGCAGGGACAGACGGATAGATGAGGCTTTAGACAGGATGCTAGAGACGGAGGGAAGCTTATAGAGCAGAGATCTAGAACATAGATAATTCAATATGCAGTAGTGCCAAAGTGTCACTTGATGATTAGACTATAAAAAAGGGTGCATGAATTTATATATAACAACATATAACCCTACCTGTGCCAAAACCTAACCTTTGTTTATGGGGACCATTTCTTTGGTAGAAAGTGGTTCCACTGATCCTATATTCCACTAGTATTATCTTTTGTACAAAGTAAACCACAAACTAATTGGCTAAACGCCAGGAGGTGAGTGAACTATTTAAAACAGTGAAAATAATAAATAAATGGAGGTGTGTGTTCCATAACCATACCAAAGACACGGCCCTGGAATCATTCTCAACCAAGTGCTATGTTGTTGTTCCAAATGCTTCCGCCGATGGCAGAAACTATGCAAAACTTTCACTTTCGATTGATACTCACCTCAATGGGGTCTGAAGATACCTGAAACTACACAATTGTGACAGTAAACGTGTTCACTAGGCCCACCTCTTTATCCGCAGGATACACTGCTGGGAAGCCTTCTCGTTGTCCCAGTCCGTACTGAGGGTCGGGTCCCAGGAAGTGGCGTGGATGTGGGACAGAAGGTCTGCTCCTGCCACCCCGCTGAGCCCGAGCCCAACACCGGGTAGAACCGAGGACCCGTGTACAATCGGAGACACGGCCACGACCGGCGGTGACAAGCCGGGGGTGAACGTGTGGCCAAACCCGCTAGTGGTGACAGCGGACATGGGGGGGATGAGAGCGGATAGGCCACTCTCCGCGGCCGAAGCAAGAGGAGGGGAGGCCGGGTTGGAGCTGGCGTGAGCACCGCTGGTTGCCGGGTGTCCCACGGGTAGATTAGCCAAAGACGGCATCAGCGATGCTCCGCTGGCCTGTCCGTTAACGCCTGAGCCATGAGCGCCCGGCTGCTCTCCGGAGCTGTCTGCCATGTCTCGCGAGCTAACAAGCGTAGAGTGAAACCGTTGCCTACCGTTAATGTGTAACGCTAATGCTAGCCGTTAGCTGCATTGAGCGGCGCAGTGCGAAGTTACCTCTGCTTGTTTTTGTTGACCAGCGGCATCAGAGAGCAGAAGAGCGGGGTTGAGGCGAGGCCGGGAGACAAGACATTTCTTCCCATGACATAGTGGCTACTTATCATTAGCTTAACGTCCTGCGTTTCTCTCCGAGGCCTCCAGAAAAGTATCAAGTACTCGGAAAAAAATGACCCCGTCCACCTTCCTACGGCTTACGAAGGGTGCTCACTGTCCGGTTGTTATCGGCTTAAATCAATATGTTGTGCGAATGTTTGTGTTTTCAAACAAACACATCCCCAATGATGCATTACCTCAACGCAACTTCAGGATCTGATTTCTTTCCGGTTAAACTACGGTGAAATTATCAAAAACGGTACATCCGGTGGGAACTTCAAAGTAAAAGTCCTCTACGCATTTCAAAGTGGAAATGTTTCGAAATGAAACATTTTATTATATGATCAAGGTATGTATGGGATACAATAATCAATTAAAATAATGTTTTATGTAAACCTGTATAAACGTTTTTCTTTGTCCGTGTACAGCAGAGGTTTCAAACTCATTTCAGGTTCGGGCCAGATACGGCCCACTTTGATCGAACGCGGGCCAGACCATCAAAATCATCGTTGAGGCGAACTGTTGAGGATCCGGCCGAGGGTTTGGCATATGTGTTGTACTGGGTTGAATAACGAAATTTAAATTGCTGTCCCAATCTGCTACATAGTGAAGAAAAACAGAAGTATATTATAGAGGATGTTTCATTAATACATAACTTTAATCAATTAATCACAGCCAGAGGAAATAAATTAGAAGTCCAGGTTGGGTAGCTGACGTTTCTGTAGCTGTGTCTCAATTCCTGTAAGGCTGCATATTAGGACCCGGCCTTCGCGCTAGAGGCTCCTCCTCCAGGCTGAAAGCAAGCGGCCTCTGTAATGGGAAGGTCTGGCCTACAGGGGGAATTCCTGCTTGTGTCATCAGCTTTACCTCTGCCGCTCCCATTGCCTAGCTGCACCTGACAGTAAAAACCTTATATTTCATTTTAGGAAGGTAGAGGAAATCAATCGTCATTAAAAACCACAGCGGCAAAGACATTTAACTTGTATGATAGGACTTATTTACTTGCATTGGATACAAGCGATTTGAACTGTAAACTTTAGATATTACAGAATATGTCCAAGCTTCAGTAGCTGAATGTCACCACACACATTGTTCTCCTTCAACTTGATGGCTCCATAAAACAAAATCAAATGTTACGATAGTGACGTGGTCGACGAATGAGTCCTTAAGGATGCAGCCTAGGGAATTGAGACATACCGAGAATCTCTCATGGCAGAAGGTGAGCAGGTTGTGGCTGTAGTGGCGCACAGTACTGGGCGACCTCTGGTGGTCAACACCAGAGCAGAGGTTTGGCTACCAATCAACGGGTTGGGGCCAGTTTGTGAGGTGGAGTTCTAAAGCAGAGAGTATTACATTGAAATGTATGTTTCATGGTATAGATTGAGCTGAAAACTAAGAAACATTGGATATATACACACATGTACACAGTCCCACATGCCAGGTGATTAAGAAAATTGTAAAATAAAAATACAAATCAGATCAATTGTGTCTGCCATGGTGACTTTTAAAGGATTGTGGCAGTTGGTTTGATCAATATAATTCGAATGATATACAATACATTTCAACAGCTGCACTAGAGGGGAAAGAGACAAAACAAGACTGATTTTGCATGTGGGCCAATTGAGGTTTCTCCCTTTTGATCGGACTGGTTTTTCCACTAGTCTTGGCTTTAGCGAGAGTCATCACTGCAGGGAGCATGAGGCCATTTCTTAACCGTACAGGAGTTGCAGATTTTCCAAATTGAGATCAGTTTTAATTTATTTTTAAGTATACCTCCAATTCTTTTGAGCAATGCATTATCCACACCTCCTTGTGTAGACATTAACTTTTCTACATGATTTATTCATTTACTAGTTTAAAATCGTTCTGAGTTTCTTTCTGAACCTACTTAGTCTCATTGAGGGCACTGGGCTGAAGTAAATTGAGATTTCTGTAGGTCAAATTCTAAAGGTCAAGGAGGAACTCAAATAAAAATGTCTTTGCAAGAAAAAAAATACTGCACACATTTTAGTTATCCCAACCATTTATTTTGGACAGATTTCAACCGAAGTGAGGCCTTACATGAAACTTTTGAAAAACAAAAATAAGCATAGGAACAATAAAAATGTACGTTTGGAGGTTTGTTAACCTCAGATGAGATTATTTTTCCATTTATTTATATATATTTCCTTTTGGAATGGCCCATCCGCTCATTCAGTTACCATTCTGGAACATCTCCTCCCCCCCAGATGGAAGAGGCAGAGAGAAGGGAAGGAAAAGTAGACCGGGACGAGGCGAGGGGGTTCTTTGATGGAGCAGTTTTACATGGCAAAGAGGATGAGGAACGCCACCATCAGACAGAAGAGACCCATAGCCTCGGACAGAGCAAAACCCAGGATAGCGTAGGAGAACAGCTGCTGCTTCAGGGAGGGGTTCCTAAGGAGGAAACCAGATGAACGCTTGTTTGAATCTTTTATTAATTCACATTACATGTAACTAGCTGCACAGAGTCACAAACTATTCATTTCATGTTCTAAGTGGATCATTGAGAAATCGTGTACACATTGTTGAAAATTAATTTGACTCTTTCTGGACTAATTGCACAGCAAATTATCAAAAGATACTCAAAGATCTTTGCACCCAAACCATGAAATTATTATAAAAGCAACAAGTGAAGTTCAACTTCTTACAACAGAATTTCCGGTCCAAAAGAGTCATATTTTTTTTTATTCTATGAAACCAGGTATCTTCAGTCTAATTGAGAGAAGTGTTTATAGAGTGACACATTAAGCTATGATATTTGTGTTATACTATTATATTCAGGGCACAAGGTTTTCTTCCACTCAGAACGAGTAACGCCTGCATGATGCGGTCTACGTTTAAAGTTGCTATTGATAAAATCATCCACAGGCTCAACGTTACCTGGCGTAGCCGATGATGAGGCTGCCGAACACGGTTCCGATTCCAGCCCCTGAGCCGGCCACACCCACTGTGGCAGCACCGGCACCAATGAACTTGGCGGCGGTGTCGATGTCCCGGGAGACGGCGCTGGTCTGGAAGGACCGGCTTAGGAGGGCAGACTGGCTGACTGGCAGCAGGGCCTGGATACGAGGCAGAGGAGAAATGCCTGCAGTAAACACCACTGCTGCAGCAAGATGACTTTAATGCCCTTTCCTTGTTTAGAAATGCTGCATCATTTTCTTCAAATCATTTTTTACTGAAGATAGATTGCCATGAAAATCGAAAATATCACAAGGCATTTCTGTCCCTTCAAATTTCCTGCATCATGTTCTTCTCAACAACAAAGTCTGGAAACCAAACAAAATCATATCACTGATATTTCAATCAATAGTGGATATTTCAAAACTATTTTTTTAAAATTGAAATATTGTTTGCTATAAACCATTTAGCAGACGTATACAGATAAATAAGTCATAATTTCCCATCCAAGATTTATATTTTATTGCTGTGAAAAAATCCTTCAAAAGCGTCAACTGACCTGCTGCTCCACTGTGGTTTCAGGTCTGTTGAAGAGGGAGACTGAGGCTGGCCGGGCGAGGACTCTGGACCCCCCACGCAGCTACAACCAGAACATTATTTCAAGGTTAGCAGTGCTTCAATTATGTGGTGCTGGAAATACAAACGCGAACCATCTGAACATTGGTATGAAATTAAGGAACATTTAAAAAACGTTCGTAATGATTGATGTTAAATTATTTCAGAAATCCTGCCTTGAGTCCACACTAAGCAAAGAACATTAAGAAAATGTCTGACTACGAGTTAACAAATTATCAAAATAATATATCTTTCACAATATAACCGTGTACCATGAGTGGAAACTGCATCTTGTACTCAATTCTGTTCAAATGAAAAAAGAACCAAACCAAAAAAAATACTCAAATTGACAAAATCACTACACTTTATCGACCATATTAAAAAATATTGGATTCTAGAATACCTGTGGGAGCGTAAAACAAAGAATTTCAGAAGCATCTTTCGCTACAGCGGAGCAATGCAGCTATACACGCACACTGTCAATAGTTGGCTGACAATTGGTCGAGATCCACCGTGGCATTTTGGATCTCTGGTTTTAGGTCGCTCACAGAGGAAAGTTGTACAAGGCAGTGAGCAGGACTGATCCTGCATCCTCTTGACTCATTCAGAACTACACTGAACACTCAACTGGATCTTGGGATGTTCCGCTGATCGGCACCAGTCCAGTGTAAATGTGGAACTTTGTCCTCCACAGCACCTCAGACTGAGACAACCTACGAGCTGAAGAGTCAGCTGTCAACGTTCCTGCCACCAACTCTGAGAAGGTTATGAAGAGCGTGACTGATTCCCACCTACTGTGTCCTTGAAAAATAAAAATAAAAAAAAAGAACCCGAGTATGCCAAAAGCCATTGAAGGGAATGTGCTGTAGGGATCCATTCTCACGACACTGAAACTTAACATCTGTCTGCAGGATTTTTTATAATGTATTTCACCAACTCAGATTTTTAAAAAAAATAGCATCACAATTAATATCTTTTATCGTTAATTTTTACATTTTATGTATAGTATTGCCAGAAAAGCACTACATGTGACGTACCACAGCAGGAGAAGTGACGAATTTGGCGCAGGCGTACATGGCTGGGAGCTGGAGAGAGATTAAACAGTTCATATTATATTCAAAGTCAGTGTTTTCATACAGACTGCCACTTGCATGCATCAACTAGCAGATTCAGATCGACTGGTTTGAGGCAGGGTCAGGACATAACACCAGTTTCTGACTTGATGCAGCCCGGCCAAGTTGGGAAGAACTGGGATTCAACAGGAGGCTGGAGCTCTGGCCCATAGTCTGTTCTTCACTGCCCTGCAGGTCTGACAACTCAGGGGTCAAAGTCTCTCATCAGAGTTTGTTTTTAATGAGATTTAAATCCATTGCAAGGTTAAAACTAAAAAGGGAATAGCTTTGCAAAAGGTCAAGTCTAGCAACCAAGTGGATTGGGAGAAGAAATCCTGGTATGTTGGTCCTTGTCAGCTTTACCAGAAAAGGCTAATCCTGACACATTGACTCCTGAAAAGGATCAACTGTAGATACGCCGCTAGATATCCGCCTGCTGCAGAATAAACCACTCCAACACTGTACATTAGCCGCATTAGCCTTCCGGCATATCGTGCTGCAACTTATCGGGCTTCAGCATATTCACGTAATAATTACAAATATAGCCTCGCCGGTCCAAGGTTAGCTCGGACGAATGGCTCCCTTTTTCAGTACAGAGTCAGGTTGACGGCCCTTCGGGTTAGCGCAGGAGCTAGGCTGAGCTAAGCTAACCAGTCTGCAGACGTGAAGGTCAAAAAAGGGCCACAGATTGTCATATTGGGCCTAGTAAAGCGAACACAGTTCACTCGGAGTACAGTTAACCTTTAGCGTGCTCGAGTGCAATGACAGAGAGGGACACGACACCGTCGATCTCCCATGAAGATGTCCTTGTAGCGGTGGATTAATTCAGAGCACGGTAGGCCCACAGTGTCAGACATTTTACATTGAACAGTCTAGTGAACGCAGCTTCGCCCCGCTGAGGATGTGTATGCCGTCGTCTGCTGCGGCGCTAAAGTCACGAAGGAACGGTCGAAAAACTACTCGTGGGACTAATGGTACTTGATCTGGCGCATATGTGAACCGAAGGCACGCGCACTAACGGCCTCAGAAGTCACTTCTCAATTCATTGAATGACCGACCTAGCTTGCTAGCTACAGAACGTTAGCAATGACGGCAGGTTCACAACCATTTCCTGAGACACATCCACTGAAGTTTTTAGATGCAAGACCCAAATGCATTAACGACACAGACACACGTGAGTATATATAAAGGGCAGAAGATATGAAAGGCAAATATTACCGGTTTTATACGGCTTTCGGAGGGTCCGGGATTAGAAGCTTTCGCACACAGCGGCAGTCAGTAAATGTAGGACGGGACAATCTGTCACCTTGCACTTTATAAGATCGGCGTCTACGTCCTCAACGCCTATTGGTTAACACCAACCCTCCTTGATTCACTATTGGTTCATCACCACGTGATATCCGCCAATCTACCTAAACGGATGGAGCGTTTATTAGGTACACTGTTTTCGATTGGCAGGAGGTTGATAAGGGCGGGAATACGAGAACGTTCATTAATTCTATTGGACAATGTTGCAGGAAATGACGAGTTTAGTAGCATGCGCAGCCCGGGTGCAAAAGAACGTCTCAAAGCACATCTAGTGTCCTATGTACCGATTGGGTGGTTAGTGGGAAGTCCCATAAATACGTATAAATGCTAGATGTCTTGTCCATAGATATTATATATAAAGGCTAGATGTCTTACGGCGGAGTATAGAACGTCCGCACATGGCGGCCATCTTGGGAGGGGGAGCTCGCTCACCCACAACATTGTGTCGGTAGTGGTACATGTACTTTAAATGGTAATAACGTGCTCAATTTTAAACAGATTTTTAAACGGTTTGGTTTGTTATAAACGTCAGAGATCTAGTTATGACACTACATACTTATGAATAATGGTCTGTTTAATATAAATAAATCGTATCAAAACCCATGTTTATAATTATTCATAAGTATGCAGTGTCATAAATACATCTCTGTACAGGGTGGGGATTTCAACATGCAGCATTTCTTGATGTATATTTGTAAAGGGAAATTTTGTACCTATTTTAGAGCATTATTCTATTTTTTAGAACCTTTGTTCGATATGGAGCATTCAAGGCTCATTTCTACCGGACACATATCACTTATCAGCTTCTGTTAACGTTACTGTCGGACAGCTGTCAAATGCGGTGTGGCGTTATGTAAACGTCAGTGTCAAAATACAAAACCGCTAGAAGCTCATTTGAAGGAACATCTCTTGGAATAACGTGCTGTGAGTTGTCCAGTGAGTGGATGTAAAAACGTTTTCATGGTCAAATCCTCATTCACCGCTCACATGTCACGCAAAATGTATAATTGATGGGATTAATTAGATGTGCAGTTATCCTGGTTGTTAAAAAATAAACCACATGAAACGTGAAGATAAGTCTTGATTGAGTCTTGAGAGTGAATGTCATGCTGTCAGTCCAGCAGCTCCCCCTGTGTTTGTTTGCTTTGCCTGTGCGTCCCCTGTCTCTGCAAGGAGCTGTGGTCTCCCCCTGTTCATCCCCCGAAGGGTGTGGCTGGAACAGCTCACGGCAATCAGCCATCAGGGGACTCTCCTACCGGGTCTTGCCATTCAGCGCCAGATCGTTCTGTCGTCAGAGTGGTAACTACGCATTCATGCCATTTGGCTATTAGACGCTGTCTTTGTTCACCTTGTCCTGTTTTTTGCCACGTTGATGCCTTTGTGCTAAAATGGGTCCTCTTTTAACATTCAACCTGACTCTTATTAATTTTGATTAACTATAAAGTGGAATTATATTCAGAGTGTTGGTTTCTTCTAGGTCATTAAAGCTCAGTTAAACACAAGAAGGCAGTGAATGTGTCCCTGCTCAAGCAGTGCATCAATCTAACTTTGCCTTTGTTTCTGTTTTTGGGCTACAGAGAGGATCATCCCAATCTGCAGTGAACACCTGAGGATAAGTCCTCAAGCAGAAGGCCCGAATCACTCCGCTTCCTGGATCTTGATTTACAATAAGCTTTATTTAATATTTCCTGATGTTGACTGAAATATATGCCAACCAATTGTAATACATTATACCTTATTTTTTTGCAATGGAATTCTGGCAAATACAGTTGCAGGCAATTTGCTTTGAACTTTGTAATAAAATACGGTAACTCATACAGTTGTACTGTGTTTATCTCTAAGAAAGACCTTAATTAGGTTGACAGAATATATGCTGTTTTTAAAAAACATACTGTATTGTCTTATACAAACAAAACAGTAATTTACCGTATATTTCACGGATTTCTTTTTACGGTGTATCCGGTTTTTTTTAAACAAAACGGTTCTCAACTGGGAATTTTACGGATGCAAAAAAACATCTCTATGATAAATACAGGGGGTGGTCCGCCCAGGTCTTACATAGTGTATATAGACAGAGGTTTATCTACGGGTAGTATGGAAACCCCAGGGTCTCTTACCAACACACTACCATTGTGCGGTCCCCTTTTCCCTGGGACAACTGAAGAAACAAAAAATGAATACTACAAACAACGTGATAACAACAGACAGAATAACAACAATAACTTAACCTTCACCAGTTCAAATTACCATTACGCACTCCTCTGAAGAGAGGATACCGTAACACGCCGTCACACGTGAGCTGGCCACAAGGTGGGTGAGGTAAAAAAAATTGCGCACAAGCAGGACCAACAAAACACAGTACCGTTTAAACGTGGTCACTTTTTTTTACGGTAAACCTCTGGCAACCACAGCTGTCAGTAATTTACCGTATATTTCACAGATTATTTTTACAGTGTAGCCTTTATATATATCTATGGGAAGTACAGCCTTTTTATTGGAGCCCCACAGTGTCAGTGCCCAATCCCAAACTGTAGCTGTGTCCCAATTCCGCTAGGATGCATCCTTAAGGACGCATTCGTGGACCGCTTTGGCAACTCGGCTGTTCCATCCTGCATCCTCATGAGGATCCACCCTTTGCAGTCGACCTGGGTAACCATTACTAAATTAACCATTAGGTCTTCATAGTAAATGGACATTTCATTAGAAATGAATTGACACCAAAACAACTCCCATTCAAAGTCCATTCTTTCCTGTTGGGCCTGTAGACTGCCGACACCACCATGACAGTGTTATATTTAGGAGCAGCCACAGGCTGAAAATAACAACACAAACTTGAAAATACAAGACATGAAATAGTATTTACATTTTATCAGACAACATGAAGGAACAAACAGAAAAATTGTTTCAATTTGACAGTCTTAATTGAATCCTTTGCACAACCGACAAATAAAAATTGAAAATTGTATAAAATATATAAACAGAAGATAATGGAAACCTTCTGATTGCATCAATATTTCCTCATACGACGGAAAGTAGGATATCTTATGGAAAGTTATTCATTTATTTTTACTTCGAAAGCCAGCAACACGTGTCAATTTCCCCCTGTAACATGCAAATGGTCTTCTCACAATGAACTCACAGGAAACTCTAGGACTGTTAACTTTAGGACACAAGACTACTTGGCTAGGTTGGGGAAAAGATTGTTGCTCTGGCTGAAATAACCTTGGAAGTGCCGTTACTGAATTAAGTAAGTAACGTGACAAAGGGAGTCATCTAGCTGAACGGTTGCCGTTCATTGGACACACCTACCCCCCCCTCCCCAACCAGTCATGTACACTTTAAGAAAAAAATTGTTGGATTTACTTAAATTTACTCAACCGGTTGCACACAACTGTGTTGTTTAAATAGAAAAAGTAACTCTTGTGAACAACGCGCATTAAGTAAATCTTACTTAATTAGTGAAACATAATCAGTGATTATGAAAAAAGTAGATTAGATATCAACAAGCAGTTTTTTTCATAAAATAGGTTAGACTTGTATCAACATTTGAAAGTTTAAATGGTGTCTGTAGCTGAAAGATTGGCAAAGCTGAAAAATCTCAAAGGAAGGGAGAGAGAGAGGGAGAAAGAAAGAGAGAGAGGGAGGAAGGGAGAGAGAGAGAGAGAGAGTGGGGAGAGGAGGAGACAGAGGGGGAGAAAGAAAGAGGCGGAGGAATGGAGAAAGGGGAGATAGAAAGAGAGGGGAAGGATGGAAGAAAGAGGGGGAGGAAGTGAAAGAGTGATAGAGAGAGGGGGAGAAAGAAAGAGGGTGAGGAAGGAAGAAAGAGAGAGGCAAGGAGGGAGAGAGAGAGTTTGAGTTTTCAAAATCCGTTTATTGCTCCCTTAGCAGGGAGACACAAACAGTTTTCTTGGTTCAGTCTTGTGAAACGAGAAATTGAAAAATAAATACATACAATAATACAATACATACAATAATAAATACAAACAACTGTTTCAGGCACAGAAACAGATACAAAACCATCATCATAAACTAACAATGAGATCCCCCTCCTCCCCAACAGAGCAAAGAATTCCCCCAACAGCCCAACATTTGCTCTTCCCCCAACAGCCCAACATTTGCTGTTTGCTGTTATCATTTTATAAAAAGTGAACTCCACTCTCAGCCGGGCCTTCAACAGCCCCTTCAGAACCGGGACCAGCTCTACACTGCCAACATTCTACATCCTGTTTTAGCGAGTCAGCCAAATCGGCAACTTTGCAGTGCCCGACAAAAAATCTACCAGAGTGTGTAATGTTTTTTTCTTTGCGCTGTATTTAGACCCAAAAATTAATAAACTCACCGAGAAACCCTCCCCGAGACCCTGGAACCATCGTTTTAAAAGTTCAAACAGTTCCGACAGACGAGGATACTGAACAAACAGATGGGCTAGATCTTCACTCTGCGAGCAGAACAAACACCCCTCCCCCAGCTCTGGATCAAGGTGCGCTCTGTACCTGTTTGTAGCTATTGCCCCATGTACCACCCTCCACTGGAGGTCCACTTTCCGCTTTTCAACGGGCATTTTGTACCGCCAGCTGCCTTTTGGGGAAACCTCTGGACCAAAGAACTCAGTCCACCTCGACTCTTTTATCCCTGCCAATGTCTGTAAGTTCACCACCTTGACACAGATGCGATAGATGGCTTTTTTTTCCAGGATTGAGCGGCTGTGGAGAGACTTGTGGGTAGCTGTAACAAGCATCTACTACGATGTTCTCCACTACCTTAAAGAAGAGGGCTTCCTCAGCATAGACAACGCTACACACCTATTCTGCTGCCACTTTGTGTTCCTCCCACGCCTGCAGGATGACCTCCATACTTTTTCGCATTGGTTGGGACAATCATCCGATAAGAACTGAAAGCCAGATGACCCTAACCAGTTGTGGGTGCTGGGTCGTGCACATTACCCAATTCCTGGGCCAGATAACAAAGAGGTCTGTGCAAAATATAATGTGATTTTAATACATAGTGTAGTTCACATGTGTAAGCAATTAAATTAGAACCCAAGAGCTGCATCCCAGTTATTTGGCTGTGATATTTAAATCAATCCACTTCAATTTTAAAATTGACCAGAATCTCTCCTAATTACGTGTGCTCGTCTATGGAAGTAAATCTGTGTCATCGGATTTTGAAAGAAAAAGGTGATTGACCTTCTAGCACTGAATATTTCTGCATTGAAATTAGGTATCTGAATGTTATTTAATGGCAAAATATTCGACAGCAAATTAATCGACGGCAACATATTTGACGGCAACATATTTGACGGCAACATAATTGACAGCATCATAATTGACGGCAACATATTTCACTGCAAAATATTTCACTGCGCAATAATTCACTGCAAAATATTTCACTGCAAATTATTTCACTGCAAAAAATTCCACAGCAACATCCGGATACCCAAGGAAGAGCATTCAATTCTAGATTCAAGATCGGAGCGTGCGTCAAGCAAAAGGGGCGAGCAAAATATTCAACAGCAAATTAATGGACGGCAACATATTTAACGGAAACATATTTAACGGAAACATATTTGACGGCAACATAATTGACGGCAACATAATTGACAGCACATAATTGACGGCAAAATATTTCACTGCAAAATATTTCACTGAGAAATATTTCACAGCAAATTATTTCACTGCAAAATATTTCACTGCAAAATATTCCGCAGTATGGTCACCGGATTTTAGCCATGTCCAATAATCATGGGGCTTCGGTGAGTGTTTTAACTGTTCTTTATGTTCTTTATAACATCCGGGAACCCAAGGAAGAGCAATCGATTCTAGATTCAAGATCGGAAGCGTGCGTCAAGGAAAAGGAGCAAGCACCCCAATACAATTTCGGCTTGTCGGCTAGCATGGTCACCGGATTTTAGCCATGTCCAATAATCATGGGGCTTCGGTGAGTGTTTTAACTCTTCTTCATGCCATCAGTGTGGTTTGTGTCTGTAAGATTCAGTAATAGACAGCTGACATTTGTACATTAACAGACTGTATTGGACATGAACAAAGAGGAAGTTAAACGAGATGAGTTCTCAGTACCACGTCATATATTCTACAGTAAGAAACCTCAGTGAATTGCCTCAGAGGGCTTTACAGTCTGTACGCATACGACATCCTCTGTCCCGAAATCCACACATCGGCAACAGGAAAATCTCCCCAAAATATGAAAATACCCTTCCAAGAGGGAAAAAAAAGGGAACAAACCTTAGGGAGAACGTCAGAGGAGGGATCCCACTCCCGGGATGGACAGACTAAAATGGATGCCATGTGTACAGAATGAACAATGTATAATACATGCAATTCCTATGACAGAAATGATTCAAGTAATTGTGAGTAGTAAGCCAGGCGCACAGCAGGACCACTGCAGGGGCAACCACCATCAGATAGAACCACCATCCACAGAAGCCTGTGAGGAGGGAGAGCACAGAGACTTTAGGAGAGGGTAATGTTGGTTTATGATTACAGTAATATCTTTAATATTTAAAATAATAATGATGACGATGATGATGGCATATTTACATTGCTACCGTTCAGTTCTGTAAGCAATTTCTTTCTCTGTAAAAGAACTGATTGAGAGTTGCACATAGACATAAACCCACACTCAAACAAACCAAATTAATGTTGTCTAGTTTTAGTCACATTTAATAGCCATATTAAACTCCTTTCCTTCCCTTCTCAGGCCCAGGGACCCCCTGTGTTGTGTCTACAACTGCATAATAGTCTAGCTTGCAGTACTTGGTTGTCCATTAGATGTCCCTCTGAGGACAGGTCTATAGGAGGG